CAAGACTATTCTTTTCACATAAAAAGACTAAAAATGCAAAGACTATATTCTTTGATTTAAGAAATTATAAAAAATACAAGACTATAGTCTTTTCATAAAGACATATTAATAAAAATGAAAAGACTATAGTCTTTTTCAAACAATTAAAAATGCAAAGACTATAGTCTTTTGCATGAAAGAGATAATAAAAATGCAAAAGACTATAGTCTTTGATTTTCAAAGTTTTAAAATGCAAAGACTATAGTCTTTGGTTTAAAAAGATATTGTAAAAATCCAAAGACTATAGTCTTTGCATAAAAAAGTTTGTAAAATCTACAAAGACTATATTCTTTAATTAATGAAAATTTGTAAAAAAATTCAAGATTATAGTCTTTGGTTTGAAAGTGTGTAAAATTCAAAGACTATAGTCTTTGATTTTAAAAATTTTAAAATGCAAAGACTATAGTCTTTTTGCATAAAAGTGTAATAAAATGCAAAACTATAGTCTTTGTTGTGAAAGTGTCTAATAAAAATGCAAAGAGACTATAGTCTTTGGTTTACAAATGATAAAATCTAAAGACTATAGTTTTGTAAAATTTGTAAAAATGCAAAAGACTATATTCTTTAATTGTGAAAAGATGTGTAAAATTCAAAGATTATACTCTTTGGTGGGAAAGTGTGTAAATATGCAAAGACTATAGTGTTTGGTGTAAAAGTAAAAAATTCAAAGACTATAGTCTTTGGTGTAAAGTGTGTAAAAATTCAAACTCTATAGTCTTTGCGTAAAAGTTTGTAAAAATGCAAAGACTATAGTTTTGTTTTTGAAAAGTGTGTAAAAATTCAAGACTATAGTCTTTGCATAAAATATTAAAAATGCAAAAGAGATTATAGTTTTTGCAATGAGAAATGTGTGAAAATGCAAAGACTATAGTCTTTTCATGAAAGTGTGTAAAATACAAAGACTATAGTTTTGTCATGAAAATGTAAAATACAAGACTATAGTTTTGCATGAAATATGTGAAAATGCAAATACTAGACTCTTTGGAATGAAAATGTGTAAAAATGTAAAGAATATAGTCTTTGGCATGAAAATGTGTAAAAATGTAAAGACTATAGTCTTTCGCTTGAAAGTGTGTAAAAATGCAAAAACTATAGTATTTGGTGTGAAAGTGTGTAAAAATGCAAAGACTATAGTCTTTGGTGCAAAGATTTTAGTAAAATTTAGAAGACTATAGTCTTTGCATAAAAAGTTTTAAAATGCAAGACTATATTCTTCATTTTAAAGATGTGTAAAAATTCAAAGATTATACTCTTTGGTGTGAAAGTGTGTAAAAGTTCAAAGACTATAGTCTTTGGTGTAAAAGTATAAAAAATGCAAAGACTATAGTCTTTTCATAAAAGTGTGTAAAAATGAAAAGACTATAGTCTTTTGCGTAAAAGTGTGTAAAAATGCAAAGACTATAGTCTTTGCATGAAAAGATGTTAAAATGCAAAGACTATAGTATTTGATTTAAGATGTTTAAAATGCAAGACTATAGTCTTTGGTGTAAAAGTGTGTAAAAATCTAAAGACTATAGTCTTTGCATAAAAGTTTGTAAAAATGCAAAGACTATATTCTTTGGTGTGAAAGTGTGTAAAAATTCAAAGATTATACTCTTTGGTGTGAAAGTGTGTAAAAATTCAAAGACTATGGTGTTTGGTGTAAAAGTATAAAAAATGCAAAGACTATAGTCTTTTGCATAAAAGTGTGTAAAAATGCAAAAACTATAGTCTTTGTTGTGAAAGTGTGTAAAAATGCAAAGACTATAGTCTTTGGTGTACAAGTGAGTAAAAATCTAAAGACTATAGTTTTTGCATAAAAGTTTGTAAAAATGCAAAGACTATATTCTTTGGTGTGAAAGTGTGTAAAAATTCAAAGATTATACTCTTTGGTGGGAAAGTGTGTAAATATGCAAAGACTATAGTGTTTGGTGTAAAAGTGTAAAAAATTCAAAGACTATAGTCTTTGGTGTAAAGTGTGTAAAAATTCAAACTCTATAGTCTTTGCGTAAAAGTTTGTAAAAATGCAAAGACTATAGTTTTTTGTGTGAAAGTGTGTAAAAATTCAAAGACTCTAGTCTTTGCCATGAAAATGTGTAAAAATGCAAAGATTATAGTTTTTGCAATGAAAATGTGTGAAAATGCAAAGTCTATAGCCTTTTCCATGAAAGTGTGTGAAAATACAAATACTATAGTTTTTGTCATGAAAATGTGTAAAAATACAAAGACTATAGTTTTTGTCATGAAATTGTGTGAAAATGCAAATACTAGACTCTTTGGAATGAAAATGTGTAAAAATGTAAAGAATATAGTCTTTTGCGTAGTAATGTAAAAATGCAAAGACTATAGTCTTTAAGCAAAAGTGTAAAATGCAAAACTATAGTATTTGATGTGAAAGTTGTAAATGCAAAGACTATAGTCTTTTTGTAAAAAGTGTGTAAAAATCTAAAGACTATAGTCTTTTGCATAAAAGTTACATAAAAATGCAAAGACTATAGTCTTTAATTAATGAATGTAAAAATTCAAAGGACTTCTTTATTGTGAAAGTGTAAAAGTTCAAAGACTATAGTGTTTGGTGTAAAAGTATAAAAAATGCAAAGACTATAGTCTTTTCATAAAAGTGTGTAAAAATGAAAAGACTATAGTCTTTTGCGTAAAAGTGTGTAAAAATGCAAAGACTATAGTCTTTTGCATGAAAGTGTGTAAAAATGCAAAAACTATAGTATTTGGTGTGAAAGTGTTGTAAAAATGCAAAGACTATAGTCTTTGGTGTAAAAGTGTGTAAAAATCTAAAGACTATAGTCTTTGCATAAAAGTTTGTAAAAATGCAAAGACTATATTCTTTGGTGTGAAAGTGTGTAAAAATTCAAAGATTATACTCTTTGGTGTGAAAGTGTGTAAAAATTCAAAGACTATGGTGTTTGGTGTAAAAGTATAAAAAATGCAAAGACTATAGTCTTTGCATAAAAGATGTAAAAATGCAAAACTATAGTCTTTTGTTGTGAAAGTGTGTAAAATGCAAAAGACTATAGTCTTTGGTGTACAAGTGATGAAAATCTAAAGACTATAGTTTTACATAAAAGTTTGTAAAAATGCAAAGACTATATTCTTTGGTGTGAAAGTGTGTAAAAATTCAAAGATTATGCTCTTTGGTGGGAAAGTGTGTAAATATGCAAAGACTATAGTGTTTGGTGTAAAAGTCTAAAAAATTCAAAGACTATAGTCTTTGGTGTAAAGTGTGTAAAAATTCAAAGACTATAGTCTTTAGCATAAAGTTTGTAAAGAAATCTAAAGACTATAGTCTTTAATCATGAAAAATGTGTAAAATGCACAAGACTATAGTCTTTGGCATGAAAATGTGTAAAAATGTAAAGACTATAGTTTTGCATGAAATTGTCAAATGCAAGACTATAGACTTTTATAGCAGTGTGAAAATACAAAGACTATAGTTTTGGCATTAAGGGTGATATTGAAAATGCAAGACTATAGTCTTTGGCATGAAATATTAAAAAATGTAAGGACTATAGTCTTTGGCATGAAAGGTATTATTGAAAATGCAGGACTATAGTCTTTATTATAAAAGAAAGTGTGTGATAATACAAAGACTATAGTCTTTGGCATGAAAATAATAAAATCAAAGATTATAGTCTTTGGCATGAAAATGAAGTCTGAATACTACCATGAAAAGATGTGAAAATACAAGACTATAGTCTTTGCATGAAATTAATATGAAAATGCAAGACTATAGTCTTTCTTGAATGAAAGTGTTTGAAACTACAAAGACTATAGTGTTTGCCATGAAATTGATGGAAAATGCAAAGACTATAGTCTTTGGCATGAAATATTATTAATCTAAAGACTAGGTCTTTGGCATGAATGTAAAATGTAAAGACTATAGTCTTTGCCATGAAAGTGTGTGAAAATGCAAAGACTAGAGTCTTTGGCATGAAAATGTGTAAAAATGTAAGGACTATGGTCTTTGGCATGAAATTGTGTGAAAATGCAAGGACTATAGTCTTTGTTATGAAAGTGTGTGATAATGCAAAGACTATGGTCTTTGGCATGAAAATGTGTAAAAATCCAAAGATTATAGTCTTTGGCATGAAAATGTGTGAAAATGCAAAGTCTGTAGCCTTTGCCATGAAAGTGTGTGAAAATACAAAGACTATAGTCTTTGCCATGAAATTGTGTGAAAATGCAAAGACTATAGTCTTTGCGATGAAACTGTTTGAAACTGCAAAGACTATAGTGTTTGCCATGAAATTGTGTGAAAATGCAAAGACTATAGTCTTTGGCATGAAAATGTGCAAAAATGTAAAGACTATAGTCTTTGGCATGAAATTGTGTGAAAATGCAAAGACTAGAGTCTTTGGCATGAAAATGTGTAAAAATGTAAAGACTATAGTCTTTGCCATGAAAGTGTGTGAAAATGCAAAGACTATAGTCTTTGGCTTGAAAATGTACGAAAATGCAAAGACACATCTTCATGCCAAAGACTATAGTTCATGCATTTTCACCAATTTTCATGCTAAAGACTATAATAAAAGGAATTTTTATTTGAAAGAATATAGTGCATGCATTTTCACACATTTTCATGCAAAAGTTCACACATTTGACCCAACAGTGCACGTCGTCTTTCCAATTTTTTTGTGTGTTTTCAGCTTAGCATTCTAGTTGTGTACCTTGCCATTGGTTGTCGTCAAAGGAGTTGCACTCGAAAAATACAAAAGAATTTTAGACTGACTAGTGATGCAATAGCTGTGTTCAAACAGAGTTTGGGATGTTGTAAGCCTTCCTAGTATCATTGATTCGTGCAGTGATGCATTTTGTTAGGCTCTATTGGTACGTCTCTCGCTAATATATATTTGTTTAAATGACGTATCATTAGATGTATGCCCCCCTTTCCTTTTGACTGCCCCCCCCCTTACAGAAAATAATGCACGTCACTGGCACAGAAGCATAGAAGTGATTGAACTTTTTATTTAAAATTTGTTTGTGCTTCTTTACATACAAAATTAAAGAGTTCAAAAAAATTCACAACTATTTAAATTATATCAAAAATTCGTAGAGAGGAAAGTTAACAAATCTCTGAATTTTGTTCACTTAATGAAGCCAAAATTTGCAGGACATTACCTCCAGCAGTCAAGCGTGCGTGTAGCACAGTTTCAATTCTAAAGATAGGTTTCTACAATCCTTACGTAAAAACTTCGTCTGCCTATAGTTCTTCTTTGTAATCTTCATCTTCGTAGACATGGCGGCAAAAGATAATTATGATGAACAAGACGAAAATAACGAATTGTTTAGTCTGTTTAAACTTGCTGCGGAATTTGTGAGGGATCTTCCTGACTTAAAAAATGCAGAAAAATTAATATTCTACAGTCTTTACAAACAGGTTTGAAGTAAACTCTCCCAGCATATTGTATTGCGAACTTAAATATTAAATGCGAACTTTATAAGACGATGTTTTCATAGACTATATTAAAAAGTATTCTCTTTTAAGGCAACAGAAGGGCGATGTAACACTCGCAAACCTGTCATGTGGGATATGAAAGCAAGTGCAAAATGGCTAGTGTATTTTTAAAAGAATATTTTTCTGAACTTTATTGATCTCGGAGAATCAATACGACAGAGTGTAACCACTCAAACTAGGAAGATAAATGAGTAACATTTTTCTTCAGGGAGGCATGGAACGGTCTTGGTGAAATGTCTTCGGAAGAAGCAATGAAAAGGTACATTGGTGAATTGACAAGGATATGTGAGAACTGGGAGGATAGCAAGGAAACATTACATACCATTGAGCAGGTTACTTTTAAACATTGAAAAATAGTTATGGGAAACAAGTATTTTTGTATGAATGACTGATGATCTCATTCACATGTACCTTGTTAGGTAAAGGTGAGTCAAGGGTCATCAGTGGATAATAATGGTGGTATGGGTTTATCAGTGAGTACTCTCTACAATGCCGAAATTGAGAAAGAGTTAAATGTAAATGATGAAGACAAAACACTATTTGATTGGTGTAAAGAGGGAAATGCCAACAAATTGAAAAAGATACTGAAACAAAGAAAAAATGGTGTAATGGAGAAAGATGATTATGTATGTTTCAAATCCAATGGCAATTTAGCTAAAAATGTATTCTTAAGTTCTTGAATTGCTGTAACCCCATGTAGGGTATGACATTGCTACATTGGGCATGCGATAGAGGCTATGAAAATATTGTCCAATATCTTATTGATGCAAATTGTGATATTGACTCCCAAGTAAGTATATAGTCGTAAATTAACTAACATCCCAACATAATTAATAGCAGTTGCTATAATTTTTAAACTCAGTAGTGCATATAACTTTTGCAAGTGGCAAATCATTCTTTATAACCTTCTTTCGGAGTCATTTGATGACCAAATGCTATCAAATTCCTTTTAGGACAATGATGGTCAAACTGCTTTACACTACGGTATGTTTATTACAACCATTAAAATTTAACAGTAATAAAGAAATAATTGTGCTTTTACCCAAGGAACATATCATATATCTTCAGCATAAAATGTGCAGCAAGAGAATAACTTTAAAAAGAACAATGCCCTGTGCAATCATCATGAAAGTTTCATCAACATGCAATATTAAATACCATGACATGCTATATTTTCTTCTATACCATGGTTGCCTCATTTTCTTTTGTTCTAAGTATGACAAATTAATAACACACTTACCTGATTAGAATTAACATTTACCTGATTAGAATTAACATTTACCTGATTAGAATTAACATTTACCTGATTAGAATACACATTTACCTGATTAGAATTCACATTTACCTGATTAGAATTCAGATTTACCTGATTAGAATACACATTTACCTGATTAGAATTCACATTTACCTGATTAGAATTCACATTTACCTGATTAGAATTCACATTTACCTGATTAGAATTCATATTTCCCTTATTAGAATTCACCCATTCAAATTCAAAGTTGTATAGTACTAGAAACTGTATTGGTTTTATTAACAATCCACCAATTTCAAACTTAAAATAATAAAATTACCATAAAGTATTTCCAAAAACATATGATTTGCACCATTGTTGACAGTGTGTGATGCAATGACTAAAACATTTCAGCAATCATAGTATTACAAAGTAAAACCATGGTAGTTTGGTTGCTTTGTAATAAAATGTACACGGAAATCTTGGGAAGTTTAGTAAAAGTGTTTTACTAAGACTTTCTAGTATATTTAATCATTAAGTAACCTCATTAACATGGTTTTATTTTCAATTCATTTCAGCAACCATATGTGAATTTGAAAAGATTGTGGAAACTCTGATCCGTGCTGGGGCTAATGCTACTTTGGCAGACAAGGAAGGCAACACGCCATTTCAACTTACTTCAAAAACAAATTTGCAACAACTGCTGACATTGTCTCATTAATATTACATTAAAGAAAAAATAAAATAAACGATACAGCTTTTCTTATATTGTAAAAAGATGTGAAAATTGTAAAAATATTTATAAATATTTTCATTGTTGTGAATGTTTATGAATGTCATTCAAAAGATATTCAAAAGAATTGAATTACCTTTAAGAGTACAGTGTATTTGGGTGAATTACGAAATTTCTTGAAATGTAATCGACTATTTCATGGTTTGCCAACTTTACATTATTTTTCATCAGCTTCCATCCACTCAAGAAGCATGGGTACAAAATATGTAATAATCAGGTCAGCTCCTAGATCAGAAGAGATGCATAAGTTGAATCATGGTAAGAGAAAATGGAAATAATACAATAGAAACATCATGACAAAATGTAAATATAAAATTGTGAGTAGGTGTAATATTTGATGTGATTCCAACTCATGTCAATGTGAGAATACCTTTACTTTACTTGTGCCTACTATACATATTATTATTAATATTGGTTTACAAAAACAATTAATTCTATATACACATAAAATAAGCAACACAAATTATATAACACTAAATACTACACTAGATGTAACCTTAAACAAACACTTACAATGTTTGGTCATTCTGTCTGAGGATGTTAAGTGTTGAAGTGAGATTTTACATCTCAGAATGTAGATGTCCCTTTGAAGAGAAATATGACTCACCTGCCCTTCTCATACATTGCAATGTTTCCAAGACACTATCCTTTAAGCTGAAGGCACCAGCCATACTTCCATGATATATCATTGCATACTCACCAGACACCTGAAATAATGTCAGTGAAATGTTACATGAATTATGGCAAAATTAATTCATGTCAGCCAAACACCATTGGAACATACTTGATAAATGGCTAATGGCAGATTGGGAAACTGGAAAAGATTGAAAATGCATCAGTTCAAAAAATGTTCACAGACTTGGTTGAATGATTATTTTGCCCTTCTTACTTTATTTTTGTTTTACAGACAACGTCTAAATAAGGAAGACCTGGTTTAACCATCAGCATATCAGCACCTTCATTTACATCTCTTTCCTAAATAGATAGTTTTGACAAACAATGTTGCTATATTGTTGATGAATACCAATCCTGATGAATACAATGCATTATGATATAACAGGTCAAATTTAAGACAAGTTTAAAAAATACATCACTCTTGATGAAGACACTGGACCATAATCAGGATTGAATAACAGGATGCAAAACAAATAAAAGTTAAACTAAAAGTCTTACCACAGCTCTCATTGCCAACCCAATTGATCCAGGAGGCAGTTGATAGCGGCTACGATCACCAAAGGATGGTGCACTTTTGGCAGCATCTCTGTAAAAACACAATGCTTTGGCTCAAGGGTTCAAAATTGCAAAGAATTTGAGAAATTCAAATGCACAAATATTTTCTATCTGTTACCTAAAAGGACCATAAAATTTTGAACAAAACTTGGCACTATAGCTCATAACGGATACCTGTAATAAGATAAAACACAAGCCATAACAACCAGCAGGTGATATTGGACACTCTTTAAGCATTTGACAATTAACACTGAGTAAGGAACATTTTTCAAAAAATTATTTTCCAATCATTGCCACCAAATGTGTACTTGTTTAAAAAATCAAAATGATTCCACAAAGAAAATATTCTCACAGAAAATGAACTCTCTACACAGAAAAAATTCTCACAGAAGATGAACTTTCTACACTGGAAAAATTCTCATAGAACATGAACTTTCTACACAGGAAAAATTCTCATAAAACATGAACTGACAAACCGTTGCGCTGAAAGAATTTTTCGTCAATTGTTGCTTGATTTCTCTAATCCTACCATCGTTCATATCTGATGGTGCAATAACATGACACCCTGAAATATACAAATTTTAGCAAAGACCATTTAAACATCAAAGTAGTACTTTTAATACTATTCACAAAAGGTTGAGATTTTTCTAATTATTAAAACATTAAAATTTAAATGTAATCCCATTGTAATCCCATTGTAATCTCAGTTTCACTTCGGTGGCTCAAGTGGTGAGGTGGTAATGGGGTGATGTGCCAGTAATGGGGTTGAGGTTGTGGTAACTGGGGTAAGGTGGTGGTAATGGGGGGAGCAAACAGGTTTACCTCATACATTTGTAAAAGGTACAAATATCTACAAACCTAGCAATCAAAGTGAGGTTACAAAAAGGTACAAATATCTACAAACCTAGCAATCAAAGTGAGGGTTCGACCCCCCTACCAACAAAAAGGTACAAATATCTACAAACCTAGCAATCAAAGTGAGGGTTCGACCCCCCCTACCAACAAAAAAGCATAACGATAGACTACCCACTAAAAAGTCATGATGAATAAATTCCTGGTTTTGCTTCAAACCATTTCAGAATCAATTTGTTCATAGTGAAAATGGATGTTCACAACTAATTTAAATATTTTACCTGCCTTAGCATATTCGACTGATATTTCTGCTAATCTTTGGTTACTTTTCACGCTATCCAAGGAACCATCATCAGTTAGTATTCCTAAATGAAGAAGACCAGTCATGCATATTATCACATTGATTTTAATACATTTTAATTCAATACAGAACATTGTAATATCCACAAACCACAATGCCCATGATCTGCATATGCACACAGGCAAACATCACAAAGAACAAGCAAGTCCGGAAATACATTTCGTATTGTTTTAATGCCAACAATAACTGGATTTCTTGGATCTGTAGCACAGGAACCCCTGAAGTCCTAAAAAAATGTAATGTAGACCATCATTAAACTGGCCAATGCAAATGAAACTACCAACTAAAAAGTTTGATTGATCACATTTTCAATACCTTGACCAGTTTTGTGGGAACACCAAAAAGTAGAACACTGCAAAGTCCTTTTTGGACCAGAGGTTGCAAGAATTCTTTCAGTTTATTAGTACCAATCCTAAATATGGAATTGAACATAAAATACTCTTAACTTTCCCTAACAGCTTTCATCAAAGTTGCCCAAGATGAAATCATGACACTGGTACAGTATTATATTGTTAAACTTTAAACGTTACGTAACTAGGCCTCATTGATAGGATGACCTAAACGAACAGTCAAACGCATTTACAGCAAAAATCTTCAACAGAATCTCACCTAAATTGACCTGGCAAAGTTTTAATAGGTTCCAGTGTATTTTCGATATCGCTTTTAAAGAAAAATCAAATATAAGCGTCAAATTACTTAACGGACATTTGACATTTCTAATAACCATCAATCAAAAACACAGTTTTACATAACATCTGAAAGATACCTTATAAAAATTGGGTAAATCAAACATGAACGGTCAATTCTTGTGTTCATAGACTGCCATTCACGTAACAGTTTATGATGAAATCCGCTTTGTAACTTGTCGGCCATTAGTAAATAGTAACATTTGGAAATTATGTAACAAAATTTGTGCACCATACGATGCAATGAACCTCCCTCCCACAGTCCCCATGGTGACAAATGGTACCAAGCCGTACCGTACATGTACCATTTATGACACGAAAACAGATTGTCGGAATAGTCACAAACCTCATGAAATACCTGTGCTTGGCCTCAAAGAATTCGACAAATGTATGACCCTCTAGACACTAAATATTTACTGTGACAGTCTGAGCATTTCATTATTTAGAGATACAGGGGAATGGGGCGGGTTAGGGACAACTTCGACTGCTAATAATTTACTGCGATAAACTCTCCTAGAAATACAAATATGCAAAGAGATCTTCCGAATGATTTAGAAAGACCCCACCTAAAGAGAGTCTCTTAAAAGAGAACAAAAAAATTTCACCATTCGCCCATACAACTTATAAATACGAAACAGTAACGTCATTAGCCCATAAGTTTGGTCGTGCTGTGTGAATTTTAAAGCATTAAAATCATTCATTCTTTGGCCAAATTTGAGGGCTAACAAAACAATTCGTTTAATTTCAAAACAAACCTCTGACAATCTTGCATTATGATAGTCGACAAACATAGTACATATGTTTAATACAATTTCAATAACTTCGAGTACATTGAGGGCAACTATAAATCCACGATCTGTGTCGTGAGAGTCAGCTACAGAAAACATATATTTACTAGTACTCCTCAAGTTTGTGCAACATCGACAGGAAATCAACCGGTTTGATGATATGAGTTGAACCTAAAACGAAATATCAAAACATTGCACATGTTGTTTTCGGTTTTCAAGATGGAAAAATAAAATATAAGAAAGTTCTACTGTATTAGGAAGGTGAAGTATGAAGGATGGAGATGGGTTATGGGACTGGGGAAGGATGCATCCCAAAACCAAATTCGCGGAAAAAAATTTAGAAAAAACTTGTTTCCGCACCAATAACAACATCCCACTCCTGGTTTGCCTTCTTCACCTACAAAGTTTTTATACACAGACATAAATCAGTCGCTTTAATACATCAGATAAAATTAATCAGCAAACAATTCTGCCATGCGTAATACCTCATACGCAGCTCGCATTTCAGAATACGTTAAACCACCCATAATAAAGACAATCAATCTTGGGCAACTCTTTGTGTTTGTTTGACCCTGTTGATAGGAATATATGTCACGTTATATCTGTGCAATAAATCTAAAAACTGCCAGCACAATAATGATGTGGAAGACACTAAATAACATATTTTACAAACCTTGTGCCATTGGCCATAACGAGCACTAAGATAAAAAATAAACAATTTCAATGAAAGGCCACCCATATTAATTAAAAACAGTCAATAAAAGCACTATGTCAATGTATAAGAAAATCAACCTTCGTCTAAGATAGATACGCGGCAATTCTCAAATCAATCATATGTAATTAATGTACGCCTACAGTAATCCACTAAAAGGAAGTGGATGTTAAAATGTTATCAGAAAAATGTTATGGTACAGCCATAGCGACGTCATGCTATATTTTAATCTACTCAAGAGAAGTGACTGAAATCCCAAAATCAACCATCGAGAAGTGCATGGTTTTCAGTAATAGAGAAGTGTATGGTTTAACATATTCAGCCCTTTCAGACGTATAACTTTCAATATTCAGTAATTACCTTTGACCAACACCACCTACGAATGAAAATAAAAGTGGTTTGGTTGACTTTACAAAGAACGAATGCTCATAACAAAGTTTCGTCATTTACCGTAGCCAGAGGCGCTGTTTCTTGACACAGGTATGTAATTAAACATTTTCTCGTCGAGTTTTTCCTTCAGAGAATCCTGTAAAAATAAAATTGAAGGTAAAGCAAGCTACTGTAATGGTTATCGTCTCGTACTCGTTGACACAAACTACGATCTTGTTTCGAAACATTTGAATGTTCCGGTTCTCTACCTCCATTAAATCTTTCACATATGGCACGTATCTTGAAAGTTGGTATTTTTGTTGCGGTCTTTCCTTACGTTCTGGTTTTGACTTTTTCTTTACATTCTGCATGTAGATAATAATTAACGGTATAAAATCCCATCTTGTACTGACATACTCCCCCGCAGTCTGTTGCATGCCCCATAATGTACACCCCACACCATCAATGTTCTATGTTGTACACCCCACATAACCAATCTCGAATATTGTACACCTTAGACCATCAATAACCTATACTGTACACCCCACACCATCAATGTTCTATGTTGTACACCCCACCACATCATCAATCTCGAATATTGTACACTTTACACCATCAATAACCTATACTGTACACTCACACCATCAATACCCCATACTGTATACCACAGAACATCAATGTTCTATATTGTACACCCTACACCATCGTGCCATTCAACAGAATCCGTCAAGTTCACAACTTTAATAAATGTAAAATCTAACCCCTTCTTTTAAGGGAACACCAATGTAGGCCATGTTAGTGATGATCGTTCTAAAATATAAATGTATAAATGTCAGATTGTTTAAAACTTAGCAAACCAGTTAGTGATGATCGTTCTAAAATATAAATGTATAAATGTCAGATTGTTTAAAACTAAGCAAACCAGTTAGTGATGATCGTTCTAAAATATAAATGTATAAATGTCAGATTGTTTAAAACTAAGCAAACCAGTTAGTGATGATCGTTCTAAAATATAAATGTATAAATGTCAGATTGTTTAAAACTAAGCAAACCAATTTAAAATTATCATAAGTACGTAAAACAGCAAGTTGACAGATGATGAATACAACCGCTATTAAACACATCACTATGTCGTCATTAACAGGAAGTTGAAATGAATGAATTGACATAGAAAAAAAAACAATCAACATTACATACTGCTTATCTTTAGGTATCTGAGCATGTTGACACAACTTGAGTAAATTCTCCTCGCTGATACCTAAATATAAAATGAATTACGAACTGTACGTATATTACATAAGTGTCATGGAGGATCTAACATACGGGGTCGGTCGTGTCATGGAGGATCTAACATATGGGGTCACCTGTGTCATGGAGGATCTAACATATGGGGTCACCTGTGTCATGGAGGATCTGTCATGGAGGATCTAACACACGGTTAATTTGAATGTAGAAAGCCTATGCTTTTCAGCGTAATGTTTTTCTTAAAGATAGGTGGAAAGACAACAGAATGGACATGCATTTTTCAATCAAATCTAGAGGGCAATATAAGACATAGTTACCTACAGCCAGACCTCAGTACTACATACCATCCTTCGAAATGATGTAAAGGAGAATAATGCGGATCTTGTCTTGGACACTGGAAACGAAATACTACATCATTGTCTATCGTATTGATGACGTAATAACACTTTCAATACGTCATTACTCTCAGATTGATGACGTAACGCAATGTCCGCTGTTTTAATGTATGATGTGAAACAAAAAAATAACAGTTTACGTTAATTTCATTGCTTTCACTTAAAGTTTGCTATTTTCTTAATTCAAATACAGTTGGAGTTACAAGAGAATATCCCTGAACTATACAGTCACATTGGAAAGTTAACAAACCATCGATGAACAGTGGCACTAACCTTACACTGCTGTCAAGTAACAGTGGATTAATATTCTTTAGTGGATCTTTGATTTTTTCCCCCTCGTGATCGGCGCCTGTCGCCATATCCTTGTAAAACGTACAATGTATTGTTAAATAGCATATCATTCAATATACCTTTACATAAACATTGTAAAAAACTGCAAAAATTTCAACTACAATGTGACCAAAACACATGATAAACTTCGTTTCGTTTATTTACTATTCAGTTGTAAGATAATGTGATAAAAAAGTTCGGCAGTTGCATCAAAAACTAAATAAAGTGCACCTGTTCAACGGGACATATTTTTTGAGTAGTTTCTCTGAATTTTTTCATACACTCCTCCGCCAGTAAGAAATGCATGTTGAGCTGAGGAAAAAAAATAAAAAAATGGGCATTTTTGACATATTACAAAATGATTATTTTAGATATAACGGTGGACTTAAAGGAAGTAACTTCCAATGCGATGTAAAAATATAAACACCCCAAAAATAGAAAGAAGCTTTAAAATCGCAGTAAAATTTCGTGTCATCCAATTACTTCATTTAAGCAAAATTTTAAATGCAGAAGCAGCTGTTGCAGTAAGATTAACGTCAATTCCAAAAAACTTCGATCCCTTGCTTTTTTTTCAATATCATCAAAATACGTATAAGTCTGTTTAATTATTATAAAAACACTCAAAAACGGATGTCGATTGTGATTGTAGTAACACGGTGGTCATATTTCATTCATGGCAATAATGAACAGTCGCTTTCGGCCAAAATTTTTGCTGAAACACGATTAAACTGCTCATCTCTCGAATACGATGATATTGTAGCAATAAACATCTGTGTACAAATATTAACATGAAGTATTTCTACATTACTTACTGCGCTCAGTTCTTTCTGATATTGCGGCACTTTTTTCAATACTTGTTTCAAATCCCGAAGATCTGTCTGTAGAGTGAAAAATGAATTGAGCCATAGATTCTTAACTTTTCATACCATTTGATACAACAACATTAGCCTACAGGTCGTGAAGTACCTTCTCGCCTCCTTTAGTTAGTTTACATGAAGTAACGAATTCCTTGGTTTTGGAGGAAATGATGCTGGTATAGAATAGGAAACATTGTTATATAGCTATGTGTATTATGATGAGCTCTTTACTTCAACAGCAGATGTAAACGCATAGAGGTGAAAACGATAAAAAAATTATAAAGTGTTATCCACATGTTAGACAGAGGTCATGAAGCCCCCCTTCACCCTCCCATAGTGATTAAAAAACAGTGCAGAACTTACTTTGTAACTTCGGCAATATGGTTGTGTCTAAACTCGTTCCAAATTTCGTTGGATTCTTAAAATAATATGAAATGACAAATTGAAGTGGTGACGCTCTAATGCTCAACTATATCGGGGTGTCGGAAAGCATGCAGCTAAAACTGGATTTTTTGTTTTCAACATTTTTCTTTTCACATAATATCCAAGGACACTGCAACTTTTTTGTCTTATAAAGTAAGCCAACCTCAAACATGTCTTATACATTTTTGATTGGTTTATATCTTTCAAGATTTAACTCTCCCATTTACTGTTTCATGTATCATAGAAAAACCATCCATTGGCTTTATGGCAAACGTTGAGCCAAAGACTTTAAGCCCAATTGAACCTAACTTTCAACCCTTATGTTATGAAATCCTTTTATCTACAGCCTCTTTAACTCGCTGTTGATGTACATGTTATAAATATCACTTTTTCGTTCTCTAAAGACACTCAACTTATTGGCATTTTATTTAAAAAATCAATAGTTATCAATATGGACATTTATCGTATTAGCCAAGTTCGCATCAACATAAAGTTTTTTTTTGTATTTTTAACTGACACAAGTAGGGTCTATTTCATTAAATCATTTTAACAAGGACATAGAGTGGACATACCATCAAGAACAACAGATTTTTCATCATCACCAGCGGTGTATCTAAATAACAAACAAGTTTAATTTTAGTTGACTGGACAAGACGTAAACTGCAGGGTTGAGTTCACGTCTAGTATAATGTCCTATGTTAAGGTCCTATTTAACATCATCCATATGGCCACCACTACATCGTCTATCCACATAAAACCTACGTGTAAACATCGTTTTTGATATTCAGAAGATCGTAAGCCATTGCCTGTAAAGAAATTCATCCATTTTAATGTACGCCAATCAATGTTGACCACTAATACATAAGTGATTTTGACAGACGATGCCTTTACATAAAATAACTTAAAAAAAGAGAGATATCCCTTTTTGTTTATTCAAACAAGCTTGTTTCCAAAGATTCGACATGGCAGTTGTATAACAAAAAGCAAGGGCGCAAATCTGTTTAGAAACGTTCGGGGGGATGGTGGACAGGATATCTCAGAGAAATCAAAAAGTGGAGGGGACATGCCCCCCCTACCCACGAGGATTTACACCCTTGACGTTAAGTAGTTGCAACACAGTTTCGTATCCAGGCACTTTTGATGGTAATCGCGGGGCTTTAACGTGTGAAAAAGCGTGTTTTAAAGCATCAAAGCGGGTTGCGATAATAACAACGGTTCAGGTACAAATACAACTTTAATCATTGCTCACTTGATACGTAAGTTCATGTAGAAGTGGAGCGATTGGATCAAAACCTCTAAAAATATTTAGAAAAAATAACTAAGAATGCACGTTCATAAAGCAAACGACATGTACACGACAAGTACACGACACACGACATGTACACGACAAGTACACGACAGTACACGACAAGTACACGACACACGACAAGTACACGACAGTACACGACAAGTACACGACAGTACACGACACGACAAGTACGACAAGTACGACAGTACACGACAGTACGACAGTACACGACAGTACACGACAAGTACACGACAGTACGACAAGTACACGACAGTACGACAAGTACACGACACGACAAGTACACGACAGTACACGACACACGACAAGTACGACGCACGACAAGTACACGACAGTACACGACAAGTACACGACACACGACAAGTACACGACACACGACAAGTACACGACAGTACACGACAAGTACACGACAAGTACACGACAGTACACGACAAGTACACGACAGTACACGACAGTACACGACAAGTACAAGACAGTACACAATTCTACTCTAAAACAACATTCACAAACCTGTCAAGTAGCAAAAATTGCGAACGATGTTTCTGAGAACCCTGTGCATAGAAATTGAAGATTTTAGTCACGTAATTACAGCCATTTTGCAATTGACCTTGAGGCGTGCATAAATTAAACGTTTGTTATAGTTTCAAAACTTGACGTTACCATACAGCTAACTTGACGTTACCATACAGCTAACTTGACGTTACCATACAGCTAACTTGACGTTACTATACAGCTAACTTGACGTTACCATACAGCTAACTTGACGTTACCATACAGCTAACTTGACGTTACTATACAGCTAACTTGACGTTACCATACAGCTATCTGATTGTTTCTAAGGCGTAACCCTGACATAGCATTGGTTAAAAACAAAGTGTTGCTCTACGAGTCTACGACAAAGACACTCTGTGTCTTACTAATACCAATTTAAAACCTTACATCTAACGATAGAGTTTAACGTTTTCAAACGTCTTTCCATACTTACATAATTTCAACTTGTCACGGTTGTTTATTAAATAAAAACAACATTTTCCATAACTGAACGTGTACGCCTTAGCAACAATGAGTTAGACGTTAGTAACGTCAAGTTTTGAAACTATAACAAATGTTTAATTTATGCACGCCGCAAGGTCAATTGCAAATGGCTGTAAAGTTGCAAGCGATGTTTCTCAGAACCATATGCATATAAACTTAATACTTAAGTCAAGTCACAATGGATGTTACCTCATGCACTAGATGTTACCTTATCCAGTGGTAACATGATGTTCGACTGTTTTTATCGTCGCACTGTTTATTGAGACAGACATTTCTGACCATGTTACATACCTCTCCCATGGAAGGATCATCTGCTTTATACGCGGTCAACGTGCTCTGTAATGCTTGTGCCAGACCCTGAGACCAGGACATGTTCTAAATTAAAATTTATACTAAGAAATTAGAAAATAAGCAATTTTATTCGTGTTCACAGCCATGATCTGACACGATAGCATTTGATGTTTGAATGTTAAACAACAAAAATGTTTGTTCAATTCATCCATCAACTATAGAAAATGGAGTTTATTTCCATTAAAAAAGCAGATTTTGTAGTCGAAATCAAAATTTGCCTTTCCTGTCAGCTTTATAATACTGAATGGTGGAAGAGAGATGATCGTTTTATCTGGATTTATGGTTTTACAATTCAAAGTTATGTTGAGGATTTAGAAACCCATAAAAATGTCACTAGAGAAAGTTCCTAGTACAGAGATTATAAATGATTTCTTACGCTCGGAAACGAATTGAAGGATATTCTCCAAGAGTTGAACACAACGTCGCCAATTGTTCAGCCACTTTCTATTGAAAAATCAACAGTATACATCCGTTTCATCAAAAGTTGCACGAACTCAGAATAATCCACGAGAAAAATGTCACAAGTTTTCGTAAAGTTCTAATTACGTATTAGTGTGAATTACCACAATTTCGTTGTAAATCTAACCACAAACTTTAAAAATGTCACAAGTTTTCGTAAAGTTCTAATTACGTATTAGTGTGAATTACCACAACTTCATTATAAATCTAACCACAAACTTTAAAAATGTCCCTCTCCAACAAATAAAATATTCATGTTGTGAACTATTTTCATCACCTCAATGTCAGAGGAATGATTTTGTGACTCCATATAGAAAGTGTTCACCACCTTCTCCATGTTCAAAGAATACACCTAAAATATACAATCACTGACAGTATAAGGGATCATTTTTTACACATTTATTTGATTTCTTCATTAACTACAATTTAATTCTGACTCGTATGTCATCAAGAGAACATTGATTGACTTAAAGATGCAAACGTTCTTTAATCTAGTTTAATGTGACAATAAGTGATGTGAATGGAGAAGTTGCATTTGGCTTTGAGGTATAAAAGTTGCTACCTATGGGTCATTAGGGATAAAAGTTGCTACATGTGACTCGTAAGGGATAAAAAATGCTATCTGTGATACAAAAGGGATAAAAATTGCTACTTGTGACTCATAAGGGATAAAAGTTACTAACTGTGACTCGTAAGGGATAAAACTGCTACCTGTGATACAAAAGGGATAAAGACCTGTGACTAATAAGGGATATAAGTTGCTAACTATGTATCATAAGGGGTAAAAGTTGCTACCTGTGACTCATAAGGGATAAAAGCCATGTTGATTTCCTTCAATGTCTTTATAACTGGAAAAAAATATTCATCATAATAAATGAAACATAAAATTTAGAATCAACACATCAACATGGATATAGAATATACATATTTTATAACTTACATTTAGCAGCAGAAGAGTTTGCTAGCTTGTTGAACAGTTCATCATTGCATACTGAATAAAAACAAAATAATTCAACAGAAAAAAAACAAACTACAGAAGCATTTTTCAAGTCTTTGGCGATATTATAATTTTTATAAAATGATGCATAAAATGTTTGCAGAAAAAGATTAATTCTAAAAGCATTCTGCTGCAAAAGCTTTGGTCGCAAGTAGGTATTTTGTGGTGAGAAAATCTTGCACCAATAATCAAAATAAAAAATTGTCACACTGAACATGTTAAAATGACACTTACCTTTGGTAAAGAAAACATGAGCTCGCATGTACATTGTTGTTGGTGCATCTTTGTCAAAATCAGATAAAAGTTGGTCAACACTCTGCAAATATAGAAATATGGACACAACTCATAAGAAACATCTTATGTAGCATAACAAAACAGATCTTTTACATTTTCTGTTGGAGAAATAATGTATATGGCCTCCAATGAAGGTAATGGCTCCCTCTTTTTCTCAAGACCTTCAACCACTTAAAAATAACAAAAAGAGAATAATTAAAATACTTGTTATATCCCAACAAAACACAAGGTCTTTTCACAAAGATAAAGGCATTCATAAAGATTGAGCATGAAAATTTTAGAAAATGTTTAATATAGGGCACATGATCTGAAATGATTTTTTATTGAAGTCCTACATATTTTATTTGGCCTAGTCAGCCCTTATACTAAAAAAAATGTGAAACCAAAGTAGCAAATATTGCATAAGATGTTATCAGGGGATTTAAAGCTGATTTGACGCACCAAACAGGCCTTTGTTGATGAAATACATACTAGTTATCCCTTCATTCATGACTTCATTCATCTTACAACACGATGATACAATTTTCAGGGAATCTTTGTCCAGAATCAATACCTAAAGTGAATCAATATTTTCATAAGAACCAAGGCAAGGGAAAGGGGGGGGGGGTACTTGAGACTTTTTTGCAAATTGAGTCAAATGATAATTTCTTATTTTGAAACAAGGTACTCAAAGGACAACTTATTTGAATATTTCATATCTACATGACTAAAAAAAACTCAACATACAGTATACTTAACTCCCAACCCCTGATACAAAAATTAATGACTAAAGATGTTGTTGAATAAATAAAATGGTCAACAAACAAAGGGACATGGGATGGAATGGGGCAAGGAGAAAGTTGGCAAAATTTGGGTAAATTTTCAACATAAATCGAGTGAATCCCAGAAAAAACAAAATGATTTAGAGCCTATGACTCTTTTCAAACTTCTAAACACGCATGCTGAGAGAGTAATGTCATTTGAAGGTCGTGCACATGCAAAGAGGCTACGTATATTTCATTGTTAGTCGAGAAAAATATTTCAAACATTATCCGCGAACAACACGTCAACAAAAATGCAAAATTTTCAAAAGTGATTTACTATAAAGTTAGTATTTTGAGGATTAAACAAAATCTATCGGACCTTCCACTTTTTGGCATCGTATAATGGTTTAATTACGTCATCTATGATACCTACATAAAAAGAAAATACAACAAAAATATGTTTCATGTATTTATGTACAAATTTCAATATGGCCAAGAAAAGTTCAACTTCAACGTATTAAATAAAAGCAATTTAATCGCTCTCTTTACTCACGTCTTCCCACTGCTTCCTTTAAAGACATATTTCTGCTTTTTTAACACGTTTACAAGTCAAAAAATGAAAAGCTTAAGTTTACTTTCTCACATTCTACATAAACGTTGAATGTTTAGAATAAATGTTTTGAAATTCGAAGTCAATTTCCGGTCAACCACTCCTTCCCGATAAATTATTTTCCCTTCTCCCCCCTGTAAAATTTTGAAAGATGTTATCTAGCATAACCTAACAGTCGATATTGATACTGTCTCCTCATTGGCCAGTCAACACTTCTCTTTTCCTTTCTACCTAAAAACATCAGCCATGTTGATATTGTAAAACATAAATGTTAAAAAATAGAAACCTCCGCTTCTTTCAAAACTGTACAAATATTAATAATTAATTGACAAAGGGAAATTGAACATCATCCTTCAAAGTTAATCATTAAAAGCGCTTTCAAATTTTAAAGCACAATTTTGTACATTGCGATGAAAACGTTCATACTTGCTATATGTTTAGCTAATTTCGCTTGTAGTGCTGAAAAGAAAAATCGTGATATTCCTATTCAAGACAAAAACAAATGGGACAAAAATGGTTTCATTGTCTATTGTCCATGCATGGGTAGGACAGCTAAAATGTTTCTTGCATGTTGTAATGTTAGCAAAAATAAGTGACATATCTATGCTACATATTGTAACAATGTTTCAGGTCGCTTTGGCAACCAAGCTAGTCAATTTCTTGGTGCATTGGCATTTGCAAAAGGCCTCAACCGCACTTTGGTTCTTCCACCATGGATCACGTACGAAGATGCAGTGGCAGGCTCAGTAAGTAATATTTTTTTATCTAAACTAGCTGAGAATGCATTTCCGCGTATTGAAGATTATATGGATATTTTTTCATATTTAGGAACGAACTCCATTTGATAGGTGGTTCAAAGTGAAGCCTCTACAGGTTTATCATCGTGTTGTAACAATGGAGAAATTTATGGTAAATATTGCTCCTTCCATTTGGCCAAAAGGAACACGGACAGGTTTGTCGATTCTGTGACAATTCAAGTTCAATCAAGTGATGGCATCATGCAAAGGGGAAAGCTACAAAACATTTTTCGTAACATTTCAACAAACAACAATTCCTGTGTTTTTTAGGTTTTTGTTACTTGTTTAGGAATGGTAACCAGTGTGCCATGAAGGAGGGTAACCCATTTGGACCATTTTGGGACCATTTTAATGTGGATTTCGACAATTATGTTGAACACAAAGGCCTCTTGTATGAAACTGATTTTGAACCAGTTAAAAATGATTGGATTTTGAGGTAGTTTGGAATTGCCAATTACTTGGGAATTTTCATGCATCCTTATGGTTTTACTTTTGGACAACCCTTAGATTTCCAAGTTTTGAATACCCTGTGATTGCCCTAATGGGAGCACCAGGTGATTTCCCAGAACTGGAGAGAAACAGAAGACTGCAGAAATACTTGCAATGGTCTGATCATATCAATAAATTATCGGACAAGTTTATACAAAATGTCTTGCCTCCGGGGTCATTTGTTGGTATACATTTGCGAACAGGATCAGACTGGGTAAAACAATTAGCTTTTCTCATCAGAGCAAATTATATTCTTTTGTGGGTGTTGTGTCTTTCTGGTGTGAAAACATTAGAGCAACAACATATATTGTCATCTTCACTTGTTTATTTTATGTAAGATCTTAGAGTACCCAAAAAATGACATAACTTTTTACTGCTAGAGAATAGACCAGAAATTGCAATAATTTGCTCATGCCTTTTTTCTAATCCTAAAATGCAGAAAAATGCTTGCAACCACATTGGAAGTACAAAGAAGTTGTTCGCATCAGAGCAATGCACAGGCTATAATCATGAATACAAGCTGACAAAAGACATGTGCTGGCCTTCGAAGAAAGACATTGCCATAAAAACCAGAAAGATGGTAAAGCAATATAATGCCAGTTCCGTTTTCATCGCAACAGATGATGATGCATACACTACAGTCATTGAAAAAGAACTCAAGAAACTAAAAAGAATTGTGAGTTAAAGGAAGTTGCTTCATTTTCTGACTTGAGCTCTGTGCTAAACCAAATTGCTTGGTAGAATTTACATTTAAGTACTAATGGTTAAACCTGAACCCCATTTTCAGCCTGTTCTAAGAAAGCCCTGTATCATGATACACAAATTGGCCTTACTTTGTGTTTTGAGGAATTTTTATTTTTCTTTTTAGGTGACAGTTCACCAACAATCCAACCTCCAAAGCCGTGATGCGCCTATCATTGACTTAGCCATTTTAACAAAATCCACACTATTTCTGGGAAACTGTGTATCTTCTTTCTCCTCATTTGTCAAACGAACACGTGACTCAGAAGGTAAAGTATCCGGGTTTTGGAATTTTGATCCAAGAACATCACCTAAAACAAACCCAAAGAATGATGAACTATGAATGATGGAGGAATGTTTCATAACGACAAAGATGGATTGTTACGGGATATTTAATGCTATAAATAGAGCAACCCTTTGGATGGTTTAATATTCGTTCACAAAACACACACATTATATTGTATATTGGTAAATTTTTAATGATCGATATTTGTGAATGATGTAGTTGATGGCCAGCAAACATGAGACATATTTTATTTAATTACAAATTTACAGTTCATATTCTCATTTGCAAAGAAGTTAATTTCACTCATCAAAAAGACTCGTCTATATGCTTGTCTTTGACGTTATTAATTTCCCTCCTTTCTTTTCCTCGCTTCTTTTATTTTCTCAAGAAAACTAAGGCACTGTGAATGTAAATTCTCGTTCCATCCTTCAAGAACGCTGAGACACGAATTTAATCGATCTAATTCAGTATCCAAAGCCATAAATTCTACATGAAAATGAGCGCGTAAGTGAATAAAAACACCAAGAATAATCTCTAACGCAATATTTTGGTTATGTCACCTTCTATCTCTTCATTTGTTGAATGCTGTGATCCGTTTGTGATAAAATTACTGCTTTGATCGTCCGCCATATTGTTTTGAAGACCAAACATACTCGGTTACATTGATTACTTCATGTAAGAAATATATTGGGGGTTAATTGTACATTCTGTGGCGTAACCATCACAGCACAGATATGTGAATTGGAGAGTATGGTCAGTTTTAATTTTCCCGTTGGAAATACTAGCCTTCATTTTCACACACATTTTAATCTCTGTCCACGAGAATTTGGTTAGAATGACACAAGTATGTTCAGATATATGTATAAATTTCATGTACGATTAATTTGTTCATATGATTTAAACACATTTATAAACCACCTAACTAGTCTAGTGCTAAAATAATTTAACGGTAATGTCACGTGTTCAGAAATGCGTCTGACAAGAAATCTTTATTCCTATTTTGTTGTCGTAGGAAAGGTTCAATTGATATATACCACAGTCATAACTGGAAATGCAGAACCTAAAACATCAGAAATGACCTACGTTAAAAACCAGTGATGGCATATAAAACTTTCAACATCAAATATAAGATGTTATAATATGTACCTTCCATCATTCCACAGGGCAATATCAGTAAGAGGTCCTGCGACTAAATTTTCTTCCACTAAGCATTCTATGGATATATTACAATAGTCCAAATAAACATATCATTATCAAAAAGTTTTACTAAAGTTGCAACTGTTTGTTTTTTCAGTAATGGACAAGGTTGCATAATTAGACAATCTCTAGTTCAGGGGGGAGGGATATTTTCATAAACAAAGTTCTTTGAAAAAATAAATTTGGCAACATACTCTGACTTTCCTGGTTCCATACTCTTAATATTGAATCATGTGACACACTCACAAGTCTAGAGAAAGATTTTAAAGACATAAACATTTTAGAAATAACACAGACAAGAGGTTGTATAATGCCATATACAGATACATACAAAGGTAATGATGTTATGTCTGTATTTCTTGGTAAAAAGCAACAACTAGAAACAGTTTGTTGGTGACCAAGATATGAATACAGCTGTCGTTTCCCTCTAACATCCCACAGCTAAAACAAAGAAATATGTTCTGCAAAGAATAACTATCCTAAAATTTGCAAATCTAAATTTCATAGCTAGCACAAGATTCTTTTTGGATATGAGTCGGCACTTTCTTCTGTCTAGTTTAGGGTTTGATATCTATGAATAAAATTTATATGCTACATGTTTGTGGGTGTAGATCACCCAAGTTAGTCGAGTCCTGAGAATGACTGTTGTAGTTGATGTTGACTGATGTTTCAACAACCTTAGCCGTAGTCATCTTCAGAGTCAAATGACGAGTAAAACACGATGTTTGTTGTCTGGTTCATACATCTGGTTGTTTACTTCTCACTTGACTCTGAAGATGACTACCGCTAAGGTTGTCAAAATGTCAGTCAACATCAACAACAACAGTAATTCTCGGGACTCAACTAACCTGGATGATCTACATCCACAAACATGTAACAATACTCCCAGCTTCAAACCATTTACTTTAAAATTCATATGCTTACTATAACTTCACAGCCACTTCCGTTGAAACCAATGGACGACGTCAAAATATAGAAACCATCAGTTGAAACATCACAACAAGTCTATCATGACATTTAAAATATTTTTAGACAGAGACCAATAAAATGATTTCCTCACTTTAATGTGAAAAAAAGACTCAAACAATCATTTTATAAAATTTACCCCGAAATACTGCTTAGGTGGAAATGTGTAAGCGACATCGACAGAACGACTGTCCCAAATCCTAAACAAGAAATTCCATCATAAGCAAATATTGTGCAAATTATATTCTGAAACATATTTTCTATTTCTTCTCCTCAAAGATTTTTCTTTGCATTGCCAAGCATGTCTTTTCCCCAATGATTAAACTCGGCTCCCAAAAAAATCCCTCCCCCTTAAGATGACAAAGTACAAACCTTAGCATTTTATCTTCTCCAGTTTGTGCTATTAGATCATCTTTTGGAAACCATTTTAAGCTTGTTATTAAATTTCTAGTGATCATGCTCATTTTCAAACATTGTGCTCTTTCCACATCCCAAATTCTCAAACTATTATCTCGTGATCCAGAACACAACAGTGAACAATCTATAATTATAATAAAATTAAGTAAATGGTTTGAACCCGGGAGTATCGTTACATGTTTGTAAATATAGATCGTCCAGGTTGGTACTAGTCCTTCTCAGAACTATACCAACCTGGTAATAGATTGTTAGGACTATACCAATAGTAAATGTAGATTGTACCATACAAAAACCATTTGGTCATGCCCATTTCATCCAGATGCAACATCCTTTTCTGTAGCATCTGCATCATCGGACACAAGTGTTAAGATTTGGAATTGGAAAACGCTCAGCGTTGAGCAAAACATTGAAAACCACAAAAACATTGTGGAGAACGTGGCATTTACGAGAAATGGTGAAACTCTAGTGACTTGTGGACGATCTACATTTACAAACGTATAATAAAATTATTATTATTGGTTATTTGTAATGATTTTGGATCACTAAATGAAGCAAGCTAATTGCAAACCATATGAAATGAATGACCAACAACAAAATGAAAACACACCTGAGTTTGTATGTATGGTGGTGGTGACTAGTTCATGACCATGATAAACACATTGTAATTGTGGAGAATTGTTTTCATCAATTAACCAGGATTTGATAGTTTTATCTCTAGATGAAGTGAAGATGGTATTCTGGCCATGATTACAACCACAATGTACCTATGGAAATAAATTTACAAACTGAATGCTAACTGCCCCAATGTCAATGATAAAATAACCAAAAACCTTGGTTATATCTTTTTCATGTGCTTTCCATCTGGTACAAAGTTTTCCATCATCAAAGTTGAAAACACCAACGGTCTAAATCATAAATCATAAAATACAGCTTCACTTTCGGTGTAACCCAAGCAGATATGTTTGTAAATGTAGATCGTCCAGGTTGGTAGTCCTGAGAAGGACTGTTTTGTTGTTGTTGACTGACGTTTCGACAACCTTAGCGGTAGTCATCTTCAGAGTCAAAAGATGACTATCGCTAAGGTTGTCGAAACGTCAGTCAACAAAAACAAAAACAGTCCTTCTCAGGACTATACCAACCTGGACGATCTACATTTACAAACATGTAACGATACTCCCGGGTTCAAACCATTTACTCCAAGCAGATAAGTTATAATTACGTTGAAGCAGAAACTTTATGAGACTTACACAATCTGTACTACCAGAAACACACCATCCAGGTTTGTATGCAGCCACGCAAGATACTCTATCGTCGTGTACTAGGGAAAACTCCTTAGTTTCAAGTGCATTTGTAAACATCGATGTCTCATTGTGCTTGTATGCAGCTACTCGCTTTGGTTTCGACTTTACAGGACCCATTTGAAGTTTTACAGTTATATGAATCACATCATCATGTAAAAACAGACTCTAGCTTTTGAATATTTTCAGTCCATATTTTCGATTGAATTGGGCGAAAGATAAATAAATAAAACGTAAAATTCAAAAGTTTGTTGACATTTCTCTTTGGTTTCTTGTGTTTCATTTTGTGAAGTCACGCGCGGTCAGCGGCACAGAAGCGTTGAGTGACCATGGCAACATACGTCATCACGCAAATTATGTAAATCAACTCAGTGTGATTGATGTACGTAGCGCAGGTGCCAAGTGCATGGATCATGGGATATTACAGCTGACAGGTCACTCAAAGTTTGTCGAAGACTGCCGATTTTCAGCAGATGGCTCAAAGATAGTCTCATGCGGAGGCGATGGTAAGGTATTTCTTTGGGAAACGGAAAGAGGTCAAATATTGAATAGAATCGGTAGACACGACGCTGAAACATGGTCATGTGACTTCAGCGCCTGTGGTACGTACATTTGCTCCGCCTCTAGCGACAAGACCGTTCGCATTTGGGACGAACGAACACATGGTCATATTGCAGCATTTCAAGGCCATACAAAAACCGTTTGGTCATGCGCATTTCATCCAGATGCAACGTCCTTTTCTGTAGCATCTGCATCATCGGACATGAGTGTTAAGATTTGGAATTGGAAAACGCTCAGTGTTGAGCAAAACATTGAAAACCACAAAAACATCGTAGAGAACGTGGCATTTACGAGAAATGGTGAAACTCTAGTGACTTGTGGACGCGACAGAACCGTTCAGATTTTCGAGAATTACGCGAATGCTTTAAATCGTAAAGTGAAACTGTTAATAACGCACGAAATGAGAGTGAACCATTGTTGTTTTTCTGGACAGTATGATGAACTCGTATTGTCTTGCTCTGATGACAAAACCGTCAAAGTATGGGATAGGAATAAATTAATAAACACACACACTTTAGTGGGTCATCAAAACATTGTGTGGGGATGTGATGGATTTATGTTAAATGATGCGATGATTGTCATATCTTGCTCGAGTGACAAAACATTACGGTATACATTGCAGTGAATATATTTGCATCCTCGTTTCATTGATGACCGGAACAATAAGCAGCATTTTCTGACGTTTTTGTAGGTTTTGGGACATTACAAGCGAAAAGGAGTTAAAAACGATGAGAAAAATGACCGAAGATGTTGAATCCGAAGCTCAACTTCACTCATGTCACATTTCACCTAACCTAACTCAAATAGCTGTATGTTCTAACAATGGAAACCTATATCTCATTGAAACGAGACTAATATTCCAAGAAATCCATAATGCTCTTGAATCGCAACAAGACGAAAATCCTAATTAAAACAGCAATTTGCCCATTGTAAAAATGGGCACGCTTGCGGAAGTTTTTAACGTGTGAAATTAATTTCACTTTTGGAGGCTATGCATTCGAAATTTCAGTAAATTTTATCAACATTCTGGCCACTCCCCTCGAAAAAAACCGTGAAACACAAAGCCAGTTTCTTTCATCAGATTTATTTTCACAAATTAAGCGAATATAAGAAGTTAAATTATTTTAACTTCCTTTAACTTTTCCCGCTCCAGTCGATCTGTGACAGCCTGAGATTTAACTCCCATAATTCCACCGCCCCAATGACGTCTGATCTCATCATAACGATCATTGTAATTCGTCTTTACAGCCTCAACAAGGGTATTAAGGGTGTGCTTATCTTCAGACTTTACTGTTGTAATGCACAGAGCAGTTGCAGTCTTCTTATGAACAACTTTGCCCAATCTAAAGCAAAACAGTTAACTTGAATAACGAGAGGGTAATTTTTGAAAATCTTAAGGGTTTATAAACGCAAGCTATACAAAACAATGGGTTTAAAATCAGGGAAAGTCCTATGGCATGTGTAGGCTCTTCTACCTCCTACATCATGCAACAATGGCAAGTCTGCAACAGGATAAGCCATACAACAAGAGAAGACTGCACATAATGCTGTGCACTGGAGTACCGAGTTAGGCCGGAGCTCCGGCTATTTTTGCCTGCCAGAGTTTGTTCATCTCCAACAAAATTCCAGCAGCAGTTGTTAGTGCTGCAAAATACTGTCAAACATGTCTGATCAAAACAGTTTTGTATCAATGAAGGATAACTATCGGCTAAAATTGAAAAACTTGCATGAAAATAAAACATTTTATGCGTGACCTAACATGACACTAGATTGCACATGCTATTTTATGATTCAAAGTCGGAGTGCGGAAATTTAACTTTACATAACTTTACATATGACTGTTTAGCAATGACTTGCAAAATTAACCAGCCACAACCAGTGATTTGAAATATAAAATAGCCAGAGCCAGAGTTCAGATTTGACAAGAGGCCGGAGCAGGAGATGAAAAACCACAAAAAAATAAGCTGCACTACAGAAATAAGCTGTATTACAAGATAAGTCCACAACAGGATGAGCTCCAAATGTCAACCACATTAACAACAAATTTTTCAATTCGAAATGTATTCCTGTAAGATTGAATCTTTTGCACATAACCTACCTTGCTTTACCCTTGACAATGCAATAAGGCACATTCATTTTTCTGCAAAGGGCAGGCAACCAAACAACAATCTAATGAAGATGAAGACAATAGAGTCATATGTCAATAAAACTTAGCTTTCTAGAAAAGTGAAAAACTTTGAATGCGGAACTAAACCCACATTAATAAGGCAGAAAATATGGCCTTATCACACCACATAAATTAAACCAGGTAAAACACAGGTTTATTTTTTGCTAGTAAGCACTACTAACCAAGGTTAAATCAGGTTAATTTATGTCGTGTGAATAGGGTATACATATGTTACTTACTCAAACCAACAGTTATGGATTAAAAAACTATAACTGTTTTCTCAAAGAAGTTCATTTTGTAGCATTTTGGATGATGTCATTGCAACTATACAATGGCACTTTATTAAAATGCAGATAAATTTAAAAATGTATCCCTCTATTTTTCTTTTCCCCATGCACATGGCTGGGTCTTTGGAGTAGTCAACTTACCTCAACAGGATCAACATCATGAGCTATTACAACAAGTTGAGCTTTCTTTTGTTCAACCAGTTGAGTGACATGATTTATCCCATATTTAACAGTCACAGGTTTTTTAGATGGAGTGTCCTCTTTCCCTTGAGCTTTTTTTTCTGCCTTTGCAGTCAAACGAGCCTTTTTTTCTTCCTTAGTCTCCGGACGAATTTTGTGAAGGAGTTTAAAAAGCTGTGTAGCTGTAAATAAATCAAGTCAATCAGGTACATATTTCACATTGAACGTAACGCCAACAATGCATTATAATTTCAAAACAAATAGTAATTGCAAAAACCTGTTTGTTTATCAAGAGTTTGGGTGAATTGGTTAATGGCAGGTGGAACCTTTAAGCGCTGATACAGCACGGCCTTCTGTCTCTGCAATCTAATGTACTTTGGCCATCTCACAAAACGACTCAAGTCCCTCTTGGGCTGAATGTCCGCACCTAACATCACAATAAACACAATGTTACAAAGTTCCCCCCAAAAACAATTATGCTGAATCTCATTTTATGCTACTCATTCAGGTACATACCAATTCCAAAATTTTTGGGTCGCTTCTCATACAGAGGGTTGGCTACCTTTTTTGGTGGAGGCTTTGATGTTGTGTAAGGGGCAGGTGCCACCTTTTTTGATTTCAGAACCTTTTTGACTTTTGGCTAGATAAATGACGAGAAAGTGCATGCATTAAATGCAGCTCATTGAGAATAAGATGGAGATTAAGCTTGAATTTAGACTAAGTAGTGGCTGCATAAGAAATTAAACATTAAAGTTTTCAAAATGCAAGGGAGTCTTCATATTTTAGTGCAGGCATATATGTGCACAAGTATGGTGCTTTGTAGGATTGGTAACTAATTTTAGAAATTTTTCTAGATTACATAAAGACTTCAGCAATTATCAAATACAACACAAAGATTATCTGGGTTGCATTATCAAATACTACAATGGTTATTTTGATTAGAACACATCCAAACGTCAATTTCTTACTAGAAAATAGTTAAAGTCAGACTTTGAATAGTAGTCTCGCGCATTTCTGACAATCAGAACAAAAACTCGCTGGTATATTTTAAAGTTCATTTTAAATGAGGTTGTTAACGCAAAATCATGTTTTTTAATCATTTGAGAACATGAGTCCCCAAAAAAATAAAATTTTTTTAGGACGTAGCATTATGATTATACCAAATAAAATTTATAACTAAATACATTCTGGGATTGAGGACATATAGGGCGGATTGTAGTTCACAGTAATTCACTCACCATTTTGAAACCAAGTCACTTCCAAAGAGAAATCCACTTGCTCGTTCCAGACCTCCTAGGAGCACGGACGTCAAGATGGCGGGTTGTTTATGAAATGTTAGCGTAACTTTTTTGAAAGAAAAACATATCTAATGGCACAATCTAGAGGTTTATCCCAATCAAAACAAGCCCAGCTCAAGTCATACAACAAGCGCTTGAAAGATGATGTAAAATCTATTTTGGACAATTTCACTGAAATTATCAAATCTTCTGAGGTGATTTAAAAGTATACATTGAGCCTGAGAGAAGGATTCGGAGAATACTTCGCGAAATAAAGATTTAACACAGAAAACTAAAGATAGAAATTTTTCATTTCAGCTTGAGGAGGAGACGCAAGTTTCGAGACTGACGCAGTGTGAACAAGATGAAAATGAATGCAAAACGAGGGCAGCCAATATAGTAAGTCAATAAATTGATGTTTTAATTTGTAAACGTACGTTAAATAATTCAAATCGCCACTACTTAGTACAAATTCTGAAGCTGGTTGATTTGATGTTGGTAACAGTTTTCAATGATGCACAAAGTACAATTCAAAATATTGTTTTATTCTTTGCTTAGGTACGCGCTGGAGAGTCCCTGCTCAAGCTGGTTTCAGACATCAAAGAGTTTCTCATTTTGAATGACTTTCCAGGAGTAAATGAATCCATAAGTCAAAGATGTAAGCAGTTGTATATCTTACAGAAGGATTGTCAGAACACATTGAACAGTGTGAAAGAAGACTTAGCAGGTTCCTTGTATGAACTCGAAAAGGAATACTATAATTCCTACTGCAAAGTGATATCGAAATAGACGCACACAAATTGTAGAAATTTAAGCTATAAGACTCCAATCGTATCGAAAATATACTTTTTTCCATTTATACCTTTTGCTTTAAATTATAAGTAATTCTCCCTTGACTAACGATCGAAGTGCCTGGAATAAAATCAGATTTCCTTTGAAGTTATAGGAGATGTCACTTAACTCACCAAAATTCATTGCTACCTTGTTTAGCAGAAAATCCTCTTCTGCACATTTTTCCATAATACTAAAGTGGTCCACATCAGGAATTTTCAAATATTTAACATCATAGTGAGGAAGCTCTTCTTTCAATAAATCATGAAAAACCTTCGATTGTTCTTGAAACGAAGGTGAGTCTTGTTCTCCAACAACAACAAGAACATTGCATCGTATTTTTAAACTTCCTGGTTTGATCTTATTAATTGGACTATTTCTCAAAGCAGTTTCCCTGAAAAATAACACATAAATTCAACCAAATTTTAACAAGAATATTGTATAGTTGACCGAAGTAAATTAATTTATCTTGGATGTCTTTTCATGTCAAACATGACTAGGAAGACACGCAACAAATATTTTTACCTGTCCATTCCTATGACCAGGTTCACAGAAGTTGACAAAATTGGTTGCAAATCAAAAATTCCACTTACTAAACAAAGACCTGAAAATACAACAAGGAAAAAGCTCTTTCCCCATGGCTAAAGTTTAATAATGTAGGTTGTCTGGGTTACTGATATCTTGCAAAGAAGCCTTGGTGATGGTTTTGATAGCTGTCATTCTCTATAAAGATGTCAACCTCTAAGGCGTTAAAAGTACATGTCACTACACATCACCTATAGTCTGGTTCAAAGGACTTTACTAATCTGTGCAATCAACTTTGAAAAACATTCCAACATTCAAATCATTTACTATAAAAGAGTAAGGACAAAATGAGGATTGCTAATTTGCTATGTGCTGCTCCTCTCAATCTAGAGCAAAATAGGTGCCTCTACCACAGTTTGAAATTGATTACAGTTTGAACTCTTTTAATCCCATTGTATATCATTATTATAGTCTTGCATCTAATGTTTTACAGTGTCATGATCTAGAACAATACCTGTCTTAAAAACATGCTCTCAAACAATACCTTTAATCCTTTCTAATAATGAATTGCCATTGTTAAAGTTTGCCGTCATCAACATTGATACCAAATGTGCCCCAGCTGAATGACCAGTCAGAAATATCCTAAAGAAAAACACTAAATTTTTAACAAACTAGATACCTTTTTCTTGGTTACACAACATTGACACAAGAAATTTTATGTGTATGTCAAAGTTTTGGCTGATATTAAGCCTATAATAAAATGGGAAACTTGCTAAACTGACATCTTCCTACATTATAACGTGCAACACAATATTAAGTTACCTGGAAGAAGGAAACATGCTTGCTGTAAACATAAACCCATTTTCAATCTGTTTCACCATTTCATCCATGGATGCTAAAAACGGCATGTCCAAATAAGTTGTAACAGATTCAAGTCAATTATATTAGCATGCAAGCTTTGAGCATATTTACCATGTGGAGCAAAATCATATCCAAGCATAACCAAAATACACCCAAGTGTGTTAAAATGTTCTCCAAGAAATGCATACATTTCTTTGCTGGTGAAATCAATCAAAAACAAACGTAAAAGTGCATACATATGTCCAGACAAATAATTATGTCTGTCGACAAATATATGTCTCCAGACAAATATGTTCAAACAAATAAACATGTTTGCAAATGCATATGTGTATACAAATAAATAAAGACAAATATAGACAATTATACATGTCTGGAAAATAAAAACAACTGTTACAATGTACGTGATCACAGATACATGGTAATTTACACATTATCAAGGGGAATATCTCCTGAAAAACAAAAAAATACCACATTTTTCACCACTACAGCAAATACACACCATACCTTCCTTCCTGCCAATAACCACCATGAACAAAAATCAATAAGTCTAGGTAAGAGTAATTTTTTATCCAATTAAACACAAACATAGGATGTACGTACAGAAATTACATTGCCATTTAACCTGAACATTTTCGATCACAATTATCAGGAAAATAAATGTCCAATTTGGTACTTTTGCCGCCGCCATACACCACATTTAGCTCACAATCATATTTTTGTAATAATCGTTCTCGCACTAAAACAATCCATTGTTGATGTAAAAATATAAAACATTGCAATACTTCAGCAGGAAGTACAACAGTAATTTCTCAAAAAAAACCTTATCACACACTGACCTAACCAGTGATAAACATGCAATTCTCATTGCATAAAAACAATTATAAAATATTACCATCAAACCCTCTCTTAAAAAACAAGGATACAACATCCTCATGTGGAATTTCTCTGGTCACCCATTTACTGGGAGAGTATTCAATTTCTAGTTCCTACAATGTAAGAGAATCTAGTAATTTATTCCTGGACATGTCGATGGAAACTTCGTTAATTGTCAATAATATAGTTTATGTAAAACAAAAAAATTAAACCAAATTATGCGAGCGCGTGTACTTGCATCGTCAATGACAAATCCAGAAGACATAACTGGATATTAACAACAATTCGCAGTAGTGTTGCCAGCCAGCAAGTTTTGGTCCTGCTAGAGCAGCAGCAAATTTCAGTGCATTATCATAATTCATTTTCTTAGAAATCTATTGTTTTCAAAGTGAGTGAACACATTAAAATTTGGATAGCAGAACGTAATTCAAATTCAAAGGGATGGCTACGCCATTGGATATCAACATGCATTGAAAATTTGAAAATTGAAATTGTCAAAATTGAACATAAGCGGCCCAATAAATCACTTTGCTAGCTAAAGGGCGAGTTATCGTTTGTTTATACAATTTAGGTAGCTAAGTGATTTATTGGGCCGCCTATGAATTGAAAGGTGAAAAGTCTATCAGATTTATTTCTATCAAAGACAAAGATAGTCAATGGTCATGATTAACTGAACATATGAGTTACTCCAGACCATTGAAGCATTGAAACATAGTATCAGGTCAGGTTAATAATAAGTTGACCAAGCTTATTGCGAGTAATGTTTTTGGTGAAACACCAAAATCATATTTTTCTTATTATTAACCTGATGTTTATGAATAGCGAGTGTGGCATGAAAAATTGAAACATGGTAAATGAATGGAATAATTCATAATTCTCCCGCCGTCCGGCGGGAAGGGATGTAAAACCGGAAAAGAATTGAAAGTGACAAAAGTTTCCAGGCCCCTTGACGTAAACACAAACAACAGTGTACCATGTGCAAGAACACAGAATGGTAATACATGTGTGGTTGTACCATTTTTCAGAATTTAACTGATCAAAAAGTTGTTGGTTTATTGTAAACAGGACAACGACAATGGCTAAACGGAAAAAGGTGTGATGGAATTTCAAATTGTGATTTGTTCTCGTATTTGTTTTTTAACTTCGTTTTAAAATATCATCATGTAAAAGATATAATCCATTTCTTCTTTATATATCAGATCAGACAATTTTGTTGTATTTTATCTTCGTATTGAAAATGCATATTTTGCTAGCTTTAACCACGATCTTGAGTGGAATTTTTTAGCACATTTGAATGTTTAAAGTCGCCTTATAGAAAAGCAGGCCGAAAGGTCAAAACGAAAAGCAAGAAGAGGCTGCAAAAATGCTCCAAAGACATTTGTCATGCATCGTGGAGAAGTTGGCAAATCCATTCTTCAATTGGAAATGGATTTGAGGCATGTTATGGAACCAAACACTGCTCTTAATCTCAGGGTAAAATATTTATGACCATTAGATAATTCTTCTTTCAAATCAAGTTTCATACCTCTTGATTATAATATCTCAGGTGCGAAAGAACAATGTATTGAAAGATTTTGTGAACATTGCTGGACCACTAGGAATCACCCATTTTATAATCTTTTCACAAACAAAAATTGGCTCATATGTGGTATGTATACATTATGATCTAAATTACAACACGTACAGCAATGGTTACCATATAAAAATGTTCTATTTCTTCCACAGCGCATCACAAGGCTTCCCAGAGGTCCAACGTTACATTTCAAAATTCACAAGGTTATCTATTGATCCGATTAGCAAAGATTAATGCAAAATTTCCATTTCATATGATTTTCAAAATGAACATTTATAGTTTTCACTTGCGAAGGATGTTGTCTCAATTTTGAAGCGACCAAAAACATATGGAACTCAATACAAGCATTCTCCTTTGGTTAGTTATAAACTACTCTTCCCTTATTGTGGAAATATCAAATGATTTTTTAATTTTTCACTTTTCTAAAGATGGTCTTAAACAACTTTGATCAGTCAGCATTGCCTGGGAAGCTGATGACATCAATGTTTCAAAATCTTTTCCCATCAATAAACATTGAAAAGGTTAGCTTATGTTTTGTGAAAACTTTTTTGTATTACACAATGCAAAGCATCGCCATATTTTTGTCTTTGTAGATAAAATTGGCTGAAATTCGACGCTGTGTGTTAATTAACTATGACAAAGAAAATGGCATGATTGATTTTCGACACTAGTACGTGCCAAAAATAATCAAAATTACATTGTGGTCATTTTTGTTTTCACTTACATTTTTGGGATTTTGTAGTCAGATTGATATTTCCCCCATTGGCATGAGCAAAGGAGTAAGAAAATTGTTGCAATCCAAAGTTCCAAACATGGGCAAGCTTTCCGACGTTAGTGAATATATTGAAAGGTGCGGCACTTACTAAATATCTATAAATTGATAGTTGAATATTTTACAACATGACACTTGACAAAATGATTTCTTGGTAGAGCGGCAGGAGGGTATGGGTCGGAAAGTGAAGCAGAAGACCCTATAGACAATCATGTGACACTACCACAAGACCTTCCGGGACGAGGAAACATCAAGTCAGAAAAAAGTTCTGTGAAACTGACTGAGGTACCTACAAAATTTGGCCATATCCTGTTTTCATGCTTTATGTGTATTTATATGTACCCATTTACCCCAGCTTGGTCCACAAATGTCCCTTCAACTTATGAAGATTGAAGATGGTCTTTGTACTGGAGAAGTTTTGTTTCATGAATTTGGTACAAAAAATGTGAAATCATGTGTCAATTCATGAAAACAATTGCAATAATGAAGTATCTTCTGTCTGCTTTATTCAGTTCAAAAAACCAAAGAAGAAGTGGAGTCTTTGAAAAAGCAGCGTGTTGCCAAACGGTGGGAATAAGCACTAATTCCTAATTCTTCATGCTTAAAGTGGGAATAAGCCAAGTAAGCAGAATACCTAAGTCATATTTTCGTCTCAATTGTCATAGAAAACTAAAAGAACAACGAAGGAAGGAGCAAGAAGAAAATGTGAAAAGAAAACAAAAAGAAAAAGAGCTAAATAAGTATGAGGATATGTTATAATACTCGTAAAAGTTTTGTCATTACTTTGAAGTTTGTAATTATTGCACCTGACAGAAAACGTAGCATTGCTGGACAGATGAAAAAGATAAAAATGGAAAAAGAGAACAAGGAACATGATGGTGAAGTAAAACAAGGTACCTTTTTATCAAAATGATCTTTACCCAACATGACAGTCCAGTATGACTGAAATGCACAATTACTTTGGCCCATTTATTTAGATGAAGACAATGAAGATGATGAAAAAAGTGATATTAGTGTGGAAAGTTGTAATGAAGAAATAAAGTGGTATATGGAAGAAGTGGGAGAAGAACCAGATGAAGGTAGGACACTTGTTGATACAAGGGGAGTAAATGTGATTTGGCAATATGGTACAGGTAATGAATAGATAGATGTTTGTTGTTTGGTTCTTTCTAGATCTTTTTTCTGGTAAAGCTCACGCTATAAAGTCGAATAAAAGGAAGCATAAGGTCAGAACAAAACCAGATGTCATCAGCAAGAAGCGAGTGAAATTAGACACAATGTCAAAGACAAGAAAACCACTGGATAGAAGAAAAAAGAAAAAAAACCAGCGTACTTAATAGCTAAAAAACAGACTTATCATCTCAATCTCAAACTTGATAAACAGAAATCTTTCACAGTGACCAGAAATTTTACATTGTCATGCCGTGAGTCTATGCCACTTTAAAACCATATATGTTTAAAAACATGAACTTATACATCAATACATATCAATGGCTGAAGTGAATTTACAAAAAAAGCAAATCCTACATTCAAAGTCATGCATGGCTTGTTATTCCCATTATATATATTTGTCAATAGTTAAATCACTTTCAATGGTTACATAAGTGCATTGGTAGTACAAATGTGATCAATTTGTGAATAAATATATGACTCATTTTCAAGTGCATGTTTGCAAAATTAGAAAAAATGCAAGAACAGCCCAAGTTTGAAATAAATTTGTTAACTTAATTATGCAATCCTTTGGTAATGATCTATATATGTATAATTCATATGCATTATCCTTATTGTATGGTTTGAGAAGATTATAAGCTAAAACCATCAATGATACAATTTACCGTTCCAGTGGAGTATTAACGAGCAGTACCAACAGTTCTTTGAAGAGCCTGAACATTAAAAAATGATTTATTAGTTGCGGCAATAAGGTTTTGTTTAATTTTTTTGGTATTTCAACTTTCTTTGCAAGAGTTGATGTAGCAAAATCATTACATGACAGGGAAAATGAAAGATCCCAAATGTACCTTGCTAATATCTACACCAGTCAATGACTCCACAGCCTTTGGTAACTTAGCAACAATATCTAAGATTTCATTGGTTATTTTACCGGCACCCACATCACCATCGCCATTGGACACCATCACAATTTTATCACAACTGCTCAATGGTGCTGCAACCTCAGCAGCAATCTGCAAAATGCCAGTAAATAAATTACAATGAGATGAAATTTCTTGCATGTGATCCTCAACTTATTAGACAGATTTTAAAATCAACACTGTCCACTGATTGGATGTAGACGTAATTTCTTGCATGTGATCTTCACCTTGTTTGACAGGTTTTAAAATAAACACTGTCCACTGGTTGGATGTATTCTACTCTATATACCATACTTAAGGTAAATATATACATAAGTAAAAATACAAACCTTTGGCAATGTCTCTAAGACCATATCAACCATGGCAGCTTCTTGATAATCTTTCCAAGCATCTGCTTTTTTTGCCATCTGTTCAGCTTCAGCTTTTGCTTTAGCTTCTATAGCAAAAGCTTCAGCTTCTCCTTTCACACGTATTGCTTCAGCCTGTGCTTCCGCTTCAAGAATCACTTTCCTTCTCCTTGCTTCTGCAAGTTGTTCAATACGGTATTTCTCAGCATCTGCAGGTTGCCGTATGGTTGCTTCTAACTCTTTCTCAATTCTTGCCATTTCCTAAACATAAGTTAGAAGTGAACCAATGGATGATGACACAACACCAAGACCTAAGCACAAACATTACACTAATGTTTACAAATGCATTAAATTATATCATCATCATATCATTAATATTGCACTACTTCATAACATAAAATATGAGATGAAAGACCTGTTCTTGAACTTTGATCTGCTGTGTTCTCTCTACAACAAGAATCTGCATTTCTTCTTCCTTAATCTTTTGTTTTGTAATGGCTGCTTGTAGATCATAAGCAAGTTTTGACTGGGCATTTTTTGTTTGCACTTCTAGATCATATCCAGCTTGCCTGATCTCAAAATCACGTTGAGACTTGGCCACCTCAGTGTCATTCTCATACTTTGCTTTCATCCTTGCCTCTTCAGCAAGTGCTTCCTAAAATAATGTTACACAATTTAACAAAATTGAGAGACTGTTTAACTAGTTTATCTTAAACACATAAATATGATTTAAGTGTTATTGCAAATACAAAATATTACTAGAGTTAATTGTATTTGTAATTATTGAATATGGATACTACCTTAATCCCAGAATCTCTGCCAGCCTCTGCTTCACCAATTCTGGCATCTTTTTTCACCTGAGCAGTTCGTGACATACCGAGAGCAAGGAGATAGCCCTAAAATGTTATAAAGAACATTGTAAATTGACTAGGTACAAAGAGCAATTAATGTTCCACCAAGTTTTGAGTGAATTATAAAGGCTAGTCAAATACTACACAGTTTACACAATCTTGGGTGCAAATCCTATATAAGATCCGGCTTAGTATCCTAACATAATCTCATCTACAATTCTCTAATGTCTTACGTTTATCTCATCCAGGTTCTTATAGAATCCTGATAGGATCTTATAGAATCTTACCAAATCTTAATTAGCAATTTCAAAAAGGCCCTATAGATAAATCTTCAAATGTTTAACTTTTTTGATTACAATTAATCCATAATAAAATAGTTTACCTCATCATCACGGATGTCCTTCAGTGTGTAACTGACAACTGCAATACCCATTTTATAAAGGTCTGTTGATGCAACCTAAAGAGAGTATTGGTTTCCACAAATAAAGAAGCAAGTCAGCAGCCATATTAGGCTTTCTGACTTTCTATAATTGGCAATAGCTAAAGCTTGCATTGCTTTTACATTTTAGACCATGTAGCCAGGTTAAAAGAGCCCACAAGTTTTGGTCGTGCTATGTAAATTTGAAATCATTATCATTATTTGTTTCTTTAGAAATCCATTGTTTTCATATTCAGTGAACAGAGAAAAATGAACATAACAGGACTAAATAAGTGTGCCGGCTATGCTAGTGTCTGTAGCCATATAATTTATTTAAAGAATACATTGGACAGTAAGCACAAAGTATGCATGTTCAATATTTATATGTGTAAAAATACATTAATGATTAGATAAATCTTAAAAAATGCACCTCAAACACACTTTTGGAAAACTTCTTACGATCCTTATAGATTTCCTTGAATTGAAAAAAGTAAAATTTATTATCATAAACAATTCTACATCTAGGATAACAAAATAGTTCAAGGCAAATGTAATTTTCTACCTCAACACTCATTGTACCCATCATGGCACGTTGGTGTCCTTCCTAGGATGAAATATTCAAATAAGAAACCAATAAAGCAACTTATTTAATTGGGGTGGATCAAAGGGGTGCACTCCCATATGAATGAAATCCTAATCTGTCCTTGACAAAAATCAACAACTACATCATACTCACCAGAGTTTCCAATGCAATTTTTTGTACTTGAGCAATTGATTTGCCAAGAAATTGTTCTGCTGCAGACTTCAACATGTCCATACTTTCTCCATGGATCTTAACCTATATGGAAAAATCATGACAGTAAAAAATCATTTTTAAATTTTACCAAGCCTGGAAATGTAAGATTTTGAAAAAAAGGTTTGCGTAACAAATATTGACATGGCTTCAGCCATTTTGTCACCTGTGCAATACCAGACACTGAAATAGGGACCCCTTCCACAGTATAAACCCTTGCAGATTCTACATTTAGGGTCATTGTGTTCAGATTCAACCTGTAAGAAGAACAGTAGACATCACATACCAAATCAAAATCTACAACATAATAAAATAGACTCAAAATGGTTTATTGTACCTCTGAGCTTTTTGCACAAAAGGAAGTACAAACAGCCTTCCGCCACTGACGTATTTTGGTGCAGATCCAGTACACATTCCTGAGAGTGAATTAAATCGGATATAGTGAATAAGTCAACATTCCTGTAACTCCAGTAATTACGCTGAAGCTCTTCAGCCTTAGCATATATTAAAATCAAAATGAATGAAAAGGTTCTTTGTCATAATAAATTTTTGCGGAATTAAAAGTCCATTAAAACGCTAAAGCAGCAAGTTCAATTGTATAGAGACAGACACAATTTATTTCATTTGTTTTGGTATCTAATCAGACTTTTCTAACGGAAAAAATTTCTTGAGAGGCTCTCGAATATTTTTTCATCCCTCTTCGCTGTAATTTACTATTTACCAACAGCTGAAACTTTACTTAATCATTGTTATTCTCAAAGCACTTTTTCGTCCTCCCGTTAATTCAATACGAAGCCTGACAAACAGCTGTTGAAATCGATCATGTTTTGATAAATATTATATTGTCGTGTGCAATGAAGATGTTTTTTATTTATAAAAGTCCAAAATTACAGCAGATTAAAAGAGCGAGTCGTTTCGAAGAAAGTAATCTCGTGAATTATTGCAATCAAAAGCTGACAAAAATACTTGAGATATTTTCCACAGATCGTCCGGTTAAGCGAGAAAGCTCAAGCCACACAAATTGTCGTAGTATAAATTCTGCACTTTAACTTAACAAGGCACTTACCAGAAACAACAATTGCTTCATTAGGTCCACACGTTTCGAAGCCAACCATGGTGAAAGAGAAATTAAGACACTCGCAATATCTTGATCAAGTACACTGTTTTAGAAGCGGCAAGTGTTTGAAAAATCCCTTGCGTAATAATAATTATGACAATTGGCAAAGTATTTCAAATATATAAATGTCCATAAATTTGCATATACACCCTTGAGCCTGCAAACTACAAACACCAGGGGATGTACTTTATGTGATCCTTCCTGAAGTGTATTAATATGTTGTGAAAAAGAAACACACACGTATACCTTCACCCACGCAATCCTAACCATACTTAGCCATACGTAGTCCTCTTTAAACAACCCTAGCTATAATTAGACCACCTTAGCTACACTACGGCTATGTAGAACTGAGAAGTAATTAACAAATGAAATGGCAAACTTCGTGTTTTGCTTTTATAAATTATAAGAAAAGTTTGGATTTTTTTTGAATTTTTCATTTTCAGGACAGATGACTTCACAACATTACTTTCCAGCTCAAAAGGCTTCGGTGATCTGGCTGGTCAAAAATCATTCAAATTTGTTATTTCCAAGCAGAAAAACTTATACAATTATTACATTCATCACACTGTACGCTACCTACCTATCAACAGAGTCCTTTACATTTTAGTCATTCCACATGAAAGCCTGTATATTGGTTACTGAGTTAAACATTTCTTTTAAAATTTCTCGCGTACTGTGACTATATTTTATAGATTATAAATGCAATCACCTTCCAGCGATGATACAAACACATGTTGATTCATTTGTACTTCCCATTAAACATTCCCATCGTTTATTGTCTTTGATTTTTCACCGTCTAAATACAAAATCCAATCCTTTATCTAAATTAGACACATAAATATGATTTAAGTGTTATTGCACATACAAAATATTACAAGAGTGAATCTTATTTGTAATTATTGAATATGGATACTACCTTAATCCCAGAATCTCTGCCAGCCTTTGCTTCACCAATTCTGGCATCTTTTTTCACCTAAGCAGTTTGTGACATACCGAGAGCAAGGAGATAGCCCTAAAATGTCATAAAGAACATTGTAAATTGACTAGGTACAAAGAACAATGTTCCACCAAGTTTTGAGTGAATCATAAAGGCTAGTCAAATACTAGATAGTTTACACAATCCTGGGTGTAAATCCTATACAGGATCCGGCTTAGTATCCTAACATAATCTCATCTACGATTCTGTAATGTCTTAGACGTTTATCTCATCCAGATTTTTATAGAATCCTGATAGGATCTTATAGAATCTTACCAAATCTTAACTTGGAATTTCAAAAGGCCCTATAGACTACCGTGAAATTGGCACCACATTAGGCACCACAATCAACACAACATTCATCACAACACTCATCACCACATTCAACTAAAATTTATCATTCAAAATGATAAATTGAAAAATCGTCATTAAAACACTTTTTCTATCAAATACAACAGTAAAAAACAACTCTTAACTACTTATTAATATTTTACTGTCCTTAAACATCACAAACAAAGTATAAAAGTCAAGAAATTGAAGAAAACGCTAAGCTTTAGCTTACAGTGTACTTTTCATTTCTCTTAATTAGCGTATAATTTAAAAACTACACAGTAGAATTTTTTAAACTTGGCCAGAATATAGATAATTATATTGTCTAAAATATATCCAAAATCTGGAGAGTGCACAAAAAAATAAGTTGTAGAAAATCATCGACAAAGTTAGATGACAGGAATGCGCGTAATATAATCTTATATTATTAACTTCCTATATCCAGGTAATTTTGCAAACAAAGGCCTATAAATAAAAAACTACATGGTAGAATTTTTTTAAACTTTTGAATGTCGTAGATATTTTTATTGTCAATAACATATCCAAAACCTTGAGAGTGAACAAAAAAATAAGTTGTAGAAAATCATCGACAAAGTTAGGTGACACGAATACGCGTAATATGATCTTATATAATTAAGTTGAGAATTCCAAATCATTACTAAACAAAGTCCTGTAAATAAAAAACTACACTGTAGAATTGTTTTAAACTTGGCCATTTTGTAGATATTCTTATTTCTATAACATATCCAAAATCTGTGTATAGCATTATCGAAAATCATCGTTGATATATGGTTACAGATGTCCGTAATATGTAAATAAGTAGCGGTTCCGGTTCTATTGCAAACAAAGGCGTCTAACTTGTAAATCAAACGACATGCGTATTTTAATGACAACAGCATTGTTAGTTTTTATTCATTTTGAATTGATACAAGTACATTTATATCAAAGACTTTTTTTCGCCCCCCTCTTCTTCCCCGTGGCTTTCTTTTGTTATTTTGTGGGCATCTCCACTTTTTGTGCCCAAGCTGCCCACAACTAAAGCATCTCACACCTGTAAAAAGTGTTCGCACTCATTTTATTTGAATAGTTCTAGCGTTACTTTCTATAAAAGATGAATTACCTTTTAAACATTGGGGCTGCGTCGAGGCCTGCTCCATGGGTTTATCTGTTGGCTCCTGATGCTCAATAGATGGAGCTAGAATTAAAATGGAAGAGAATTTTTTATCGTCTAAGAAAAATGAGGTTTTTTGAACATTTATTTTCAATATAAAACTGCACCTTGGGTACGTTGAACTTGTTGTTCGGTCGGCGGAACCTCTCCATTTTTACGCATATTTTCTTCAAATACTGTAAAATTATAAAATATAACTATTTTATAAAGCTCATTAGATTGACTTCAAAGGATATTTTTATTTACAGCGAGAGCTTTGACACTTTGGGCGGTCCACCATATTTATTATGTTTCCACTGTTGGATATCGCCACTCGATTAAACTCTTGTCCATCAGACGTATTTCCTTAAATAAAACAGAAGAAAGCGTTGAAGAACAAATTGATTGTGTTGTTTGTGCACTCTCCAGATTTTGGATATAATTTAGACAATATAATTATCTATATTCTGGCCAAGTTTAAAAAAATTCTACCGTGTAGTTTTTAAATTATACGCTAATTAAGAGAAATGAAATGTACACTGTAAGCTAAAGCTTAGTGTTTTCTTCAATTTCTTGACTTTTACGGTAGTACTTTGTCCATGATTTCGGCAAAAATTACAGCAGATTAAAAGACCGAGTCGTTTCGAAGAAAGTAATCTCGTGAATTATTGCAATCGAAAACTGACAAAAATACTTGAGATATTTTTCACAGATCGTCCAGCTCAGCGAGAAAGCTCAAGCCACACAAATTGTCGTAGTATAAAATCTGTACTTTAACTTTAACAAGGCACTTACCTGAAGCAACATTTGCTTCATTAAGCCAATGCGAAAAAAAACCACCCATGGTGAAAGAAATTAAGACACTCGCAATATCTTGATCAAAGACACTGTTTTTGAAGTGGCAAGTGTTTCAAATTTCCCTCGCGGAGGAATTAGGTATTAAATTTGCGCGCTTTTTTCAATGCATTCTGGGATCGCCAGGGGGAAAACATTGTGCATCTTTGTATAGATATTTTTTCGTACAACGTTTATATTCAAATTATAATGGAAAAGGGGTCACTGTGCTGTTTATGGCTGTGATAACGATAGGAGATGTCCTGAAAAATATATCGTTTCCGATCACGTTGATATTCTTCGCTTTTTTTCTCCGAAAAACGAAAGACAAGAGTGCTTGGCAAAAGCTGATCAACAGGAAAATCTTCAAAGTCACTACTAATACGAAGGTTTGTTCTAATCATTTTCTTGCTGGTTATCGATCCGAAGGCTATCCCAATCCAACTTTTTATCTAAAAGGATACCAATCAAAAGAAACCAGTAAACGATTACCGCCAAAAGATAGAAGCAGATCAAATATTCCGAAAAGAAAGAGACGAAAAATTCTGTGTGAAGGCAGTACTGAAAAACGCTTTGAGCATGAGGATAAGGCATTTTTTGCTGCTGAAATCACTGCTCCTGAGCAGTGTACTGAGCCAGAGTCTGTGCACCAAGACAGTCCACAGATAAATTGTACAACAGACTTGGATGTTACAAGTTATGATTCTGATGATAGCAACAGCTTTGAAAGTGATAAACATGACCTCATTGACTGTTATTGCCAGGGCGATGTTAAAACATTGAAAAGAAACTTATTTATTGAACAAACTATTTGCCAGATACCTAAGATACCTGGTAGCCTGAAATTATCATGGAGCAGCTATAAGTCACCAACTCTGGTCTCATAAACTTGCTAGAAAAAGGTGATGGTGTCATGGCTGATAAGGGATTCCTTGTTAGAGATCTACTTGTGGTGAAGAAAGTTCACCTTATTTCTCCTGCCTATTGTCGTGGACCAAAACTTTCCTTTCGTGGAACAACTCATACTCGGCGTGTTGCCTTATCAGTAGTCCTCTTAAGACAACCTTAGCTATACTAGACCACCTTAGCTACCCTACGACTATGTAGAACTGAGAAGTAATTAACAAATGAAATGGCAAATTTCGTGTTTTGCTTTTATAAATTATAAGAAAAGTTTGGATTTTTTTCGAATTTTTCATTTTCAGGACAGATGACTTCACAACACTACTTCCCAGCTCAAAAGGCTTCGGTGATCTGGCTGTTCAAAAATCATTCAATTTTGTTATTTCCAAGCAGAAAAACTTATACAATTATTACATTCATCACACTGTACGCTACCTATCAACAGTGTCCTTTACATTTTAGTTATATCACATGAAAACCCGTATATTGGCTACTGAGTTAAACATTTCTTTTGAAATCTCTCGCGTACTGTAAATATATTTTATAGATTATAAATGCAATCACCTTCCAGCGATGATACAAACACATGTTGATTCATTTGTACTTCCCATTAAACATTCCAATCGTTCATTGTCTTTGATTTTTCACCGTCTAAATACAAAATCTAATCCTTTATCAAAATAACTTTGTTCAAAGGTAACAACATCTTAGTGATACGAGTCTATGCTCACCAACACTAGTCATAACAAAAATGCAAAGAACATTTGCAACTTTGCATTTACACTTCTATATTTTCATCTGGCCATAAGATGAATTGGTGTAATTTCAAATCTAGTTTGATTTGTGAATGGTGCATTATAACGGTGTATTCTACTTCAATTAAGTGACAATTAATCACGACATCTCTACTTAAAATAACTGCCACTTCATTAGCACCATAGTTTCATTAATGCAACAATAAAAAGATCTACCTTGGTAATATCGACGCCTGTCAAATCAGTCATAGTTTCAGGCAAATCTTTCACAACCCCTAAAATCTCTTGCGTCATTTTCTGAATGCCGATTGGACCATCTCCCGTCGAAACCATGGTGATCTTAGCAGATGATGCCACAGGTCGAGTCACCTCGGCAACAACCTGATGAAAATATCATGACAGCTGACGTTTATTAAACGTGGATATTACAATGCTAAGTTTCATTAAAAAGAGCCTTGACGAAAGACTCCCGGGATAATATTCTTGGGCAAAGTCCAAGGAGGAAAGACCCAAAGTAAAGAACAATTTTTTGTGGCAATTACATTTTAATAAATATAGATGATATATTCTTCAAAGGAAAACTTCTATTTTGCAAACTTTATCCCGACAACAAATTTCCAGAAGAAGAATGAAATTTCACGTTATAGTTGTCGATTACATTCAAAAGAAGAAGAGTTTCAAAAATATTTGTAAATGTAGATCGTCCAGGTTGGTACAGTCCTAAGAAAGACTCTTTTTGTTGTTGTTGACTTGTTTTGACTTGTTTTTGTTGTTGTTGTAGTCAACAACAACAAAAACAGTCCTTCTCAGGACTATACCAACCTGGACGATCTACATCTACAAACATGTAACGATACTCCCGGGTTCAAACCATTTACTTTAAGAGTTTCAAACCTTGGGTAAAGTTTCCAGAAACATGTCGACGACAGCAGCATCTTGGTATTCCTTCCAAGCATCAGCTTTCTTTACCATCTGTTCCGCCTCTGCTTTCGCTTTTGCTTCAATGGCAAACGCTTCGGCCTCGCCTTTTAGCTGTTACGAGTCATTACGTATATCAAATTAAAAAAAATATTGAAAAATTCGATTGATACAGTGGCGTTGCAGCCTCGATAAGTGAGGGTGATTTTATTCATATATGCACGCTTTTTTGACTTTAATTCCTTTGAAATGAACTGTTTCTTAGGAATCAAAACATGCATCTATGAGTATTGTCCCCCTCACTTATGGAGCTGGCGACGCCATTGGATGGAAAGTTGGCCCATCAACCCAAAGCTAACTACCAACCTTAATTGCTTCTGCCGCTGCCTCTGCCTGTAAAATAACTTTCTGTTGATTTGCTTCAGCGAGTTTTTCCATCTCATATTTAGTTGCTTCAGCAGGAAGCTTTACTTTAGATTCCAATTCCTTTTCCTGTCTGAGAATTTCCTAAAATCGACATAATGCAAGCAGAAATTGTTACTCTCCACGAAAATTTAACCACTTTCTCCCGTTCAAAAACCTTCCACAAATGCAAACGAGGCGAGGAAAAGTGTTTGATTATCCACTCCCTGCGAACACAATCACTAACTATGACGTTAGAAAACGTTAAAGTTTTATCATAAATATCGTCTATGGACTGTCAGCCAATCAGAAATTACCAAACGGTGTGATCACATATTTTTTACTTTCAGTAAAATTTCGACAATTCAAATATAAAAGTTTGGTAATTATTGGTAAAATCTGTGTTAAAGTTTATGAAAGCATTCAAAAATGTTACAACCAACGTAGGCAATAGACGGGGACAAGACTCCCAATGGATAAGGTACGTCTCCTGTGAATTGAAGCTTGTTTGTGGGTTGCATCGTTGCCTTCCTCAGCTCTAAAGCCACTCACGTGATTCTTATAGAGCTGAAACGTCATTAGGTGCTTCAAGAAATTGGGAGGGAAGCAATGGAAATCAAAATGCAGTAAAATTTTGAGCCATTTAGTAAATTTAAGGAAAGGTTTGGTATTAACAACTCACAAACATCTGGTCACACAGTTACAAGAACACGTTTTCACCTCTTGTTCCAATTTGATCTCTTGAGAACGTTCCTTAATCTTAATCGCCATTTCTTCCTCTTTAATAGACTGCTTCGTTACGGCAACTTGAAGATCGTAAGCGAGCTCGGACGTGGCAACCTTCGTTTTGATCTCACGATTATAAGTCTCATCTTTAATCTTAAAGTCGCGTTCTTGACGTGATATTTCTATGTCGTTTTCGTATTTCGCCTCCAGTCTTGCAAGATCTGCAAGCGCGGTCTGGTAGGTAAAGAATAATCATAATAGTACTCAGGCCCATTCATGATGAGCTTCTCCTACTCATTTACATTCTCAAATAAAGGGCTACAATGGAACTAGGGATAAAAAAGGGTGATAACTGTGGTTGCATGTTTTACATAACGTATTTAGTAATGTATCAAATTTTTGTCAACTTTCTGTTGGTAAATTGCTTACTTTTCTGAGGGGGTTAGTGTCAACTCTACATTAGTAATGTGTCTAATTTTAAGTGTTCTATGTGTTTACCTTCGTGTCAGTATTTTCCCAACAAGTTCTTGCATTTTCAATGCAACAGAATGTCAGATCAATATGTTAACGACGTGTTATCAATGAGTTACATTTGCAACCTTCCTTTTTATTGTGTTTTCTTTTACGTCTATTTTCGTGTCAACTCTATGCTAGTAATTGTACGACAGTAGACAGTAGAGTATCAGATGAACATGTTTTCGACGTGATCAACAAGTTATCTTTAACTACCAACTATTGTATAAACTTTGTGTCTATTCTTGTGTCCAACCTTATATTAGTAATCGCATAACAAAGTTTTGCATGTTGAATACAACAGATTCTTTAATCAAGAATTCGTCAACGAATTAAAAATGAGTTACCAAGGAGTTGCAAATGAGTTACAAATGAGTTTGCAAGGAGTTACAAATGAGTTACCAACGAGTTACAAATGAGTTACCAACGAGTTACAAATAAGTTACAAATGAGTTACCAAGAAGTTACAAATGCGTCACCAACGAGTTACCTCTACGTGCATACCAACCTTTTTTGTCTGCTCTATGGTAGACAATTTCTAAACATGTTCTATACAGCATTATGCGATAGATGTTTAAACAACTACCTTAATTCCAGAATCTCTGCTTGCCTCTGCTTCACCAATACGGGCATCCTTCTTCACCTCGGCCGTTCGACGTTTGCCCAACGACTTTAAATAATCCTGAGATAATGCATCAAAGTTTATATATATATATATACATGACATACAATACGAGTAAAAAGATAAAGGATTATAATTGTATATGGTACCAAATCATCCCTGATATCAGTCAAAGTGTAACTAATCACTGATATTCCCATTGTTATAAGATCAGCAGACGCAACCTACGTAAATCAATTTAATGAAATCATGTAAAAGCATAAAATAATACAAAAAAAACGAGTAAAACGATTCATTTGGCAAAGTCTTCGTCAATTATCACCTCAAACAAACTTTTAGCAAATTTTTTTCGATCTTGATAAATTTCCTGAAAATAAGAACGATAGACGTTTTCAATGACTTGATGACATCCATGTTTAAAACATCATGGCTGCCAAAGTGTGGGAAGGATTACCTCGACCGTCATCGTTGCCAAAATCGATCGTTGATGAGCTTCCTGAAAAACAAATAAATAATTGCCAGAGATTTTTTCGATATAGCTTCAAAGTATGCCACGGGCCAAAAGGAGTATTTGAATAATAACTTTTTAATAAATGATATCATATATAGGTATGGTGGTTAAATTTGTGGAATTCACAATAAACATATTTTTTAGCCAGTAACGTAATCGCCCAAATACTAAATCTAATCATATTGAGTCCCGCTATGCAAATTTTTACGAGTTCTCTCTCGTTGACAAACAATAGTTTTTTGAGAACTCAGGGTCGTCTAAACTACTTTTTTTTCACATCTAATATATTCAATTTATTCATAAAAATACCTACTACAGCAAAATCATGAGTTTCAGAAAATCTGATCTAGTAATTATACTTGTTTTTATGCTCAATGGAAATTACGCACAAATTTGACCTTAAAATCCAGGACTTTACAATTTGACATCGTTTTGCATGTCACGTGTCCAACAGTATTGTGCTGAGCACAATTTTTCAACAAGGGGTACCTTTAAATTAAGAAGCTCCAAAATGCCATTTCTTGGTCTTTGGGATTAAAATAATATTGTACTAAAATATTATCTTAAATGCACTTTTACATGAGAAATTCAAAATTCAACATCCCATATTTTTGCACCCAAAAAATATCAACAACTGAAAGGGGGCATGCCTCCCCGAAACTCCTTGTCAGCATGCAACCAGTGTCCTGGATGTCTCCAAAAATCTGAAAATCTCATATAAAGATGAATAAAACAAATGGCAAATAAATGATTTTCATGTTGGTGTTTTTTTACAATATCCATTCACAGAAACAACACATAAAAATAGGTAACTCAAAATAACAATAATACCATCGTCTCCAAAGCAATGTTTTTAATCTCGTCGACTTTCTTCCCCATGAAGAGCTCACATGCTTGACGTAACATGTCCTCATTTTGAGAATTGATTTTCACCTGTGATAAAATACAACCCACAATAAGTGATTGTAGCTTTCATCTTAAAGACTGAGTTAAAGTTCATACTTGTGCCACTCCACTCACTACAATAGGAACACCATGGTGAGTATAGGCTTTAGGAGATTGAATGTTTAATGTTAAAACATTAAGTGGCATTCTACATGAAAACAATATGACATTATCTTTAGTTAAAAATACATTACAAACACAACTTATGTCATATAGGTCACACATAAATTCATTAATGTGGATGAGTAATTAAATTACTTCTGAACTTTCTGAAAACATGGAATGATAATGGCTCTTCCACCTCGAATCAATCTGTAGGGATTTATACCACACCCTGAAATGAATTGTTAAATACATAAAATCTTGCATAGAGTTAGTTCTCAATAATCAAAAAAGTAACAAGTAAAATGTATTGGAACATCAGATCACTGGCATATACATCAAGGTTGATGTGCAACAATTGCCCAATCACTTTAAAGTATTGAAGTAAGGATGTTAGACTAAACTATATATGAATATATATTTCAAGATTGAAATATTCCTGATAAAGTTGAAGAAACTATGCTAGGAAGAGTTCAGTTTTTACTGCAAATTTTTTTGGATTGATTTGTTAAAACGAATAAGCTACGTGAATGCAAATAATTTGAAAGCGTTATCATATGATTAACTTCATGTCAATTGAGACTTTAAAAAATTAAAGAGCAACAACATTATATATCATTATATATCATTATATATAATTATATACATTATATAGCCCGGGTTCAAACCATTTATTTTAAAATGAAATGTCGTGAATGTGACTGACCAAGATGGATTGTAGAACGTCCATCGAACAGAAAGCATTTCGCAATCAGTCCCTTTATGCAGTTTTTATGATTGTGTGCATGTTATCGTTCTCCAATCATTTTATGAACCTACCAGATATGGCCATTATTTGATTTGGACCGCACGTAGCAAAGAACAACGGCATATTCACGCTCACACGACAAACTTTTAAAATACGTTATTATTTTATTAAATTCTTGTCTACTTCTATGAAGACAATGAATCTCAAGGCGAAGAATCAAATATTTTCTAAGCTAAGGCTAATTATAGCCAGAGAAGTCAGCGTTTGTTTATGTAAAATTTGCAAATTCAAATGTAAACATGCCAGTGCAAACACTTCCGAACGCGCGACCTTAAAGTCCCTTTTAATTTGTTTAAATTAGTCTTATTAGAAGAAAGGCGTGAAATATATCAATTTTATTTTACAGTGGAGTGGTAAAGGAATCGTTTTTATTAATTATTTCGTTGGTAGAGTAACATTTGAAAAGATTTTTACGGAATAAAACTCTGTAAAAAAAAAGGAGTGAAAAATGACGGTAGTTTCGTGTGTAGATATATTACATGAAGTACTCCACAAAGCATTTCCCGCCTAAACAAATACAAAATGGCACCCGAACCTGAAATTGGACAAACAGCTAACGAATTTACTATCGATTCGCCTCCACTTGACACGATATCTTCAGTAAATTTTAGTCCGAAATCTGCTAACTTTTTGTTAGTTTCGTCATGGGATGATGTGAGTATTCTTTGAAATATTTTGATTTTTCATTTCAATCGATTATGAGTTGGTAGCTCAGCGTGTGTGCTCACAAACTTTGTTTTCATTTTGTGTTTATAGTCTGTGCGTCTTTATGATGTTGTTGGTAACAAGCAAAGATTAACCTACAATCATAAAGGACCAGTATTGGATTGCTGTTTCTCTGACGGTGTACATTGTTTTAGTGGAGGACTAGATTGCGCATTGAAAACGTACGGTTTATAGACGGTTTAACGTTCGCTTCCCAAGATAAACAAAATTTACCTAAATGTTATATATTTTAAATAGTTATGATTTCAATGCGTCAGCCGAGCAAGAACTAGGCCGACACGAAGCTGCGATAAAATGTGTTGAATTTTGTAATCAAATGGGTATGGAAGTTGTCATTTATGTATCCTTAAACATTCTCTATGTAACAAGTTTTATTTTCAGGTGTTGTGGTCACGGGTAGTTGGGATAAAACTGTGAAATTATGGGATCCACGTCAACCTCAACCAACAGGAACTTACTCACAACCGGACAAGGTATTTGCAAATTTTATAAGCCATGCTACAAATCCAGTGTCTCTCGTGTCTCAAATTATTTCAATTATATTCAACCAATGCAATTTATTTAAAATTGGCTTATTTTATCTGTTTTTGATTTTGAGGTCTACACAATGGCTTTAGCAGATGAAAGACTTGTTGTTGGGACGGTATGTTTCATTTCAATTAAACATTGCACGCTTACATTTTCTTAAAACTTTAATGAATGTGGTTCTTTTCCCATGTAGGCAGGTCGAGAGTTATGGTTTGGGATCTTCGAAATATGGTAAACATTTTATGTTATGTTTTTTTTTGTCGACTACTTACTATGAAAGTTGTCTTCTTCAATAAATCCAATTTTGACTTGGTTTCATCCCCACTCTAATCCTAACTCTCCATTTTGCATGATTTCCAGGCATCCTCACACCATTCTTCTTTTGCTCCTAAGACACTTGCTTTTTCCACATCTTCGTTGATTATTCTTCAAAATTACATTTTAAAATTTTAACATTCAGAGCTATGTTCAACAAAAGAGAGAGTCAAGTCTCAAATACCAGACACGTTGTATAAAAGCCTTCCCAAATAAACAAGGTAAATTGTGTTTTTAAAACATTCTATGATTTTGGAAATTTCTCAGTATTTTGTCGTTGTTACAGGTTATGTTTTAAGCTCCATCGAAGGTCGTGTTGCTGTTGAATATTTTGACCCTAGTCCTGAAGTTCAAAAAACAAAATATGCCTTCAAATGTCATCGTATTAAAGAGTCTGGAATGGAGAATATATATCCTGTGAACGCCATTTCTTTTCATAGTGTGTATGTGTCTATTTATTTGAAAATATTGTTTTCAAATGAGCTCAAAACCCATGCTTTAATTTTTGCTATACTGTCAACTTTCATTGCAATTGCAACTTTCAAGTCACTTTGGTTCAAATACAGCGTATTTCTTTTCAGCCATAATACATTTGCAACTGGTGGTTCAGATGGTTTCGTGAACGTATGGGATGGTTTCAATAAGAAACGTCTTTGCCAGGTAATTGATGAAAAAAAAACAACAGAAAATGTGCAGTTCATTATAAAACGGACATTTAAGATGGTTAGAATGTGTTTCACCTTTTTGCCGTTTAACAAGGTCTAATGATCTACAGTCATTAACACTCGTCATTTGCGTGTTTTAAATTAAACCTGAAGTCGTTTAGTTTTTTCATTGAGTTCTTTGTTGGGAGTATCTTCACATGAAATAAATCCTACCTGCAACATGCTATACTTGTAGAGTAAATGGTTAGCTCTTGCTAAGGAAAGAATGTATATAGTACAGTAGAGCTCTCGATTCATCCATCAAGCTTTTGCTTTTCTATCCTTTTAGTTCCATCGTTATCCATCAAGTATCAGCTCTTTATCGTTTAGTCATGATGGTAGCTCGCTTGCTATAGCTTCATCCTTTCTGCACGAGGAAGAAAATGCAAAGTAAGTTGTATAGTTTATATCGCATAACTGTATTAAGCTCGACATCGCCTAACTTATTAACAATTGTTTTGCAATAGCCCTCCAGAAGACGCCATCTACATTCGTAGCGTTTCCGACACAGAAACAAAACCAAAGTGAAGGACAACACGGAGTGGACAAATCGATCAAACATGAAATAAATGAACGACCAGTATTAATGCTACTGGTGATAAAAATGAGTGGCAGATGAAAAGTGCGTTCTCACGTCTGCTAGAACTTATATTAATTGCTAAATTCTTATGTTTCAAGTATAGAGCTTAATATCTCAAAAAGTTCTTTGACGATTTAAAACAAAATTGGCATTGTTTATAAAAACTTGAAGAAAGTTTTGCTTTGTGCCATTCGCAGTCACAGCATTGATGTTAGCACATCTTAATTACGAATTTTATTATTATTGGAACTTTATTGTCTTCCTGTATTATGCTTCATACATGTTCCCGTTAAATACCAAACATTAAAAGAAGGTTAAAGGCCAAACTACGCAATTATCACTGGACTATCACAATTGACATTTGAAAAGGAAACCAATTTGAAGTTGAAAAAAAACAGGGAAAAATTGCGAAAGAAACGTTACCCTTTGTCTAGATTAGATTGAAAATTCGGTATGTTGATCACGTGGTTGGTGTCGGTAGGGAATTTTAAAAATTCAACTTGAAATCACGTTTTTTACCGATAAAACCAGACTCTATCTCAAGGGCCACTCCATGAGCCAATCAAATTGCAGGAAATCTCGACCATGCGCACAGCATGCACGTCAACAGCTTGTCTCGTTTGGCAAGACCTTGGCACTCTGAAATAATAACATACTGTGTAAAAATCATCTCTTCCGTTGTATAATTGATTTAAATCTACATTCATGTTCCTTAGTTTACATAACATCTCGCATATTATAAACAGAAAGGCGATAGTACGTACATCTTCCATCTGTGTTTTCCATAATGTACGCAGAAAAAAAGGACAATGTCTATTTCAAACTATAGACCTTCGTTCCAATTTTGTTGTACAATGCTCCAGATTACACAGACGCCGCCGACTCTGGAAATTATTTTAAGATATTTGTCTGATATACGGTTGGGATGCGCGCAGATTATGCTAATTTTACTGCCTCTGTCCGCGCGCGACTTGATGGATTTAGATAAGTTATCTTGTTTTTGCGATCCCATTTCCTTTCGTTATGGCCACCCGGGAGGCAAGTCGTCATTAGCAGTCAAGATTGCAAACATTCAACTTCAGCGCACACGAATCAACACAGGTTAAATTCATCAAGGTCTTCTAGGTGCTTCAAGGATTGTGATAGTATTTCCACCAGGTTTGTAGTCTTTCTCAAATCAAACGACTTTAAACTTAGAAGCACGGGGTGTACAGGAAATGTTTCTTAAACTTTGTCATTTTCCAAAGTAAACTATATCTTAGAGAAATCAAGTTATTGCTTCTCAAAAAAAAACTTCCTATTCCACTATTGAGATATTGTAAATTTGCTTATGACGCAATAACGTGAGAAGATAACCGCTAAAGATAAACCCATAAAATCTGCGCTGCTTTAAAACTGACCTCGAGATGATTTAGCATCGTAAAATTGTCTAAATACAATACTGTTTTACTTTATCATAAGTCGACCGTTTTAAATGTGCGCTCTGCGTCATATATGAAACATCAAACATAGAAAATCATAAATACTCGTTCTGCTAGACAGATATTTTCTCTAAGCGTATATTTTACGGCTTCGTTCGGTTTTCGCATGTTACAATCATGCTATATCCAATTTCTTCTTCGACAATGCCATGCTCTGGGATTTTTAGGTTTAACTAGATTTTTCGTTTTATAAAAATAGTTGGGACGAATCTCAACATGTGACAATTACCTCGAGAGTATGATTAATTGTACAGTGTTTGAATGTACCAAATATGGGAAAAAACTAAACAAATTTCCCGATGTGGGAACACAAATATAAGATGGCAGAAAAAGTGCATCTCAATCAAAATGAAAATACGTTAATATAAGTTAACCTCTTCAAATTGTTCACCAGTGCTTTGGTATGACAAATTTAATCTTCCTCTTCCCTAATCTGTTCAAACTCATTTTAATTATAGGTATTTTCAGAATCAAACAATTATTCCTTATGCAATGCATAAATTTAAACTAGTTGAAATGTCAATGTCGTTTTAAGAAAAAATCATATCTGCCCGTATGTTTGTACACTTTTTCGCTTTATTTTTTTATTTCGTAACTGAAAATCAACTTGTGCACAAAAAATATATTTATACAACACAGTCGTCAAAATTCAGCTTTCTTTTTCGTTGTTGCAACAACAATTTGCCAACAAACTTATCATTTGATTTCAAACATTATAAATAATCAAGATTTCGACAGCTTTACCCACGCTCAAAGGATAGGTAATATCAAATACCCTGGTATTACCGGATACGTCTGTGCAATAATCGCTTAAGGGTCAAAAACCATAAATCACTTCTTCCCACATAACAGCTCACAAGAACGAACGTGAATATGCAAGACATCACGTTTCTTCGGGTGAAAACAGGAAGCATACATGCAAAGAAGGAATATTTAGCTAGGTGGGAAAGTAAAATGGACATTTATCATAAAAGCTATATGTTGAGCATAATTTAGGGATGACTTATTTGAAAACTAGAGAAGCTTTTTCTTGGGAAATTTTGTCACACATTTTTCTAATTATTTTACAAAGACCATTTGAGATAATTTTATGTCTCTTTCAGTTGAATTGTGCAAGTAAAAGTTGGCTTCTTTTTAGACATATATACCTTGTTCATTTGTTATAAAGGAACTCGTCGATAGGTGATAGTAAAATATTTTACTTTTTCACCCTTATACATATATTTGTCGACATAAGCATTCATTCAACTGTTGTGCTTGTCGCATAAAATGTTTTAAGCACCCTGAAAAAACGATGCTTTATAAAATGGTACTACAAATTGTTATATCATAATGATGATGTTGTTAAAATGAACAAACTAAAAAATATCTAGAAAGAAGCAAATTAAGACAATTAAAATGAAGAAGTTATTTAAAAGAAATCTTTCCAATGCAATAAAAAAACTCTGCGATAAAATCTCCCGTCACGATTTTAACACTTCATCGACCATAGCAGAACTTTACAACGATATAAAATGTACATATGCACATGGATTCGACAAATTTCTTTACGACCTAGATGCTTTTATCCGTGAAGTAGTAATGTCGGTTTACATATATTGTACAACATACACACTTACATCCATAAGACTATTCCTCTACGTGCGCATTTACGATGTCACTGTTCAACTTAGGAGTTAAGAAGTCAAAAGTCAAATGATTGGCTCTTAAAATAAAGCACCAACCCTTCCGCAATAAGTAGGATATTGTGCATAATACACAACACGTTCAAGTGTGTCATCGTAATAAAATTTGAGAAACGATCGTCAGTTGCACAGTTGTCGTTTCGAGCGCTACAGACAAGAAACCAAAATCAGGTATAGAAGGATATATTTTTATGACGGAATGTATTATCATATGCAACGTCGAAATGATAAACCGTTTTTTAACCAATATTACGAACGCGGCGCCACATTTGTTGGAGCGCAGTTTATGATAATTAGATACTTATGATAAATTATGTACATAGCCAAAGGCGCTAAATTCATGAAACACTTTCTCTTTGCCTTGTTATTGACAGATTTTACAGCATTTTCTGGCGGTATCAAATATCATTGGTCTGCAATAAACAAAAGAAATTGCTCAAATAAATGTTATATGCCGCGTTAAGTTCATTCAGACTTGCGTGATCAAATTGGATTAAACTTTGTCGACTGAAACAATTTTCTACAACTGCAAAACGCTAACCGCAATTTCATCACCCGCAAATTGCTAAGAATTATTCAGTACTCTGATTTCTTCAATAAAAATAATAAAAAAGTCTTGGATGAAGATAATGTTTATAACTACAAAAGCTTAAGTATCGTGTCAAAAACTTCATTGGGTTTTATGTCTTCGCAAGAGTGTTGGGTACAGATTATCATCGATTATCGTCCACAAACAAATAAAATGTGTGCAATTTTTTCAGCTTTTTTTCTTGAACTCTGTCAACAAAAATATCTTAAATTGGATCAGTTATAAGTCGGTCATGCAATAACACTAATTCTCAAATAAAAGCACACGCTAATTTGTTTACAAAAGACTTGTGAGTAAGAGCTATAAACAGTCATATTGGTGGGTAAAAATACTCTAGAAAAATGGCGAACAATTACAACGTGTAAGTGTCTACAATAAGACATTTTGATACTTTATTTTGGCAATGAGAAACATTCTCAAAACAAGACAAAGATTTTTTGAAAATTTATAAGATTCTTCCTCTCAGCGTTTGAGCATTTTTTTCTGCAACAAGCAATAACCATTACAACGGCTAGGAAAACGTTTGTATTTCCCGCATTTTCAGAAGATCGTAGCAATCATTGCTCGCTCATCAAAGTACAGCGTACTCGTGACGAAAATCGAACAAAACATTAAAGTGACTAAAATTAATACAGGAAATTGCATTAGCCGCTAAGAACTAACACATTTAGGTATCCGTTTCAGATAACAGCAATTTTCGTAAGACTTGTAAGCGTTTGCTTTGTATAATAATAGTCTACTTAATAAGCTCAAGTAGAGATATTGCTACAGACGTACTCCGTAGATCATACGTAGTTCTCATCTAACCACGTCAAAAACTGAGCCATCCATATATACAATTACATGGATATCGTGTTGCGTATGGATCGTCTATTATTACAAACACCTTTCAAGTTGATATGAGAATCCTGGAGTACCGCTCTTCTAGCATGTAAATATCTTTAAGTCGAAAGATAAGTCTTACGAATTTTAGTTATTTTGTTAGGGATACATCATGAAAGGAGCGCTGTTTGTGACAATGTGTTTTTCCTTCATCGCGAAAATATTTACGACAATTGAACCGAATGAACGGCATAAATGCGACACGATTCGTGGTCAAAGAACACGAAGATATGATCATGAAATATTTCCTAGACGAGTGAACGTTGGAAGCAAGCATGGAAGGGCTATAGAGTTTGAGAACGGTGCTGCAATAGTTTATCCTAGATTTAGAAACCCATTACGACAATTCTCTGTAGATTTTTGGATGAAACCCGAAGGTGGACAGAGCAATCGCGCTATAATTATACATGCGTACGATAAGTGCTCCGCGGAACACGAATCTCGAGGATGGTCAATAGATCTACGCGAGGCAGCGGTCAAGAGCGATTTACGAGTGGCTTTTAGCTTGCACGTAGCAAGTTCCCATAGCAAGACAACGATCATATCGCATTCAAAAGTGCAAGCACTACGTTGGTACCATATTGCAGCTACATACGATGGCACACGTATGAAGCTGTATGTAAACCAGGCCAAGATTGCTGTTGGACACGGTCAAAAAGGAATGATATTTGATACAAGCTCACAAGGTCATGAATGCGATCTCCTGGAGGTTGGAGGTGACGTACGGCGTGGCTGGTATTATCGTGGGCAGATTGATAATTTACGTGTGTGGAACGAGGCAATCTCGCATAGAAAAGTAACGGAAAGATTGCCTGAGAGTTCAGTTAATAGTATCAACCAAATAATTACAATTAATGACGATTTCGATGATGAAAATGACCCAATTCGAAAAAGAGCGACAAAGAAATTGCTGCATTTCGTTCGTTCTACGGTACCAGATAGTGAAAATGATTTATCGATCAAGAAACCGCCTTGTGGTAAGACAATATGCGATAATCCAGAGGTGATAAAAAGCTACGATCGTCAAGTTGAGGGTAAAACCATTAAGCATCTTCGCATGAGGTTCATTAATGTCATGGACGATCATGGAAAAAAAGCGATGCTACAAACGTCGAAAATTGCATCTCAGTTCAATCTAACGCGGGAGGCTTTCGAGATTTACAACATTTCTTGGAGTATGGAGATAAAGGAAGTGCGAAGCACACGGTTGCTAAATACATTTGTCCTCCACAATTGCGAATTGACAGATATTGGAAATAAATTTTGCGATCGGAAGTGCCGTCACAAGTCAACTGCATGGGATGGTGGTGATTGTATACCTTTGGAATGTTCAAGGCGTACAAAAATAGGTGATGGGGTATGCCATCCCGAATGTAACGGCAGAAAATACCGTTACGATGGCGGTGATTGTTGTACACCTACCTCTAACCATCACTGTGCAGACCCAACTTCAGAGCACAGACGATATCTGACAGTAGAAGAATATAAACGTAAAATTGGCATCACTAACAAGGATGCGCTCAATGTTTACGTGGTTCGCTTTATCGACGAGAAGTTAGAAGGTGTTGCAACCATGCCATGGGATAAATCAATTCACACAGAATTGGGAGGAATAACACTTCCACTTAAGAACTTTGGAAAAACTGAGGTAAGAGAAGTACCACAATGGTCGTTCAGGTGATTAGAGTACTGAGAAGGACTGTTGGTGTTGATGTTGACTGACGTTTCGACAACCTTAGCGATAGTAGAGTACTGAGAAGGACTGTTGGTGTTGATGGTGACTGACGTTTCGACAACCTTAGCGATAGTAGAGTACTGAGAAGGACTGTTGGTGTTGATGGTGACTGACGTTTCGACAACCTTAGCGGTAGTAGAGTACTGAGAAGGACTGTTGGTGTTGATGTTGACTGACGTTTCGACAACCTTAGCGGTAGTATAGTACTGAGAAGGACTGTTGGTGTTGATGTTGACTGACGTTTCGACAACCTTAGCGGTAGTAGAGTACTGAGAAGGACTGTTGGTGTTGATGTTGACTGACGTTTCGACAACCTTAGCGATAGTAGAGTACTGAGAAGGACTGTTGGTGTTGATGGTGACTGACGTTTCGACAAACTTAGCGATAGTAGAGTACTGAGAAGGACTGTTGGTGTTGATGGTGACTGACGTTTCGACAACCTTAGCGGTAGTAGAGTACTGAGAAGGACTGTTGGTGTTGATGTTGACTGACGTTTCGACAACCTTAGCGATAGTAGAGTACTGAGAAGGACTGTTGGTGTTGATGGTGACTGACGTTTCGACAACCTTAGCGATAGTAGAGTACTGAGAAGGACTGTTGGTGTTGATGTTGACTGACGTTTCGACAACCTTAGCGATAGTATAGTACTGAGAAGGACTGTTGGTGTTGATGGTGACTGACGTTTCGATAACCTTAGCGATAGTAGAGTACTGAGAAGGACTGTTGGTGTTGATGTTGACTGACGTTTCGACAACCTTAGCGATAGTAGAGTACTGAGAAGGACTGTTGGTGTTGATGTTGACTGACGTTTCGATAACCTTAGCGATAGTAGAGTACTGAGAAGGACTGTTGGTGTTGATGTTGACTGACGTTTCGATAACCTTAGCGGTAGTAGAGTCCTGAGAAGGACTGTTGGTGTTGATGTTGACTGACGTTTCGACAACCTTAGCGATAGTAGAGTACTGAGAAGGACTGTTGGTGTTGATGTTGACTGACGTTTTGATAACCTTAGCGATAGTAGAGTACTGAGAAGGACTGTTGGTGTTGATGTTGACTGACGTTTCGATAACCTTAGCGATAGTAGAGTACTGAGAAGGACTGTTGGTGTTGATGTTGACTGACGTTTCGATAACCTTAGCGATAGTAGAGTACTGAGAAGGACTGTTGGTGTTGATGTTGACTGACGTTTCGACAACCTTAGCGATAGTAGAGTACTGAGAAGGACTGTTGGTGTTGATGTTGACTGACGTTTCGACAACCTTAGCGATAGTAGAGTACTGAGAAGGACTGTTGGTGTTGATGTTGACTGACGTTTCGATAACCTTAGCGGTAGTAGAGTACTGAGAAGGACTGTTGGTGTTGATGTTGACTGACGTTTCGACAACCTTAGCGATAGTAGAGTACTGAGAAGGACTGTTGGTGTTGATGTTGACTGACGTTTCGATAACCTTAGCGATAGTAGAGTACTGAGAAGGACTGTTGGTGTTGATGTTGACTGACGTTTCGATAACCTTAGCGATAGTAGAGTACTGAGAAGGACTGTTGGTGTTGATGTTGACTGACGTTTCGATAACCTTAGCGATAGTAGAGTACTGAGAAGGACTGTTGGTGTTGATGTTGACTGACGTTTCGACAACCTTAGCGATAGTAGAGTACTGAGAAGGACTGTTGGTGTTGATGTTGACTGACGTTTCGACAACCTTAGCGATAGTAGAGTACTGAGAAGGACTGTTGGTGTTGATGTTGACTGACGTTTCGATAACCTTAGCGATAGTAGAGTACTGAGAAGGACTGTTGCTGTTGATGTTGACTGACGTTTCGACAACCTTAGCGATAGTAGAGTACTGAGAAGGACTGTTGGTGTTGATGTTGACTGACGTTTCGACAACCTTAGCGATAGTAGAGTACTGAGAAGGACTGTTGGTGTTGATGTTGACTGACGTTTCGACAACCTTAGCGATAGTAGAGTACTGAGAAGGACTGTTGGTGTTGATGTTGACTGACGTTTCGATAACCTTAGCGATAGTAGAGTACTGAGAAGGACTGTTGGTGTTGATGGTGACTGACGTTTCGACAACCTTAGCGATAGTAGAGTACTGAGAAGGACTGTTGGTGTTGATGGTGACTGACGTTTCGACAACCTTAGCGATAGTAGAGTACTGAGAAGGACTGTTGGTGTTGATGGTGACTGACGTTTCGATAACCTTAGCGATAGTAGAGTACTGAGAAGGACTGTTGGTGTTGATGGTGACTGACGTTTCGACAACCTTAGCGATAGTAGAGTACTGAGAAGGACTGTTGGTGTTGATGTTGACTGACGTTTCGACAACCTTAGCGATAGTAGAGTACTGAGAAGGACTGTTGGTGTTGATGTTGACTGACGTTTCGACAACCTTAGCGATAGTAGAGTACTGAGAAGGACTGTTGGTGTTGATGTTGACTGACGTTTCGACAACCTTAGCGATAGTAGAGTACTGAGAAGGACTGTTGGTGTTGATGTTGACTGACGTTTCGACAACCTTAGCGATAGTAGAGTACTGAGAAGGACTGTTGGTGTTGATGGTGACTGACGTTTCGACAACCTTAGCGATAGTAGAGTACTGAGAAGGACTGTTGGTGTTGATGGTGACTGACGTTTCGACAACCTTAGCGATAGTAGAGTACTGAGAAGGACTGTTGGTGTTGATGGTGACTGACGTTTCGACAACCTTAGCGGTAGTAGAGTACTGAGAAGGACTGTTGGTGTTGATGGTGACTGACGTTTCGACAACCTTAGCGATAGTAGAGTACTGAGAAGGACTGTTGGTGTTGATGGTGACTGACGTTTCGACAACCTTAGCGATAGTAGAGTACTGAGAAGGACTGTTGGTGTTGATGTTGACTGACGTTTCGACAACCTTAGCGGTAGTCATCTTCAGAGTCAAGTTGGGTAGTCTGAAGATGACTACGAAACGTCAGTCAACATCAACAACAACAGTCCTTCACAGGACTCTATTAACCTGGACGATCTACATCTACAATGTAACGATACTCCCGGGTTCAAATCATTTACTGTAAAAAAAACGGGTCAGCCATTGTAGATTAACATTAGTTGCGCTCATAAAAACATAGCTGTATAAAAAAGAGCAACACTCAATTTTATCATTTCTGCGGTGTTTTTTTTTAATGAATTTAATAATTTCATCCATTCTTTAATTTTGCAGGTTTTGATTCATGAAATAGGTCACGTTCTTGGCTTATGGCATATACATCATGGAAGTGTGTCTGAGATGGCTTGTTCAAATGATTGCTTCGAGACGTTTCCATCTCTAGAATTAGGAGACCTGTGTTCGGATACGAAACCTACCATTCAGCATACTTCATGTAGTGATCCTGTGGTCACCAAAGAGAACTCCTGTGGATTTTCCATATATACAAATACGTCCTACACAAACTACATGAGCTATGCAGATGATTCGTGTACAAATCATTTCACGCCCCAGCAGGTCGCGAGGATGCATTGCTATATTGATTTGGATTTCCAGTCTTGGCAAGCCGAACCAAAACCCTCCTTTATCTCCCTGCCACCTTGGATCATTCAGGCGGAGAACAACATAGTCAAGTTGTCATGGTTACCTCCTCTCGGAGCAGGAGGTAATGTAATATAATGTGTTTGAGGAGAGAGACGCAAATCAACCAAAAAAGTTCAAAGAGTTTAAGAAAATACAACGAAAACCGGACAGTTGTGCATGTCGAACTGTCGAGGATTTTAAACATAGTTTGTTGATATTGATTTTATCGGTTTTGATGCGGGAAAATTTTAAAATCATCCCGGAAAAGTTTTTAACGGTTTTTTTAACAATTTATGTTTTTCAAAGCGTTTCTATAGAAAACACACTTCTTGGTAAAATTCAATTCAAAGCAACACCATCATGTTTCATCCGCTTATGAGTCATAATTTAAACATGAGCGCGCAGTTGATGTCGGCTGTGTATTTTTGTAAGATTTTACGATTTTTCAAAAAGCAATAAAAATATTGCTGTATCTATGCCATAACCATAATGCTTTTGTTATATTAAAATCAGAGTTTTAATAACACTGCCGTAGCCAAAAAAAATATTTTGGGTAAGTTTTTAACAAGTAATTTATGTCTTTACATGTTTGTAAATGTAGATCGTCCAAGTTAGTATAGTCCTGAGAAGGACTGTTTTTGTTGATGTTAACTGACGTTTCGACAACCTTAGCGGTAGTCTTTTTTTGACTCTGAAGATGACTACCGCTAAGGTTGTCAAAACGTTAGTCAACAACAACAAAAACAGTCCTTCTCATGACTTTACCAACCTGGAAGATCTACATCCACAAACATGTAACGATATTCCCGGGTTTAAACCATTTACTTTAATTTATGTCTTGAAACGCAGGTGAAAATGCAAAGAATCTCTGTAACGAATGCGATGATGATAAGGTTTTACAGCAGTATGCAGTAACAGCTTTAAGCTCTCTCAAAAGCTACAGAGAACCACACGAAGCAATCGGTCCACCTGACGCCGAGCAATGTAGTCCATCGCCATTAGCGTGGCTAGCTGATGAGGTTACAGCGTATGAATGTATGGATTGTGAAATTTATCTGGAAGTTGGATTCAAACAAGCTGTAGTGCCACAACTTATTACAATATGGACGCCCTGTTCGTCTAACGATCGTGAGACTTTTAAGAACATTGTCCTTCTTCATGTTGATGGTACTGAAAAGTCCATTGGTGGCGGTACTGCACAGTGTGATTCACCATATACTAAACCAATTTATGTCGAGAAGAAAGTCGCAAGCGTTCGTATTTATGTTTCAGATATGTCAGTTTGTATTGATGCAGTAAAACTGACGTCTGGAATCGGTCATCCAAATTGCTCAAAATGTTTACCACTGCGATATGTTGTAGAAAGAAATCCACCGTTTGATAGCGAAATAGTTGTCCCAACAGCACATTTTGAAGATAAGTAAGTGGTAGTGAGAAGCTAGGTTGTTTATATTAACCATTGATATAGTTTTAGTACGCATTTCTGAAGTAAATTGATGGAAAAACCCTTCCACATTCCTTCCTTTTAAACATGTTTGTTTATGTACAATAAAATATGCAAAAGTATAAACCTTCAAATTCCAAATTTCCCGCCCAATTTTTGTGTATAACACCTGGCTACGATATTCAAAACACACATTCCTATGTTGGATACTTTCAACTTACCTTAACTGCGATGGTTCTGTCTCTTTTCAGCACTTTACATCCTAGTGTTTGTCAGCCATTTTAAATCAAATTTGTGTTTAGTAGGTTAGCACTATTTTCCACCCAGCAAACCGCCCTTTACTTTACACAATCGGAAATAAATTAAAGATGGCGGCTAATGGGAAAGAACCAAAAGCTAAAAGGAAACCATGCATGCACTGGTGCTAGGTCGTTTTGAGATGGCGAGTAATTTATATTTTTATAATACAGTTTTTAATATCAACATATGAAAATATTTACACATAAATGCTGCAGTATAAATTTTCATGCAACCACCTTAAGTTATAAACTTATAATCCAGGCTGGAAAATATGTCGTTTTTCGACGATTGTGTAAAATATTATATAAAATATTATATTGTGTAAAATATTAGATTGTGTAAAATATTATATTATGTAAAATATTATATTTCAAAGTAAAGGGCGGTTTGCTGGGTGGAAAATAGTGCTAACCTGTTTAGTAACTTATGACTGATATAAATATCTGGATGGTTTATCTCTCAACTACGTTATAGAACGATTAACCCCATGGTACGCTACGAATACAGAGTGAAAGCGGTTTCCCACGAAAATGAGTCGGGACCTTTTTCTCCACCCCTCATCTACGAATCAAAACGTGGATTTTGCGGGGATGGAAAAATTGACGACGGTAAGGAAAAGATTTACTGGCAATAAACTTGTTAACAGACCTTAGCCTAACCTAACCTTCACAAATGCCCATGGTGTTGTAGGTGAAAATTGTGACGATGGAAATATTCGTGACGGAGATGGCTGTAACATAAAATGTCAAATGGAAGACGTGTTTATGTGTGATGGTCGCCCCAGTCTTTGCTATCGACACGATGGTGATGGCGTTTGTGAAGATTTTGAGAAAAGAACAAGCTTTAAGGACTGCGGGTTTTTTGTACCAGAAGGGTTTGAAGATCAGTGGGCTCATCGTGCTCAAGGAACTTTGGAATACAAACACAACTGCGATATTTCTGGTTCACCTAAATCCGACCTGGTAAGATCAATGATCAGGTGTCTGAAATCCTAATACCTCACATTGTTTCTCAATCTGATCAAAGTTACAATGCAAATATTTTCAGAAATGTGAATCACCTGATGACACATATCATCTCAACGTGCCCTGTAGCAAAGATTGGGCCCAGTTGACAAAGTCGGAGTCTAATGAAAAGTCGTTTCTCACGGTTTATTTCAAAACACCAGCCGTTGCCTCAGCTGTCGTTGTCTACATCGAAAGCATTCAGAACTATTATCTCGGTGATTTCCCATTGATCAATTTCCATCTATACGGTGAGAATCCTGGTGAAAAGATTTCTCTTGAACATCCAATTACTAAATACTGCAAAGAGAATCCAGTTATTGTTCCAATTCATCACGATATGACGAAACCCTTTTTCAAGACGCATTTTATGCAAATGAAATTTAAAGACTCATTGAAGATTGCAGGGGTTGCACTTCGATCGCCGAAATATTTTGATCCTGTGGAATTGCAGCTTTGCAAAAGTAAATATCAATTAGCAGTATACGAGCAAATCTTACACCTTGAAAGAAATTTCATTATTCTTACACAATGTTTTCCATTCAGGTTCACAACTCTTTAATCCTAGCACGCAACAATGCCATGAATATGACTGCAAATTGCCCAGGTGTCCAAAACTGATGATGAAAAACGTAATACAAATCAAAGGCAAATGCAAAAAGGGCGGCGTGGACGGGGACAAGTGCACGGTAGAGTGTAATGAAGGTTTCAATCCAGATATACCATTTGAGATCATTTGCCTTGGTGGGAAGTGGCTTGTCAATGGCAAAACACCGAAATGCATGCCGGTAGATTGTGGTCTGCCAAAAATAGAAAATGCACAGATAAGTAAGTATATTGGACACACACTTTCATTTCATTTCAGGTTCTGCTTCTCCTCCTTTAAAAAAATGTATGATGAGCTTTGCAGCTGTGGTCTTTGTATTCTTTGTTTGCACTGTTTATAATTGACATCACAAATTCATTTGTTGCTTTCAGATTGTCCTAGTGGCCAAACATTTACAAAAAAATGCACGTACACTTGTGAAAAGGATTCAAAACCAAGTGGAAGTGCAACTGAGCTCTCCGTTACTTGTGAAGCTGACGGCAGTTGGTCACCAGTAACATCATTTTGCCGAAAGACGTGCCTGCTTAAAAAACCACCATTGCATTCAAAACTTCTACCTCAAGCGAAGACATGTACCAAAGGAAAGCGGTTTATGGCTGGAGAATCGTGTAAATACCGTTGTAAGCCAGGCTACAGGCCGTCAACCCTTTACCACAATGAAAAGAATGCCAAGGGCGATTTTGTTCAACGCTGTTTAAAAGATGGAAAATGGTCGCGCTGGCGTTGCGAGAAAATCACGTGTAATGTCCCGAACAAAAAATTGTTCCGATGGTACCAATGTACCCATGGTAACGTAGACGGTAGTACTTGCAGACTTCCGTGTCACGAAAAGGTAAAAAAGAGCGATTATTTCTTAATTTATTATTTTATGTACAATGAACGATAACTATTTGAACGATTTGCCATTTAATTGCTTTTTCATTGACAAACAAAGGTTTATGTTGTGAAATGTGGAAGAGATGGTCGATGGAATGATACATTTCAGACATGCGCAACAAAAGGATTTTGCCCACCTTTAGTGAAGACTGCTAATGTCGTAAATGTCGTACCAAGGAAAATTTGCGACAAAGCGAGGCCTGGAGACAAATGTAGCGTTAGGTGTAAAAATGGAAAAACACCAGTGGTGGGGGTTAGTATACTGTATTCCACTGGAAAACCAATAATACCATACAAGAAATCATACATTTTTTTCTTTTCTCTTGTCTTATGGTTAGCTTTCAAATGATGTAATCGAGTCGATGGAATGTTCGCCTTTGTTAAGATGGCATCCAAATATAAGCGAGATAAGATGCACATGCAACCAGGATAGCCTTGGTGATAATATTTGTGATGGTGGCAATAATAATGAAGATTGTAATTATGACAAGGGTGACTGCTGTGGACCACACAGGGATATAAGTACTTGTGAGGAAAACTGTGACTGTCTTGATCCGATGTCACCATATTTTGGTCGTTCCAGTGGTGACGGAAGAAACGATGGAAGTTTCTCTAGTTAGCATACCGATCTTGAATCTAAGCAAAGTTGGGCAATTGGAGATTTTCCGGAATTGTGGATGTCTTCAGTACTCAAGAACGACTTTGTGGAGGAAAGCCTTCAAAAATCTTCATGTTAGCCACCAAAACAACTTTATACCTACTTCTATTTATTCTAAATTGTAATAACTGATGAACGACTAAAGTTTCATTTCATTATGTGCATAAAAACTCAATCTGAAACTACATATGTATTATGATCAAAATATAAACATGGGAAAAGAAAAGTGAATTGTTTCCGTAATTGAATGAGCACATTGAATACAGTGATGTTGAACACAATGAATACATCTGATGTATTTTGAAACTACTGAATAACAAACACAAATGAATGATAAAAGGAATTTTTATACTATGTGATTAGAATCTGGTTTGCTGTTCGCTATATGCCGTCAGAGTTTGTTGGCATTCAAAACTGTTACTTATTTTCCACTTGCGTCTAATCGAGGATAGTTAGGTATACAAATAAAACACAGTTAAAAGCTTCCGAGAATACATCTTTGCCAAGTATAACAATGATTTCGAAAACTAACCTAAGTAACCATTAAACTTAGTTTTTCTCGCCTGGCGCAGTTTACGTTCAAGACAACAGCACTGTAAACAGTCTTCATAACGCTTACAGGCCTTGGTCTTCCGAAACAAACGATTCTTCGGCAAACTGGTTTTGGAGTAAATCTTGTGTTTCAATTTCAGAAGATATTTTTGCGCTGCCAAAACACCATCGACAGAGCATAAATAATTTCGTTTTGCCAGTTTTTCACCAATATGACAACATTTGCGATTTTCAACATTTGCTTGGCATTTGGATCGGAAGCATTTCTTGTTTGCTAGAAAAAAAAGTTAACAGTATATTAATATGGTGATATTTGAAAAGGGCAAAGAATATTGTTGTTTCTCATTGTGTTTGTATTGAACGAATGTAACTAAGGCTCGTTTCAAACGTCAAAGTTTTCATATCCTGAACGTTTTATAGCTATATTCACAAGAAGATTATTTTTATCATCTTTTGTCGTAAGCGCAATTGGCATATAAAACGTTTTGTAAAACCGAAACATATAAGGCCTTTTAAGTTGTGAGAGATGAAGTTACTCTCAAATTCTTTCTAATTTTAAAGCAACAACACAGCAGCTCAGGAAGCAAAATAACAAAGAGAGAAAGAGTGTTTGAGCAATGAAAAGCAATATTACCGACCGGATGATTATGTTGATATATTTAGTCATTCGCTCTTACGCACAAGTATCTTAACTTATAAAAACATCTTGTTCTTTGTAATAAAGACAGCGTGTGTATCTTTCCTGTGTCTGTGTGTACTTTCGTAGAATATTTCCGAAAGCCACTTGGTATTTATGTAAAGGACGATGTCAGAAGACAAAAGCCTTTTCCGTTGCTTTCTGTGATACGAAACATTTTCTTCACCGAATTTCATTTTAAAGAGAGCATAGACGTGTACAGCTTGTGGTGGTTTGGTCAATAAACATGAAAAAAACTCCATTTTGCTTTAAATCGCTTTTATTGTAAATTTGATGTCGTATCACATTTCTTCATGTCTTCCACCGAATAACCAAGGATGACGAGGATATTAGCTAGAGTTCAAAGCTGTTTTTTTCAGTCACGCATGTCTGCTTGACAAACCGCAAGACTGAAATAATTAGCGTATCCATGAGACAAAGTCAAATAAGTTGATGTTATTTGAATTTGCATTAAGACTCTTCTGTCTCCCGATCTGACGACAAGCGGTTATTATTGGCCGAAAGATAATTTTGTTGTTCATGTGATTGGAAAATATTTCTTTCTGAAACATATAATTGTAACTGATCATATCTCTTGAAAAATATTTTCATCGCTTAAATTCATTAATGCGATGAAACACAACTGCGTTCTGATCATTTAGCAAGTCAAATTGAATTTCAAAAAATAATACTGCAACCTTTCCATTTTAAGGATTCTGTTCAAATTGTCTTGAATTATTTAACGTTTTGATGTTTTCAGATAAGCTCAACATCTCAATCGTAGAAATGGTATAAAACAAGTATCTTTCAGCTGATGCAACTATTCATCTTTACTAATGCGTAACCCTTATTGAATGAATTGAAATCATCATAACGAATTTTCTGTTGATAACTAAATCATAATGAGACATCTCTTAGACAAAACATGTTAACACTAAAACCACGATTAAGTTCCAGACATTCATCAAAATCAAACATATTTGCAAATGGTATACGAGAATTGTCGGGATTTGAATTGATCATCACCATAAAGAGCAATGAATAGCTGAACAACGCAAGACAATTTTTCGAGATTGATAAGTTGACGACCAGCTACTCTTTTTACACACGACAATAATTAAATCAAAGTTTTTGTAACAGCTGTGACGCTTGCTTCAAAGATCTCGCGTAAATTTTAAGCACGTTGCAATGAATGAAAATGAAAAAAGTAGGCCATTTAGCAAACGTACAACAAACACAGATTCTGATTCAAAATTATAACTTCGATATTGTTTCTGTAGATGTAAACACTGTCGTTACAGTCAGCATCAATAACTACAAGTGAATCAAAGAACAATTGTATGCTTACATATAAAGCACAACCATAACTTATCATCATATGAACAAATCCTTAATGGACAAATCGCAATGTATGGAAATAATAATGAACAGTTAGCTTATTATTCGAAGATAAACAAGATTATAATAACTTTTACGAATTCTAACCTTTCATGGTCGACTTTGCATGGACAGAAAGAGCGACAACAATTACAGCTAATACGATAATTCCCAGACGCTTAGCCATTATTCAAATTCTCGATCTTCGCAACGTAAGTCTCCAGAAACGCAGTTTCTTTTGAAAAACCAGCAATACTCAGTGTATGTACAATTAGACACTTGACACCCTAAGAGCAGGATTTCAACGACTTGTGACTGATGCGTTTCTATTTTTAATAAGCATATAAACAGTTCGTTGCCTGAGTTTTGTTCAAAGCAAATGACTTGTGACCGCCTTTATCACGGCTGTTCGTAAAACATCAAAGAGATCAAGGCCAAGATACTTTGGCTATTTCCAACAATCAAAAAACCGTTTTAAGTTTGTGTTTAACTACACAATTCATTAAATATACTGTACACACGACCTAGAGGATAATCTTAGAACTCTACCAGTTTAAGCAACACAGTCAACACTTGTAGAAAGTTGATTATGATGCTCAGCAACCAACCATGTCAGTTAATGAAATAAACAACACTATAAATAAGATGTGAATAATCGCTGTTGCTTCGCATGTATGTGCATAAATTAATAATTAAATGTATCGAGTTAAACAAGAACTTTTCAAGCACTGCAAAATGCAAACACAGACAAGAATTTAGAATATCTGTCAGTTATACAATAAAACTGAAGTCAGTGAAATGAAATCAATTCACAGAGTTGGAAAGCGAATATAATTGAAAGAAACTTCTTCGTTTTCTTTCATATAGCAAACTGTGAAGATTGTTAGTTTTATGAAGTTCAGATGATCTAAGATTCTAGCCATTTCTTCTAGGTAGAGTAATGAACGAGACAGTTAGATAAATTTACGGCAAGGGAAAGATTGTAATATTAGAGCCTAGTGTCTAGTGAAACCAACTGTACAAGGTCAAATATCTCTGAAAACTAAAAGATTAAAGGTTTGTCTACATGTAATTTGAATGATAATAGTTGTCAATCTCTAAAATATGGAAAAACACTTGTAGTAGCTACCTTCTTTGAAGCATTCTACACATATATAAAACAGCAACGAAAGAAACTTTATTCATGCAGTATTCAGAGATCTCTTTAAATTTCTTGGATATGTTTTCCGTGCAGTTCATAACAGATGGAGTAAAAGTGAATAAAAAAAATGTTTAATTTCATCTAACCAACGAGTCTCTTTTTGCCATTTTTCTTCTTTTCTCTTCTACTCTGGCTTTTTCTGTTTTTCTTCTTTCCTTTTTTCGATACGTGTTTTCTTTTCACATTGCAGCAGCTCAAGTAACAGCGTTTGCTCCTTCTCGACGTGCATTCTCTCAGTGTTTTCGAAAGAAACTTTTGCCTTTGCCATACAATCGACGAAGGGTACATTTTTCAACGCCATTCTTCAATGCCCGAAGTCCACGTCGACAACATTTGCAACAATCTTTTATTGTTTTTGATTTTGATTTTTTCGCGTTTGCCTTTTTTGGGCAAAATCTTTTGATAGCTACAAGGGAAAAAATACTCTTTAAGGGATATAAGCATTTCTGTAAGTATCGATGATTACATCATCATACATTTATGAATTTTGTCTTCATCGCATCGTAAAATTAATTGCGAATTTTGGTGTGAAGATGTAAACACTTTAAACGAACAAGTTATGTAGCCAAGTTCAAATCTCAGCTTTAAATAAAGTTTTAACGACTTTTTGGGTGTAGTGTAAATTAACAGACAGAATGATTGTAATACCCGAAAATCCCTGTGGAAATTTCATTAATTAAGAACTTCTTTACTCGCGTTATTTACGATAATATTGCCAATTAAAAAGCCATGTATGAAAGGAAGGAAACTGCATTGAGCATGTGTAGCCATTAATCTCCAGCTATGATGTGGAATTTCAGCAACATACCTTTCTTGAGTGGTTTCGACCTGCTTTTGATCGAAGGCACAACCAATGACGTAGTTGATAAAATGGACGTCGTTGGTTCTAAAATGGCAGTTTCGTTAGGAAAAACGCAAATGTCAGTTTTTATTCTGGGAAATTGATCACATTTCAATTTATCTGGCCATTGGAAACCAAGCCGTTTTATGATTTTTGAACAACCAGAGTGAACGTTCTCACACAATTGCCGACAGGGTGGGATTATTCGTCCTAGAGAGTTACACACAGGATAATAGATGGAGCACATAAAATACAAAACATCGGATGAACATCCCATTTCGGTAAGCGGTAGTAAAGCGTTTGCGTCCATTTCTGCTTCGGATTGCTTTCGATTTCCCATGTAGTTAGGAAATAAGGTTCGATTATAGTTCATTCGAAGACAAGGTTTGTATTTCAGTGGTTCACATTTATCCTTTTTCTCCGAGAAATGGTTATAAGCACTGACGCACGATTGCAAAGTGAATAGTACAAAGAAAGATTTCAGTAATGCTTGTTCCATCACCATTTTTTTTGCCTTTAGTGTATCTGCCTCAAACTATCTTGACGACGACGATCACAAACTAATCAAGGCCAGATGGTGCTCAGACTGGTATTTATAATGACACAGTGTTTATCAGTCGCGATGGCGGCACGCTGAAATAAATACCGCTCCATCAAAACGATAATGTGTTTTCTATCAGTTGCATGCGTGTTGTTTAACCGCCAATTATAGCATAACTTGTATATCCATTTGAATAAGTTGAATTTCCTGCTTGTTAAGTCATGGACTATTTCCAACTTTGTATATCTTTTCCTCTTGACAATAAAATGATTTCTTAAATTTCACAATTTGGTAAAGATTAGTCCGATTATTGTAGTGGGTCAATCATAACTGTTTGTAAACCCGACTGCACTTTAAGAACTGTATAAAATATTGAGAGGAAAGCTAAAAAAGATTGCGTATAACGAAGCGTTCGCTAATTCCTTTTGCCGAATAATTTCTCCTTTCTGTTATTTGTGTTTACGTAGTCTGTTAAATCCCTGTAAATGTCATCATGATTATCTTAGAAAATATCTTTCTAAGGTAGCTAACGTTAACAGATTCAGTTTCCGTTTTGTTATGGAGATTCTAAAACAGCATCTCTGCTGATTTTTTTACCATATGTTCATAATTTGAAGAATATGATGTCTGTCTAGTTCTATAATTATGTCTTTACGTCGGGAAGTTAGTAAATATGAGGAGAGTTAAATGATAAAACTTCGCTCTTATTGTAAAGAAATCAAAAAGATGTTACAAAATTTTATCACAAGCTATCGTTTAAACTGCACGCATTTGTTTTTAAACAAAACATACAAAAAAGAAATTTATTCCCTTTCATGTATCACTTACTATAGATGATAAAGTAAACCGCGCAGAGTTTTAAATAAGACATGCAGAGGACAGAGTACAATAATATTGAAACATGGTCGATCCTATAGCATTAAAGATTTTACGTTTTGAGTTTATTTATTCAAGGGAAAAGTTTCTATATGCATTGAGAACGCCGAGTTTGCGATTTTCCGATGTTTCATCAAATGTCCAAAATATGTTTACCTTTGCTCATGGTGCTTTCTGTAAATACGCTACAGCGATTGCAAAAATACAGGTCGACGGGTGGCCGGCTCTTTAATAGCATTCCATGTAGGTCGTGTTAATAACTGAATACACAAACACTACAACATGACTCTTGAGCATGTTTGCTAGAACTCGCATTTTCAATCAACTTGAAAGACTTTCATGACGCATTTTGCCAAATTGGATAATTTGATAAGGCAAAATACAATTCCGACAATGTGTAAATTACTTGAGATTAATCAGAATTAATTTTTGCTTATTTGCGGCGTGTGTTCATTTTACTTGGTTGACGATTGATGGTTTTAGACAACCTCGGCACACACTGAGTACAGGAATTTATATAAATGACGTTTTGTTTCCCTCATGATTGTATGAGGTTAAAGGTTTTTATTTTTATATAAAACACACATACTATTTTTCACTGTAATAGCATAGCGGACTTTGTTAAAATATTTTTTATTTTTCTGCAGCTGCAAATTAAAGACACGTGAAAAAGGTATTTATCTAATCTTCATTTTTTCCAGACGAAAAATACAAGGCTTAAACTAATTTAAAAGCAAAAGATAAGGAAGGACAGCAGATCACTATAATGCTTTTACCTCATAATCTTGGCCAGATAATGATCACTCAAATTTTAAGGCAATCTTCTGGAATATTTTACAAAGAAAAGCATTTAAAAAATAGCCATACAATAAATAGAATCGTGGAAACTTAAATCCTACAGTGTAATTTTTTGGGACGACTTTAAAAATTCAATTAATGTATGGAGAAATTATAGTGTGATGTATATCATTTTTATGGTCACCACACGATACTTAGACATTTCTCCGTTCGAGGCTTTTAAACAGACATATAATTAGACGTGCGTACAGAGAGATAAGAAATTGAAACCAGTCAATTACGTAAAAACCTGCTTTACAGATGTTCGCAGATTTGGTGTTTGTCATTCAGATTTACTTTCTGTCAATAATTATTAATAACATAAACGTTTGTTGTGTGGTAACTTTTAAAAATTCTTCACTCTCGACCCTTTGAGAAATGAGGGGTTAATGGGTGCAAGTCGTTTTATGGCCATTTATAATGGTCATAAGTCAACATGGCATTTCACTTAATTCTGTTCATGTAGTCATTTAAATGCTTTGAAAAAGTTAAATATAAATTCCTGTACTTTGGTATTTCTTTATATTTTGCCAGTCTCTGTTTCTCTTTTGTTTGTGACCAAGCAGAAATACACGCGACCAATGGGGAGAAATCTTCAGTTATGTAAAAGAAATAATATTTAACATCATATTTTATATATTTCCCCCCAAATATATTTATATGACACAAGATACATCTTAAATTGAAACAACAAATTCCTCTCATCTCTTATTTGTACAAGTTTCTCATTTCGTAAACTAATGTCATAGATAAAACAACATCAACAAGTGTTTCGTCATGATAAATTGTCATTTGGGTGCTAGGCGTGGAATGATGATTGATTTTTCATTAAGGGAAAATCGTTTATGATATGAAGGCAAGATAAAGATTTTTATGATTATGAAGGGATGATAGAAGTACAGCATGAGATTTTTATGATTATGAAGGATGATAGAAGTACAGCATGAGATTTTTATGATTATGAAGGATGATAGAAGTACAACATGATACAAAAATAACATTTCTATATGATTATGAAGGGATGATAGAAGTACAACATGATACAAAAATAACATTTCTATAAATTCGTCAGTTTCAAAGCAGCATTGACTGCGAAAATAAATCATGTTGATTACTGATCGCTGTCTGCTTTATGCTGCAATTCTGAATAACATATAACATATTAAGGTAGACACAAAGGTAGACACAAAGAAAGACATCAAGTTAGAGACAAAGGTTTCAATTGTTTCTTTGGACGTGCTCTTTCTAAGCAAGAAAGATATCTATTCTCATTCAAAATTCCATTTACTCATATGCAGTGTATTACCTATGTTCTTATTCATACTTTCATGTACTCATACATACCATCTTTGTTCTCGCGTGCACTCTCTGCGTATTCAAGCAGCATGCTCTTAAATTAGTACCCTGGAGAATATGCCCTTTAGAATATATCTGGAGGAGAATATACCCTGGAAAATATACCGTGGAGATAATACCCTAGAGAATATACCGGGGACAATATACCCTGGAGAACATACTCACAAATGAAAATGAAAATGAATTGTGGAATTCTCATCAAAATGCAGTCAAGTTTACAAATATATTTATTTTCATCTCAGTCCATCATAATTACGTCAGTATTAAGTTTTAAGCTGTACATTTATTCCCCAAAAATCGTAATATAATGAATTTAATCATAGTATATTAGTATACAAGTGATTTTATTGCGTTCTTTTAATTTTTCCTGTTTAGACGTTTTGCCTTTCGTTTGCTATTTCGTCGTTTTCGTCGGTAGGTGTCGCAGCACGATCGGAAACATGACGTATACAAGGAGCATTTTTTGATGACGTTCTTTCGAAATCGAATGGCCTTTTCTGATTTGTTTTCAGTGTTCTTTTTCAGCCAGTTGCAATAGTATCCTTTCTTGGCAGCTCTTCTTCCAAGCCTACAACAAACTTTTTCTCCTGCATTTTGTTTAGCACAACGTCTGCGTCGAGACTTGCGTCTTGAACCTTTTTTTCCCACTAAACGAACCAAACTGATAATTTTTGGTGCAATATAAGAAGTGTTTAAGACTATGTATTAGTTTACCTAGCATAAAGATAGGTGTAACAATGGCGTGATGAATATAACGAATAACAGTCAATGTCTCTCGAAATAGTTGTTTAATCTTCACAAAGATTTAACGCGTTTATTGGCTGAGTCCTACCACACGGCTTATGTTTTGCAGCCGAAAAAGGAAAAGCTTGAATATTTTTATCGCATTAAATAATTATGGTGAAAAAAAAATTTGAAGGAAAACCACAAACAGACAAGCCGACAACAATTCAAGTTTGAATGTGAATGCTTTGGTAGAGCTAAATAAACAATTTGACAACACCCAAAATATTCATGGGGTTTTGGCGGGTAAGCATTTTTTGTCTTTGTTGAAGATTTGTGGTATGTCTTACGTAGAACAATAATTTAATTCATACTCTGATTCTGTTATAATTGCTTTGGAATAAAGTGCGTTTATCTTCGTAGAATTCCACATTTCCTATATATATTACCTCAATCAAACAGCGAAGCATTTAGCAATTTAATAGCAACCTCTCTATGAAATTACTAAAGTACAATACAGAATAATAGCCATTCAACTAGATCGACATTTTAAACCAATAGTTTTAACAAGATTTTCGTTATAATCATCTTCAACAGGCTTATCATAACTGACAACACATCACTATGAATGTTTTTGTGAGTATCTGATGTAAATGTTACGATATGCTGTCTAAGGGATGGCAAAAATATAAACTACTTTTTATAAATTCGAGGATGCAATACGGTCAAGAATCTGAGCAATGTATGCATGAAGATGTTTTAAAACAAAACTTTATGAAGCGAGCGTTAGTCATTTTTTGTTGATAATCCCATTTCGTTGTTCATGTTCCATTTCACTAATTAAACAATGACCTTGGTCATTTGAAAAATATTTAGGGCGTAACGCGAAGAAGCTGTAAATCGTATAATTTCATTACATACACTTCTGTGGTAATTACGTCAATGAAAAATTGTCCCAAAGCATTGCTTTGTTGCAAAGATTTCTGAAGACACAAATAATATATATGTTAATGCATTAAAGCTAGTATATACCTAGTATATTTATTTGTCAACTTGAGCGGCTTAAACTAAGTGTATGTATTGGTTTTATACTAAAGCCTAAGGTTACACAGCAATTTCACTTACAAAGTTTCTCCGTTGCTAAAGAGAAAGAGTTTGACATAAAATGTAACAGCATTGATATTACGTGGAATTTTGTGAAGATGGATGAGTCGAACTCGCTCTCCACAAAAAAGCATTTCTGGAAATAGTATCTCATCGCTTCCCTTCATTGAAGTTCTTAACGTTACAAGAAATTAGTGGATAATAATTAATAAGCCTACATTTGGTTTGATTTTGTGATTATAATCTTCTTGAAATAATTGTCCAAATATCAAGTCAACATGTTGTTTATGAATTTCATCACATATGTTTCATCTTCAGCTATCCTTTTTTTCCAATGAAACGATAACTAAATTTAAATGTTTCATCGTTTGTGTTCTTTGTCAATAATGCTGGTCTATTTAAAACCACAAGTTCCAATGTAGAAATAACTTTTGTGCGTGTGATTGAGCACAGACCGACATAAGAGGAAAGCGATCATTAGCTGGATTACGCACTTTCCTACAATTGGATAAACTTAATCTAAATTGAGAGACCGAGGAAGCTTTTGATGAAAGAAATGCACAGTCATGATGAAATATAGCAACGCGAAGGGTATTGTATAAAGAAAACTCTCTATAGGATGTGTGATTAGAATGAGCAAACACGTATGACCTTTGGGTCTTACTAGTCATCTATAACTACTTCATTCTATTTAATACCTTTCTTCTTCTTGCTGGCAGCTTTGTTCGAGTTGCGCGTGTTTCGTGCCACACACATGCCGGCTACTGGGAACTTGTTGCACTGAAAACGATCCGGCCATTTATAGCCAAACATGTTCATAATCTCTTCGCAACCTTTACGAGAGTTCTCACACAGAGATCGACATGGCGGTAAACGTGTTTCAGTACACACTGGTGCGTACATTGTGCAAAGAAATAAAGTTAAATCTGACGAACACTTTGTCCCAACCAAACTGTTGAACAAAGCAGAATTCGACTTTGCTTCAGCTTGAGTTTCGTCGCCCAGATGATTTGGCATGATGGTCATGTTGTAGCCAATCCCTTCACAAAATGGAATCTGCACTTTTTCGCATTTTGCTGAAACATAGCTTGGTAGCAGCACAAATGTGATGAAGAGGACAAAACGTTTATCAAACGTACAAGTCATTTATTCGAGCTAAGAAGATACCGTTGCTGCAAGGCAGAGCAGTGAACTAATGGCTCAGCCGGAGATTGTAGGGTGCTTTATAACCAATTTGCATTACGTGCGCAGCAGAAACATGGAGGTAGATTCAACGCCAATTTCCGGTGATAACAGATTAAAGTCAATTATAGGGGCGAAGTTGATATGTGAAATGGCTTAGCCCGGAGTGTGTCATCTGTAGTCCTGGAGTGGACATAGTGGGAATTTTTTTCGTGCTTCACAGTGAAAAGGAACGCTTGGATGATAATAAAGACTTTAAGAAACTAAACATTGAGAAATATTATTTGTAAACAGTGACGACCGCAGTGTCAATACATGATGCTCTTTCGAGCTGCTTTGCTATACATTTTAACTTGCACATATGAATATGTGTTTTCGAATTATCTAGGCTAGCTAAACCGCTGTTTATAAATGCTGTAAAATGACGTGTATATTTCCGCTTAGGATGAATGCAATATAATGTTTATTTACAAGAAGACTATTCTAAACATTTATGACCTCAGCAAGCTCTTTTGTTAATATAATGAAATAACGAAGTTCACAATTAATCTTCGTTTTCCGTTTCACTGTCATCGACTTTTCATTGTTTTTCAAACAATGGAGAAAGTTTACGATAAAAGAAGATTGATCAGCTCACAGCACAACGTATTACAGTTGACTTTAAGAGTTTAAAGAAAAAGAGAGGTTTTTTCAAAATGCAATGTTCCTTGTTTGGAAAACACCAACGCAAACATCTAAAAATAGAATTGAACTTTTATTATCATTGAACTTTCCCATCGACTTGAAGAGGATTATAACTAACATAAATTGCAACATAAAGTAACGGTTGCCAAAAATGATTGCTCTTGCTGAAGCCAGTTTCATCACAAGGATTCACAGCAATTGCATTCATTAAGGTTAAACAAACAAACATTACGGGTCCAACCCACTAATTGCACATTCTTTACTCAACTTGTAAAAAACGGAAAAGAAGGTGCAAAGTCGTTCGCTTGTGTCGAAGGCCACCATAGTTGTAAAATTTTTGCATATCAAAGTATCCCACAAGAGCGTTTGATAGCTTGTGAAAAGGAAACAAACTTAAGAAAATTATTGAAACGTAAAGAACATACAATCTTCGGGAAAATATGATATCTTTATTTGATTATGCTCAACAGCACGCCATTAATCTCGTACCAAACATCCTTGGCACGTCATGTTTATAGCATTTTCACAAAACAAAGAACGGAAAAGCAAATTAAGGTGGAGGTAAAAATGAAAACATTTAACATGAAAAATTCCATTGATTGCTTGAAAATGCCCGATTCCCTCTATCACATGATATACAACCAACATTAATGACGTCATAATGGAAGAAATACGGTCGAAGTTGATCGCATTTGACCAAAGTAGCCGATACATTTGCTCTAAAAGTTCCATACTTAGTATTATGACTCAGCACGAAATGAATAATTTTATGTACATCTGGCACACGACCCAGTTGGCTAAATCCATAGGGTACATTTGCACTGAGGTAGGTGCCATGCTAGCTAACACCATGAAACAATTAGTTACTTCGGTGATTGAGAATTTAAGTAGCGGATTTTGGACAAAAAACCTTTTTAGTCGGTTTTTTTTGTGCGGTTAGAGGAACATAATTTATCATTTGTGATATTGTAACGAGAAATTTTATTCTAAATATTCGAAAGAATTCGCTAAATAACAATACAACAATTTTAAGCATTCTAGAACAAAATCTAGAGTAATTAACATTACTTTTGCACGTTGTCTTCTTGCGCATAAATGATGAGCAAGAAAAATGTGATCTGTCATGCCAGACATTCATGAAATACAATATCTACATCATGAATACTTCAAGCCCCGCCTACATATTAACAATTTGAAAATCGCATGATTAATGGCTACTACCGAAATACAAGCGAAACTCAGCGAGTCTACTAAAAAACATGACGAAATTAGGGACTGCAAACTTATGGAAAGCGATTCGACAACGAACGAATCGAACGTAGTTACGGAATTTTGTAATCTTCTCGAAGAATCAAGACAGTTGTTTCAGAGTTTAAGGTGACATTTCAAAGTAGACAGGTTACAGACATTACTAAGATATTTATGATAAATGGTCAACTGTTAATTGAGCTGCAATTTTGTTTTACTTTGAATTACGTACAATTAACATTTAAACAAAACTTCCCTTGTATTCGTCTCTTTGTTGTGCGAAATGTGAAGTACAGCTTATTTTTATTGCACCTTTCTCTGTCTGGGAATATCTCCACTGATAAACGCGATGCAATGGTAAACAAATTTTGATTATTTAACATATTACCCTTTGAACAAAAATGCAGTTTGTATCCCGAACGTATTCACTTTTTTAGAGTAAATCGAATAGATCTGATTATTTGTAGTTCATTTATCGATTAAAAAATTTAAATATCCGTCGCACTCGCATGCAGCATATAAAAAATTTGCTACTTTCGGATATTCGGTTTTATCTTTTCTAACCGCTGACCTTTACTCTTACATAATCATCTCCATAGCAATGTGAGCCCGCTGAAGCCCACTCATTGACTGGTGAACCTTGTTTGAGGAAAGGAGCGAAACCAACGAGAATTTTATTTTATGATTGGACAATGAGCATGTCATATTTTTCACGACGTCGTAGTTTAGGAGAAATCTTCATTTCCAAGAACCGCTCACTTAACTAATTCTTTAATTAAATAATTAGAACTGAGAATTAATTAATCAATTAAACCTTAAATAGGGATATTCCACAATTTGGACACAAAAATTGGCAAGCACAGTTCGGAAAGACTTTCGCCACTTACTCCAAGGTACTTTTTCACTTTGCTTGTTTCCAAGTAGAAAACTTTCTTTTCATTGATCTTTCTCGAATAGCTTTGGAAGTTCCAGCAAGAAAATCGATCGGTTTTGGATAAAAGATACAACTTGAAAAGATGGCAAATTGGTGAAATTGCATCGAAAATAGGACAACTATATTATCACTACTAGTAAGCTGTATACAAACATTTGTAAATTTTCACCATTACAGATCTCCCATTTTGTTTTCTTTTCTTTTCTCAATCTGTACACGACCTCGTTACGGATAAAAATTTTCCCACGCTGGGTGAAAAGCCATGAGTTCAATTGCCGATGGAGCGTAAACTATTCAAGGTGAAGACATCTGATTTTTTTCTTCTTCATGTAGTTTGCGAACAAGTGAATCAAGCTATTTGCAAGAAGCATTCTCGTTCTACATGGCCATAAGATCTCGTGCTTATTACACTAACGCAAGTAAATTTGGAACGTAAGATATCCATTTTTTGTTGCTTTTAAAGAGATTTCATGAATTTCTACAGGGCGTAATGGAATGAAAACTGTAACCCACAGTTCATTGTGATATTTGTAGTGTCTTTTCAGGTCGGATTTGATGGTGAAAAAACTGCGTTATTACGCAAGATTCGTAGTCGTTTCCCTCCTTTTAAACAAGATGAATTTTGTCAAGGAATTAGTAGAGGTGAACGCCGAAGTTTGTCATCATTGCCATTCGATGTTAATGTTTCGAATGTTTTATACCAGGAGTTAAAGCAATATATAGACGAGTATACCACGATCTACGATCCAACGGACGAAGAGGATTGGAGACTGGTAGTGAGTGAAGTGACGTCATTCATTGATGTGAGCACTTTGCGTGGGTTGTATTCTTTAGAAGATTTGTTGAACGCTTTTTCTGTTTGTTTGATTTTTAGTCAGCATCTATCGTGACTGTAATGAATGGAGATATGACAGCACGAACTTTATGTCATCGTTTACATTCTGAGGTAGGTAAAAACTAGATAGGCCATTGAATGTTTGCTTTAAGTATGGCCTTTCTTTATCATACAGTGTATCATGATGAATCTCGTGGATTCTAGCCAACTGCGTGCTTCTTTGAAACTAAACGAGCCACTTGACCAATAAGAACCTCGCTTTTTTTCACCTCTAGGAAAATCAAACGTATTGCTTTAATGAGTGGCGCTTACATGCATTACAAGAAATCATCATTGTTAGTAATAAAGAAAAACAAATAAAATTTAACGAATTGACCCTCGATATGTTTCGCATGTTGCAAGTACTGGAACGAGAACCGGAAGAAATCCAAGGATCATCGTTGGAAAACTCCTCGGATTTTAATAAACGGGTAAAGAGAGAGGAGCTTTGCTGTCTGTTAGAGAGATGATTTTATAATTGTTTTGAATTCTCTGCGCAGATGAAAAGTGAGCCAGCAGCTTCGAAGAGAGCAAATCCTCACAAATATTTGTTTTACAAACCAACATTTACTCAACTGTATACATTTTTAGCCTCAGGATTTAAGGTAACGTCCAGTGTTGCTGAATCAATTCTGTATCATCTTCACTATCGTTTCAATGGTTGATTTACAAAGAAATAGAGAAAGTTGGGTTCAAAATAGCTGGGAATTTTTTACCTCTTTAGACATGACATAGCTAGTTGTTGTAGTGAACTTGATTGTTTTGACGAACTCAAAAGATTATGCGTAGTATGAAAAACCTAAAATTTGACATAAGTATGTGTATTTTAAGATAAAAACAAAAAAGTCTATTAGAGACATTTTCTTCTTAAATCTTCAGGAGTTACCTCATAATGCAGTCATGTTGATCTACATATCTGCAGACGGTTGTCGACCAGAGAAGATGAAAAAAGATGATGGTTAGAGATCTTTATGGATTCTTTATATGATACAAGGGTATTGTATAATGGTGGACGATTTCTCTTTAAGATACCTGTTTCATTCTAGGTCCGTATAGGGATGGTGGTGTTAAAATGTCGACACACAAACCAGCACATGATGATACTGTATTAAACAAGAAAAACAATTTAAACGAGATCAATGCGTAAGTGCTTCAACATCTTTGTGAGCGAGAGGGGCGTTCTTAACAAAGTATGCTGTCTTAAGATCATATCTTCATTTAATTTCAAAACACCGCACTGCATATAACAATCTTTCATTATGTATGCTGGTTGATTTTATAGTGTGTATCCAGACGATTTGATGCCGTTTACAAGAAAAGCAATGCTACTGATTGTTGATAGTGAAACGAGCACGTCATTTAAGGTAATATGTGAAACTTACTGACTGTATGATAACGTTTCTTTGTGGCGGTTTTGTCTCTACATGCATTCTTTATCAATGTAGAGATTATCGAGTATGTTTGGTCAGCCATTTGTAACCCTTATGTCACCATGCAAAATACCTGTAACATTAAACGGTACGTATGTTACTTCTGAAAACAAGAGATAAGCAGAACAGTCTATTTCCATGCCATTCTTATGGCACTAACGCGCATGTCAGCACACATACAAAAGTATTCTGTCAGTAAGGAAATGAAGTTTTTTTCGTAAATTTAAACGAACAGTTACTTTTCGTTAAGATACGGAAGCAATATATAAATCGAAATAAAATCACGAAGGACATTTGTAATACTATGAAATAACGCATTTTCATTTTTTGCAGATACAAGTCGTAATGGCAATCTTTTCACACTGTTTTTACACAACCCGATGGTTGCGTTCTTGTATGTGTGTAATATCAACATTGTTCAAGGCGACTTATGGGATCAATGTTGTCTTAAATTCAAAGTATTTGAAGGAGAGTGGATGAAACTGTTCAAAAAACTATCTAAAGCTATTGGTACGAGCTGATTGGTTGCATGCTCAGAATAAACTTGTTTCTATAACTAACAGCTATAGTTGTAATTTTTTTATATTATACTGATGCACGATTCTGCTGATTTTAGATATCTCTTTCAATCAACTTATTGAAGATGAATTTTTATCTCTGATGATTAGGAGATTTGCTTTTTCATACTATGTTATGAGACAGCACAAAGCTTTTAAAGTAAGTGCTCTGTTGGAAGAAAATGTTCAAAAACGTCACGTTTTCTTGTTTGTTTTCTTTTTCTAAATAGGGAGAGGAATATTATCCTAGTTGTTCGCCATATTTGCCCTCCACACTAATGGAAAACGATGAACTGCGGTTGCGTATCTTAACGTTGGCATCTTTGGTGGATGTTCGAGCAATCTTTTATGAGTTAGACGATGTTTCTACGACGAATAGTTGAAAATATATTTATCGTCAATTCGCATAAGATTTTTCTTCTGGAAGAAATTTTTTGCGTTGTCAAACTTTCATTTATTTGGATGGATACAGTGATGCGCATACGTTAATTCAAAATTTGACTGAATTTATTTAAGAGTACTTTAGAGCAATGTATGAAGAATAAAAACCACAACACGTACGAGATAAAGTTTATTCTTTCTTAATGTCTAATGTATGATTGTGTAGACTGTAGAATACTACAATAGGTAGTTACCACATGATGTACAAAGTTACCATATGATGTACACAGTTACAATATGATGTACACAGTTACTATATGGTGTACACAGTTGCCATATGATGTACACAATTACTAAATGACTTACACATTTACCATGATGTACGCAGTTACCATATGATGTACACAGTTACCATATGATGTACAAAGTTACCATATAAAGTACATAGTTATCATATGATGTACACAGTTACCAAATAAAGTGCACACTTACAGTATGAAGTAGACAGTTACAATACTAAGTGCACAAACACCATACCTAGACAATTTATGCTACTAAACATTCCATCTCCATCATTAGGATAAAAGAAATTACTCACCAACTTCCTCATAAATTACTAGAGGTCATGAAGTTTGGTACGTCGCAAAAAACTCAAAGCTATCTCTTTTTATCATTTTTCCTAGTTGTTTCAATTATAGAGCCTAAACGATAATAATACTCGCAAAGAGAAAGAACAAAATTCTTTAGCTTATTTTAAGAGACTAAGCTACACGCCAAATGATTGACTCGCGTTTTGTCATACATAAATGCCACTGAAATGATTAAAATATCCTCCTGTGATCTTGTTAAAGCTTTAAAATTAACCATCGCCAGACGAGAATGATCAGGGGGCTAAATTGGTATCTAAGGGGATAATACGGGTATAACAAGGTGCAATGCAAGATAACCAAGTTGTAACTACGGTGACGCCTTCAACGACGATGGATGTATTATAACACTGGATGTCGAATCACTGTGTGTGCCGATTAGCTAACGAAGATTTGACGTGTATCGCCGAACACCTACGATGTCTGCTGGCTTTTCTGTTCTTTTAGAAGCTGTTCCAGGGGGGACATGCTACTTTGAGCAGAATGGAAACTACTTCCCCAAAAGGACTAAGTAAAAACGTACGAAACATTTAGTGAATTCCCAAATGTATAAATACTTGCTACTTTATAGTAAAAGATAATTTTCTACACTTACATTTCCATTACCATTAGAGAGAGACTTCCCTCCCCCTGTGCCGTTACCTCCATTATCATGATGACCATTACTAGTCATATTTCCCAGGGGGGACCAGCTACCTAGAGTGAAATTCAAGCCAAAACTGGAAGGTGGCTGAAATTTTTCAACACTGGGTGATGGAGAGGCCCGATGGCCAGGTGATAAGGGTCGATTACTTCCAACTGCCAGAGAGGTAGGGGGAATGGGAAGGGACACATTTGGGATTGTGGGACTGCGGTGACTTCCGACGACACGTGATGTTACACGAGGTGCCGAATCTTCAATTTCGGATGAAACGGTGGATGGCTTTATAGGGTGGTTTGATGAAGTTGGTGTTGCAGATATAAGATTGGGCGCAACTAAACATAAAAATGTATAAAGTTGATGCTGTAGAAGATGACAAAGATATAAGATTGGGTACTACTAAACATACAAATAAATAAATTTGGTGGGGTGTAAGAGGACACATACATAAAATTGGGAACGACTAAACATACAAATAAATGCATAAAATTGGTGTAGTAGAAGATGTCCCATACATAAAATAGGGTAGTACGAAACAAAAAAAAATGTCGTAACAAAATAGATATCCACTTTTCCACAACTTCGAAGCTCCGTTTTCCTCATGGCCCTCATTACCTGTACTACCCAAAATCAAAGGAACGTTCCAGTTCGACTGAAACATTTCCTCACGGCCCTCATTACCTGTACAACCCAAAGTCAAAGGAACGTTCCAGTTCGACTGAAACATTTCCTCACGGCCCTCATTACCTGTACTACCCAAAATCAAAGGAACGTTCCAGTTCGACTGAAACATTTCCTCACGGCCCTCATTACCTGTACTACCCAAAGTCAAAGGAACGTTCCAGTTCGACTGAAACATTTCCTCACGGCCCTCATTACCTGTACTACCCAAAGTCAAAGGAACGTTCCAGTTCGACTGAAACATTTCCTCACGGCCCTCATTACCTGTACTACCCAAAGTCAAAGGAAAGTTCTAGTTCGACTGAAACATTTCTTCACGGCCCTCATTACCTGTACTACCCAAAGTCAAAGGAACGTTCCAGTTCGACTGAAACATTTCTTCACGGCCCTCATTACCTGTACTACCCAAAGTCAAAGGAACGTTCCAGTTGGATTGAAACAAAGAATACTGTCCAACTTGATCGTGTACCGAGGAAGGAGTTTCATTTTGAACACCTTGAGAGGGTGAGATTATTGTTTGACCAAATAATGAACTGGTCTCAGAGAATGGTGTGCTTGAGCCCAGTCTTTTGTCAGAAACATTTATCTATAGATAAGAGATAACGACTTTTTATACGTCTATCAACACAATGTTCTTTGTGTTTCTTTTTTCTGTTAAAAGTTCTGTTTTTTTACTTACGCATTCGAATCGATAACCGCCATCCTCTTTCTTTTCACAAACGATAATTCTACAAATCGAGGAGTCACACAAATTTTGTCACCCGACGTTCAAACATGCGTGGTTATTTATTTTTTCTTACAACATTAGAAACACATATACCTATTCGAATGGGTCTATAGTAAGACACACGGCAATCTAATTTATAATTAGCGATAAATGTAAGCATTAAACACATAATTAGCAACGAGCGTACTCATTAAACACATAATTAGCAACGAGCGTACTCATTAAACACATAATTAGCAACGAACATATCCATTTAAACCTCTAAATGACAAATACGCTCATTCTATTGTAAAATCAACAACACATACCCACTCGAATGGCGAGAAAGGTAAACGCCAAAGTCCACAAGCCTTTTCTTCCTCTCCATTAATTCAGCCGTTTTAGACGTTTGTTTCATATTTACATCCGATTTCCTGAAGCAAGAATATGAAGAAAAAAATATGACGAAAATGATGCAGAGTAAACTATGATTTTACTTGCACGGCACATCGAATAAAATCTCTAACATGATACAAAAAATGTACCTTAAAACATTCACGAGTGGAAGAAATCCTTGCAACTCTTGATCTTCGGGAAGAGTTGAATCTGGTAAGAAACGAAACGATGCACAAGTTTCGTCTTCCAAATGGATAAAAATATCCAACAAATCTTACCAATCTTTTTCATGCAAATGTCTACGGAGAATTGATTTACGATATGCACGAAAGAATTCCAAATTCTAAAAACGATTTAATAGACCTACATGTAAGTACTTAAATTCTAAAGAAAAATTTGGTAAAAATTTAATTTTGACTCACGTACCACAAGAAGAACATGCAGTAATGACTTTACGGCAAATACGAAAATTTCCATAAAAATATCATCTACTTTTCATTAGTCGAAAGCAGTAATGAATACAAGCGATACACCGAAATAGCAACTTGTTGCCTACTGTTTAAATATTCGTAGTTGACTAATTAGTTACGTTAATAATCACGACAGTTCGAATCAACTCGCTCTGCTTTGAAACTAATTGGGCTCACTTTGTTGCAAATTGCTACTATATACTTGATCAACTTTCCAGGTTCATGATCAAGGCAACCACTAACTAGGTCTACTTGAACTGACCTCAGAGTAAATAGTTTGCTTATGAAATAATCGTGAATGAAATCATTTGCGCAAGCGCAGTCCACTTAACCAATAGTTTGATTGAAATGAATTTTCCCACTATCTTTACATGAGCAAACTCAGCGCTACTATATTAAAGATAGTACTTTAAAAATACTTACGGAAATTTATTGAACGTCTCATCTTTGAAAATTCGAGGAGAATTCGCCCTGAACCACAGTACAATAGTGCTAACGGCAGGCAAGACAACATCAAGAAACGATTCGTCCATATCCTTCTTATCCGCTCCAAGATTCCCAATAATGGACTCCAGAAAGCAGTGAAACATATTCACTAATTGAAAAAACATAGTACGTACATTACTTCTTCATTCAAACATTAAAAAAGTTTGTTTTTTTTTCAATTGCAAATTTCCCATGGTTAATATATATTTTTTTGACGTAGAGAATATTGAGATTTTGTCAGTTATCACAAATCCTGATGTGATAGAAAACCCATGCTGTTAATTGTACTGGATAATCGCTAATCTACATTTTATGTAAGTTCTACAAAGGTTAACTTACTTATGAAATCCAACATGATAGCCCAAGATTCCTGCATGAAATCACGTGAAAAGAAAAGCACGTTAGATCTACAATGCTGTTTTGTATAATGAAGTTCACCAGGGTACAATAAGGAACATACATGGTTACGATCCTTGGCGAAACCACTAAGATCATCTGCATCGTCAAAAGTGCTGACATGATACAGCAGAAATATGTTGACAGAAGTCATTTTGAGTAGATCGCTTGCGGTCAGTTCATCACGTTCCAGTTGATTCTATAGAGATCAATAACATATGGATCACGTTCAAAGAGCAACAAGAAAGATTTCAACACAACGAATGAATTACTTTTCAAAAACCATGACCAGCCGACAATTTAAAAAAGTATAATATAAAACAAATTCCGAAGAAACAAGACATCTTGAGATTGCAAAATATGAATCAAAACAAGACGAGAAGTAAACTGTAAATTTTCGACTTTATTTCAAAGTCATCCTCGGACAATGCTTTCTGTCTGAGGATGACTTTGAAATAAAGTCGAAAATTTACAGTTTACTTCTCGTCTTGTTTTGATTCATATTTTGCAATCTCAAGATGTCTTGTTTCTTCGGAATTTGTTTTATATTAGAATTATTTTCAATATAATACTTTTCGCTTTGTATTCAACTTTTCTGTATTTTCTTTACTCTAATCTTTAAATACTTCAATTTAAAAGGCCATACCTTCATTTCGACAATGACTTTTCACACAAAGTTTTAGCATTGTTCAAGTCTAATAAATACAATACAAAAATATACGCTTTATGATGAAATTATGTAGAAGCAAATTTCAAATCCTACCTTGTCCTAGACAAACCAATCCATGGCATTCAATGAATGCTTCGACGAATTCTGCCTTATCGATATTCTCGCTGAAAGGAAAAAATAAAATAAGCAGTAGTCAAACAAATTAATCCAAATTGACGTCGTTATGACAATGCTTTCTTTTCATCATATATATGTGTGTGATGTGATGACAGAACTTACCAAGTCAAGATTTTTTTTCCTGATTGATTTAAAGTTTTACTGAATGTCTTCTTAAGATTGGTACTGGCAGCAGGGAATGGATTTTTAGCCGCGATACTGAAGAAAATAAGCAACAAATCAAGTATGTCGTTTATTCAGCAGAAGAAATGGGAATCTGCTCGGACAATGATATTTTAAAGAGTACATAACTTTGCGCTCCTGGGTACATACAAGAAACAACGATACCTTAAAGCCTGGTTCGCATATAGCCGTCATAGTCGTTTCAGTCGTGTCAAAATTTCACAGACGACCCGTGCGACTGTGTGAGAACATTTCAAAGGCGACCAGGATGACCTCAAATGACTCACACGACTGAAACTAGCAGGGTCGCTTGGTTAGAACTTTGCTCTATCCGGACGATCAAAACGACCGTTGAGAAATGCAAGCGACCTTTTTATGGCGCAAAACGATTTGAAGGAGAAATTAACAAGCCAAAAGACTTTGTCTTTGATAAACAGCAGCCGCCATTTTTAAATGTTTCGCGCGAAAATTAATTACGCAGTCTCTCGGCAGCGCTAGTACGAAATATATGAGAATTCCATAGCTTGAGTTGTCCCTGTCGTTTTGAAAAACAACAAAACAACTCAGAACGACTCGGAACAACTCGGAACTACTCGGATGACTCAGGCGGCCTAATGAGAGCCTGGCTTAAAGTACAACATGTAGGACACAACGATACCCTAGGGGTACATATAGTATAAAACGATACCCTACAGGGTTTATATAAGATCCTGCACGATAAGAATACCCAATATCAAATGTCCTATTCGTCCTTCTAAAATGCTGGTCATATTTATATATATTACACACAACACAAACCTTCTGCAATAAAAATAGACAGTTCCTAATGTGTCCCCACGTGAACTGGCAAGAATCGCAAGTTGATTGTAAGGTTGACCTTAAAAAAACCGAAATGTCAAAATATCGTCACGGGGTACAAAATCAAATAAATTTTCCGTACCATTTGTAGGAACCAACTGCAAGGCTTGTCTGTAGTAGACTTCAGCTTCGATGGTGTCATAACGGTAACGCGCTGTTATAAAAACACATTTCTTCCCTTGTTAATGAACTACTGTACGTGAGCAAGAATTGTTATCATGGTTACAGTAAAATATTATTTACCAAGATCACCCAGATGAACCAAGCAGTCTTGACAAATATAATATGACGCACTGGCAGGCGGTTTCTTGTCGTGTCGCATTCTCCTGTTACTGTTTACATCTACCATAAATCAATGAACATTAATGTTAGGTGAAAAAGCGACGTGTTTTCAACGTCGTCTCAATGTTTCTGACCGTAAAATATACGTAGGAAAAAATAAATAACATAATAAGTTTATCGAGATTATTCCACATACAGCAAGGCAATGCGATAAATATTTCACATGGTCATCAAATATCAAAATTATCATCAATGATTTTCGCAGGTAACAAATGGAGAGGAAAATGAACACAAATCAATAGTACTGTACACATTGATGTACAATGACAACCTCTACTCTTTACAATTGTTTACATAATCATAGAATTATATACCCAGTGATATATACAGTTACCATATAAAATACCCATTGATATATATACAGTTACTATACAAAATACCCAGTGACATGTATACAGTTACCATATAAAATACCCAGTGATATATAGAGTTATCATATAAAATACCCAGTGACTATACAAAATACAAAATACCAAGTTATATATATATATATAAATAATGGACTCCGTCGATTTCGACGTATGAGGGTTCCACAAAGTGGAACATCCTGGTCACTTATAGTGAAGACAGCTGACCAGACTACAATCACTCGCACCCTTCACGCAACTACAACGCTGATAACAGCGTGACACAGTGTGACAAGGCTGCAACATTGCAGATGCAGATACAGTCCATCCGAGGACATAGTTTCCATGCAATGGTTTACAGACACATTGCCAGATGCGCCACGAGCAGGGATTGAACCCATGCCGTCTGGCTTACAGCTCACGCAATTAACCATTCAGCCACCCGCCCCGTCCCGTATATATACAATAAACAGACAAATTGACATACCCATCATATACTCACAACTAAAGAAAAAGAACAAAAAAACTACAAACAACACCAAAACTACAACACTACACTCTAATAATATTAACACTAATCATATTCACTATACACCAAAACCCATGACAACACATTCCACCCCATCCAATCACATTAATCTACCCGCTAATCCAATTGGACGCTCTAAGCGTGTACAAATGAAAAACAACTGTATATAACTTCCTATATCTCTCTGATGAAGGCTTGAAGTACCAAGTTGAAAGCTTAATAAAATAATTTTTACAACAATCCGGAGAAACTTTCATTTTTATATATATATACATATAGTTACCATATAAAATACCCAGAGATACATATAGTTACCATATAAAATACCCAGAGATACATATAGTTACCATATAAAATACCCAGAGATACATATAGTTACCATATAAAATACCCAGAGATACATATAGTTACCATATAAAATACCCAGAGATATATATAGTTACCATATAAAATACCCAGAGATACATATAGTTACCATATAAAATATCCAGAGATACATATAGTTACCATATAAAATACCCAGAGATACATATAGTTACCATATAAAATACCCAGAGATACATATAGTTACCATATAAAATACCCAGAGATACATATAGTTACCATATAAAATACCCAGAGATACATATAGTTACCATATAAAATACCCAGAGATATATATAGTTACCATATAAAATACCCAGAGATACATATAGTTACCATATAAAATACCCAGAGATACATATAGTTACCATATAAAATACCCAGAGATACATATAGTTACCATATAAAATACCCAGAGATGCAGGGTGAAGATAACCAGGCACGTCCAAAGCATATTTCAAACATAATTCATTGAGAAGCTAAATTAAAAAAAACACATTTATTGTAATACAAAAAATGTTTTCCACAAGAACTCATCAAGAACATAAATCAACAGAAAATAAAAATTTACCTGAATATAAAATCCACTGGCGGTCTCCAGAAACAATGTAAGCAATGCTTGCAGCTCACTCTTCTTGTTATTCTACATTTCAATTACATTTTAGAGTCAGATGTATCATATTTTAACACTTCAAAAACAAATGCATCAGGAAGAAATAACTGTTACGCTTTCAAATACAAAGTTATTTAACCTCCTAAATTCAATGATAATGAACCATGAAAAGCGGTACAAAAAAATAGCTGTTACCCATTCAACTTTCTTTTCTCATTCTCAGTACTATATCAGTACAAAATCAACTACATATTTCAAAGTGACATTAAAGTCACAACAAATACCTTTCTCTCTTTTATTTGCAGTCTCATATTGTCAATATGACTTTTAAAAGCACAGTTCCATCTATGTTAAGATAATAAGGAGAAAACATGCGGGTAAAAGTATTAAAGCTATGAAAATGAATGATCATTAGGATAAATTGTTTCTGTTAATAAGGAAAAAAGGATTTTTCAAGCAACGTAAAACAACATACCATGCTGCAATTTAAGTATGTATGCATTTTCATTTTCGGTAAAATTAACTTTAACCACATTCAATTCTAAACTCATTTTCATGTATCAACTATTGACAGCATAAATGTGATACAAAGTTTGTCCCTCGGAGACAGAAATCATAAATCCTTAGCTAAAATTATAAAGTACTTAAACAACATTATACAAGGATTTGAGATAGCTGACAGTTTTTTTTAAACCTCAAATCAACAACCAGAAATTTCTTTTCAACCTCAAATGAACAGATACTAGTATAGACTTTACTTACAACTCCTGTTCAACTTTTCTTTCCAGAGCATAACTTAAGTCACTCAGCAGGATTGACTTATAAAGATCTTGCAAACTGAAATCATAAAGTGAAAAAATTAAAATTTGTCTTTTGAGCGTATATTTCAATTTGAAAGTAGGTATTGTGTATTCACAACCTTTGGCAGGATGCCCACAAGTCACCACCAACAGAAAAATCATCTTTCTTCTTCGCTGCAGAATTTAACAGAAAACTTGATGATTAAATAAATTGATGAAATATTTAATGCCACTGCAGAACGCAATAACAATCCTAAGATATGTCAGTCAGTTGTTCATTTAATGAAAACATTTTTCCCTTTGATCCGTTTATTTAAAGCGTTTTCGTTACGATTACAGCGATGAAAATTGAAAGGTGTCCTAGACTGTACAAACCTTGAATACACACCAAAATCAAAAAATATAAAGAACGCATTTAAGTACAAATCATTTAAGCTCGTCGTTGTCTGGATGACGTTTGCACAGATTAAAATCACTGTTTACAAAGTATATAAAATTAAACTCCAAAGCTTTCCTTTAAAATTCGTATTTAAGAATTACTTTAAAAGCATGCATTTAAGAGAGATAATGTAGTAAGGTATACGGCTGAGAAAATCTCCATTTTTCATACATCCCGTTAATGACAGGAAATTCAAACGGAAGCTTTGTTTAATTCGCAAAAATTTTTTTTAGTACTCTGTATACCTGTGATAGTAGATTTCAACACTTCGGCTTCCCTGTAAAAAAAGGAGAAGAAATCAAATGAAAACACTTACGATTAATTTTATCAAAAATTATTCCCGAGGAAAAACAAGAAATTTATATATAGACAGCATTACTAACTGAAAAACTTGCGATGAATTAAAAACAACAGGCGCCATGTTGCTTGTTTGCCTTGTGTGGGCTCAATATACAAACGCATCCAGCGGTTATTCACCGTAGAGAACAGATGATGGTTTAGCGCAAAGGTCTAGCGCTAAGGTCAACTTGCATGCTGTAAATCTAATAATAACCACACGTAAATAATGAATTTTTTTTGAAACTTTGACATGGTAAGTTCTGGTATTTTATTCAAAGATTACTGGATATCCTGTGAATGCTTTGCTACTAATTTGACGATTCTGTTGGGTATTTTTTGTGACTTTGTTTATTACACACTGCACTCTAATAAAACTGGAGTAATGATCTCACCTGCTTGCTATAGGAGAATAGTTATTCCCCACTCCTATCTCAAATTTCTCACCCTGACAGACTTACTTGCAAGGCAGTTTGGGTAAGGGTTATGTTATACCTTTGCTAACATGTGAGGTTATACATTTCTAGGGTACCCAGATAAAAGATGTAAAAATATCAGCTGATGCAATAAAATCTTTACTTTCGGAGAAACATACTGAATATATTTCTGCATATGGAAATAAGAAAGATGATTATGTAAGAACGATGCATTTAAATGAATAATTTATGATGATTTTATTGCCTTGACTGTCAAATAATTCTCTCTTGTAAGGAATATTGTATGACAGAATATCTTCGCATGAGTGGCATCTACTGGGGTGTAACTGCCATGGATCTCATGGGCAAAATGGATTTAATGAGCAAAGAGGAAATAATTGACTTTGTTAAGTCATGTCAGCATGAAGATGGAGGTTTTGGTGCAAGTGAAAACCATGATTCAAACCTGCTGTATACCCTCAGTGCCATACAGGTTGTCTCACATACTTGAATTTAGATGAATTTAAATTGACAGCAGTCAATTTGTAGGTAGAAAACCTCGTCAAAACATAATACATAATGATGCTTTTTGTGAGCCCGTATTCTGGATTTTTATACTTTTTGTTAATTTCAACTAGTTTAAGGAAACCCTTTTCTGACACCTTCATAAATGAGTTACTTATAAAGTATGTCTGTTGCTACGATTATTTCATATTAGATTCTAGTTACCTATGATTTCCTGGATGCCATTGATGTTGAGAAAGTGGTGAAATATATTTCAAGTCTTCAAATGGATGATGGGTCATTTGCGGGTGACATATGGGGTAAGCATAAACTAGCATTTATGTGGTTGTAAGGGACGTATTGAGAGAAAATTATTGTGTCAATTACTTAGTGTCAAACCACCTGTAAACAACACCATGTCAAAATGCTAAAAATGTTTTACATAGGTGAAATTGATACAAGATTTTCATTTTGTGCTACGGCTGCTCTTTGTCTTGTGGTATGTGCAATTTTATCTAAGCCAAAGTTGATGTAAATAACGCTGTTGATTACTAAAACCTGTATTTGTCAGGATAGACTTGAAGCAATAAATGTTGACAAAGCTGTGGACTATGTTGTATCATGTATGAACTTTGATGGAGGATTTGGCTGCAGACCTGGGTCCGAGTCACATTCTGGACAGGTATATATTGTACCTAACCTATGATATAGTGTTCACTTGTACAACCTTAGAAGGTATTGTTTTATGAGTCAAAGTAACCATTCTATTTATATTAACATGATGAATGAACATGAAAATACATTATAAACATGTCATATTTATGATCAATCTTGTAGATATATTGTTGTCTGGGTGTGTTAGCCATAACTCATACTTTACATTACGTTAATATTGACATGTTGGGTTGGTGGTTATGTGAAAGACAGCTGCCATCTGGTGGTCTTAATGGTAATTGTTACTTTTAACAGCTAATTAAGCAATACTGTCACCAAGTTGATGGTTGAACTTCAGGAAAAATTCTTAATAACCATTTATTTTTAAAAAACATGATTTCAGGAAGGCCAGAGAAGTTGCCAGACGTATGCTACTCTTGGTGGGTATTAGCTTCTTTGAAAATCATTGGAAAAATTCATTGGATTAGCAAGGTATGGTGATGTAATGTATGGTTGAAAGGTATGGTGATGTAATGTATGGTTGAAATGTATGGTGATGTAATGTATGGTTGAAATGTATGGTGATGTAGTGTATGGTTGAAATGTATGGTGATGTAGTGTATGGTTGAAATGTATGGTGATGTAGTGTATGGTTGAAATATATGGTGATGTAATGTATGGTTGAAATATGGTGATAATGTATGGTTGAAATGTATGGTGATGTAATGTATGGTTGAAAAGTATGTGATGTAATGTATGGAAATGTAATGTATGGTGATGTAATGTATGGTGAAATATATGGTGATGTAATGTATGGTTGAAATGTATGGTGATGTAATGTATGGTTGAAAGATGTAATGTGAAATGTATGGTGATGTAGTGTATGAAATGTATAGTGATGTAATGTATGGTTGAAATGTATGGTGATGTAATGTATGGTTGAAATGTATGGTGATGTAGTGTATGGTTGAAATGTATGGTGATGTAATGTATGGTTGAAATATATGGTGATGTAATGTATGGTGAAATATATGGTGATGTAATGTATGGTTGAAATATATGGTGATGTAATGTATGGTTGAAATGTATGGTGATGTAATGTATGGTTGAAATGTATGGTGATGTGATGTATGGTTGAAATATATGGTGATGTAATGTATGGTTGAAATATATGGTGATGTAATGTATGGTTGAAATGTATGGTGATGTAATGTATGGTTGAAAGGTATGGTCATATAATATATGGTTGAAAAGTATGGTCATGTAATGTATGGTTGTAAGGTATGGTGATGTAGTGCTAAGTTGCAAGGTAAGGTATGGTTGATAATGTATATGTAATGTATGAATTTACGGTAGAATAATACAGTTGATTTTAATGTACAACCAATATTTCTGGGATTCTTTTAGGAGAAGCTGATTGAGTTCATCCTGGCTTGTCAAGATGATGAGACAGGTGGTTTTTCTGATAGACCTGGTGATATGGTGAGTTCTAGGATCATACATTTCATAAACCAATGATGACAATCATTTGAAATTTGACTGAATAAGAGAGTAATAATAAGAAACTCGAGGAATCCTCTGACATTTTTAGGTTGATCCATTTCACACATTATTTGGGATAGCGGGTCTGTCACTATTAGGATATGATGGGATCAAACAGGTTAACCCAGTGTTTTGTATGTCCGAGGAAGTTATACAAAGGCTAAAGCGTAAACCTGAAATACTTTGAAATAATTGAATTCAATGGTTGTAATTTTGAAAATAAAAGTAATGCCAAAAAATGGATTAAAAATTTCATATTTAAACCCTTGATGACTCTCGCTTTTTGCTTTACAAGAACACCTTTCTTGTGGTATCAATGTATCATAACCCTATCAGGACATGTCCATTTCATCATCCAAGTTGTTTGTTTCCTCGTCTTTTAGAGTAACTTTTGATGATTGATTATCATTGCCTTCAACTGGTCAAATAACAACATTTTTCACTTTGATCACATTTGTAAATTTTCCACATTTTACTATCAACACTCACTGTCCATTTTCTTTTTCTCCTGTTCAATTCTTTTTAGCTGCTTCAAAAGTAGTCTACGTTTCTTTCCTGACAGTGTAATATTTGCTTTGGGATTCGTCCTATGATAAAAATATTCATGGGTCAAAGTTACAAGGGATGTGGGGACTTAAAATAAACTGCAGAAAATGAAAGTAACTGGTTTGAACCTAAATGCTTTGAAGTAAATGCTTTGAAATACTAGGTCAGTTCATGTCAAGTTGTCAAGATGCAAATACCTCGTTTTCCTTAAGATGTGAGTTGTTGTAAGCGGATCGACGCTCAATTTTTTTTTCTTATTTTTATCGCGAATCACCTTTTTTCTTTTCCTTTTTGATTTAACCTGAAATTGTTATATATTTGAACCGTCACGTGTAAGGTAAGCTATTATTAAATGGAAAATCAACTGGTAAATCAAAATGGTTTACAGGCTCTATACTGCCGTGAATAAATGGTAAAACTTACTGCAGCTGACTTTGGATGATTTATGCTTGAACCTGCGGCCATTGAACGATTTAAAAACAGTAAATTTACAGAAAATCATCAAATAGTTTAATACATTTGTTAGGGTTTTGGGTGAAGTGTTTATAACAACCTGAGCCTGCAGACATCTTGCCCATCTATTCTTTCCTGTATCTTTCCTCTTGCTCTTCCTTCACCCACTCCACCTACCAGAGACAGGCAAGGGTGAAGTTTCTGTTATACACTGCAAAAGATATGAGTAGGTTAGTGGGTGTGTGCCAAATGATCTCGGGTGCAAACATCGAGAAAAACATTGAAACGTGTAAGCGACTCATAAAGAAGGCATACAAGCGTGGTGTAAAGGTTTGACAAGATTCAACATTTTTTGTAATTCATTGAACTCAGAAAAGAGGTGTAAATTAAGAATGCTCACATTTTAGATGGTGTTTCTGCCAGAGTCATTTGACTATGTATCAGAGAACAAGGAGATGTGTCTTTCTCTTGCTCATGATGTCAATGGAAAAATCATCACTGAATTATCTCAGATGGCAAAGGAACTCAACATTTGGCTGTCACTTGGGGGTTTTCATGAAAAGGTGCACTTATTATGTAAAGCTTTTTGTTTAAATTTTTGTAAGTATACATTGCTATATTCCTGGGTTATTTTAGAACACATCAACAGAAGATAGCAGAGTGTACAACACACATTTGATTATTGACAACAATGGCAATATTGCAGGCAAATATAACAAACTTCACCTCTTTGACATTGATATAAAAGATGGGGTAACACTTAAGGAGTCGGACAGTTTTATACATGGCAAGATCTTTCTCCCATCATAAGTACACCGGTTGGAAACATTGGTCTCTCAATTGTATCTTTGCTATCTGTTGTAGTTACAAGAAACCTTTACAAAAGATTAGAAATATTTACTTCTTAACACTAGATACATAGTGCTATGATTTACGATTTCCTGAGCTATCCATTGGTTTGGCACAAAGAGGTGCAGATGTCCTTACCTATCCATCTGCATTCACATTCATCACTGGAGCTGCTCATTGGGAGGTACAGTTTTAACAATAATGGTAGAAATAGGTTTTCTCAGCAAACTTAAGTTTAAAAAATGCTGGTATTTTCAAACTAAGTCTTCTGATTAAGGCCTTTGTGGGATTGTGTTTAGTGTCTTTTGAGGGCAAGGGCCATTGAAAACCAGTGTTATGTAATAGCAGCAGCCCAGACAGGACAACATAATTCCAGCGAAGATCATATGGCCATGCTATGGTAGGTACCACTTTGGATAATTGTTGTTTATTGAGGTACGCTTTGCAAAACAAAACTCTCACTTATGTTTTATTGTAGGTGGTTGATCCTTGGGGTAAAGTTGTAGCACAGTGTCACGAGGGAGAAGACTTGTGTGTGGCAGAAATTGATTGTGATTATCAAAAGGAAGTAAGACAACAAATGCCAATATGGAAGCACAGGAGATACGACCTATATGGGAATATTGCCAAGCAACAAGATAAAGAATGACTGGAAATTATTTCTATTTGATGTCATAGACAAATATCAAATATTGTATTTCTATACACTTACATAAATCTTTAGTAAATACTGCATACATCTCTGACTTTTTGATAAAAGACAATAAAACACATTTACTGTCTGTCAAATGTTACGTCACGACTTATATGTAACGATTACGTCATTCGTATTACGTCATATCAACTTGCAGCTCTGATTTCTAATAGTTACTTGTATTGCCGCATTGTTAATGCATATCTAGTAAAATAAATATGTTCTTTTTAAATTTACAGACCAAACAATCCTATTCTTTGATCTTCCTGTACAAAATTCTACTCTAGCCGTTTATTCAAATACAGCTTGTCATTATATGGTCTCACGTTTGTTGACGGTGTGTCGCGTCGTTAACACACAGTTAATTCTTCCACAGTGAGAGGTGAAGAAGATAGCTATGGTTTCCACGGAAATGCATTTTTGTCATATCAAACCGACGTAGAACCTGGCATCAACCATTCACCAACGTTAACTACCGTTTTTTCTGATGTTTTAATGAATTCCTCCTTCTATGAAACAAAAGACGAAAATCAATAGCTACGTACCTATGAAACACATATCTTTAATAAGATGGAGTGTGCGTGAGAACAATAATGTACACTCACCAGTAATGAGGGATATTTAGGGCGATTTTCTCGGTCTTTATGTAAACTAGAATACAAACATAGTGAAAATATGAAAACTGAAGAAAGAACGCGAGCCACGGAAGGCAATATGAAAATTAAACGTTTTACTTAAAGTAAAGTTCATAAGGTCGGCTTCTTTAATCAAGAATCACTTATCAAGCCTGGGTCAGAGTTTATCAAAACAGAAGCTTACCATTGAGTGACAAATGATTGAAATTCCATTGAAAAACCTTTATCTGTCGGTAAGGCCGGGGATCGCTCCTCAATGATACGAGTAAGAATTTCAAATTCATTTTTACAATGATCGTAAGGAAATTTACCACTCGCCAATTCGACCTGTAAAGTTAAAGAAAAAATCTTTAAAACAAAGCAAACGAAGGCAAGAGTAGAGTGCTCGCTCGAGTTTCTATGGCCTACGGTAATTTTTTGATTATCATTTCACGGAAAAACTAACCAATGAGCGTCTACTTACCAAAGATATCCCCAGGCTCCAAACATCAGCTCGAACATCGTAATCCGGATTAGAAGGATCAGGGGGATCTATACGTTCAGGCTACATGACAGTAAGATACAATATAAATGTATAAGAAATACAAAAGTTCAACGAAACGTATAATTGCAATGACTAACCGCCATATATGCTGCACATCCTGCGCTTCTTGTCTTCGCCTTTGAGTCAACCAATCTTCCACTGATACCAAAGTCACACAGTTTTACACATCCACGACTGTCCAGTAAGATATTTGATGGTTTTACATCTTGAAACAAAACAAAGTATGAGTTAATCACAACTACAACGAAGTTATTTGCAATAGCATTTTGAACTTCATGGTATAACAGAAGTAAAATTGTTCAAGGTCAGTATCCTGTAACTGGAATCGCATTTGAATTCATATCTTGAAAGAAAGTGCTGAACTCTTTACAGTAACTCCTAACGCAACGCAATGTACTTGCTGCAAAACAGATGAGCTAAAAACACTTCGGGAGGCCCTTCCTTCTGCCTAGTCTCATGTTTGGTATATTAAGGTTCAAACTTTTAACTAATAAACAAACCTCTATGCATAACACCATGTGATTCTTTCAGATAATGGAGAGCTTTTACAACCTAAAATACAGAAACAATCCCAATCACAAACACAAAAAAAATTCACTTTGGCATAGTACTAAAAGGCAACCCACAGCCACTGTCATTTTTCCAAGTATACGCTCTGGTATTGGACCATACGTATTCTTTAATTTGTCAAAACATGTTTCCATCAACTGCATGATAATGAATACATCGGACTAAATAATAGAAAAATATTTTTTATGAGGAGGAAACACAATTAATACATCAAAAACAGTATTTCAAAACATGCACAAAAAAGGAAAACAGGATGTTTGAAATGATAACAAGAATTTTACTTCAGAGATATAAGCTCCAAAACATTCAACAATGTATGGACAATCGTGACTTTTTAGTACAACATCTAAATCCATCACTATCCTCTTCTGCTCCTCAGCATTATATGATTGACACATTTTCTAAAACATACACAATGTCATATTTAACTTGTTGATTTACAAACTCAACTATCAGAGGGACAGATGATAACTGACTCACTTTTACAGCCAACACACGTCCAGTAGGTTTGTGTTTCATTTTAGAGACTTCACCACAAGTGCCACTTCCAATTACACAAATTAATTGAAAGTCATTCATTGTAAATGAGTATCTCTGGAATAAAATGTTATAGCTGTTATAAACCTTGTCTAAAACCACTTAAAATCAAAACACTTTTTCCGGTCTTCTTTCTTTCCTTTCAGAATTATAACTCGATGATATTTACCTTTTCTTTGAGAGTTAAAATCCCAGTTTTTCGTGTGAATTCAGATAATTTTTTTTGCATTTGCTTGCTGTAGGTATTATGCAAAGATATAATGATCTTCAGTGGCTGGAGGATACAAATCTTGATAAAAAAATTCCTACCTTAACGCATCATCCGTCTTAGATGGATTGGAAATAGTTTTCTTTATTTTTCTTGCTTGTTCAGTAGTTTTAATATCTAAACCTGTAAAAAATATCGATTACATTCTTTCATTAAGGACAATTAAATCATCAAGCCAGTGGACAGCGAACAAAATTTTAATTAAATTATTTCGACCCGTAGCTAAAAAATTAAAATCTATTCAATACACAAAGTTTAGAAGATTCTTATTCACACTAATAGTTCGCTTGATGTCAAATATTCTTGAGAATCAGTGAATGAATCAATGAACTTGTAAAGCTTGAAATGAAAATCAAGTTACCTTTTGAAGGTTTTCTGGCGCGCAAAGAACGACCAGGACATAACGGTAAACTTAAGCCAAGCTTTTTGCGTAACTTTTCGTCTTTTTTCTCATCGGACTTGACGTTCTCCTCGTCTAAACGAACTGTTTTCTTATTTTTATTGTCCGCCATTTTGTATTTGATGGACATCACTGATCTGTATAGTAATTACCTGGACGGGAAACCCCGTCAAAATTATATTGTTGTCAAAAACATGGATGCCGCCATACCTTATATGGCAAATTTGAGGTATTCTTTCAGACAAAATTTGTACAATAACCAAAAGACAATAACCAACAAGAACAACCAAGGCGTAGGAACCAGGGGTGGGAAATAAGCTTAGCTGGCCTGGCCACTATGACTATTCCACACAATAAGTCTTAAGACTCTTAACCAAAATGGCGAATGAAACAACAACAGAGAAAACAATGGACTTAATAAAAAGTTACGTTGACAACTGAAGCAAACCTCAAATTTTGCAACAATTTGTATTTAAAAACGCAGTGTTTTGGGAGATATACCCAAAGGCCAAGAAATGAAAAAGAAACGTGAATATTCATGATAGCTACAATAAATAGTGTTATGACAAATGACATCGCTTGGCCCCAAATGTGGACACTGTTTTTTTTTCAAAACAAAACGAAATGGGAGGGAAAACCGGTGGATCTGGTAAAAAAACCCTCCAATAAAAGAAAAGATTAAAAATTTAGAAAAATTTCCTTAAATTTTTGTAGTTTTAAGATGTTTCATATTTTTGTTGTTTTCAAATGATCCTGATGATCTACTTTAACATACAGCGTAGTAAGATTGTGCGTTGCAGTCGTATTCATCATTGAGTTCTATAATAACTGGAGCGGCTATCTCAAGCGCGGCCTTAGATATCTGGTGACGCCAAAAAAATGGCGGATTTCGTCCGTTGCCGCTGAGATTTACCGAAATTGACCGCTTTTCCGAAAATTTCACAATTTCCCACTCCCTCCTGAGGAAAGAGTGAGGTAAATGTATGTGTGTATTTGGGAATCGGCAAGCAATTTTTTGATGAAAATCACGATAAAAACCTACAATTCGTAACAGCGAGTCAACATAGCTTTCCAGTTATCGGCTCCTACGAGGATGTATTTATAACTATCGATGAAAGAGCTATATGTCGGCTACACATCTATGAATGCAGATATGCGTCGTTTTCTTACCAGCGTCAAACTTGTTTGATCGATTAAACTCTTTAGTCTATACAAAAAGTATATCATAGTTCATCTCCACAGTGGTTCACGAGAGAGAAGTTAGCTTATTTTTATCATTGCTATTTTGCTTCTTTTACTTGTTTCTTTAAAAAGTAAATATTAAATCTCTGGATATTTACGTATTTTCTGTAATTGAGTTTCATATTAAATTTCAAAAGACTCAAGTCTGCATAGGTTTGGTAAATGAAAACAAACAATATTGTATAGAAATTACTTTAAGTAACCTTTTGTGATGTTCTGAAGTGCAACTGCATCAAATACTTGTAAAGTTGTAGCACATTTTGATTTTGTTGTATTGATATATAAATTGGGCAAAATGCAAATAATCATCAAAACACTTATGCTTCCAATGGTGTTTATAATTCATTTTAGTTTTAATACTTCTACCCTTATTTTTCACTTTGTTTTGTTTTTCCTATATTTTCAATATAAGTGCACAATTTGAATGATTAAAACAGTTTTCACTTCAATAATAAATTTCATAAGCAGTTGGTAGTGCATTTTGTTCTCTGAGTATCCACATTTGGTATTTTCTTCATACATGAATGATGAAATGCATATGGATATGTCATAACAAGGCAATAAAACCAAATGAATTAAATACCTATAGTGTACTTTTATGCTAGAAGCTTAACAGCTTTCTAGAAATTATAAAGTTATTGGATTATATTACCTCTATATCATCAATCTCATGAAAAGAAAAAGAAGCAAATATTTGTAGAAAAGCTTTGAAAAGTGAAAACATTTATTTAAAAAGCAGCAATGATGCATATGATAAATCCCCATTCTGTACTCTAATAGGTAAATAAGCTCAAACTGTTTCTTAAAGAAATATAAGAAATATATAAGAAATATACAGTACAGTAAATTTAAAGGTTTCATCACTGAATCTTTAATGCTTCAGTATAGTGCATTAGATATTAGTAACATTTAAACAACACTCAACTAAAATATTTTGATAAAGATATGCCATGATTTAAACATTATGTTATATAAAACCCAATGGCTTATTCAGTTTAATGCTTCACATCTGCATCAAGTCATCATCAATCTCAGTACAAATGTTTACATAGACACAAACTTTATGGCCTTTCCATTTTATATGTTGTGAATTGACATTTAATTAAGCATCAAAACACACAACCTTCTTGCCATCTTTTTTTGGTTCATGAACTTCAACTTCAAAGCATTCAAGGCATCATTAGTGAATCCATTGTCTCCATCCATAGAATTTGACCATGATCAAATTAAATAACTCTGGATAAGGCAGACAATAAATCAATTATCTTTACAGCATTATCATTTTTAAGACTCTGCCTGATCAATAACATCTTCCAGTCATCTTTACTTCTTGGTCTTCCCTGCATGTTGTCAGCAAATACAACATAACAAGCTCTGCTCCAAATCATGGGTACTGTTGGGGCTGATCATTTCTTCTTGATACTTTTCACAGAGCAAAATGTGTGCAGGGTCTTTTTGCTTTAGGGAAACTATTTTGCAAATAGATAGGTAAATTTACGATTTCATGCATTAACAAATGACAGAAAAGTATGCAGAAATTTATAGACAAAAACAGGAAAACATCAGTATATTTGGCGTTCAAGTCAGTCTTAAAAAATACGATCTTTAATATGTATTTTATGGCTTTTCAAGTGCATGTATAATTGCTTTTCAATCGTTGACGGACTAACAAAACAAACAACTACCTCACCTGTGGGAAGCGATATGTACCTTTTTGTGGAAACTACGACATCCAACAATTGAACGATTGAAGTGTTGGCATTATAAAAGAAATGCCAAAAAAGAATCGTCACAGAATATGGAACTAACGATATCCATATTCTGTGATATCGTGTTTGTTTTTGAAAAATTCTTTATAATTTACTATAGACACCAGGGGGAGGTCGAGAATATTATTTTTCTGCAAAGCGATCATTTCAGCGGAAATACGTCCGTTGGCCGCCATTTTTTTGGCGACCTCGCCCCAGTAAAGATAGCCGCTCCAGTTATTATAGAACTCAATGGTATTCATGCTTTGCAAGCTACGTCATAGCCGCCATGTTGGATGAATTTAATAAGGATTTTCCTTATTTACAATGCAAACGTCATCTAACATGGCGAACATTCCATTGTTCCCTAACTCCCAGGGGAATGGTTGCACACCACCTATACAAATTTACGAAGCGACAAAAAAAGCGGGCTGACTACCCTAATGACAGCAAATATTTTGTGCTCGAACAAAAGAAACGCAAACTTTGGTAGAGAACAAAAAATGAAAGAGCGCAGAGTGTTAACAAAAATGTTAATAAATAGACGAAAAATGAAAACTAATAGCAGCCCATATATAAATCATATGAAAAATTATTCTGTACGAACGACCTAACCATTCACTTGCTAATAACAATGAAAAATGAAATGACCAAAGTAATGTCATGACTTGCATAAAAATCATTTTTGATGTCTACTTGACTTCATTCGATTCAAAATTTCCATGTTGCTTCATTAAGCCCTTCATTAATAGCTGGCTTTCACTCGTGTGTTTTGTCAGAAAATTTAACAATTGTCACAGTTTAGTTTTACGGCAATTTGTAACGAATGAATTTGAAAATGCATTACACTGTTATACATTATGCATAACAAAACTCGCTAGTGTGAATCTTTCAATGAGGACGCTTGTTTCTGTGGTGTTCTGTTGTCGTTCATTCATTCTCCAGTTAGTAGGCCCACAGACATAGCTACTCTATAAAAACATGTCATAAACGTCAGCATACATAATGAACACAAACAGAAATTAAATATATTGAAAAGAACAAAACTTTAATACCTGATTTCCAAGCCATGTCCTGGTCAGTCAGATCCAGGCGACTTAATAGGTCTCTTCCTTTATTTTTTATCACGCAGTTTTTACGTGTGTATCATTAAAATTTATTGTAAACTTTTTTTTGTTAACGTTAAATAAAATAAGTAAAAAGTAGCGAGTGAAAGCCAGCTATATTTTTGCACAGCAAGTGACGTCTTTTATTGATATTTTTTTTTAATTTGGGTGTTTTCTATGATTAAAGTTCAAATAATAAAAATAGATCATCAGGATCCTTTTTAAGTATCTCATGCAGTTACGCATACAACACTTATCTACTCAACTTACAAACCACAAGACATGGACCGTGTTTTCCACTGGCTTGTTTTCCATCTTCGTAGAATATATTCGTTTATATAGCCCAATCATTTCAATGTTCATATGCCCTTATGCGATGCCCATTCAATATGTTTATCCCATTCCATACACAAAGTTACCAGCATCATTTACCAATAAAGTAGCTTTTGATATCACGAACTCTTATTGTAACTTCAAGCGAAGGATAAGGGATCACTTCAATACCCCAGTTATATCATCACTCAAAGAATGCTTAGTGCAGAGTTGATCTTCTGTGAATATCAGTTGACCACTTTTACGTGGGTTCATATAACAATGGGGCCCATCATCATTATATGAACAAACAACTGACATCAACAAAGAATCCAAACTACAAATGAACATTCTTGGCCATGAATCACCATGACACATAAGTAATGACAAACTAGTAAGAGTAATTGAAGTGAACGACACAGGTGGTAAAGGGACTTTAATAACTCCATCCATGTGGGATCTACAATATAAGAAAATATAAAACACATGTTACGAGATTTCATAATGAATAACTGTGAATATGACGTTAGTTTGCGTTTTTAAATTCTTAATTAGATATATTGAGAATGAGCAAATAACATTGTGTTTTCTCTTTGACTGTCCAAATGGAAGAACATCACCTACATTGCACGAATAGCTTTATTCAGTTGAGTTTGAACGATGCAACAAGTTTCAAACGATCAAAGGCTTAACATCTTGATCAAAGCATTTTACAGTGAAAGCTTTCATAGTACGAGGCCTACCCTATGACTAGTTGATTATTCCATGTAACTCATACTTCGGTACTTCGTCAGTAAAATGACAGAATTTACCTTTCTTTCACCTTAAATTTACTAACTTTCCGTTGTCAACATTTCTCTAATTGACGTCATGACTAAATTTTTCTGACTGTGATTGGCTCCGTAGGAGCATGTCACCTTTCACAAAGACAATAAGTAATCCTTCAATGGATTTAAATAAAAAAAATCATTAGAATCTTCAGGTTTTTTGCGCTTTAATGTCGTTAGCAAAGAAAAGATTCATGAACGTTAGGACCCGTTTACACTATACAGGATTGTTATCGTAGCAAGTTGAATATTCTCTGTATTTAAAGGCAGTGAAATTGTCCAACGTTAGAAACACAATGATATGGACGAAATCTATCATCTTAAACAGCTTCTACTCCCAACATTTAACCCTTTAAAGCAAATAAAAATGTCGTGATGAGCGAATCCGGTATAATGTAAACGCAGCCTTAGATTCAAGGCACTATGATGAAATTATAAATTAGACATCAATTTTGTCCAAATGTTCATTTGATCTAGAAGTCATATCTTGCTAGGTTAAGGATAGAAGAGGGTTTGTATCGTCTTTGATACCTTATTTGTATCATTTAAATTGAGCCTCGCTTTCAACCATTATGCTATAAAATTTTGATTAATTTTGCATAGTAAATTTCTTTTTACCTTAAAATATTTTCATAATTCAATCTAGAAAGTAACTTCTCTTCTTGAGTAATTTTGCGATTAAACAGCACACTTTTCGGATTCAAAGGAATTCTTTTGATCGCAAAGAGACAGCAGTCTAATTTATTACGTACCTGAGCATATATAAAGCATTTCCAAATCACGTACAAAATTTCCATCACATGACGAAATTACCGTCTATTTGAACGATGTATGTAATAGAAAGTTACCTTAATTGACACCTGAAGCAAACACTCCTTTTTCCAAGCATCTGCAACACCTCAAATTCATTCCGAACTCTTGAGTTTCTCGAAGCGTAGCCAAAAGGAATAGGCATCAAATCAGGAGATTCATCTCCATCATCACAGCCATTTTTATTTCTACCGTGATCTTGTTCAGCGTCAAGCTTATCTGAAGTGATGTCATTGCTTAAACCGTGCGACATGGGATTTGGAGGGATAAAAGGATGTCCAAGAAGCTGCTGTGCTAAGCATTGGTTACCAATCTATGGACATACACATCTAAACTAAGTGTATGACATTAAAAGACTGTAGTTGTAAATTCTTCGTCACTTTAAAGCTTGTTTTTCTTCGTGATCTTTATTTTTTGAAGTGGAAGCTTTGAGTGGAAGTTTTCAATCATGGCTATCATTATATTGAGAAATATACATATTCTGAGAAGGGTTACCTTTTTTATCACACTAAGATTCAATGAAAGGAACTTAGAAGTCCAAAACACACTTTTTGATTCATCCAAAAACCAAACTCTTTTTCCTTGACATTACTTGACTTTTTAAAGAAAACACCTGAAAAAATGTAACAATAGAAAACTAAAAAATGTCAAAACGCGTTTACTTGAATCATACCCCATTGGCAAAAATTAGAGAAAAATAGCAAATAATAAGTCTTTATATATAACGAAAATTTTTCATATTTTTTCATGTTTAGTTACACATGCATACAGTTAGCAAATACAATAACCGAAAGTTTCTACCTGTGAATGAACGTGAGCTAATCCTTCTACATTCTCATGGAGAAGCGGCCACATTCTCTGTTGGTTCTTGTACTATCCCTAGTCAATAACATTCCTTAGAGTACTCTTCTCACAATATCTCATCTGTATACAAAAAATTTGCAGAGTACACTTTGAGTCTTCTAGCAAATCTCTTGTGGTGATTTTCTCCTCTTCACTTTTAAAATCAGATTCCTCGTCTTAAAGGAAGAGACGCTCTTAGTTATTTTTACATCATGAACAAGCTCAGCAACATCATGAACATTTCGTGTAGTTATAGCACTAGATTTCTACATAATGTAAATCATGCCCACATATCTCAATGAGTGTTAGTTATTCTTGTAGTTTAATTTTAACAATTTCCTTTTCACAGTTTGCAAGGTGGTGTATTTGTGAAAATTCAAGCTTAAACAGAAATTTTAAAATGGAATTAGAGAGAGAGAAATTAATATCACTCATACTTGCTATGATGACATTCATGAGTATGTTTTAATCAGTCTTTAAAGCACTCTGCAGTGCGCAAGAAACTTAAATTCATTTTAAATTCATTTCTTCGTTTCGCTGTTGATGAAATACTGATGTTTGCAAAATATACAAAGACAATGATGGTGAATATTGGCTTGGACGCAACAAATGCTTTCAGTTTTTTTCATTTCAGCTGTTTAAATTTAGACTTTTCTGCTGCCCTCTCCAACTATTTTGTTTGTCCATGCTAAAACCCTTGGCAAGATATCACACAAATGTCTACATTTACCATCTCAACATTAAATAAATTTCCAAGGAAACAGGCAAACAGTCATAAGTGCTTCAATGATTGTGTTGCATTTAGAAGAAGTAAACTTGAATGGGTAGCACTTAAAGGTTAGCAAAACTTTGTCATGATGTCCTATCCATTTCCTGTACTCTGTTTGCAAACCTCTTGCAATATACGCTCTCAAAGCATGCTTGCAGTTTCTTAGTTCAGATGCTTAACACTTCAAAAGAAGGAGAATACATACCTGCTTTTGACGAGCGCAGAAAAAAGTTTTCGCATTCAGCGATCAATTGTGCAGCATGAACTCTTACAACAGGTACAACCATTGTGGTATTTGGTAAATCCACTGACCTGGTAAATCTAAATCCCCATGACGAAGCGGGCAAATCCCAATAAACGAATTTGGTAAATCTTTATGACGTATTTAGTCTAATCCAATCCGTTCGTACAAATATGCAGATTAGCCATGTACGTCTGTCGTATGGGAACAAGTGACTTTTGTCAAAAAATAAACTTTAGCAGTGTACAACAGCTAAATACGTGAAAGTTTTTCTTTTTTTGCTTCCATTATTATGTCTGAAGACTCATTGAATGATCCTGTTAAGTTTGATAGACAACGAAGAAGACGGAGAAGAGCGTCACGGAATTTGGATGATGGCCCATCGCGGGACGCAAACAAAAGTAGCCCATCGAAAGGTGAACATAATTCAAAAATTCCGTTTCAGGATATGTCTTCAAAGCAAAACGAAAAAGCGCAAAGACAAGGGAAACCAGGCTCAAGCGGAAATAGTAATTCACTTGAGCTGAATGACGACAGAAGGAGCAGACATCGAAAGTCTAGGAAAAGAGAAACAAAGGATGCTACTGGTATGCTATTTTTTTAGGATCTTTTGCTTTCGAAATACGATTTATATTGTACCAACTCATTCTGTTATAAAAAATTTTTCATGATAGAGTCTGAAGAAACAGGTGAAAACAGTATGGAAAGACATCGCCGTCCAGTAAAACCACGTATGAATAGATCAGTTAGTGAAGAAGTGTTACAAATTGAAAGAGAGATGAATGAGGGAAAACATGGCTTGAAACCATACATGCATGGTAATAACTATGTTGCCACGTACTTAGTTGACACTTCAGCAGTTGTTGCCAAGTAAATTATAAATGTTTTGTATTTCAAGGAACAATTGACAGTACTAGTGCAATGTCAAAGAGTAAAACAGAAAACAGCTCTTTTAAATCAAGTGGGCATAGCAGGCCGAAAGCCAAGCCAAAACGGAATAAAACAAAAGACCGATTATCTCGGTAATAAATTTATTATATCGCATTTATTGTCAACATATCAATTAATTTGGATCGACATTGAGTGCCATCTCATTTTTTTATTCAGCATTCAAAGCGCATCTGCTGAAGAAGAAAATTACCAAGGAGATTTGGATGATGAAGGTTTGTGTAGTAGATTAGATAAGTGGATGAGCCTTGACTCACTTTTTAATTTGTAATTAAATTAAATGAGTTTCAAAACTTTTTGCCAACTACTGTCATTGCTCTTTATTGTCATAGAATCATTCTACAATGGATTTAAGGTCGACAAAGAAGACTTGGTTACCGAAGGATCGGCTAACTCATTCAAAATAACTGCACCATTACCCAAAGTCAATTCAAAATCAGTTCTACCAAGCGAGCCTTTAGATGTTCTCTTTATTGAAAAGAAAGGTGATTAGTAAAACAATATTCCTCGAGCATTTTGTGGCGTCTTTATCTTTTTAACTTTCATTTTATAGACGGTGGTTTTAAGAAGGAACAAAAAAATGTTGTTGCCCAGAAAATGAAAATGAATTATCGTACAACAAGTGATGATTCTCCCAGAGTAGCCACAACCTGTGACTTTGCTGTGGTAAAATAATCATCCTTGCATCTCTGCACTTCTCTTCTTTCCCTTTCTTCCAACATTAGCAAAATTTTGATGGAAGGACCATGGACGTGTGTTCGTCATTAATATAGAACGCCAACTCCAACTAATTTTCTGTTTCTGTAGTCTATCATCTAAAGAATTCATTCATCTTTTTAGGCAACGCAAAAGGCTTTCAAAACATTCGCTTTATTTTGTCATGGTTTACTTGCAGGTACGTTCTTACGAAACACCGAACCTGGTTAGCACTATTTTCCACCCAGCAAACCGCCCTTTATTTGAAATATAATATTTTACACAATATAATATTTCACACAATCTAATATTTTACACAATATAATATTTTATATAATATTTTACACAATCGTCGAAAAACGACATATTTTCCATCCTGGATTATAAGTTTATAACTTAAGGTGGTTGCATGAAAATTTATACTGCAACATTTATCTGTAAATATTTTCATATGTTGATATTAAAAACTGTATTATAAAAATATAAAATTACTCGCCATCTCAAATCGACCTAGCACCAGTGCATGCATGGTTTCCTTTTAGCTTTTGGTTCTTTCCCATTAGCCGCCATCTTTAATTTATTAACGATTGTGTAAAGTAAAGGGCGGTTTGCTGGGTGGAAAATAGTGCTAACCACCGAACCTCGTAAGCAAAAAAGTCCTGGGTACGAGTTTGTGTTTTTCTTAGTATTATAAACATGCCTGTATTGCATAAAGTCAGTCTGTCTGTATTGTCTTTGCATCTTTCCTCGAGCCGTTCAGCTAGTATTTGATTGGAACTAGTTGAACTGCTGGCTTCATATCTTGGTTGCAGTTAGCTAGCCTTTCCGTTGTATGCTTAATATAATCATCCATGCAAAGTTATTTCTTCACATTAAGGTGTTGGTCTTTGTCAATGTCTGTTCGTGTACACGCTATCTTCAAACAACGGCGCGGAAAACTTTCTTTCCAATTACTACAAACTGGCACAGCCCATTGGCAGTATGTTTTACTTCATGTTAGCTGTTTGTACGGTATCTGTGTTGGACAGGTATTTTTCATGAATATTTCACGATTTCAACATGACATGTTCACGTGCAAACTGTCTTTAATCTTCTTATAGTTATGGATTAGGAAGGACAAGATCAGGGTTTTGTCACAAACTTCTATCCAATCCTCTATGGACTTTCACATTAATCGGTAAAATGTATTTTCAGAAAATTTGCGTAAGTTGCAGTGTTAAAATTTCACCCTGTTTTATGTTTTCATGTTACTAGTTTACGTCCTGTCCTTGATATTTACATTGAGTGTGGCGATGATTGATGATAAAATAAGTTTGTATAAGATCGATCCCTCACTGTGGTAAGTCTTTAAACCGTCAATACTCTCACATATAGCAGTAGACAAAAGAAACATTTTCAAACTTATATATATTAGAATTTGAAGAAATTCATCTCTAAAGTACATAGCCATCTCAACATCAGCTGGTTTACACTGGCATTGAAAGGAAATTTCTGCATAAATTGCAGTCAACTATTTCTTTTCATAATTCTTACAAGTAAACTAGTTTACTGTGCGGAAGTTGTTCATGGAACTCTTCAGGGGTCTGGGGATGAATTAATATAAATACTGTCCTTGCTCTTCTAAAAATTTTTAATTCCGTTGGTGTACTCCAGTTTTTAAGAAGTCAAAGATTCCTTTTATTGAAAAATGTTCTGCCATAGTAGATAATTCAAACTACCTCGAAACTTTGGCGGAAAACTTTCTGTTGTTGATGGAGGCGTTTAACCAAACAGGCTTCTTACTCTTGTTTTTTTTGGCTTCAGGAAAAATAACGAAGAGAAACAGAGTCTTGACGACTGGAAAATTGTTAATTTGATGCGAGTAATTGGTGCTGTGTTTGGATGGATGCTATTGTCATGGCAACCGAGAGGAGATGCATCTGAAGGTATTGTATATGTAAAGTCGAACCTCTAATTTTGGGCACTTCTAGGAATCGTTCACCTCTTGTTATGCTGTTAACGTACACTGCTTTAAATTCTTAAATTCTATAACTTCTCAACGCAACCTCTCGTAAGCGAATATTAATTTTGTGGTACAATTAATGTGTTATTGCCTTTTCTTACTTTAATTATAGTTTTTGCCCCAAAGGCTTTTGGTGAAAATTTTCGTGTATTTTGTAGTGAATCTATTTGATGATGACCACGTGCTATCCAAGCCACCAATTCAGGCTCCTTCTGGTGACAATGGTAAACCGTCTGCTCGTGGTTTTAAAAAAGACATCCCGTGAAGTTAACATTTCGATGATGAAGAGATTTTTGATGTTACTTGGAGTAAAGCAATTCTAAAGCAGTCGTACCAATCTTACTAAAACTGCCACCAACATCTCGTTTCTACACGAATGTTTACGCCTTGATGTTTTTTATTTAAAAGATAGAAATGTGAAATTCAGACTAACTGACTGCAATAGCATTGTCCACGAAATGCAATTATCTGAAATTCCCATCTGTTGTACATTGAATGTCATATAATTTATGTGAAAATTGTATAAATATGATAATATATCTTTATTCGGACATTTCATGTCCGATCATGAATGCTGAATCATATTTGACTTTGTCTGAGATTGGTCAAGGTAGACTTGGAAGAATGTCATTGGCATATTGGTCAGTGAAGGAAGAGAAACAGTGTCTTCATCGAAAACGTCATGTGATGGATGAATATATGTGAGCCTATGTCGTGCACATACATGTGGCCTGGGCCTGGCCCCTGAAATTCCGGGGTGATCCTCCCGAACACTTAACTCGGTCCCATGTGCTTCTCTTTCTTTTGGTTTGTTCTGTAATTTTGCACAAGGTTAGCCTAATTTCTCTTCCAAAATGAGAATTTTTTATGCTTATTTGTCTGCTTCCCAAAGTCTTTTATGTCCTAGGACAAGGTTTACATAATTATATTTTATCTGACTGTTTGAAATTACCGATCTGACATTTCTCATTCTTTATTCACACGATTGTTTGAAGACTTGAAGTTGGTTGTGTTGTCATATTTTTGAACACTTCTTGATCATTTGAACCATTGTAGATATAAGCCGAATATTAGTTTGAAATATAGAAAACACATAAGTTAAACTGTATCTCGAAGGTTGACGGTGTTCAGTGTATTACAAACAAATTTTAGAGCATCAAAATCTTGACTAATATTTCAGCAAAAATGGCCGACGATTGGGCGATTGATGATAGTCAGGTTGTAGTTGGACCCGAAGCTCAGGATATTAAATTATTTGGCAAATGGAGCTCTGATGATGTGCAAGTTGGTGACATCAGTTTGACTGTAAGGAATCCTCATATTATATGAAACATTTAATGTTTTTGTTCACAAACTACTCTAACCAATTTACAGCATTTGAAACATATTCTCGTTTGCTTGTAGGATTATATTGCAGTGAAAGAGAAAAACTCGGTATACCTTCCTCATACTGCTGGAAGGTATGCGGCAAAACGATTCAGGAAGGCTCAATGTCCGATCGTTGAACGTCTCACCAATTCCATGATGATGCACGGGAGAAATAATGGCAAAAAATTATTGACCATTCGTATTGTTCAGCATTCATTTGAAATTATTCATCTGCTTACTGGAGAGGTGTGTGTTGTGTACCTTGTTGTACCTCATTATACCTCAAGCTTATTATCCAGTTATTTTATCCATGTGTAAAATTAAGAGTTTTAACCATAAACAACTACAACTGGTTGAGTTTTGTAAAGTTAATAGTATTGATGGCTTTTCAGAACCCCTTGCAAGTTCTGGTGAATGCTATTATCAATAGTGGACCACGTGAGGATTCCACACGTATTGGTAGAGCCGGTACAGTCCGTAGACAGGCGGTTGATGTATCTCCTTTAAGACGTGTAAATCAGGCAATATGGCTTCTTTGCACTGGAGCTAGAGAGGCATCTTTCAGAAATATCAAATCTATAGCTGAATGCTTGGCTGATGAATTGATAAATGCTGCAAAGGTAAATGAAGGAGTGGATGTATTTTTATTTTTGATATTGTAGCTACTGAACTGTTTGTTGTATTCACAATGGTTATCTGAATTTAGTTAAGTGGAGTATTGTTATAGAAGATTACTAATGATATTTTGTTGTCATATTAGGGTTCCTCTAATTCTTATGCCATAAAGAAGAAAGATGAACTGGAAAGAGTAGCTAAATCAAATCGTTAAAATATCTGATAAGTTCACTCAAACTGAATAAAATAACCACAATCTGGTGGAAAAAATTGTGTTTTTCTTTCTATGATATTAGTAGCTTTATATTACAGCAACAGGTAGATTGCAAATTAGCATCTTAAAATCCAACACTGTCTTACACAACTGAGAGAGAAGACATTGTCACAACTAAGTATTCGTCAGTTTTATATCATCTCTCAAAATGGTCTAAATTAGGTTATAGTTTACATCTGATGGCACAGAAGACCTTGAACATCTAAGTTTTTTATCAGGATAGTCTTGGGGGGATATTGTTGACTTTTGAAGCTTTTTTATTTGGAGTGGTGATGGATGGTAGGTTGAAATTCAAAATTATTCTTATTTTTTTAAATTATCAACTTTCACTTTCTAATCTACCTGAAAAACTTTGCGCAAAGTGGCCGCACCAGGCCCCAACAGCTGAACTCAACGTACCATAAACATTGGACTGTGGTCTGTTGTGTTAGTACCCTTGTGGTTAAGAAAGAAAGTTATTCTGTTTGTGAAGTTCTAGAAGTGCGTTGATTATGATTCACTATGAAAACTGTGTTAATGATTGCAGAGAAACCATCTCTGGCACAATCTATAGCAAAATTCCTTTCAAATGGCAAAATGACGACACGTAAAGGCATAAATGGTGCCTGTTCTGTACATGAGTACAAAGGGGATTTTTTTGGTGAGATGGTCAAATTCAAAATGACCGCGGTGTGCGGTCATGTTATGACGTTAGATTTTCACAATAAATACAATAATTGGGATGCAGTCAATCCAGTCGAATTGTTCCATGCGAAAACATTGAAAAAAGAAGCTAATCCGAAATTGAATATGGTGAAATTTTTGCAACATGAATCTAAGGGTACAGACATCGTTGTCCTTTGGCTGGATTGTGATAAAGAAGGTGAAAATATATGTTTTGAAGTTTTGGACTGTGTCTTGCCAGTTATGAGTCATCCAACTCGATCAAACCAGCAAACAATATTCCGTGCTAAATTCTCTGCTATCACTGAATCAGACATAAAATATGCTATGAACAATCTAGTGAGGCCGGATGAGAACCAAGCTCGGTCTGTTGATGCAAGGCAAGAACTGGACTTGAGAATAGGTTGTGCATTCACTCGATTTCAAACCAGATATTTTCAAGGGAAATACGGTAACCTTGACAGCAGTCTTATATCATACGGACCCTGTCAAACGCCAACACTTGGTTTCTGTGTGCAGCGTCATGACATGATTATGTCATTTAAACCTGAAGTGTTTTGGCTTCTGCAAGCAAAAGTTGAACATTCATTGGGAAAGCAAATCATGCTAGATTGGAATAGGGTACGTGTCTTTGATAAGGAGGTTGCTATAATGTACCACAGTACGATTTCTAATGTTAAAGAATCAGTTGTTGATAGTGTTATCAAAAAAGAAAAAGTGAAGCAACGTCCACAGGCGTTGCATACAGTTGAAATGCTTCGTGTTGGATCATCTGCTTTGGGAATGGGCCCCCAACACACTATGCAGGTTGCAGAAAGCCTGTATACACAAGGATACATTAGTTATCCTAGAACAGAAACTACCCATTATCCTGAAAAATTTGATTTAAGAGGTACTCTTCAACAACTACAAAGTGGGACATCATGGGGATCTGCTGTTCAAGATCTTTTACGGGTAGGGTTAAACAAACCAAGGAAGGGACATGATGCTGGTGACCATCCCCCTATCACACCCACAAGACTTGCAAGAGAAGGGGATCTGTCAGGTGACGCATGGAGACTTTATGACTATGTTGTACGACATTTCGTTGCAACTTTGAGTACAGACTGTAAGTATCTACAGACTAAGATTTCATTCATTATTGGTAAAGAGCTGTTTACTTTTGTTGGTAAGACTCCATCGGATCCTGGGTTTACATCTATAATGCCATGGGCAACAATTCCTGCTGAGGAAACTATCCCTTCCCTAGAGAAAGGTGATAAATGTAAAGTTTCTGAACTGAAAGTAGTAGAAAGACAGACATCACCACCAGATTATCTTACAGAAAGTGAGCTCATCACCATGATGGAGAAACATGGTATTGGAACAGATGCCAGTATTCCTGTTCACATCAACAACATTACTCAGAGAAATTACGTTCAACTTCAAAATGGTAGACGTTTAGTTCCTACATCACTTGGCATTGTACTAGTTCATGGCTACCAAAAGATTGATCAAGAACTGGTTTTGCCAACTATGCGGTCTTCAGTTGAAGAAACACTCAATCTCATTGCAGTTGGGAAAGCAGATTTTGGTGCAGTTTTGTCTCACACGATACACATATTTTGTCAAAAATATTCTTTCTTTGAGAAATGCATTGCTAACATGGATGAATTATTCGAGGTCTCTTTCACAAAACTTGCTGATACTGGGAAGGCATTGTCAAGGTGTGGCAAATGTGTTCGCTACATGAAGCTTGTCAATGCTAAGCCAATGAGATTGCATTGTTCTCATTGCGATGAGACATACAGTTTGCCACAAAATGGAACTATTAAACTATACAAGGAGTTGAAATGCCCTTTGGATGATTTTGAGCTCGTGGTTTCCTCCACAGGTAGTCAGGGAAAGTCAACCCCCATATGTCCATATTGTTACAACAATCCTCCATTTCAAGGTATGAAGAAAGGCATGGGTTGCCCTGAATGCCTGCATCCAAATTGTAAATTTTCTCCTGCCACCCTGAGCGTGACACCTTGCTTCACATGTGATGATGGTATGGTGGTCTTTGATCAAATGTCTGCACCAAAGTGGAAAATGGCATGCAATAAATGTAATTTTGTCATACACATGTTCGAGGATGCTTTTAAAGTTACTTTGTCAGATGAAGGTTGTGATCAGTGTGGTGCTTCCTTTTTCCATGTAACATTTCACAAAGATCGATCACCTTTATCAAACATGGAAACAGAGCACACGGGTTGTGCTTTTTGTGACCCAACATTTGTATCTATGGTCAAGTTTGATATGGCAAAAGGAAGACACCCGAAGTTTCGTCACTACAGGGGTGGAAAACGAGGTCGGGGAAGAGGTAGAGGCAGAAAAAGAAGACAGGAAAAGACTAAGGACAAAATGGCTCAACTTGATGCATTTTTTTTGTGATTCATTTTACCAGAGAGAGAATTTGAACCATGCTTTCCCCCTGATGTTGATGCTAATTAGATTTAATATGCTTGCTATTATGCAAATTTATTGATTGTTTTCCGTTGTGATGAATATAAATTAGTGAACTGTAAGCTCTGACTGAGCATTGTGTGGTTTTTGGCATTCGATGATTTTTGTCGCGGTTTTTTAAAATGGTAAAAATAACTGTATGATTTTGTGAGCGTATATTGTGCGCTTAGCTTACAATAGAAAGTAAAAGCTGTAACTTAATATAGGCTGTAATATAGACCTGCGTAAAGGCAATCTGTCTATTGCTTCCTGCTTTCAACAAATTTATTTGTTTCTATAGCAGGTCAATTTGAAAACTTTATAAGTTCCGAAGTGTACTTCGACGAGAATAAGGAAAATACTCAATAGCAGTTGATGCAGAAAGGTTTCATTCATCATTCATAAGTAACAAATAAACAAATTTTTTGCGGTGTCGTTGATGGATGGGAATTCCATTCTCCTGTTGTGCGACAATCATAACTTTGCAAACTGCAACAATAAAGTGTAGCTCTTTGCAATGGGACAGAATCAAGGGAAAAATTTGAAAAAAGCTGGCACCTTGGGAAAGAAGAAAGCAGAGAAAAACTACATCGAAGATTCTTGTAAGAGACGATTTTGAATTTTTTTGTAATATATTTGTCAGTCAATATCAATATATTACGATAAATTGGTATTCTCATTCCTTTTATTTGATACGTAATGTATGTGCTGCCAAAGTATGTAGTTATTCAGTAAGAATTGCTTCTTATAGTCCTGACTAGTTGCTTTCCATATTTTATGTTGTTTAAACGTATATGTTTTGGTTATGGGATGTAATTTTCATAGAATCTATATGATGTGTGGTGTGAGGTTATCATGAGGCTATCAGTGAAACAAAAAATCAATTAAGATGGAAGAGAATCACTAGGCATTAAGTTTTAGTTTCCTGCTAAATGATTATATGTATTCTTTTTGACAGCAGCAATCTCCAATCGTCCTCTGCCCGATACTCCTCCACCTGGCGAATTGAAATCAGACTGGAAGTCTTTGGACAACTTGAATACAGTTGAATCATGTGATCCGCACTCTTTTATTGTTCTGTTTGATTTCAGAGGCAACGATGATGACCAACTTAATGTCGTGGCAAATCAGGAGGTAAATTCATGCACAAAATGATAGATTCTCTCAACTTCATCTTTTGCGCATCATCCAATTTACTTTATGTTAAGGTATGGATTTTATCTGACAATGATAATGGAGAATGGTGTCATGGCCAGTTAAGAAATGGTCAGAAAGGATGGTTACCTAGAAACTATATTGCACGTATCGATAGCTTAGATAAACATTCGTGGTATCATGGACAAATATCACGCATCAAAGCTGAAATGGTTTTAAACAGTGGCATTAATGGTAGTTTTCTTGTTCGTGAGAGTGAAGCGAATCCTGGCCAGGTTTCCATTTCTATACGATTTGATGGTCGTGTTTACCATTATCGTGTTAGCAAAAATGCTGAAAACAAACTCTTCATTTCTGCTGGTAGCAAGTTTTCCACACTTCCAGAGCTTGTGCACCATCATTCCCAGCATTCTGATGGTTTGGTGACAACACTGCATTATCCAGCACCCAAGACTGATAAACCCACTGTATATGGTACTCATAGGCCAGATAAATGGGAAGTGAGTCGCGATGAGATTTGCATGAAACAACGTTTGGATGCAGGCCAGTATGGGGAGGTTTATGAAGGACTGTGGACAAGGAATAATACAAAAGTTGCTGTTAAAACGCTCAAGGTAAGAAAATTTTACCTTTCTTAATAATAGTGTTTTTTTTACACTTTGTTTGTAATGTTTTGATTAAGGAAGAGGCAATGGAAGTTGATGACTTTTTACGTGAGGCAAATATGATGAAGCAACTGAAACATAAGAATCTTGTTCAGCTACTGGGTGTCTGTACTCGAGAGGCACCATTTTATATCATCACGGAGTTTATGGAGGGCGGAAATCTTTTAGATTATCTTCGTGATACAGAAAAAAGTAAAGATCTAGATCCACTTACTTTGATGTACTTTGCAACTCAAGTAGCTTCAGCTATGATGTATCTGGAGAGTATGAATTTTATTCATAGGTATGTCTTAATCAATGTTGAACACTATACATTTAGGAGCTGTTTGAACTGAATGTGCTATGCTATGCTTTCAGGGATTTAGCAGCTCGAAATTGCTTGCTCGGAAGCAATAACATTGTGAAAGTTGGTGATTTTGGTCTATCGCGTTTACTTCTTCGTGACGACATGTACACAGCAAGACAAGGTTCAAAGTTTCCCATCAAGTGGACGGCACCGGAGGCCCTTGCATATAACGAATTTACAGTTAAATCGGACGTATGGGGTGAGTGGATTTAAGTCACGAGTTGATTTATAAACAGGGTTTGTATTAAAACATTGTGAATGAATGCGTTGTCTGAAAGGATGTATGCCTGTCGTATTTTCTAAGATGTATTCTTTCTTTTTTAGCATTTGGAGTTTTGCTGTGGGAGATAGCGACGTATGGTATATCACCTTATCCAGGTCTTGATTTGTCTCAAGTGTACGACAAATTATTGACTGGCTATCGCATGCAAGCACCTGCTGGTTGTCCTGACGAGGTCTATCAGCTTATGAGAAAATGTAAGCGTTGCTTTGATGGAATTGTTCTCATACCAAAAGATGTTGCTTTGTGTTTATACGAAATTATTTTATGCGCCTTAATCAATCAATGAATTCTATATTGATCCATCTTTTCCTCGTTAATCCTTGTGGACACCCACTTTGGTGCCAATCTCTCCATCTCCCTTTATTCATGGTGTTTTAAAACTAACGCTCTTTGTATTCTTTGCTTGTTTTCATTTACTATTTAAGTGCCATAAATGAAATAAGACAGTGATGTTCATAACATGTTTTTTATAGGTTGGGAATTCGAACCCATGGATCGTCCTTCCTTTAAAGAAATACACAAGGAGCTGAATGAAATGTTCGAATCGAAACCAGTCAACGAAGGTAAATTAAAACCGTTGGATAGCTATTTTTTCAAATAACAACCAGTGGGGATGGTTTGTCATCATTGATCCTGGTTTCGATGTAGTTGCATGTGCTTACCAAAAATCATAAACGGACAAACTTTGATTTTAGACATCGTCTCAAAACATCTCTATAGGTTGGACAATGTAATCATCACATTTGATGTTGTTTTTCTTTCCATTCCAGTGGTTGAAAGAACATTGGAGAAGAATCGAACGTTTGGTAATACACTCTCTATGAAGTTTAGAACGGACAGGAAGACCAAAGAGAAGAAACTGAATAGGTCTGACAACTCGTCAGATGATCAGGTACTGATATCAGCATTCATTGCACACATCAGAACACATTATAAGTGGTTTTGCCAAAAGGGGGGGGGGGCTCCAGTCGTTTGGGAAACCATCACAGTGTAGTTGTATTTGGTTATTGTGCCCCGTTTTACTACAGATTAAAAAATTACTTTCATGGTACTTTCCTGAAATGGTTTCTGTGATAATTGTAGTTTATTAATTAACTTTGTCATATATTTACTCAAAGCCACCTCGACCACCGCCATCGAGCTCCAAGCCACCTCCCCTTCCTTCAATGACTTCCCGACCATCGACTTCTGCATCACCCATCCCAAATTTACCTACTCCATCAGCTGGTCGACCACCTGCGCCACTACCGTCTAGTTCCAGGCCTCCACCTCTTCCTTCGACGAATTCCCGACCATCGACTCAAGCAACAACATCCATCACAAATTTCTCTGTTCCATCAACGGGTCGACCACCTCCACCAGGCTCAAGAATCAGTAATTTGCAGTCGAAAATTGCACCAGTCGTACCAAATCTCTCCGAGATTGGAAATGTGAGACTTAGACCAACTAATAATGCTGTAAAAGCACGCCTTAAAGAAACTCCTGAACGTGGCGAAGAAGAGTCTTGGAGTAAAAGTAATGTTGCTAACTTGCGCTCTCGTCCAGGTCCTATATTACCAAACGACGACCATGTTCCACCACCTGTACCAAGAACAACTCGTGCAAATGCGTCCAACGACTTTACTACGGTCTCACAACCCAACAGAATGAAACCAAAGCTTCCACCTTCCAGAAATCGACCGCCTCCCGCATTGCCAAAAGCAACGTCATCAAATCACGTGGAAAGCCATGATGGAATGGACAATGTTCACGGTTCAATACCTGTATCACCTTCCCTCCGACAAAAACATAGAAATTTGCCACCCCCACCGGTCCCTCATGACAATGAACTAAACGGTAATATGAAAAATACATTTACAGGTCGACAACTTCCACCTGTGCCGTCAGCATGGGGTAGAAGCTCGAGGGAGAATGGAACCGAGCATCCGTTGCCACCTGTGCCAAAGCCTAAACCTCTACCTCCTCCAAAACCTAAACTACCTGTTAAACCTAGTTTTCCCCCGAGGTAGAGCTGTTATTTTATAAAACTAGGATGTATTGTAAACAATTATTGCTTAAAGTCATTTCTTTAAAGTCAAATGAACAAGAATGTAACTGCAAAACTTGTTAGAGTTTTGCTAAATCATTTTGAAAGATGGTTTTGACCAAGGGACCGAGAATCATATATGTTTACTCCATAATTAAATGATAAGTGAATCATATTCTTACGTTGTAAATAATAAAATACATAAATCGTCAGTGAATTTAGGTTGTATGGTACCATCACCAAAAACAGTTTTGCTAATACTTGTAATTATCAAAGAGGAGCTGGTATAAGAATTCGTTCGCTCGAAGCTAATACATCGATTTTACGACGCTTTTACGTATAAATAAATAAGAAAACTATAACAATTTAGGAAGCTTACGATATACGTGGGGCAATATAAATATTTTGTGAGCGTGTGGGAGGGGGGGCTAGTGTTGGTCGCCATATTTAATTATTAAAATCATGGTCTTAATAATTTATATTGTCAACAAGTATAAAAAAGCGTTGTGTCGTGGCGTCACTGGTGAGGCGTTGAATTATTTTCTTATTTCAATTTTTCGTATGATTTCAATTCAAATCTTCATTAAAACATGGCTCAGCAAAATCAGCAACAAAATCATCAACAAAATCAACTAGCAATGCAAGTCGATGAGCATGTTCCTCAAACGGAACAATTAAGAATGGATCAAACTCTTAATAACGCCGGTGGTTTCGTCTGGGCTGTCGATGATATGAAACGTTTTCGACGATTTGTAGTGTTAGGAAGCGAAACACCCACGTATAAAACAGATGACAGGAAGTTAGGTCGTGAGAATGCTGAATCTTTACTACGACTTTTAAAGAATGGTAAAGGCATTGAGGTTGTGAATGAGATCTTAAAGTACAGTGTTGAAGGCCGTACTGCCAAACTAAATCCACTTATATTCGCGTTTGCATTCTGTGCACGCCTTGGTGATTTGAAAACGAAGCAACGTGCTTATGAGGTCTTGGACCAAATTTGTCGAATTCCAACACATCTATTTTTGTTTGTTGTTCATTCAAAGATTCTAAGTAAACCAGGAAGTGGTTGGGGTAAAGCTTCTCGCAAGGCAATTAAAAAATGGTATACACAAAAAGAAGCAATGAAATTGGCGATGGATGTTACCAAATATCAAAAACGTGAAGGATGGTCACATGCAGATATTGCAAGAGTCACACATCCAAAGTCAGACAAACCTTCCATTCAGTGTGTTCTGAAGTATGCAGTCCGTGGTTATGATGAAATGATAGCTTCATTTCCCATGTCTCAGGATAACACTAATGAACTAGAAACACTATTGAATTTCTTCAAAGCTGTTGAAGAAATAAAACAGTTAACAACAAAGGAAGAGGACAGAGTTGTGGAACTCATTGAAGGACAAAATTTGGTACGAGAACATGTTCCAACAGGTTGTCTCGGATCAATGAAGGTAATATTAATGATCTCTTGTCATCTCCTATGAATCATGACAATGAGTTTATGACTTTATACCAAAGCCATAAACATAATGTGACTTCTTGCGAGGTTATATGCATATGTGCACATGTACAAATATAACAGTGTAAGAATGCACATTATTATTATTATCATATAAGTTATTTGTACAAGTATGTGACAATCATCATTATATTTTTTCAATGCATGCATTGTAGCCACTGACTATAGTTCTTCCAGCAGTTGAATTTGGTTTAACTGTATTTTTTTGAAAATTCATAACCAATAGCATTGTCACAAAGATTCTGAATTGATAATCGACAAGAGACATTTTATTCTATAACACAGAATATTCTACAATCTGTAAATTTGAAACTCCTATTGTATTTTTTGAACACCTGTTTTTAGGTGTGGAATGCTCTGTTAAAGAAAATGCCAATGACTGCAATGATACGTAACTTGAACAAAATGACTTCCATTGGCTTGCTTGCTGAAGGATCACCTCAAGTTAAAGATGTTTGTGATAAACTGCAAAATGAGGATCTGCTAAGAAATGCACGTATTCATCCGTTTAATGTGTTATTAGCTTTGAAAACATATGAGTCAGGGAAGGGTGAGAAAGGTTCTCTAGAATGGAAAGCCAATGTGGAAATCACCAAAGCATTGGAGAAAGCATTTTATTTATCATTTAAGGTAGACAGAACAAACAGTCAATTTTTGTCACATAATTTTCCTCTTTTGCATGAGATGTTATGTACATTATGTATCATGTGTACTGATTTTATTCACATACAATAGTATATGTTGGAGATTACTCTAGTTTTCTACATAAATTGTAAGTATTTTTTCTTGTGTGGTATATATATATGGTATACATTATAAATCATTTGAGCTGATCTTTTTCACATTAAAGTTGCATCTTCTGAAGTTCTCTGATCAGATGTATTTTCATGTGTTCTATTTTTTTGTTGTCTTGCATTTTTCATGTTATTTTGTGCAATTTTAGAATGTTGAACCAACAGGAAAAAGTTACATGCTAGCCATGGATGTAAGTGGCTCAATGCAAGCCAGTGGATGTATTGGTGCAAGTACAATCAAACCTCATGTGGCTTCTGCTGCAATGGCTATGGTGACGGCACGAACAGAAGAACATCATGAATTTGTTGCATTTAGTCATGAAATAGTTCCGATGAAGATATCCAGTAACATGAATTTGGATGAAGTTTTGAAGATTTGTAATGAAGTAAGTTGTTCAAAATACTCGAAAGATTTGAAGTATGTAGTGTAAAGCAAAAAAATTTATATTGCATTTTTCAGATTCCAATGGGTAGTACAGACTGTGCTCAACCCATGCTTTATGCCCTTTACAACAATTTAAAGATTGATGTCTTTATTGTTTACACCGACTCTGAAACATATTATGGCAAAGTTCATCCAAGGGAGGCTCTCAAACAGTATCGTCACCATTCAGGGATTGATGATGCTAAACTTATTGTGGTTGCCATGACATCAAATGGTTTCACCATTGCTGACCCAGATGATCCTGGGATGCTTGATATAGTTGGCTTTGACTCTGCTGCACCACAAGTGATGAAAGAGTTTATCTTGGGGAATATTTAAAAAAAATTGGTGTAAATTGCCATATCTTCTTCCCAAAATTTTATCACATTTATCAAAAATACATTTACTATTTCAATAACTCAATCTTAACAATGATTGCTCGTCCAATGCTCGTTTTTTCTCGGTAGCTCGGTCAGCTCTCGGTTTTACATAGCAGTGGTTCCATGTATTTTAGTTCAATGGTTTGAGATAGCCGCTCCAGTTATTATAGAGCTCAATGAATAAAACTCAATGTTCATAATGCGTTTCGATTTTTGGCGGAAGTTGCAGTTACAGTAAATAATTTGAATTCTCTATTAGTTTAAATACATCGAAATTTCTTTTATTACAGATGGCTTAACTATGCAAGGTACACCGTACGACTTGGGTAACGAAGGGCAAGAGCAAAATTCTATCACCGATTCATCAATTCAAGTCGAAAACAGCGCAGGTGGTTTGGTGTGGAATGTTGATGATCTGAATAGGTTTCGTCGTTTTTTGGTGTTAGGAAGTGAAACACCCACGTACTATATTGACGAAAGAACTTTAGGCTTAGAAAATGAGCGAGTCCTTTCCAATCTTTGCAAGCAGGAAGAGGTGTTGAAGTTGTCAATGAAATAAAGAAGTATAGCATTGAAGGACGAACCGCAAGACAGCAGGCCATCATGTTTTCTCTCGCTGTTTGTGCGCGGAAAGGAGATCTTGCCACAAAAAGAGAAGCATACAAGGCTTTACCCAAGATCTGTCGAATTCCGACTCATTTGTTTATGTTTATTAAGTTCTGCAAGTTGTTTAGTCAGCCTGGCAAAGGTTGGGGTCGTGCCCACAGGAATGCCATAAAACGATGGTACAAAGAAAAAGAGCCAAAGAAACTGGCCATGGATATCACCAAATATCAAAAGCGTGAAGGATGGTCACATAGGGATGTTGCAAGGTTAATGCATCTCAAGCCAGAAGGAACTGATGTTTCTGATGAGTTGTTTGTGATAATGAAGTATTCTGTTTGTGGTTGGCAGAGGCTTTGACATGTTTCTTTCCAGAAGATAAGACAGTTCTACGTCGTCCTATTGGAGAAAATGGCAACGCAATGCTAGTGTTTTTTAGGGCAGTTGAAAATATAAAAACAGCGCAAGAGGAGGCTAGAGTGGTTGAACTGATAAACCAACATAATCTTGTTAGAGAACATGTTCCTACACATTTCCTTAATTCCAAAGAGGTACAAACATTTCATGTTCTATGTTCTTTTTAAAGTTCTCAACTTGTTATCATTTCAGTGTTTACTAACTGGAATAATTTAGTCTGAATCTTTTCTCAAAAATATGTTTTTTTATAGATTTGCTTTTGTAAGTTCTGAAAAGTTTTCTTAATTATAAAAAAATGATAATCATCATGTTGCATCCTTTATTTGTACTCTAAGTGTGGTATTCCATTGATTTACTTTGGCTAAATTTTATATTTTGTTAATTCCTTCCAAATAGCATTGTTACTAAGTTTATAAATCATAAATTGATTTAGTATGATTTATTCGGCCAAACTCTAGGTATTCTCTAAGCCTATAAGTTGAAACCTTTCTTGTTGCAACTCTTGAACATTTGTTTCTAGGTGTGGGATGCTTTATTAAAGAAAATGCCAATGACTGCAATGATACGTAACTTGAACAAAATGACTTCCATTGGCTTGCTTGCTGAAGGATCACCTCAAGTTAAAGATGTTTGTAATAAACTGTGTAATGAGAATCTGCTAAGAAATGCACGTATTCATCCATTTAACATGTTTTTAGCTTTGACAACATACAAGTCTGGAAAGGGTGAGAAAGGTTCTCTTGAATGGCAAGCCAATGTGGAAATCACCAAAGCATTGGAGAAAGCATTTTATTTATCATTTAAGGTAAACAGAGTACAAAATCAACTTGTTTCACCAAATAGTTGGTATTAATTTTTTTGTTAACTTGCATTTTCAATGTTATTTTGTACAATTTTAGAATGTTGAATCAACAGGTAAAAGTTACATGCTAGCCATAGATGTAAGTGGCTCAATGCAATCCAGTGGATGTATTGGTGCAAGTTCAATCAAACCTCATGTGGCTTCTGCTGCAATGGCTATGATGACAGCACGAACAGAAGAACATCATGAATTTGTTGCATTTAGTCATGAAATAGTTCCAATGGAGATATCCAGTAACATGAATTTGGATGAAGTTTTAAATGTTGCTAACAATGTGAGTAAATTAAATTTATTTGAGCACAATAACTCCTACTTTACCATAATTGATTTAATGTAACTTCATTTTTCATTTTTGAGAATTTTTTGCGAACAGCAATGCTCGTATGTGAAGTTGTTAATTTTTGTGAGTAATTATGAAGCTGTTCATGGTATTAAAGTAAATGGTTTGAATCCGGGAGTATCTTTACATGTTTGTAGATATAGATCTTCCAAGTTAGTATAGTCCTGAGAAGGACTGTTTTTGTTGATGTTGACTGATGTTTCGACAACATTAGCAATAGCAATTTGACGCTGAAGATGACTACCACTAAGGTTGTCGAAATGTCAGTCAACATCAACAACAATAGTCCTTCTCAGGACCCTATTAACATTGATAATCTACATCTACAAACATGTTTGTCATATGTTATGCAAATGCAACACCCTCAACAATTTTTCTTTGTTTTATTTTCAAAAGATTTTAAGTATGCTGTGTAAGTGTCAATTTTATATTGTATTTTTCAGATTCCAATGGGTAGTACAGACTGTGCTCAGCCCATGCTTTATGCCACCACCAACAAATTGAAGATTGATGTCTTTATTGTTTTTACTGACTCTGAAACATATTATGGTGATGTTACTCCAAGGGAGGCTCTCACAAAATATCGTCAGCATTCAGGGATTTATGATGCTAAACTCATTGTGGTTGCCATGACATCAAATGGTTTCACTATTGCTGAGCCAGATGATCCTGGGATGCTTGATATAGTTGGCTTTGACTCTGCTGCACCACAAGTGATGAGAGAGTTTATCTTGGAGAATATTTGAAAGACTTTTAGTAAATATCACTGTATCTTCTTCACAAATGGCCTCATGATATAAAAAAATTTATTTTAATCTAGTAACTCCCAAGTAACAATACTCAAGCACTTTAGTGAATTTATCTGTCATTTGCACAATTTTTGTTTGCACTATCTTGTATACTACCAATTTATAGGAATAATTCATACCTTGAGAGTTAATACTTGTAAATAAAAAATATAACAAAACATTTACCATAGCTTAGCTAACAGAAGCGACGATTGTACGCCTATTCCTTCCTTCCTTCCTCGGTCAGCTCCATTGCGATTTTTGAGCGATGGAAACAAATTGGGGTTAATTAACAAGGAATGAAAATCGCAACGTCAATCAAAATAGAAAGTTGCTGTGTAATCAAGTTCATTGTAATGTGAAGATCAAATTTTGTTTTTGTCATTCGACTATGGAAGAGGTAAAAGGTGTACCCCAAAGTGAAAAGGTAAATTCTCATGGTAGATCATCAATACAAGATGAAAACAGAGTGGAAGATTTTGTGTGGAAGGTTGATGATGTGAAAAGGTTGCGTCGTTTTTTGGTGTTAGGAAGTGAAACACCCACGTACTATATTGACGAAAGAACTTTAGGCTTAGAAAATGAGCGAGTCCTATCCAATCTTTTGGAAGCAGGAAGGGGTGTTGAAGTTGTCAATGAAATAGAGAAGTATAGCATTGGAGGACGAACCGCAAGACAGCAGGCCATCATGTTTTCTCTTGCTGTCTGTGCCCGGAAGGGAGATCTTGCCACAAAAAGACAAGCATACAAGGCTTTACCCAAGATCTGTCGAATTCCGACTCATTTGTTTATGTTTATTAAGTTCTGCAAGTTGTTCAGTGAATCTGGCAAAGGTTGGGGTCGTGCCCATAGGAATGCCATAAAACGATGGTACAAAGAAAAAGATCCATGGAAACTGGCGATGGATCTCACCAAATATCAAAAGCGTAAAGGATGGTCACAAAGGGATGTTGCAAGGTTAATGCATCTTAAGTCAGAAGGAACTGATGTTTCTGATGAATTGTTTGTTATTATGATGTATGTTGTTTGTGGTTGGCAGAAGCTTTTTGAATATTTATTTCCTGAAGATAAGACAGTTCCACGTCGTCCTATTGGAGAGAATGGCAGTGCAATGTTGGCGTTTTTTAGGGCAGTTGAAGAAGTAAAAACATTGCAAGAGGAGGCAAGAGTGGTTGAACTGATAAATCAACATAATCTTGTTCGAGAACATATTCCAACACATTGGCTTGAGTCCAAAGAGGTAAAAACATTTCATGTTTTATGTCATAATTTTTAATAAGTTTATTTAATTCTGGTAGGTTTTAAGAGCTATTGTTATGTTAGTGATATTCATCATGTTGTATCCTTTGTTTGTATTACCATTGTAGTTCTAACTCCGAAACCCTTGTTCTAACTCTTAAACATTTGTTTCTAGGTGTGGAATGCTCTGTTAAAGAAAATGCCAATGACTGCAATGATTTGCAACTTAAACAAAATGACTTCCATTGGCTTGCTTGCTGAAGGATCACCTCAGGCTGTAGGTGTTTGTGAAAAACTGTGCAATGAGGATCTGCTAAGAAATGCTTGTATCCATCCATTCAACATGCTATTAGCTTGGAGAACATACAAGTCTGGAAAGGGTGAGAAGGGTTCTCTGAAATGGAAAGCTAATGTGGAAATAACCAAAGCATTGGAGAAAGCATTTTATTTATCATTTAAGGTAGCATAGTACTTCATCATTTTTTTCACACAAGTAGCTATTAAGTGGCTTTCTTTTTTTTTGTCAACTTGCATTTTCCATGTTATTTTGTATAATTTTAGAATGTGAAACCAACAGGTAAAAGATGCATGCTAGCCATGGATGTAAGTGGCTCAATGCAATCCAATGAATGTATTGGTGCAAGTGCAATTAAGCCTCACATGGCTTCTGTTGCAATGGCTATGATGACAGCACAAACAGAAAAATATTGCAAATTTGTTGCATTTAGTCATGACATAGTTCCTATGAAGATCTCTAGTCACATGAATTTGGATGAAGTTTTAAAGATTTGTAATGAAGTAAGGCAGCTTTCAAATTTTACTTGTCCCATAACTAGCCATTCTTTGCTATCATCGCTATTATCAAATTTTCTTTTTCATTATTGAGTAGTTTTTAGGAATGTACTTTTTACCTAAGAACAATGGCATAGCAAACTCATTAATTGGGATGGGAGACACAAATATATGTATACATGTCTAAATTTGTGAAAAACAATTGACTTTTAAAAGGAATTTAATAGGCAGAACATGCAAAAACAAAGATGTGCCAAATGCAACAGCATTTAATATGCATGGATATTGTATTTGAAAAGGGTTTATGAATGCAGTGTAATTAAACATTAATGTTTATATTGTATTTTTAGATTCCAGAAGGTGATACAGACTGCGCTCAACCCATGCTTTATGCCATTGACAAAAATTTGAAGATTGATGTCTTTATTGTTTTTACTGACTCTGAAACATATTATGGCAAAGTTCATCCAAGGGAGGCTCTCAAACAATATCGTCACCATTCAGGGATTGATGATGCTAAACTTATTGTGGTTGCCATGACATCAAATGGTTTCACTATTGCTGACCCAGATGATCCTGGGATGCTTGATATAGCTGGCTTTGACTCTGCTGCACCACAAGTGATGAAAGAGTTTATCTTGGGGAATATTTAAAAAAAAATCGGTGTAAATCGCCATATCTTCTTCCCAAAATTTTATGACATGTATCAAAAATGTATTTACTATTTCACTAACTTAAACTTAACAATGATTCCTCGTCCAAAGCTCGTTTTTTCTCGGTAGCTCGGTCAGCTCTCGGTTTTACATATCAGTGGTTCCATGTATTTTAGTTCAATGGTTTGAGATAGCCGCTCCAGTTATTATAGAGCTCAATGAATAAAACTCAATGTTCAAAATGCGTTTCGATTTTTGGCGGAAGTTGCAGTTACAGTAAATAATTTGAATTCTTTATTAGTTTAAATACATCGAAATTTCTTTTATGACAGATGGCTTAACTATGCAAGGTACACCGTACGACTTGGGTAACGAAGGGCAAGAGCAAAATTCTATCACCGATTCATCAATTCAAGTCGAAAACAGCGCAGGTGGTTTGGTGTGGAATGTTGATGATCTGAATAGGTTTCGTCGTTTTTTGGTGTTAGGAAGTGAAACACCCACGTACTATATTGACGAAAGAACTTTAGGCTTAGAAAATGAGCGAGTCCTTTCCAATCTTTTGCAAGCAGGAAGAGGTGTTGAAGTTGTCAATGAAATAAAGAAGTATAGCATTGAAGGACGAACCGCAAGACAGCAGGCCATCATGTTTTCTCTCGCTGTTTGTGCGCGGAAAGGAGATCTTGCCACAAAAAGAGAAGCATACAAGGCTTTACCCAAGATCTGTCGAATTCCGACTCATTTGTTTATGTTTATTAAGTTCTGCAAGTTGTTTAGTCAGCCTGGCAAAGGTTGGGGTCGTGCTCACAGGAATGCAATAAAACTTTGGTACAAAGTAAAAGATCCTTGGAAACTGGCCATGGATCTCACCAAATATCAAAAGCGTGAAGGATGGTCACATAGGGATGTTGCAAGGTTAATGCATCTCAAGCCAGAAGGAACTGATGTTTCTGATGAGTTGTTTGTGATAATGAAGTATTCTGTTTGTGGTTGGCAAAAGGTTTTGACATGTTTCTTTCCAGAAGATAAGACAGTTCTACGTCGTCCTATTGGAGAAAATGGCAACGCAATGCTAGTGTTTTTTAGGGCAGTTGAAAATATAAAAACAGCGCAAGAGGAGGCTAGAGTGGTTGAACTGATAAACCAACATAATCTTGTTAGAGAACATGTTCCTACACATTTCCTTAATTCCAAAGAGGTACAAACATTTCATGTTCTAAGTTCTTTTTAAAGTTCTCAACTTGTTATCATTTCAGTGTTTACTAACTGGAATAATTTAGTCTTGAATCTTTTCTCAAAAATATGTATTTTTTATAGATTTGCTTTTGTAAGTTCTGAAAAGTTTTCTTAATTATAAAAAAATGATAATCATCATGTTGCATCCTTTATTTGTACTCTAAGTGTGGTATTCCATTGATTTACTTTGGCTAAATTTTATATTTTGTTAATTCCTTCCAAATAGCATTTTTACTAAGTTTATAAATCAATAATTGATCTGCTATGATTTATTCGGCCAAACTGTAGGTATTCTCTAAGCTGTGAAGTTGAAACCCTTTTTGTTGCAACTCTTGAACATTTGTTTCTAGGTGTGGGATGCTCTATTAAAGAAAATGCCAATGACTGCAATGATACGTAACTTGAACAAAATGACTTCCATTGGCTTGCTTGCTGAAGGATCACCTCAAGTTAAAGATGTTTGTAATAAACTGCAAAACGAGGATCTGCTAAGAAATGCACGTATCCATCCATTTAATATGTTATTAGCTTTGACAACATACAAGTCTGGAAAGGGTGAGAAAGGTTCTCTTGAATGGCAAGCCAATGTGGAAATCACCAAAGCATTGGAGAAAGCATTTTATTTATCATTTAAGGTAAACAGAATACAAAATCAATTTGTTTCACCAAGCAGTTGGTATTAATTTTTTTTGTTAACTTGCATTTTCAATGTTATTTTGTACAATTTTAGAATGTTGAACCAACAGGTAAAAGTTACATGCTAGCCATGGATGTAAGTGGCTCAATGCAATTCAGTGGATGTATTGGTGCAAGTTCAATCAAACCTCATGTGGCTTCTGCTGCAATGGCTATGATGACAGCACGAACAGAAGAACATCACAAATTTGTTGCATTTAGTCATGAAATAGTTCCAATGGAGATATCCAGTAACATGAATTTGAATGAAGTTTTAAATGTTGCTAACAATGTGAGTAAATTAAATTTATTTGAGCATAATAACTCCTACTTTACCATAATTGATTTAATGTAACTTCATTTTTCATTTTTGAGAATTTTTTGGGAACAGCAATGCTTGTATGTAAAGTTGTTAATTTTTTGTGAGTAATTATGAAGTTGTTCATGGTATTAAAGTAAATGGTTTGAACCCGGGAGTATTGTTACATGTTCGTAAATGTAGATCTTCCAGGTTAATATAGTCCTGAGAAGAACTGTTTTTGTTGATGTTGACTGATGTTTCGACAACATTAGTGGTAGCAATTTGACTCTGAAGATGACTACCACTAAGGTTGTTGAAACGTCAGTCAACATCAACAACAACAGTCCTTCTCAGAACTCTACTAACATTGACAATCTACATCTACAAACATGTTTGTCGTATGTTATGCAAATGCAACACCCTCGACAATTTTTCTTTGTTTTATTTTCAAATAATTTCAAGTATGTTGTGTAAGTGTCAATTTTATGTTGTTTTTTTCAGATTCCAATGGGTAATACAGACTGTGCTCAGCCCATGCTTTATGCCACCAACAACAAATTGAAGATTGATGTTTTTATTGTTTACACAGACTCTGAAACATATTATGGTGATGTTACTCCAAGGGAGGCTCTAAAGCAATATCGTAAGCATTCAGGGATTTATAATGCTAAACTCATTGTGGTTGCCATGACATCAAATGGTTTCACCATTGCTGACCCAGATGATCCCGGAATGCTTGATATAGCTGGCTTTGACTCTGCTGCACCACAAGTGATGAGAGAGTTTATCTTGGGGAATATTTGAAAGACTTTTAGTAAATATCACGGTATCTTCACAAATGGCTTCATGATATAAAAAATTTCATTTTAAACTCCCAAGTAACAATACTAAAGCACTGTAGTGAATTTATCTGTCATTTGCACAATTTTTGTTTGCACTATCTTGTATACTACCAATTTATAGGAATAATTCATACCTTTAGAGTTAATACTTGTAAGTAAAAAATATAACAAAACATTCATCATAGCTTAGCTAGCGGAAGCAATCATTGTGAATTTATCCTTTATTTGCACAATTTTTGTTTGCATTATCTTACATTCCACCATTTTGTAGGAATAGTTCATACCTTGAGAGTTAATACTTGTAAGTAAAAAATATAACAAAACATTTACCATAGCTTAGCTAACAGAAGCGACGATTGTACGCCTACTCCTTCCTTCCTTCCTCGGTCAGCTCCATTGCGATTTTTGAGCGATGGAAACAAATTGGGGTTAATTAACAAGGAATGAAAATTGCAACGTCAATCAAAATCGAAAGTTGTTGTGTAATCAAGTTCATTGTAATGCGATGATCAAATTTTGTTTCTGTCATCTCGACTATGGAAGAGGTAAAAGGTGTACCCCAAAGTGAAAAGGTAAATTCTCATGGCAGATCATCAATACAAGATGAAAACAGAGTGGAAGATTTTGTGTGGAAGGTTGATGATATGAAAAGGTTGCGACGTTTTTTGGTGTTGGGAAGTGAAACACCCACGTACTATATTGACGAAAGAAAGCTAGGCTTAGAAAATGTGAGAGCCCTTTCCAATCTTTTGGAAGCAGGAAGGGGTTTTGAAGTTGTCAATGAAATAGAGAAGTATAGCATTGAAGGACGAACACCAAGGCAGCAAGCCATCGTGTTTTCTCTTGCTGTTTGTGCCCGGAAGGGAGATCTTGCCACGAAAAGACAAGCATACAAGGCTTTAACCAAGATCTGTCGAACTTCGACTCATTTGTTTATGTTTATTGAGTTCTGCAAAATGTTAAGTCAGTCTGGCAAAGGTTGGGGTCGTGCCCATAGGAATGGTGTAAAACGTTGGTACTTCGAACTGGAATCAAAGAAACTGGCCATGGATATCACTAAATATCAAAAGCGTGAAGGAAGATCACACAGGGATGTTCAAAAGTTAATGCATTTTAAGCCAGAAGGAAATGATGTTCCTGATGAGTTGTTTGTGATAATGATGTATATCGCTCTTGGTTGGAAGAAGCTTAATGCTTATTTTTCTCCACAAGATGAGACAACTCCACGTCGTTCAATTGGAGAGAATGGCAATGCAATATTGGAGTTTTTTAAAGCAGTTGAAGAAGTAAAAACATTGCAAGAGGAGACAAGAGTGGTTGAACTGATAAATCAACATAATCTTGTTCGAGAACATATTCCAACACATTTCCTTAATTCCAAAGAGGTACAAACATTTTTATGTCTTTGTTAGTTTTTACAGTTCACAATTCGTAATCATGGTAAGCTTACTCATTGGAATAAAACAAATTAGCCATTATTTTTTCCATAATGCTGTAAATATTTTTTATAGACTTTACATTTGTAAGTTATAGGGTAATTGCTTATGCTTGTGTTATTCATCAACATAATGATTACATGTTTATTACTAAATTACACTCATTTTTAAGGTTTGGAGAGCTCTTGCTCATAAAATGCCAATGACTGCAATGCTTCGAAATCTTGGCAAAATGACTAAGATTGGACTACTAGATGAACATTTGGCATTGAACCAAATTTGTGAGAAGTTATGTGATCATCAATTGTTAGAGAAAGCTCGTATTCATCCATTCAATGTTTTGGTTACACTAAAAACCTACATGGATGGACATGGTGATAAGGGGAAACTGACATGGAACCCAAATGAAGCTATTGTTGATGCACTGGAAAAAGCTTTTTACTTATCATTTAAGGTTTGTCATGTCAATGATTGATGATCAAATTTGGCTTGATCGATTCACAAAACATTTTAATCACATGCTGTTATTTGATATTTTGTCTGAAGTGGTTGTGAATATATCTGCAACTGTAATAATAATAATTTTTTATATGAAAATTTTTAGAAAAAAATCAGAGGATTGCAATATAGTTCATCTACCTTTATAAATATGAAACATAAATTTTATATCTATGTTTGCTGATAAATTTTAAATTGCATTTGCATACTAAAAGCAGAGGAAGGAATGGCAAATCACAGCCAACTACATACACATAAGTAAAATGGGTTTTGTATATTGGACTGCCATTCTTAACTTGCATGCCAGAAAATTAATCTTTTGTATTTTTTGCGTAGTTGGTTGAGCCAACAAACAAGAGATACATGTTGGCATTGAATGTTGGTGAATCAATGTCTTATACTGGTTGTGCTGGTACACCATGTTTAACACCACGTGTGGCTGCTGCAGCCATGTCCATGGTTACAGCTCGGACCGAAAGCAAACATCAGTTTGTTGCTTTCTCTCATAAAATAGTTCCATTGATGATCAGCAGTGACTTGACTTTAAATGAGGTGCTACAACTTATGAAATTGGTATGTAGTATGAAATTGTTGATATCTATCATTTTTTATTACAGTAGAAACATAACCTTGTCAATGTTTCCCATTCTCTAGACAGAAATGGGAGGAACAGATTGTGCTCAACCAATGTTGTATGCAATTGAGAACAATCTAGAGGTGGATGTTTTTGTCATTTATACTGACAGTGAAACAAAAGCTGGGTGTATTCACCCAAGCAAGGCTTTGAAAAATTACCGTGATCATTCTGGCATTCAAGCCAAACTGATAGTTGTTGCTATGACTTCAAATGGTGTCACCATTGCTGACCCAGAAGATTCTGGAATGCTTGACATTGTTGGCTTTGACTCAGCTGTACCTCAAGTTATAAGAGAGTTCGTCTTAGATTAAGGGAACTGCAAAAGGTTTCTTCACAAATCTCTTTGTGCAAATCGACAATCAATACAATTTTACACAGAGGCATAACCAGGCTGCTTATTTAGCCCTGCTATGTACAATTTTGGTATGTTCACATAATATGCAAACAAAAGATTTCAAAAGAAATAAACTATGACAGTGTACTAAAATTTATATTGGAGGACTAGATCTTGCGCGTTGGCTATACCACTGATTTTACAATTACAGAGTTATTAGAATATACATAATATTAAATATTGATATCATATAGGAACTTTTTATTACTAACGATCATACATAATTGAATAATTGATCATAGACTTAGCACTTATGTATATAATAACTTAAGGCTCTTAGTCTTAATATGCTTGTTATCTTTTCTGTTGCACTACGTATTATTTTAATAAGGGAAATTACGCCCATGCCTTAGAATGCATACAATGTTTTATTACCAAGTTGATACAAGTTTAACATGCACCTAAACCAGCCCGTTTTTTACTCTCACGCAACAATGCAATTATTTTTTGTTCGTTTACTGGAAAAACAATGAATGCAATTAATTCTTATGACACGAATAATAATTTTTTTGAATACTTAGCATTGTAAGAATGAAAAATTTTACTTACTTCGTCTCTGATTATACATGAATTTATCGGCAAGACCGACCAGGTACACTAATGTGCCAGAGCCAAGTTTTCAACTCAATCTTTCAACCTTTTCATAATCATATTCAGCTAAACAGCATGCTCGCTGTAATTTCTAATTAGTTAGCTGATTTAATAACTTAATAAATAAAATCAAATTAGTCGTAGTCAAAATAATAAAAATACAAATATACAATTCAAGTGTATGTACTCCGTACCATTGAGTTCTATAATAACTGGAGGGGAAACGTCAACAAAATTAGTATAAATTATTAGCGCGCGGCCGCGTGGTCAAAAACATGGCGGATTTTGGTGGTCAAAGTCAGCGGAGAGACGCGGGCTCATGAAATAAAATTTTTGTCGCCCACCCTGATTTGACCACCACGATAGCGAGTATAGAAAATATCAAAACTTTTTATTTTCCTAACATAAACACTTTTTTAAAACTTTATTTATTAAACTGCCAACTTTTGGCTTGCGGATGCTGAAATAGCGACAGAAAAGGGAACATTTCTTGACTCTGGTAAGTAGCACAGTATTAGTTTTACTATTTTGTTTTTAACACGATACTTGAAGAGTGTTTCTACTACTAAGTTTTAATTTAAAGTTATTTTGGTCCAGTCTTGTTTGTTCTTCACTTAATCGCTCGCCAGACGTGGCGAAGCTGTCAATTTTTATCGAGTTTTGCATCCATCTGGTATCATGATCAAGGCATCAAGCTAAACTCTCCTGATTTGAATTGAGTTTAGCTCCCAAAAATGGGGCATAATTTGTTCATGTTTTTTTTTGAAAAGATGAAGGGAAGGTTTACAACAGAGTTGTGTTGAAATTGAATGCAGTGCCATGCAAAATTAATGAGAACTATGGTATATGTTGTATAATAAAAATAACTATTAAACTGTTTGCCTGCTCAATTTGACTGACTGTATAGTGTTGACAATTATGTGATTGGAAGTTGGATTTATGCAAACAGTATTAAAGTACTACTTAGCGTTTCTGTAAATGAAGTATTTATTGTTATAGTAAACAGGTTACTACTTCAAAACCAAGATAAAAGTAGTGTGTTGAATAATGTGCTAAGATTTGTTTCTGCCTTGAAATTTTTGTTCAACAGTAGCTTATGATTATATCATTAATATGCATGAAAAATTAAACATATTATTGTCTCATCTCACAAAATCCATACTTGGTATGATTCCAGGTGATCCACAAGCAAAGTCTGTCTTCAACATGTGACCTTTCCAATTATTTAGTTTCTTTGTACAAAATACTATTTTCGAGAAACTTGATTTGTAAGTCTTTCATTAATATTTTTTTACCAAGAGATAAAAGGAACTAATTCAAAGGCTTGATGTAAAATACAAAGATTTAACAAGTTGTTTATCATTTAATTCCCAAATGTTAGTTTGTACATATAAATAATTAGTATTGGTAGCTGTAAGTTGTTTAAGCAAAACAGAAGAGTAGTAGTGCTCGAAGGGGCATTTTTGAAAAATTATATCTTGTTCATGACATATATTACACAATTCCAAAAAACTGTAAGTAATGCACAATAATATCTATAGAACTTGATAAATTTCTTCACATACACTGTCAAATAACTATTTTGCCTTCATGCAGCAATAGACAGTGTTTTGTCAGAGAAACCAATGCACTTTAGTTTCCAAGTTTGTAATTTCAATGGAAAATTAATGTAGTTCTGTTCAGTAATAGATCCAAGATTCTGCCAAGCTGTTTACAAAATACAAATTACCAAGCAACAGTGTCATGGTGTTTTGAATTTTTCTTTTTGTAGCTCTTCTAGTTCAACATACTTTCTTTATGAGTTTTCAGTAGATTTATCAGGTAATGACAATACACTTATGATACTTATCCATGGTAAACTTTCTGTTGACTTATGTCGTAGGACTGAAGCAAACATTTTCTCGCTTCCTAAGGAGCATTTTACACAGATTTATCCATTTGAAGCAAGAAAATAGGTGCACCAAACTGTCTACAAACAGTCAAACACACAAAAGCATGAAATAATGTATAAGTTTGACGAGATTGACAGGTGTAGTAAAGAATGCCGTTTGATTTTCACTTTTAAAAGGCTAAAATGTCAAAAAATAACTTAAATGTTACATCCAAAATATGCGTTTCTCTACCGTCGATCTTCTTTATTTTGATGTGTGTCTGTACTGTGTTTTTCACGCAATGCTGAAGCATTATTTTCACATGATATGCTGTCGGTATCGTAATTGTTTTTTTTCTCACTTGTTTTCGTTCATACAAACAGTATTAGAAATCAGGAGGGAGTGAATATTGAAAAAAATTTTTAAAGTGGAAGTTTTGACCACCAAAATCCGCCATTACCGCCATGTTTTTGACCACGAGGCCCAGGCCCCTTTGCCCCTCCAGGTCTTATAGAGCTCAATGCTCCGTACTCGTAGTTTTCTACTGTAACTGACAAGTTTCAATTTTCTAGTATAACTAGTATCCTGGATCACAATATAATTTGTTATATGTCAAAGTAAAGGCTGAGACACTGAGTTTTTGGACGATGAGCAGTTGTCGAAGATAATAACTGAAATTAGGTATTACAAAATGCTACAAATCTTAGTGCACATGTTAGAAATCGTAAAAACAAATGTCCCGAAGACTTAGACTACCACAGCAACAGTTCGGAGCATTGTGGATTAAAAGTTCGCGAGTGGCAATACTAATCATAAATTTTACTAAAAAACACAAAAGGGCTTAAAAAATATTTTGTATGGCAGAAATTTTTTGACAAGTCTGCCTTGGCCGAAAATTGGCTTTTTACATTATTTTCCCAAGCACACTGAACATATTTCATCGAATATTGGAGTTGAATAATTTTTGTAGATTTTCTTATTGCAAACATTTAAATTAGCTCAGACGCACCCTTGTGCGTCGACATTCACCACAGTGCAAAGCAAAAGCAAGCTCAAGGCTATGAAATTTTATTGGCTAAGAAATAAGTCTGACCTCCGAGTGCAATGAAAAATGTATATTACTGCATTTTTTTTGTCTCAACGTTATCGATATGCAAATAGGGAGTTTTAGCAAGAGTACGACTACGACTACGAGTACGAAATTTGACCGTGTAAGAGAATGGCACGAGGAAGTTTGTTGTCGTTGTCGCTTCGTCAAAATTTTGCTTTAGTTGTAAACAACAGAACGAGCCTTTTTATTGTGTGAAACACCGACGTTTGCGAAGCAGCTACGGCTCTATTTTTCAATAATGATATCAAAGAATCGATAATACTGGTTTTACAAGAATATAGGACTCTTTAGACTAAAAAATCTTCACTATTTTAAGTTTAATGTACGATATATTTGTACTATTTTATTGTTTGTTTACCTTTCACTTTGCGTACGAAATACATGAAAGTTTTGCAGGTCATATTTTCCTTTTTAATGAACATCTGCGCTCAAAAAAGGTTCTTAAGTAAAGCCTGTATGATCGAAAATAGTACTGTAAACTAATTTCTTACAGAATGAAGAAATATACCTACTTTCTTTGCTTAAAAAGACATCGTAGTCGCGACTACGAATATTTTACAAAACATCATACTCAGATTGATGACGGCTACGTGTTTTTGTTGTCGCAACAATGTTTTCGCGCCAAAATGACGTAAATCGTACTCGTAGGCTCTGCTAAAACTCCCTATTAATAGGACTTACAACGAACATAACTGATTTTTATAACTTTTCAAATTTTCAAACGATTATTTACAAATTTTTCATGTTCCATTTCAAATTTCGATTCAATTTTAAACATTAAGCCATTAAATGGTGTTGCGTTGTTGCATTCCAATCTGATTTCGATTGATCTAATCTAGTAGCACAAGTAGCTGGCACTTTAAATTTCTTTCTCGTTACTAGTCCCTTCGCTCTCACTGTTTTTAACTTCCGGTGTCAAAGAAGTTATAGTAGAAAAACATGCTTAATTTTGTTGATATTTTAGCAAAACTGATTTTATTCCACCCGGAACCCTGTTTTTCACTGATTTCACCCATCGCCGGCTAGGAGTTTGTTTTGGTTTGGTTCAGTGGGCTTACGATGGCTGCAGAAGAGACAGGGGGAGGAGCTGTTTCCCATAGTCAAAAGCTGGATTCTCAAGGCACATCATCCAATAGAGGTGAAACTGAAAACAGCTTGCAAGATTTTGTGTGGAAGGTTGATGATATGAAAAGGTTGCGACGTTTTTTGGTGTTGGGAAGTGAAACACCCACGTACTACATTGACGCAAGAAAGCTAGCTATAGAAAATGCGAAAGCCCTTTCCAATCTTTTGGAAGCAGGAAGAGGTGTTGAAGTTGTGAATGAAATAGAGAGGTATAGCATTGAAGGACGAACACCAAGGCAGCAGACCATCTTGTTTTCTCTTGCTGTTTGTGCCCGGAAAGGGGATCTTGCAACGAAAAGACAAGCATACAATGCTTTACCCAGAATCTGTCGAATTCCGACTCATTTGTTTATGTTTATTGAGTTCTGCAAGTTGTTGAGTAAGCCTGGCAAAGGTTGGGGTCGTGCCCATAGGAATGCCATAAAACGTTGGTACAAAGAAAAAGATCCTTGGAAACTGGCCATGGATATCACTAAATACCAAAAGCATGAAAGATGGTCTCATAGTGATGTTGCAAGGTTAATGCATCTTAATTCAGAAGGGACTGATGTTTCTGATGAGTTGTTTGTTATAATGAAGTATGTTGTTTGTGGTTGGCAGGAGCTTAATGCTTATTTTTTTCCACAAGATGAGACAACATCACATCGTTCAATTGGGGAGAATGGCAATGCAGTTTTGGAGTTTTTTAGAGCAGTTGAAGAAGTAAAAACATTGCAAGAGGAAGTAAGAGTGGTTGAATTGATAAATCAACATAATCTTGTTCGAGAACATATTCCAACATGTTTCCTTAATTCCAAAGAGGTAAAAACATTTCAATTTTTGTGTTCTTTTTACAGTTCTCAACTTGTAATCATTGCAATGTTTATTAACTGAAATAATTAGTTTAGCTGTGAGTTTTTTGGTTTGACATTGGGTAATTTGCAAGCTGTTAATCTGAAATCCTTTTTGTTGCAACTCTTGTTTCTAGGTGTGGGATGCTCTCTTAAGCAAAATGCCAATGATGGCAATGATACGTAACTTAAACAAAATGACTTCCATTGGCTTGCTTGCAGAAGGATCACCTCAGGTTAAAGATGTTTGTAATAAACTGTGCAACGAGAATCAGTTAAGAAATGCACGTATCCATCCATTTAACATGTTATTGGCTTTGAAAACATATGAGTCAGGAAAGGGTGAGAAAGGTTCTCTGAAATGGAAAGCCAATGTGGAAATCACCAAAGCATTGGAGAAAGCATTTTATTTATCATTCAAGGTAGACAAAATTATGTGCATTGGCAAAGGGAAGGCAATGGGGGGAAACCACTCCTCCATAATATTTTCAAGATTATAGTTTTTTTTGCACCAGGAAAAATTGTATTAAGGGCAATCCTCCTCTCCAAGAATCTTGCTGATGTACTGGACAGCATACAAAATCAGTTTTTCTCCCACAATTGTTGTCTTTTGTGTGAAATACATGACCAATACACATTATAGACCACTTAAGCTAATTTTATTGCTATGCAAATTGTAAGTATTGTCTTTTATATGTAGTATACATGTTATGAATCACTTTGCTTTATTCTTTTCATGTACAAGTTCATGCAATGAAATTAACTGGTGTGATGTCATTTTTGGAATAACTAGCATTCTATTTTTTGTTAACTAGCATTTTCCATGTTATGTCATTTTGTGCAATTTTAGAATGTTGAACCAACAGGTAAAAGTTACATGCTAGCCATGGATGTAAGTTGCTCAATGCAAGCCAGTGGATGTATTGGTGCAAGTACAATGAAACCTCATGTGGCTTCTGCTGCAATGGCTATGATGACAGCACGAACAGAAGAACATCATGAATTTGTTGCATTTAGTCATGAAATAGTTCCAATGGAGATATCCAGTAACATGAATTTGAATGAAGTTTTAAAGATTTGTAATGAAGTAAGATGTATCATTGAACATTGTTTCATTCAAATACCTTCAAGCCTTGAAATTTTTTCTGTGCGTGACTATTTGCTATCATTGTAAATGATTAAACTTTGTATTTGAGTGCTCACAATTATTTTTAGGAACCCTTTTTGGAATGTGGTTTGACATAATAAGTGCTTTTAATTATCTGTGAATAATGATGAAGCTGTTTATGATAATAGTGTGCTAGTGCTACAGTCTCGAAAATATGTACGTATGTATTTTGTTTTCAAAAGATTTTAAATTATATTTTTTAGATTCGCAAGGGTGATAAAGACTTTGCTCAGCCCATGCTTTATGCCCTTTACAACAATTTAAAGATTGATGTCTTTATTGTTTACACAGACTCTGAATCATATTTTGGCGAAGTTCATCCAAGGGAGGCTCTCGCAAAATATCGTCACCATTCAGGGATTCATGATGCTAAACTTATTGTGGTTGCCATGACATCTAATGGCGTCACTTTGGCTGACCCAGATGATCCTGGAATGCTTGATATAGTTGGCTTTGACTCTGCTGCACCACAGGTGATGAGAGAGTTTATCTTGGGGAATATTTGAAAGTTTTTAGTAGACATTGATGTTTCTTATCCACAAATGTCCTCATGACATGACAAATTTTAATGTAGTGACCCCCATGTATGATGTATGACATGTAAATCTTAAATTTCTCAATAATTTTTTTGTGAATTTAGTGGTTGTTTTCACTATTTTAATGGAGTAGCTTGTACTTTGGTAGTTATTAAAAAAGTCTTCCTACTCTGAACATAACAAAACATTCACTATAGTAATAAATTGAAACGATGATTCCTCGAACGAATGCTCGTTTTCTTCTTAGTGACTCGGTCGGTCAGCTCTCGTACTCTCGGTACATTTTTGAGAGATAGAAACAAGCCCCCTTTACTAGGAAATCGTGACGACCATTGAGTTCTATAATAGGGAGTTTTAGCAAAGACTACGAGTACGACGACGAGTACGATTTACGTCATTTTGGCGCGAAAACATTGTTGCGACAACAAAAACACGTAGCCGTCATCAATCTGAGTACGATGTTTTGTAAAAAATTCGTAGTCGCGACTACGATGTCTTTTTAAGCAAAGAAAGTAGGTATATTTCTTCATTCTGTAAGAAATTAGTTTACAGTACTATTTTCGAGCATCCAGGCTTTAATTTAGAACCCTTTTTGAGCGCAGATGTACATTAAAAAGGAAAATATGACCTGCAAAACTTTCATGTATTTCGAACGCAAAGTGAAAGATAAACAAACAATGAAATAGTACAAATATATCGTACATAAAACTTAAAATAGTGAAGATTTTTCAGTCTAAAGAGTCCTATATTCTCGCAAAACCAGTATTATCGATTCTTTGATATCATTATTGACAAATAGAGCCGTAGCTGCTTCGCAAACGTCGGTGTTTTACACAATAAAAAGGCTGGTTCTGTTGTTTACAACTAAAGCATCCTCGTGCTATTCCCTTACACGGTCAAATTTCGTACTCGTTCTCGTAGTCGTACTCTTGCTAAAACTCCCTAATGGTGTGGCGTTCAATTATTTTCTTATTTCAATTTCTCGTATGATTTCAATTGAAATCTTCATTAAAACATGGCTCAGCAAAATCATCAACAAAATCAACTAGCAATGGAAGTCGATGAGCCTGTTCCTCAAAAGGAACAATTAAGAATGGATCAAACTCGTAATGACGCCGGTGGTTTCGTCTGGGTTGTCGATGATATGAAACGTTTTCGACGATTTGTAGTGTTAGGAAGCGAAACACCCACGTATTACACAGATGACAGAAAGTTAGGTCTTGAGAATGCTCAATCTTTACTACGACTTTTGAAGAATGGTAGAGGCATTGAGGTTGTGAATGAGATCTTAAAGTACAGTGTTGAAGGCCGTACTGCCAAACTAAATCCCCACTTATATTCGCGTTTGCAATCTGTGCACGCCTTGGTGACTTGAAAACGAAGCAACGTGCTTATGAGGTCTTGGACAAAATTTGTCGAATTCCAACACATCTATTTTTGTTTGTTTTTCATTCAAAGACTTTAAGTAAACCAGGAAGCGGTTGGGGTAAAGCATCACGCAAGGCAATTAAAAAATGGTATACACAAAAAGAAGCAATCAAATTGGCGATGGATGTTACCAAATATCAAAAACGTGAAGGATGGTCACATGCAGATATTGCAAGAGTCACACATCCAAAGTCAGACAAACCTTCCATTCAGTGTGTTCTGAAGTATGCAGTCCGTGGTTATGATGAAATGATAGCTTCATTTCCCACGTCTCAGGATAACACTAATGAACTAGAAACACTATTGAATTTCTTCAAAGCTGTTGAAGAAATAAAACAGTTAACAACAAAGAAAGAGGACAGAGTTGTAGAACTCATTGAAGGACAAAATTTGGTACGAGAACATGTTCCAACAGGTTGTCTTGGATCAATGAAGGTAATCACAATGATCCCTCGCCAGCCCCTATGTATTTTCACAATGACTAGACTATATGACTTCATACCAAAGCCATAAACATAATGTGACTTCTTGCAAGGTTATATGCATATGTGCACATGTGCATATATAACAGTGTAAGAATCCACATTATTATTATTATCATATGAGTTATTTGTACAAATATGTGACAATCATCATTTTATTTCTTCTAATGCATGTATTGTAGCCACTGACTATGTTTCTCCCAGCAGTTTACTTTTGTTTAACTGTATTTTTTTGAAAATTCATAACCAATAGCATTGTTACAAAGATTCTGAATTGATAATCGACAAGAGGCATTTTATTTTCAAACACAGAATATTCTACAATCTGTAAATTTGAAACTCTTATTGTATTTTTTGAACACCTGTTTTTAGGTGTGGAATGCTTTGTTAAAGAAAATGCCAATGACTGCAATGATACGTAACTTGAACAAAATGACTTCCATTGGCTTGCTTGCTGAAGGATCACCTCAAGTTAAAGATGTTTGTGATAAACTGCAAAACGAGGATCTGCTAAGAAATGCACGTATTCATCCGTTTAATGTGTTATTAGCTTTGAAAACGTATGAGTCAGGGAAAGGTGAGAAAGGTTCTCTGAAATGGAAAGCCAATGTGGAAATAACCAAAGTATTGGAGAAAGCATTTTATATATCATTTAAGGTAGACAGAACACACAATCAATTTTTGTCACATAATTTTCCTCTTTTGCATGAGATGTTATGTACATTATGTATCATGTGTACTGATTTTATTCACATACAATTGTATGTGTTATAGATTACTCCAGTTTTCTATACAAATTGTAAGTATTTTTTCTTGTGTGGTACATTTATATGGTATACATTATGAATCATTTGAGCTGATTTTTTTCACATGTAAGTTGCATCTTCTGAAGCTCTCTGATCAGATTTATTTTCATGTGTTTTATTTTTTTGTTGTCTTGCATTTTTCATGTTATTTTGTACAATTTTAGAATGTTGAACCAACAGGCAAAAGTTACATGCTAGCCATGGATGTAAGTAGTTCAATGCAATCCAATGGATGTATTGGTGCAAGTACAATGAAACCTCATGTGGCTTCTGCTGCAATGGCTATGATGACAGCACGAACAGAAGAACATAACAAATTTGTTGCATTTAGTCATGAAATAGTTCCGATAAAGATCTCCAGTAACATGAATTTGGATGAAGTTTTGAAGATTTGTAATGAAGTAAGTTGTTCAAAATACTCAAAAGATTTAAAGTATGTAGTGTAAAGCAAAAAATTTTATATTGTATTTTTCAGATTCCAATGGGTAATACAGACTGTGCTCAACCCATGCTTTATGCCCTTGACAACAATTTGAAGATTGATGTTTTTATTGTTTACACAGACTCTGAAACATATTATGGCAAAGTTCATCCAAGGGAGGCTCTCAAACAATATCGTCACCATTCAGGGATTCATGATGCTAAACTTATTGTGGTTGCCATGACATCAAATGGTTTCACTATTGCTGATCCAGATGATCCTGGAATGCTTGATATAGCTGGCTTTGACTCAGCTGCACCGCAAGTGATGAGAGAGTTTATCTTAGGGAATATTTGAAAATTTTTTAGTGAATATCATTGTATCTTCTCTGCAAATGATAACTCCCATGTTAAAGTAAAAGTGTGCATGCATATTTTGATGGTTTAATGGTCATTGCACTAGATTGCAATTTAATAAATTTTAAAAAGTCTACCTATATTGACAATAAAACTTGACAAAACATTCACTGAACGTAGAATGCTCGTGACGGCTCAAGAATCAAAAAATGACTCTGAAGATGACTATGGCTAAGGTTGTCGAAACGTCAGTCAACAACAACAAAAACAGTCCTTCTCAGGACTACGCCAACCTGGACGATCTACATTTACAAACATGTAACGATACTCCCGGGTTCACAACATTTAGAGGTACTTTAATTCGCATATTTTCATAATGTACATCTCGTAGAGTTTGATTATACCCTTTTTAAACTTACTATTGTTCATCAAAATGTCTTTCTGATTATTTTTCTATGTCGATTTGTTTTGTTTCTTCACTGATATAATAAAGACGTAATTTGAAATTATTATGATAATAGCGATGTGAATAACAAAGTGTTGTTAAATAAGTAAATTTGTAGCAATCTTCCATAAACGTCATTGCAGATGAAATTTTGGTAGCAGTAATAGGATTCTGTTATATTTCTACACTTTTTAAGAAGCAGCAGCGTATAGTCTCCAGTTTGTTTCAAAACAATGCAGGTCGACCTTGTACCATCTTAATTTTCTGCCATTATAAAGCCAAGAAGACAAACTTTTTAGGATTAAATATCTTTACCGGTTGTTCTGTCCCTTTCACAAAAATTTTGCTGGAATCAAAAGCTTGTACAACGAATAAAAACGCAAAAACTGTGAATTTGTAATACAAAAGTATAGTAAAGTGGGACCGATACCCCCCCCCCGAAGGTGATAATCGGAGGAGCCAACTTCCGGCTTCCAATTATCTTACTATCCAGTGTAATATACATATCCAGTGTACATATCAGTGTTTGAGATAGCCGCTCCAGTTATTATAGAGCTCAATGAATAGAACTCAATGTTCAAAATGCGTTTAGATTTTAGGCGGAAGTTGCAGTTACAGTAAATAGTTTGAATTCTTTATTAGTTTAATACATCGAAATTTCTTTTATGACAGACGGCTTAACTATGTCAGATACACCTTCCGACTTGGGTAACAAAGGGCCAGAACAAAATTCTATCACCAATTCATCAAGTCAAGTCGAAAACAGCGCGGGTGGTTTGTTGTGGATTGTTCATATGAATAGGTTTCGTCGTTTTTTGGTGTTAGGAAGCGATACAGGCACTTTCTACATTGACGAAAGAACGTTAGGCTCAGAAAATGAGCAAGTCGTTTTGAATCTTTTGCAAGCAGGAAGGGGTGTTGAAGTTGTCAATGAAATAGAGAAGTATAGCATTGAAGGACGAACTCTAAGACAGCAGGCCATCGTGTTTTCTCTCGCTGTTTGTGCGCGGAAGGGAGATCTTGACACGAAAAAAAAAGCATACGATGCTTTACCCAAGGTCTGTCGAACTCCGACTCATTTGTTTATGTTTATTGAGTTCTGCAAGTTGTTCAGTCAGCCTCGGAAAGGTTGGGGTCGAGCCCATAGGAATGCCATAAAACGTTGGTACAAAAAAAAAGATCCATGGAAACTGGCGATGGATCTCACCAAATATCAAAAGCGTGAAGGATGGTCACATAGGGATGTTGCAAGGTTAATGCATCTTAGGTCAGAAGGAACTGATGTTTCTGATGAATTGTTTGTTATAATGATGTATGTTGTTTGTGGTTGGAAGAAGGTTTTGACATGTTTCTTTCCTGAAGATAAGACAACTCCACATCGTCCTATTGGAGAGAATGGCAGTGCAATGTTGGTATTTCTTAGGGCAATTGAAAATATAAAAACAGCGCAAGAGGAGGCGAGAGTGGTTGAACTGATAAATAAACATAATCTTGTTAGAGAACATATTCCAACACATTGGCTAAGATCCAAAGAGGTATGCACTGTGAGTTCGTAGTTCTTGCACACCCCGACTACGTCAACTCAGCCGGTCCCCACCCAAAATCAGATCCAAAGAGGTACAAATATTTCATGTCTCCTTTTTACAATTCCCAATTTGAAATCATCTCAGTGTTTACTTACTGTAAGAATTTAGTCAGGACAACAAAATTATTATTTAGCTATGACCTTTTCCATATTGTGGTAAATATATAATAATTTTTTATAAGTTTACTTGTGTTAGGTTCTAAGAGCTATTGCCTATATTTGACCATCATCATGTTGCATTCTTTTTCAGTACTTTTTTGTGAGAGTTGTTTCAGCAGTGTACTTTGGTTGAATTTCTTTTTGAACTTCATTACCAATAGTATTTTTAAAAGTATGAGAATCATACTTTGAGCTGCTATAACTTATTTGACCAAACATTTCTACATGCTATGAAATTGAAGTCCTTCTTTTTGTGATTTGAACATTTGTTTGTAGGTGTGGGATGCTCTATTAAAGAAAATGCCAATGATTGCAATGATACGTAACTTGAACAAAATGACTTCCATTGGCTTGCTTGCTGAAGGATCACCTCAGGTTAAAGATGTTTGTGATAAACTGTGCAACAAGGATCTGTTAAGAAATGCACGTATCCATCCATTTAACATGTTATTAGCTTGGAAAACTTACCAGTCTGGAAAGTCTACATGCAAGTCTCACAAGGGTAATAAAAGTCCTTTGAAATGGAAAGCCAACAAGGAAATCACCAAAGCCTTGGAGGAAGCATTTTATTTATCATTTAAGGTAGACAGCATGCAAAATCAATTTTTTAAACAAGAAACAATTAAGCAGCATTTTATTTTGTTTTTTTTGAATTTTCAATATTTTTACAATTTTAGAATATCGACCCAACAGGTAAGAGTTATATGCTGGCTCTCAATGTAAGTGGCTCAATGCAATCCAGTGGATATATTGGTGCAAGTTCAATAAAACCTCACATGGCTTCTGCTGCAATGGCTATGATGACAGCACGAACAGAAGAACATCACAAATTTGTTGCATTTAGTCATGAAATAGTTCCGATTGAGATAGCCAGTGACATGAATTTGGATGGAGTTTTACAGATTTATGATGAAGTAAGTTGTTCAATGTTCAATTAATTTTAATTGTGCACCTCAACTACTAAACTATATATTTCCACTTTGCTATGATTGTTATCATGGAACTTTTTTCTCGTTTTCAAGTGTTTGAAATTGTTTGTGTTTGGCTTTTAATGTATAACATGCTGTTTCCTACTATATGACAAGCCTGTAGTCAGTACGCTAATTGGGGTGGGTATATTTATATGTACATGATATGCCAGATTAGTTTCTTTTGAAATTCATTGTTTTTTACAAATTATGAAATGAATTTATAAATAATTGCCCCTCTCCCTTCCAATTGTTCTGGCTACATGCCTGAATGATGATCAATATCACAGTTTTAAAATTCTTTCCAATCAAAAATATTCTTTTCTACTTTTTACATTCTTTCTAATTCAATTTCATTCCTAGTCAATCTACAATTCCCCCCAGGATTATTGTTGCATAATAATCAGACTTGATCACCTTTGAATCAGTTTGCTAAATTTGGTGAAAAAATTTCCGAAGAGATTGAGCAAATTAATTGAAACTTATTTTATGGCACTTTCTGGCAAGATATTTTGACAACATGATTCAGTGCGAACAAAGATGAAGAATTGTGGATGTAGATATAAATTCTACATATCTTATAAATGAATTTTAATTAAGACAAATATAAAAGGTTGCAATTGTTATTTGAACTAAAAAAAAACTTTAAAAAATAGCAAAGAATATTTCTAATTGGAAAAAAATTAAAACTTTTAGGCATTGAGAAAAGATATTTAGCATAAATAATATATAAATAATCATAATACTGACCAAAGTGAGGTGCTTAATTGTCTGTGGGTGATGATGGAGTTATTTGTTATGATAATTATATACAAATGCTGCACCATGAAAAATAGGTGTGTGTTTTATTTTTGAAAGATATTAAGTATGTGGAGTAAACATGAATTTTTATATTGTATTTTTAGATTCCAGAAGGTGAAACAGACTGTGCTCAACCCATGCTTTATGCCCTTTACAACAATTTAAAGATTGATGTCTTTATTGTTTACACTGACTCTGAAACATTTGGTGATGTTCATCCAAGGGAGGCTCTCAAACAATATCGTCACCATTCAGAGATTCATGATGCTAAACTCATTGTGGTTGCCATGACATCAAAGGGTGTCACAATTGCTGACCCAGATGATCCTGGGATGCTTGATATAGCTGGCTTTGACTCTGCTGCACCACAAGTGATGAGAAAGTTTATCGTGGGGAGCCTTTAGAAATTTAATGAACATCGTAGTATCTTCTCCACAAATGTCCTCATCATGATGTGACAAATTTCATTTTATTGTAGTAACTCCTATGTATGTAACTGCACTCATACACATTTTTCTATTTTAATGATCATTTGCACTATTTTTTAACGCTAGCTTGCACTCCAGTATTTTATAGAAATTCTTCTTTCTTTGACTCAAGTATTATACAAAACATTCATTAAATGAAACGTTTATTGCTCTTTCTCTTCCCGGCGACTTGGTCAGCTCCGGGCGTTTTTTGAGCGATGAAAACAAGTGGGACTTCACAGGAAATTAAATAAATAGCTACGTTTCACTGATTTCGAAATATGACTGGATTATAATTTATAACTAGAATAATCCAGAATTTTCAACACGTAACTACATGAACATATCTAAGAGATAAATCAGTTTATAGAAGAGCAAAAAATACAATGAAATATGATGAAATGTGATCAAAATGCAGCGATTTTTGTCATCGGTAACTCTACTGTGGTATGGAAAAACAATGGAATGTTGATATTTGAGTGATTCATTACAATCAGAAATCAGGAATACATAGAATAGAAATATAATTGATAGAAAGAAAAATAGTCATGGCTTCCCGTATAACATAACATGTGCTAAGATAACATAAATACTTCATGCAATAATATTATAGTGTAACATTACATCATCAATAATACTTCATATTGCTAACACTCCCACTTAATGTGCACTATAAATGTTCTTTAAGAATTACGAATTCTTAAACTAAAATTTCTTTGACACCTAACATGTCTCGAAAGTTTTGGAATGTTTGCTTTGGTAAACTTTTCGTCATAACATCCGCTAACATCTGATCTGTACTACAGTATTGAACAATAATGGAATTATCGTTGACCTTTTCTCTAACAAAATGATACGCAACGTCAATATGTTTAGTGCGATTGTGAAATCGTGGATTCCTCGAAAGTTCAATTGCCCTTGGTTATCTTCGTTCAGTATAGATGGTTGATCTTGATTTATTCCAATATCCGCTAGTAAACGTCGTAACCATATGATTTCCTGTGTTGCATAACTTAGTGCAACATACTCAGCTTCAGTCGAAGATCTTGCAACACAAGATTGTCGCTTGCTGCTCCAGCTGACGGTTGATTTGTTTATCTGGAACACGTATCCTGATGTAGATCTTCTTGTATTTACATCACTTGCCCAATCAGCATCTGAATATCCAACCACTTCGCATGTTGAATCTTTGCTTTGAAAAACAAGACCATAATTGATTGTGCCTTTTAGGTATCTCAACACTCTTTTGCTCCTGCCAATGCTCCTTTCCTGGCTTTGACATAAATTTTGAAAGAATACCTACAGCAGATGCCAAGTCAGGTCGAGTTGCCGTTGTCACGTATGTCAAACATCCGATAAGTTTTGATATTCATGAATATTTGTTGCGGTCTCTTCTTCGGGCAGATTCTGAAAATGTTTTCCAGGTTCTAACGGTGTTGAAACAGGTTTGCAATGTTCCATGTTGAATCGTTTCAAGATTCCTTCCAAATATTTTGATTGACTAATTGTCAATTTTCCCTTTTCTGTCTCGTTTGATCAGCATACCAAGGACATGTTTGACTTCATTTAAATCTTCAACTTTGAACTTTGATGCAATGGCTTTCTTCTCCACCTTCAGCATTTTCGTAGAATTGGAAAATAGGAGAATATCATCTACATGAATAGATAGTATCACGAAATTCACATTTCCATCTTGCTGTTTAATAGATTTCACGTACAGACATGGATCACAGCTCATTTGATTGTATCCTTTTGATTTCAGGTATGAGTCGATGGCGTTGTTCCAACATCTGGCTGACTGTTTTAAACCATAGATGCTTTTTCTCAATTTGCAGACATAGTCAGGATGCTTCTTACTAATATAACCTTCAGGTTGTCGCATATAAATTTCTTCATCCAAATTTCCTTGTAAAAACGCTGTTTTAACGTCCATTTGGTGAATTTCCCAGTCTTTTGCATTCGCTAAAGCTAACAACGATCGAACAGTTGTATTTCGTATGACGGGTGAAAATACTTCATGATAGTCGACACCTTCAGCTTGTGAGTAGCCTTGTGCAACTACGCGAGCTTTATATCTCTGTATTTCTCCATTTTCGTCTCTCTTCACCTTGAAAACCCAACGGCTTCCAACAATATTCTTATTATCTGGTAATGGGACAAGTTCCCAAGTATCGTTCTCGATAAGTGAATGAAATTCGGAGTCGGTTGCTTTTCTCCAGTCATGTGCATGTTCTCCAGAATAGGCTTCGTTGATGTTTGCTGGTTCGTTGATTTCCGCAGTTAAATCATTGGCGATGTAGCATTCTTCATCAAACTTTTGGGGAGGTCTTCTTTGTCTCCTTTCACCAATGTTTTGTACTTCATTCATAAATCTCTCCTCGTACGTTACTCCCACTGGCTCGTTATCGTTGATTTCTGCATCCATGTTGACGTTTTCGATAATTGGATTCAAATCAAAATCTTTACCTGCTTGCGTTGGGGTTTCTTCGATAATCACCGGAACATTTTGCTCTTTCTTTTGATCAAATGCAGTCAATGGTCTTTTGTCTTCACCAAAGTCATGGAATTGTGTTTCCACAAACATTGCATCACGGCTACGGATGAATTTCAATCCAATAGGGTCATAAAACTTGTACCCCTTTGTTCCGTCAGGGTATCCCACAAAAGTAATTTCCGGGATTTTGGGTCTAACTTCTTACGCTGGTTCTCTGGAATATGTACATAGCTCACACAACCAAATACTCGTAGATTAGCTACATCCGGTTTTCTTCCATATAGACATTCGTATGGAGTCATATCCTTTACTGATGTTGTAGGACTTCGATTACGTAAATAGACGGACGTATTTACAGCCTCAGCCCAAAATTCATTTGGCAAATGTGAATGAGACAGCATAGAACGAGCAGATTCAACAATGGTACGGTTCATTCTTTCTGCAATGCCGTTTTGCGCCGGATTATGAGGTACACTTAACTGATGGATGATACCATTTTTCTTCAGGAAATCTTTAAATTGCTGTGAGCAATATTCCCCACCGTTATCAGATCGTAGGGTCTTGATAGGTTTGCCAGTAATGTTGCGAACATGACTATGAAATTCCTTGAATTTCTCTAAAACTTCGCTTTTCTTCTTTATGAAGTAGATGTACGTATACCTTGAATAGTCGTCGATGAATGTGATGTAGTAGCGCGATCCACCAAAAGAGTTTACAGACATGGGACCACACACATCACTGTGTACAAGCTCAAACGGTTGGTTGGCACGGTAATGGTCATCTTTCGGATAAGAACACCGATGTTGTTTCCCCATCATACATCCCTCGCAGAATGAGATATTTTCATTTACATCACTCATTCCTTTAACCAAATCTCCATTTAACAATTTACGAACATTGTTCATTCCCAAGTGCCCAAATCTGCAGTGCCATAAATGCAAGCTTGAATTTGATGCGTCCTTTGCAATGTTCACATGTTCATGTCCAATCCTTAATTTGTACAATTTTCCACATATGTCCCCAACAGCTAGAAGTTTGGAATTACGAGATATCTTACACTTGTTACCTTCAAACATAACAGTAGCTCCAAGTTTTATCATGGAATAGACTGATAGTAGATTCTTGTCCAATTCTGGTAAGTACAATACGTTGCGTAATGATATGTTCTGAACGTGATCATCAAGTATTGCTTTCAAATGATAGGTACCTTTTCCATATGCCAAGATTGATCTATTATCACCTAGATTCACCACCGAGGGTTGCTTGAATGTCACATAATCCGTCAGTGCTTCTCTTTCATATGACATATGCTGGGTAGCACCAGAATCTATGATCCAATCTGATCTTCCAATAAGTTCAGATCCATTGCTTATCAAGGCTTCATCCTCATGCACTTTGTCATCTTGTCCTTCGGCACAATGCGCTTGAGTGTTTCTGTTTGCACCATTCTTAGTTTTCTTGTTTGGACAGTCACGAGCATAGTGTCCTTTCTCTTGACAATTGTGACATTTTCCTTGAAAAGGTTTTCTGTTGCTTCCATCGTTCTTCCTTTTTATTATTATTTTATCACCACGATTCCTACCACGAATAAAATTTCCTCTATGAGCAGAATATGCATCTTCCTTAGTATTCTTCAAATCATTAGTACGGTCCACATCATTCAGAATTAAGTTCTTTACTTTTCAAAGAGATCTCTGTTTCTCCCATGGCATCTAAGGCTGTTATTAATGGTTTGTATTGCTCAGGTAAGCTAGCTAACAGAGTCATAGCCAATTCTTTGTCATCCACGCTGACTCCCATTTCCTTGAGTTGCTCATGCAGCGATTTGAGATGGCTGATGTGTTCAAGCACACTATCTCCAATATGGTATTTACAGGAATAATACTGTTGGCGTAGTCTCACCTTCTGAAGAAGTGATTCTCGTGCGAATTGATTTCTAATTGCATCCCATGCCTCCTTGGCAGTTTTCGTATCTCGCACGTGGATCTGTTGCTCGGGCTCGATGGCCAAACAGATGTATGTCCACGCTTTCTTCGCAGCCGAGTTAAACTTCCTTCGCGTTTCAGCACTAGCATCCTCATTTGGAAATTCAGCTGTTCCCTCCGCATGCTCGAAAAGATCCAGACTTTCCAAATACAGCTTCATGTTGAAAACCCATGAGCGGTAATTACTGCCGTTCAGTTTCGCGAACCTTAACGCATTCGACATATCCGACGTGGCCATGCTTAAATTTCGACTATATATTTTATTGCAATGACTTTTCACTTAAATAATGACCTTCTACGTCCTGGGCCCATAACCTGTTGATATTTGAGTGATTCATTACAATCAGAAATCAGGAATACATAGAATAGAAATATAATTGATAGAAAGAAAAATAGTCATGGCTTCCCGTATAACATAACATGTGCTAAGATAACATAAATACTTCATGCAATAATATTATAGTGTAACATTACATCATCAATAATACTTCATATTGCTAACATGGAAAATAGCCCACAGCTGCATGGAAATACCTAAAATTGTTGGAATCGTAGTTCAGAAGTATAAACTTATTAACTGATCTCATTTAAGATCATAAACTGATCAATCCTTTAAAATTACAAGCTTTTTTTACGAGTGATTCGGAGAGAAATCTGTATGCGTTTTGTTTTATACGGCCGATTATTCTTTCTGACTTGTTGTACTATCGCCATAAAGGTTGTTTTTCATCTTCTGCGTTATCTTAAAGCATAATTTGGCCATGTGTGGCTATGTTTTCCATAGTTTTGTTAAAAAATCTTTCGATGTGTTGGTCCCTTACTAACGGCGGGGGTGGCTTCAAAATTTGTTTACTTAAAATATGCAGTAAATGGTAAATATGCAGTTGCTTGATCCAGTCTTTATTCAAGATCAGTGAAACGTTTCAATTTCAGCGAAAACTTACGCAGTCATCAATTTCTTTTGTTTTGTTGACATCAAATTATTGGGTTTTTTTTGACTGATGCATCAACTATGGATAAATGGATATATTTGTAGAATTTAAAAATATGGATAAGTTTCGTCGCTTTTTGGTATTGGAAAATGAAACAGGCACCTTCTATGTTGCCAAAAAAAGTTTACGCCAACAACATGAACGAATCATTTTGAATCTTTTGGAAGCAGGAAGAGGTGTCGAAGTTGTCAATGAAATAGAGAAGTATAGCATTGAAGGACGAACACCAAGGCAGCAGGCCATTGTGTTTTCTCTTGCTGTCTGCGCCCGGAAGGGAGATCTTGCAACGAAACAGCAAGCATACAAAGCTTTACCCAAGATCTGTCGAATTCCGACTCATTTGTTTATGTTTATTAAGTTCTGCAAGTTGTTTTGTGAATCTGGCACAGGTTGGAGTCGTGCCTATAAGAACGCCATAAAACGATGGTACAAACAAAAAGATCCATGGAAACTTGCCATGGATCTCACCAAATATCAAAAGCGTGAAGGATGGTCACACAGGGATGTTGCAAGGTTAATACATTTCAAGTCAGAAGGAACTGATGTTTCTGAAGAGTTGTTTGTTATAATGAAGTATGTTGTTTGTGGTTGGAAGGAGCTTTTGAAATATTTCTTTCCTGAAGATAAGACAGTTCCACGTCGTCCTATTGGAGAAAATGGCAATGTGATGCTGATGTTTTTGAGGGCAGTTGAAAATATGAAATCATTGCAAGAGGAGGCGAGAGTGGTTGAACTGATAAATCAATATAATCTTGTTCGAGAACATATTCCAACACATTGGCTTAATTCCAAAGAGGTAAAAACATTTCATGTTTTATGTCATAATTTTTAATAAGTTTATTTAATTCTGGTATGTTTTAAGAGCTATTGTTATGTTAGTGATATTCATCATGTTGTATCCTTTATTTGTATTACCATTGTAGTTCTAACTCCGAAACCCTTGTTCTAACTCTTAAACATTTGTTTCTAGGTGTGGAATGCTCTGTTAAAGAAAATGCCAATGACTGCAATGATTCGCAACTTAAACAAAATGACTTCCATTGGCTTGCTTGCTGAAGGATCACCTCAGGTTATTGAAGTTTGTAATAAATTGCACAACGAGGATCTGCTAAGAAATGCTCGTATCCATCCATTCAACATGCTGTTAGCTTGGAGAACATACAAGTCTGGAAAGAGTGAGAAGGGTTCTCTGAAATGGAAAGCCAATGTGGAAATAACCAAAGCATTGGAGAAAGCATTTTATTTATCATTTAAGGTAGCATAGTACTTCATCATTTTTTTCACACAAGTAGCTATTGAGTGGCTTTTTTTTGTCAACTTGCATGTTCCATGCTATTTTCTATAATTTTAGAATGTGGAACCAACAGGTAGAAGATGCTTGCTAGCCATGGATGTAAGTGGCTCAATGCAATCCAATGAATGTATTGGTGCAAGTGCCATTAAGCCTCACATGGCGTCTGTTGCAATGGCTATGATGACAGCACAAACAGAAAAATATTGCAAATTTGTTGCATTTAGTCATGAAATTGTTCCTATGACGATCTCTAGTCACATGAATTTGGATGACATTTTGAAGATTTGTAATGAAGTAAGGCAGCTTTCAAATTTTACTTGTCCCGTAACTAGCCATTCTTTGCTATCATTGCTTTTATCAAATTTTCTTTTTCAATATTGAGTAGTTTTACTTAAGAATAATGGCATAGCAAACTCATTAATTGGGATGGGGACACAAATATATGTATACATGTCTAAATTTGTCGAAAACAAATGACTTAAAAGGAATTTAATAGGCAGAACGTGCATAAATAAAAATGTGCCAAATGCAACAGCATTTAATATCCATGGATATTGTACTTGAAAAGGGTTTACAAATGCTGTGTAATTAAACATTAATGTTTATATTGTATTTTTAGATTCCAGAAGGTGATACAGACTGCGCTCAACCCATGCTTTATGCCATTCACAACAATTTGAAGATTGATGTCTTTATTGTTTACACTGACTCTGAAACATGTTGTGGCGAAGTTCATCCAAGGGAGGCTCTTCAACAATATCGTCACCAATCAGGGATTCATGATGCTAAACTCATTGTGGTTGCCATGACATCAAAGGGTTTCACTATTGCTGACCCAGATGATCCTGGAATGCTTGATATAGTTGGCTTTGACTCTGCTGCACTGCAAGTGATGAGAGAGTTTATCTTGGGGATTCTTTAGAAATTTATTGAACATCTCTGTATTTTCTCCACAAGTGTCCTCATCATGATGTGACAAATTTCATTTTATTATAGTAACTCCTACGTTTGTAACTGTAGTCATACACATTTTTCTATTTTATTGATCATTTGCACTATTTTTTACACTAGCTTGCACTCCAGTATTTTATAGAAATTCTTCTTCTTTGACTCAAGTATTATACAAAACATTCATTAAATGAAACGTTGATTGCGCTTTCTCTTCCCGGCGACTTGTTTAGCTCCAGACGTTTTTTGAGCGATGGAAACAATGTGACTTCACAGGAAATTAAATAAATAGCTACGTTTCACCATTGAGTTCTATAAAAACTTCACCATTGAGTTCAGGAAATTAAATAAATAGCTACGTTTCACCATTGAGTTCTATAGAGCTCAATGCGTTTCACTGATTTCGAAATATGACTGGATCATAATTTATAACGAGAATAATCAAGAATTTTCAACCAGTGAGTTCTATAATAACTAGAGCGGCTATTGCGTCCTCGCCCCAGTAAAGTTAGCCGCTCCAGTTATTATAAAACTCAATGGTTAAACCTAGTTTTCCGCTTAGGTAGAGCTGTTATTTTATAAAACTAGGGTGTATTGTAAACAATTATTGCTTAAAGTCATTTCTTTAAAGTTAAATGAGCAAGAATGTAACTGCAAAACTCGTTAGAGTTTAGCTAAATCATTTTGAAAAATGGTGTTGACCAAGAGACAGAGAATCATATATGTTTACTCAATAATTAAATGATAAGTGAATCATTTTCTTACGTTGTAAATAATAAAATACATAAGTCGTCAGTGAATTTGGGTTGTATGGTACCATCACCAAAAACAGTTTTGCTAAATACTTATAATTATCAAAGAGGAGCTGTTTAAGAATTCGTTCCCTCGAAGCTAATACATAGATTTTACGACGCTTTTACGTATAAATAAATAAGAAAACTAGAACAGTTTAGGAAGCTTACGATTTACGTGGGCAATATAATATATTTGTGAGCGTGTGGGAGGGGGGCTAGTGTTGGTCGCCTTATTTAAGTATTGAAATAATAGTCTTAATAATTTATATTGTCAACAAGTATAAAAAAGCGTTGCTGTCGTGGCGTCACTGGTGTGGCACTGAATTATTTTCTTATTTCAATTTTTCGTATGATTTGAATTCAAATCTTCAATAAAACATGGCTCAGCAAAATCAGCAACAAAATCATCAACAAAATCAACTAGTAATGGAAGTCGATGAGCCTGTTCCTCAAACGGAACAATTAAGAATGGATCAAACTCGTAATGACGCCGGTGGTTTCGTCTGGGTTGTCGATGATATGAAACGTTTTCGACGATTTGTAGTGTTAGGAAGCGAAACACCCACGTATAACACAGATGACAGGAAGTTAGGTCGTGAGAATGCTCAATCTTTACTACGACTTTTAAAGAATGGTAGAGGCATTGAGGTTGTGAATGAGATCTTAAAGTACAGTGTTGAAGGCCGTACTGCCAAACTAAATCCACTTATATTGGCGTTTGCAATCTGTGCACGCCTTGGTGATTTGAAAACGAAGCAACGTGCTTATGAGGTCTTGGACCAAATTTGTCGAATTCCAACACATCTATTTTTGTTTGTTGTTAATTCAAAGATTCTAAGTAAACCAGGAAGTGGTTGGGGTAAAGCATCTCGCAAGGCAATTAAAAAATGGTATACACAAAAAGAAGCAATCAAATTGGCGATGGATGTTACCAAATATCAAAAATGTGAAGGATGGTCACATGCAGATATTGCAAGAGTCACACACCCAATGTCAGACAAACCTTCCATTCAGTGTGTTCTGAAGTATGCAGTCCGTGGTTATGAGGAAATGATAGCTTCATTTCCCATGTCTCAGGATAACACTAATGAACTAGAAACACTATTGAATTTCTTCAAAGCTGTTGAAGAAATAAAAAAGTTAACGACAAAGGAAGAGGACAGAGTTGTAGAACTCATTGAAGGACAAAATTTGGTACGAGAACATGTTCCAACAGGTTGTCTTGGATCAATGAAGGTAATCATAATGATCCCTTGCCAGCCCCTATGTATTTTGACAATGACTATATGACTTTATACCAAAGCCATAAACATAATGTGACTTCTTGCAAGGTTATATGCATATGTGCACATGTGCATATATAACAGTGTAAGAATGCACATTATTATTATTATCATATGAGTTATTTGTACAAGTATGTGACAATCATCATTATATTTCTTCTAATGCATGTATTGTAACCACTGACTATGTTTCTCCCAGCAGTTTACTTTGGTTTAACTGTATTTTTTTGAAAATTCATAACCAATAGTGTTACAAAGATTCTTAATTGATAATTGACAAGAGGCATTTTATTCTATAACACAGAATATTCTACAATCTGTAAATTTGAAACTGCTATTGTATTTTTTGAACACCTGTTTTTAGGTGTGGAATGCTCTGTTAAAGAAAATGCCAATGACTGCAATGATGCATAACTTGAACAAAATGACGTCCATTGGCTTGCTTGCTGAAGGATCACCTCAAGTTAAAAATGTTTGTGATAAACTGCAAAATGAGGATCTGCTAAGAAATGCTCGTATTCATCCGTTTAATATGTTATTAGCTTTGAAAACGTATGAGTCAGGGAAAGGTGAGAAAGGTTCTCTAGAATGGAAAGCCAATGTGGAAATCACCAAAGCATTGGAGAAAGCATTTTATTTATCATTTAAGGTAGACAGAACACACAGTCAATTTTTGTCACATAATTTTCCTCTTTTGCATGAGATGTTATGTACATTATGTTTCATGTGTACTGATTTTATTCACATACAATAGTATGTGTTGGAGATTACTCTAGTTTTCTATACAAATTGTAAGTATTTTTTCTTGTGTGGTATATATATATGGTATACATTATGAATCATTTGAGCTGATCTTTTTCACATGTAAGTTGCATCTTCTGAAGTTCTCTGATCAGATGTATTTTCATGTGTTCTATTTTTTTGTTGTCTTGCATTTTTCATGTTATTTTGTGCAATTTTAGAATGTTGAACCAACAGGAAAAAGTTACATGCTAGCCATGGATGTAAGTGGCTCAATGCAAGCCAGTGAATGTATTGGTGCAAGTACAATGAAACCTCATGTGGCTTCTGCTGCAATGGCTATGATGACGGCACGAACAGAAGAACATCATGAATTTGTTGCATTTAGTCATGAAATAGTTCCGATGAAGATATCCAGTAACATGAATTTGGATGAAGTTTTGAAGATTTGTAATGAAGTAAGTTGTTCACAAAACACTCGAAAGATTTGAAGTATGTAGTGTAAAGCAAAAAATTTTATATTGCATTTTTCAGATTCCAATGGGTAGTACAGACTGTGCTCAACCCATGCTTTATGCCCTTTACAACAATTTAAAGATTGATGTCTTTATTGTTTACACTGACTCTGAAACATATTATGGTGATGTTCATCCAAGAGAGGCTCTCGCAAAATATCGTCACCATTCAGGGATTCACAATGCTAAACTCATTGTGGTTGCTATGACATCAAATGGTTTCACTATTGCTGACCCAGATGATCCTGGGATGCTTGATATAGTTGGCTTTGACTCTGCTGCACCACAAGTGATGAGAGAGTTTATCTTGGGGAATTTTTAGATTTTTTTAGTAAACATCATTGTATCTTCTTCACAAATGCCCTTGTGGCTACTGATATAAAAAGAATCATTTTTATATAACGCTCATGTAAATTTTAAAGTTTTCAAGCACATTTTCGTGAATTTAACGTTCAATTGCACTGTCTTGGCACTTCCATATTTTTTTAAAAGTTTTCCTACTTTGACACTAAAAAATGTAAAAATATAATACAACATCAGTATAACGGAAACAATGAATGCTCGTCTTTACCTCGGTGTCGAGATCTGCCCTCGGGAGATTTTTGAGCGATATAAACAAGTTTTCCCTCTAACAGGAAATCGTGCACAACGTACATCGACGTCTCAATCACTGGTTGCAATTTCTGCGAATAATACTGAATGAGTTGATTTGTAACGCACAGGACTAATTCAAGGATTGACTATGGAACCCATAGAAATGGACGAAGCTGTTCCCCAAAGTCAAAGGCTAGATACAATTGATAGATCATCAATTCAAGTCAAAAACAGCGCGGGTGGTTTTGTGTGGAAGGTTGATGATATGAAAAGGTTGCGACGTTTTTTGGTGTTGGGAAGTGAAACACCCACGTACTATATTGACGAAAGAAAGCTAGGCTTAGAAAATGCGAGAGCCCTTTACAATCTTTTGCTAGCAGGAAGGGGTGTTGAAGTTGTCGATGAAATAGAGAAGTATAGCATTGAAGGACGAACACCAAGGCAGCAGGCCATCGTGTTTTCTCTTGCTCTCTGTGCCCGGAAGGGGGATCTTGCCACAAAACAACAAGCATACAAGGCTTTACCCAAGATCTGTCGAATTCCGACTCATTTGTTTATGTTTATTGAGTTCTGCAAGGTGTTCAGTCAGCCTGGCAAAGGTTGGGGTCGTGCCCATAGGAATGGCATAAAACGATGGTACAAAGAAAAAGAACCAAAGAAACTTGCCATAGATATCACCAAATATCAAAAGCGTGAAGGATGGTCACATAGGGATGTTGCAAGGTTAATGCATCTTAAGTCAGAAGGAACTGATGTTTCTGATGAGTTGTTTGTTATAATGAAGTATGTTGTTTGTGGTTGGCAGAGGCTTTTTGAATATTTCTTTCCTGAAGATAGGACAACTCCACGTCGTTCTATTGGAGAAAATGGCAATACAATGCTGGCGTTTTTTAGAGCAGTTGAAGAAGTAAAAACATTGCAAGAGGAGGCAAGAGTAATTGAACTGATAAATCAATATAATCTTGTTCGAGAACATATTCCAACACATTGGCTTAATTCTAAAGAGGTAAAAACATTTTATGTTTTATGTCCTTTCTAAGTACAGTTTTGAAAGTGTAATCAAGGGCAGTGTTTATCATCTGGAATGATTTTAGGTACAAATTTTTCAAATATGTATGAAACATATCATAATATTTTTGTGTTCTAAGAGATTGCTTATAAAGTAAATGGTTTGAACCCGGGAGTATCGTTACATGTTTGTAAATGATGATCGTCCAGGTTAATAAAGTCCTGAGAAGGACTGTTTTTGTTGTTGTTGACTGACATTTCAACAACCTTAGCGGTAGTCATCTTCAGAGTCAAATGAGGAGTAAACGTCAAGTTAGCCGTATTTGTTATCTGGTTCTTACATCATTGTATTGTGTGTACAGGAAATGTGTATTGTCATTGTGGATTAGTGTGAAGTGAAATATATTATTTTTAGTTGTGATATGTGATTTAGGTGTGATGTTTTTAGTTGTAATGCGTGTAGTTTTTAATTGTAATGTTTTAAATTGCTTATATTAATCATTAGCACAATGATCACATATTTATTATTTATAATTATATCCTCTTTTTAAGGTTTGGAGGGCTCTTGTTCAAAAAATGCCAATGACTGCAATGCTTCGAAATCTTGGCAAAATGACAATAGTTGAACTACTAGATGAGCAGTTGGCATTGTCCCTTATATGTGAGAAGTTACTCAATCAAGATCTGTTAACGAGAGCTCGTATTCATCCATTTAATGTTTTGGTTGCACTAAAAACCTACATGGATGGACATGGTGAAAGGGGGAAACTGACATGGAACCCAAATGAAGCTATTGTTAATGCATTGGAAGAAGCTTTTTACTTATCATTTAAGGTTTGCAATGTCTTCTTCCATGATTGACTAAATATTGTCTTATGATCAAATCACAAAGCATTTTTACTTTTTTGTTGTGAATTTGTTATTCAGTCTGAAGTGGTTATGAATATATCAGCAAATACCATGACCAGTCACTTTTCTAAATGAAAATTGTTTATTGAATAGGTGCATTAAACTGCAGAAGTTTAAAATGTAAATTTATGGCTCTGCTTGGTAAAAATTTTAAATTACATAACATTGATGCACTAAAATGAATGATGAATTCAGCCAACTACAGACCTAGATGTTAAATAACCTAGATGTTGAAGTTTCACAGCCCTTCTTAACTTGACCACTGGAAAATTCATCTTCTCTATTTTATTGCGTAGTCGATTCAGCCAACAAACAAGAGATACATGTTGGCATTGGATGTCAGTGGTTCTATGTCTTATTCTGGTTGTGCTGGTACGCCATGTTTAACGCCACGTGTGGCTGCTGCAGCCATGTCCATGGTTACAGCTCGGACCGAAAGCAAACATCAATTTGTTGCTTTCTCTCATGAAATAGTTCCATTGATGATCAGGAGTGACATGAGTTTAAATGAGGTGCTAGAACTTATGGAATTGGTATGTAGTGTGAACTTATATTAATTTGTATTGTTTTTATTACGTTAAAAACATAACCTTGTTGTTTTCCATTCTCTAGATAAAGAATGGTGGGACAGATTGTGCTCAACCAATGTTGTATGCAATTGAGAACAAAATAGAGGTGGATGTTTTTATTGTTTATACTGACAGTGAAACAAAAGCTGGGAACATCCACCCAAGCGAGGCTTTGAAAAGATATCGTCAGCATTCTGGTATTCAAGCAAAACTCATAGTTGTTGCTATGACTTCAAATGGTTTCACAATTGCTGATCCAGAAGATTTTGGAATGCTGGATATTGTTGGCTTTGACTCAGCTGCACCACAAGTGATGAGAGAGTTTATCTCGCGCTAATAGAACAGCAAATGATTTCTTCACAGATATTTTTGTGGAAATGTACAATGAATACAATCTTACAATGTCTGAACAATTCTGCTTGTCCTACAGAATACATGAAATGTTTTATCTATTTAATGGTCTTTGATACATAAGTAATATGCAATGTGACATTGCTTCATGTGAACATGCAGTGAACTATAGTGGTGCTGTTGAAAAGTGCACCAGATCAAAGACTTCAACATTTTATAGCATGGTTTAGTTAAGTGCTTCACTGATATTGATATTGGCACATCGGTATCGACGTATAGGCTCTAAAATAGAATTATTGGTATCGGTATTTTGCTTGCTAACAATACCGATAGTTAGACATTGAAGTAGAAATACAATCAAAATGAATCACAGTTTAACAATACTAAATATACTGTTGAATTTTTTAAAAAAACACACCGGAAAACATCAGTGTATGCAGTATTTAAGACAATTTTTTTTCATACGGCCTTACAGATTTTGGGGCTTTCAATTGTATAAATGCCGATTCTATCTTTCAGGAACAAACAAAATAAGCGAATAACTCACCTGTGAAAAGCGATGTGCTTCGTGTTGTCAATATTACGACATTCTACAATTGAACATCGATTAGGCATTTTTGAAAAAAATATTGTTTTGACCTTGAAAAATATTGTTTATTTATCATACAGCTTGCAATTGCATTTGAAATTTTCAACTGAAGGAAAATCAATAACATCAATCCGGGGGAGGTTGAGAATATAATTTTTCTGCAAAGCGGTCATTTCAGCGGAAATACGTCCGTTGGCCGCAGTGAACTCGACATTCGAATAACTGGAATGATAACCGAAGCCAAAAATTGAAGCCAAAAAAATATTTGTTGTCATCATTCGTCACCACACGTCAGGCTCAAGTCTCTCGCATGTTTATTTTAATTTTTTTAAATCATTTGTCCCTTGGTAAAGATAGAGTTCGGATCTTGATAAGAGCGTAAAAATAACGAATTTTTTGGAATGAAAAGGTTCACGGAAAGTGAATCAAAGTGATAAATCGAGAAGCAAGGTGAGGTGAACTTAGTCGATCTGCTCTTACGCTGCGGTTTTCCTTTAAAACAAATCAAAGTCTTTAAGGATATTCAATTATTGATATCGAGATGACAACCATTTAGTATTTCAAGCATTATCAAAATCGATGAAAAATACAACCGCTCTGTAAAAAGTAAAAATGAGAGTTATAGACTCAATATTTTTTATGAAACTGGATATTCAAGTTTCTTTTTTCTTCGGAAAAACAGATCTTTAAATCCACTGAATTGACAAAAAAAAGACAAACACTGTCTGACACCGTTTGAAAATTTACCTTCCGATGTAAGAAAAATTTTTGCTTGAATACTTTCTCGTCATATTTTCTTATTGTATTGTCTTTTTAGCATACAGTGTAATTTTCAGTTGGCTTTTCCTATTTTTAAGTTGTAAGTTACAACGAACTCACTGTAGTAAAGTTTCAGCTGTAAAAAATAACCTTTTGCGAAGAGTTGGCCTCGTGTGTTGTTTGTCGTGATTTGTTTATATGTTTATGCTTTTGCAATTTGTATTCAAATTTATATTGGCCGTGTATGTTTGGCACTCAGGGGAATGAAACTGACGTACAAACCGCGTGAATATTCGACTTTGAAGGACTGGAACTGACGTACAAACCGCGCAAGAGACTAGGACTTTGGCTTCAATTTTATATCTATAAAATGTATTGTCGTTATCATTCCATATATATATATATATATGGAGTTCACTGGTTGGCCGCAGTGAACTCTGCAACAGAAAGCTTTAGCAAAGACTACGAGTACGAATCATTGAGCTCTATAAGACCTGGAGGGGAAAAGGGGCCTGGACCCTGTGAACTCGACATTTGAATAACTGGAATGATAACCGAAGACAAAAAAATATTTGTCGTCATCATTTGTCATCACTCGTGTTTCTCGCGTGTTTATAAACAAATTGCATTTTTTCGTATCCTAGATCTTTAGTTTGACCTCAGTTGACTTCATTTTACTAGTCAGTTTAATCTTAACGAAGAAAATCTTTTGAAGTATATTTATTTCAATTCTACATCATCCTAAATGCAAAAGTATTAATACGTTTTTAAAATAAACTAAAAGGATTTGTTGGTATGGATTTTTATTGGACAAATTTTACATATAGAATGAAAACATCTTTAATATAGCTACTATATATTTTTATCATACACAGTCAACTTGCTCTTAATCTGCGGTTTTCCTTTAAAACATATCAAAGTCTTTAAGGATATTCAATTATTGATATCGAGATGACAACCATTTAGTATTTCAAGCACTATCAAAATCGATGAAAAATACAATCGCTCTGTAAGAAGTAAAAATGCGAGTTATAGACTCAATATTTTTTATGAAACTGGATATTCAAGTTTCTTTTTTCGTCGGAAAAACAGATCTTTAAATCCACTGAAATGACAAAAAAAGACGAACACTGTCTGACACCGTTTGAAAATTTACCTTCCGATGTAAGAAAAATTTTTGCTTGAATATTTTCTCGTCATATTTTCTTATTGTATTGTCTTATTAGCATACAGTGTAATTTTCAGTTGGCTTTTCCTCGTTACAAGTTGTAAGTTACAACGAACTCACTGTAGTAAAGTTTCAGCTGTAAAAAATAACCTTTTGCGAAGAGTTGGCCTCGTGTGTTGTTTGTCGTGATGTTGTTTATATGTTTATGCTTTTGCAATTTGTATTCAAATTTATATTGGCCGTGTATGTTTGGCACTCAGGGGAATGAAACTGACGTACAAACCGCGTGCATATTCGACTTTGAAGGACTGGAACTGACGTACAAACCGCGCAAGAGACTAGGACTTTGGCTTCAATTTTATATCTATAAAATGTATTGTCGTTATCATTCCAGTTATTAAAATGTTGAGTTCACTGCCTCGCCCCAGTAAAGTTAGCCGCTCCAGGTATATAGAACTCAATGTATAGAACTCAATGCGATGACCACTGATCGTGACGTTCAGTGTTGCCAGATGGGCGGTTTTTCCGCCCAATTGGGCTGGTTTATAAGCCTGTTTGCAGGAAATTTTGGGAGGTTGCGGGTTTTTGGGCTGGGAATAACTTTTTGCGCGATTTTTTGGGCTCCCTTGGGGTAAGGGATCTAGTTTCTCATGCAAAAACTGAGAAACATAAGCGCAACAAGCAACCTTTTTCCAGTTCAAGAACCTTATTTGAGTTAGGTTGTCAAAGTAAAAAAGTAGACAATTCTCTAAAAGTTACAGAGATAAAGATCGCTGCCCACATCGCGTGTCATTTTAGCTTAAAAACCGTGGATCATCTTGGCGAGTTATTTAAAGATGTCTCAGGGAAAGATGTTAAACTCCACAGAACAAAGTGTACTGCATTGATTAAATCTGTGTTAGGACCAGCGATGTTAGAACAGCTACTTCAAGAATTGGCCGATATCCCTTATTCACTGATTATAGATGAAAGCACTGACATTGGCAATGAAAAACAACTGTGCATTATGGTTAAGTATTACAGCGCAGCCAAACAACAGATTCTCACAAGCTTCCTTGGACTTTTGTCTATTGAATCAGGAACGGCAGAGGCCATTTTTCAAGCAATAATTGAATTTTTGAGAGCAAAGGAACTTGATATCAAGCAGTGTATAGGCTTGGCCACTGTTGGGTGCAACACAATGTGTGGAAAGAACAATTCTGTAATCACAAAATTTCGTGAACTATGCCCTAACATAATACATATAAGACGCATTTGTCATTCTATCCAACTTTGTTCCTCACATGCTCTTAAAGTAATGCCACGGAATGTGGAGTTCATGGTGTCAGAAACGTACAACTGGTTTTCTCATAGCACTTCTAGGCAACGAAAGTATCGCCAGATCTATTCAGCTATCAACGCGGGGGAAGCACCTTTGAAGATTTTAAAGCTCTCCGACACACGTTGGCTATCTATTTCTGCATGTGTTGACCGAATACTTTAACAGTTTGACGAACTGAAACTACACTTTCAGCATGCCAAAGATGAGGATCGCAACTACACTGCAGAATTACTTTTTCAAATGTATGGTGACATGGACAATAAATTATATCTAATTTTTCTGCAGCTTATCCTTAAAGAATTAAACCGAGTAAATAAGCTGTTTCAGTGAGATTCTGCTAACCCGTTGCAACTCCTCACTGATGTCATGAGTTTGTATAAAGCGTTTCTTTTCCGTACTATGAAGCCTGTGACCTTTACAACATGTTGCTCCACTCTCATGTACGACATAGAGGATGAGAGAAATCATTTGCCTTTTTCTGCGGTCGACTTTGGTATATTATTTCAAGTGGCATTGGCGGAATCAAATTTAAGTTCTGAAAAGGTTGATGTAATCAAATCTAGATGTCAACAATTTCTGGTTGAGTTGCTCAGGCAAATGAAGCAAAGGTTGCCATGCAATGTGGAGCAGCTTGAGTCTATTGCTGACCTAAGTCCAACTGTTGTTACAGGCAAACAGAAACGATCTCTTCAAGACCTGTCGTTTCTTCCACTATTTTCCGGAGATTTAGGTAAACTTGACCAACAATATAGTCGCATTGGTTCAATCCAGTGTATTGATGTCAACGACCAGAAGATTGAGCAATTTTGGATTGACGTCATTAATCATGTTGATGCTTCTGGGGATCACGATTTTCAAGAGTTGGGAAGCCTTGCACTTTCTCTTTTGGCTCTTCCTTTTAGCAACGCAGCAGTTGAAAGAGCATTTTCTCTGATGGCTTTGCTAAAATCCAAACTAAGAAATCGAATGTGATAGTCGCTACTAGAGAATCTCTTGCACGTGAAATCATATATGGCAACGTAAAAAATTTGCTGCAACAATTTCACTCCTTGGCCTCAAATGATATCTACGTTTACTTCAGAAATGTATGAAAGTACAGAAGACGTAAACGATGCGATATACGATATCAATGTGTAGTTTGGTTTAAATTAAATATTTTCAACAGACTTGGGCTAGTTTTTTCTTGTTTTGATGCAAATTTGGGCTATTTCATGCAAAATATAATTGGGCTATTTATGGGCTACTTTTAAAGGTAGCTCGGGCGGGTTTGCAGGCTACCCATCTAGCAACACTGGTGACGCTTAATTACTTCCATAATACATTACTTCAATGTTGCCATTCCCTTTTCGTAGAACGGTTATAAGTTGATTTGTTACATACGGACGGATTGACTATGGAGGACGAACCGATGGAACAGGATGGTTTTGTGCGGAATGTTGATGATATGAATAGGTTTCGTCGTTTTTTGGTGTTGGAAAATTGTACATCCACCTTCTACATTGAGGAAAGAAAGTTAGGCGTGGAAGATGCGCCAATTGTTTCCAATCTTTTGCAAGCAGGAAGGGGTGTTGAAGTTGTCAATGAAATAAAGAAGTATAGCATTGAAGGACGAACACCGAGGCAGCAGGCCATTGTGTTTTCTCTCGCTGTTTGTGCTCGGAAGGGAGATCTTGCCACAAAAAGACAAGCATACAAGGCTTTACCCGAGATCTGTCGAATTCCGACTCATTTGTTTATGTTTATTGAGTTCTGCAAGGTGTTGATTGAATCTGGCAAAGGTTGGGGTCGTGCCCATAGGAATGCCATAAAACGATGGTACAAAGAAAAAGATCCAAGAAAACTTGCCATAGATATCACCAAATATCAGAAGCGTGAAGGATGGTCACACAGGGATGTTCAAAGGTTAATGCATCTTAAGCCAGAAGGAACTGATGTTTCTGATGAGTTGTTTGTTATAATGAAATATGTTGCTTGTGGTTGGCAGAAGCTTTTGAATTATTTCTTTCCAAAAGCTGGAAGCAACACAACAACTCCACATCGTCCTGTTGGACAGAATTCCAATGCAGTACTGGAGTTTTTTAAAGCAGTTGAAGAAGTAAAAACATTGCAAGAGGAGGCAAGAGTGGTTGAACTGATAAATCAATATAATCTTGTTAGAGAACATATTCCAACACATTTCCTTAATTCCATAGAGGTACAAACATTTTTTATGTCCTTAGTTTTTACAGTTCTTAACTTTTAATCATTGCAGTGTTTAGTAACTTTTGTTTCTTAGGGCTATTGCTTAAGTTAGCAATATTCATCAGCTTATTGATTACATGTTTATTTTTAAATTGCAACCATTTTTAAGATTTGGAGAGCTCTTGCCCAAAAAATGCCAATGACTGCAATGTTTCGAAATCTTGGCAAAATGACTAAGATTGGACTACTAGACGAACATTCGGCATTGAAAAAAATTTGTGAGAAGTTATGTGATCATCGATTGTTAGAGAAAGCTCGTATTCATCCATTCAATGTTTTGGTTACACTAAAAACCTATGTGGATGGACATGGTAATAGGGGGAAACTGAGATGGAAGCCAAAGGAAAAAATTGTTGATGCACTGGAAAAAGCTTTTTACCATTCATTTAAGGTTGGTTATGTCTTCTCCCATGGCTGACTACCTTATTTTGTCATATTGTCAAATAACAAAAACATTCTTACTTTAAGTTGTGGTACTTTTTAATTTATTTGGTCTGAACAGGTTGTGAATTCATTTGTAATTGAAGTGATGATCATTATTTTATTTGAAAATTGTTAGAATTGATCAGATGCACTTCAAAAAATTTGTGATGTTGATTTTACATCTGTCCTTTCTGATAAATTGTAAATTACATTATAAAAATTGGACAAGACAAGTAATAGTAAATCACAACCAAAAACAGACCCAAAATTAAAATGTTTGTACCATTTTGGCTTTAAAGCTTCACAATACTTCATTATATAGCTTGAATTCCAGAAATTTATGTTATGTATTTTTGCATAGTTGGTTGAGTCAACCAAAAAGAGATACATGTTGGCATTGGATGTCAGTCCTTCTATGTCTTATACTGGTTGTCTTGGTACGCCATGTTTAACGCCACTTGTGGCTGCTGCAGCCATGTCCATGGTTACAGCTCGGACCGAAAGCGAACATCAGTTTGTTGCTTTCTCTGATAAAATTGTTCCATTGATGATCAGCAGTGACATGACTTTAGATGAGGTGATACAACTTATGAAATTGGTATGTAGTTTACATTGCTGACTGTTACCATTTTTTTATTACAGTAGAAACACAACCTTCTCACTGTTTGCCATTCTCTAGATGCCATTGGGAGGAACAGATTGTGCTCAACCAATGTTGTATGCAATTGAGAACAATCTAGAGGTTGATGTTTTTGTCATATATACTGACAGTGAAACAAAAGCTGGGCACATTGACCCAAGCAAGGCCTTGAAAATGTATCGTCAGCGTACTGGTATTCAAGCAAAACTCATAGTTGTTGCTATGACTTCAAATGGTTTCACGATTGCTGATCCAAATGATTCTGGAATGCTTGATATTGTTGGCTTTGACTCAGCTGCATTGCATGTTATGAGAGAGTTTGTCTTAGGCTGAAGGAACTGCAAAAGATTTTTTCACAGATCTTTTTGTGGAATATTACTATGAATACAAATTTGAAATTTCTGAACAAATTCTGCCTGTGTAACAGAATGCATGAAATGTTTTTATAACTTATTTTATTGTATTTAATACAAATGTATGTACTATGCACTACAACATTGCTTCATTTGAATTGTTAATTGCATGAATTAATTATCAGACTAAGCCAGTCGAGAAAAGTGCACTAGATCGAAGATTTTAAAACGTTATCATATTGTTTTATCCAGCTGGCGTGCACAACTTCCTTGTCATTTGCATCTAATTACTTATGACTTTCTTGAGTTAATAAAACTAATTGTTTCATTAATTGAAGAAATTTATAAATCAATTATTAATTTGATGTCGCATTGATACAATACAAAATCTACTTTTGATGGTAGCATTTTGCACTCTATCTTGTTCGCTAACTTCAACACAAAAATAGTGTTCATGAACCATGATTACGTCATAAATAGAAATGTAAAAACCAACAAAATCCCAATTACCAAGCAACTCAAATTCTTTATTATTTCACAAATATAACATTCTGCTTTAAAGAAACTTAACTAGGATTCGTCCATTATTACAGAAACGTCGGATCCAACGTAAAATGGGCCATCACGGATGTACTGTTTCAGTTTAAGAATCATTGGTTTGTCAAATATATTAGAAGCATCTGGGCATACAGTGATCTTCTTTATAACCTCATACTTTAATTCTTGGCCTTCTTTCTCATTCTCTGTTCGTCTGTCCAACAAATACTCAAAAAATCCTGCAATGAAAAACATTTCATTTTTAAGTCGTGCGTAATGCATTGAAAGACATGTGTGCAACATATAAAGCTGGATATTTTGATCAGGAATTTGATTGTGTTGCTATGTAATTCTTTCAATAACATGACTTTCAGTCAGCTTAAATGTACCTGGAGTAATTTTCATATCAGCCAGCATCCAAGGAAAGCTTGACAAACTATGTAATACTTTATAACATGAACTTCTCACATTGTTAAATGGTTGCTTAAGGACATCAAACAAAGTTGGTAGTGGATAAGTATGGATCTTTTTGTACAGAGTGTGAATTAAGTCATGACTGTGGTTATCAGAATTGTTATCATCAGTGAATAAAGATGCAAGACATTCCAAACAATGAATTCTAGATGAAAAATTACATATAAGATTGTTAGAATGCATTGAGTATGAGTTGAGAGAAAATGCATCTTCATCAAACTACTAAAATGCAACTTCTCTTGATGTCCTTATTAACTACTTACTTGATCTTTTCATCAGCATTTCGTAGATATTCACCAAGGGCAACCATGAGATTTTGTTGAGTATCATGTTGAAACATCGCAACTAAACCAGTGTTGGACTGACCAATTGCACCCACAGTATCCAAAGCAACAGGTAATAAAATTGGATCGTTGTTTGATGTTATGCAAAGGAAAATGAACTCAAAGAATTGAGGATATTTCTCCATGACAAACTTGCAGTTCTTTACTGATAGAAAACCGAAGAACTTTACAATGGCTATGAGCAAAAGGGAGACACACAAATAAACAAGGACACCCATGATGTACCTTACATATAAATTACCATACCTACAAGGAAAACCCATGATGTACTATGTATAGATCAACTACCATACCTACCTGGGACTAGCAGTGCAACATGTGGATTGGATTCCTGGTTTTGAAATAAATCATAGAGCTTTTGACTAACTCCAGTTTCCTCAGCAAATTGAAATGCCGTATCATTTATGATAATAAGATCAGTCAACATCTCAATGCAGTTCATTTGGAGAAGAACGTCGTTGCTATTTATCTTAGCAACAAAACTATTGAAAATTGCTTGAAATTTTTCAAACGAATCTTGATTGACTTCAAATATCTTGACAAATAGTTCAAACACACGAAAACATATCGTGTCACTTTCTTTCATCAGCTCTGCGAACTCTGATTGAGTGTTCGCTTGAAGTAGTAAAGCAAGTCCATCACCATGACGACTAACGCTAACCAAGATATCACGTGATATTTTTGCACAACCCATGTCTGAGTGGGCAAGATTTCGAATAATGTAGTTAATCAAATCTACATTTTCAATTATCTTTAGAACTCCATTATTCGTTTGAACACATCGTTCACATTGATGCAGACAAAGTTCCCTGACCTCAACTGTTGGATGATTCACTCCTTGCATTGCTTCCATTCCGTACTTCGTGATAACTTCCTCTGCTTTCATATAGTTCAAAAGCTTCTTCAATAGAATACTGCAGTGTTTGATTTCACCGTTTCTATCGCTCGAAGACAAACGTCTGAACAACAAACTGGGAGGAATAAGCTCCAAAAGTTGCTCGCCATTAAAGTTTCTTGAGTCTACAATGAGAATAAGCTCTTGCAAACTTTTTACGACATTTTCGCCACTCATAGAAGACGAGATTACCTCGATATGTCGAGCAATTTGAGCAACTTTGACCTCCATCTTTGTCGCCTCCTGATCTTAGTTTATACTGGAGTGACAAAACAACGCAGCCAAATGCTAATTTTCCAAAAATATATAAAGTCATCACATGTTCAGAAACGATGTTCATAACGCTGTTATAGTCGCTTCACGATATAGGATAGTCTGCTTTCATGAATATTTGGAAAATTTTGCGCAATTTTTTTCATCTGGACGATGATCAGCTTCATCATTCTACATATTTCATGATTAAGTTGAGAGGAATTACTACAGCGATAAAGAAACACTTTATGTTTAACACCATATTCTAATCCTGCAATGACTTTTCGTGATTTATACTGAAACTTTTTAAATATTCAACGTAGTTTGGAGTAAGTAAATCAGTTCCTATAAAGCACTGCTTCAAAGTAAATGAAGTATCCAGTTGCACAAAATCTAGGAAAAGAAATTGAATTTCGGTAAAAACGCCTGCATCATGTCTTCCTATGATAAGTTTATTTGTGCTTGGTTTCATTGGCTTTCATAAAACCCGAGTTTGTGTGGCATTGTTTGAATTTTCAATGAGTTTTGCATGCAAAATTATATTGCAAGTTGGGAATGAAATCATGAAAAGAAAATAGCTTTTGGTATGTAAGAGGAAACGAAAACTTCACTCACCTGGCGAGATATATTTTTCTTGAGCAACATAAACAACTGCAGCAACACATTGTTGACATATACCATGCTCAAATCGAGCAGGATTTTCACACATCCAAACAGGTAGAACCAATCTCTTGTAATGCTAGAGAAGCATAATTATTGATATAGATTTATACATTATATTTGCTTATTTGATTGTTCAAATTGGACAGTATATGGTTGAATTTTCAACTTTTGTATTAGATATATTGCCTGCACGGATGTAAATGCTGATTCCCTGCTATTAATGCAAAAAAATTTTCGTTAGGCTGATAGAAAGAGGACGGAGGACTAGCAAATTAAGTGTCAAGGGGAAATTTAAAAGCGGTTGGTTTACCTTTGGAGAAGCAATACATATATCCAAAAGCGGTAGATATTCTGACGATAGTTCATAAACACAACCTTCTACGGAACATTCTGGATCTTGGACTACGTTTGGAAAGCCCATGTCACTACCAAATGAACCTAAGAGTTAGAGGCAATAAAACTGATTTTGAAAACTCTCTTAAAGACACTGCTTCTGTTATTTCTGACCTCGTTTATTAAAAACAAGTCTGTAGCCAAATAGCAATCCCCAAAGACGTGATCTTATTTTGCACCGTAGTTGTATAGACAACCTAAATGCAAACCCCAAATTCGTCAAATCAAAAGATATTTTCTATTAAGTACAGATGGCAGTAGCTACAAATCATTATACCTGTTTTGATTCATATTCAAACCATATGCAAAGTACAAAAAATGACCCAATTTTGGGCTCGTATTGACTTTGAAATTCAAACGAGAGAAATCGGAGACTTTTCATTTCTAAATAAAAACAAGGTTTGTGAATATTCTATGAAATTTACTGATTATTTGTTTTTCAATTTAAAGTTTTACCTTGATAGCTTATTCACGGGTTTCCTTACTGCAATAATTTCAAGCTGATTGGTCTCACTGTTTTTAAAAGTTTCTTTGTTTTGTTCTAACTACAAGAAGTGAAGCAGGTGGTCATTTCACTTTCCAAGTCTAAGTATCAACTTTTTTGTTGAGCTGATTTAAACTCATAAACTAGAAAATATCTATCTCGCATTTTAGCTGTATGTACCTCTTTTTTCTCATCTAGTTTGGGGATAAAACATCGAAGTTTTTTATCATTTGGCAAAAAGCAGCCCATTGATTTATTCACAGGAATTTCAATGCTCTCCTTGTTGTAATTTGCAGACTTATTTCGAAAAACATGATTTGTCTTTTGATGATTTATAAAACTGTTTCGTTTCGAGGGTGCAGATTTTTGTCTTGAATCTGTCGACTCAAATTTGTATTTTGAGATTTCTTTTCTAGAAACGTCATATCCACCGTCCACCAAAGCTTTCCAAATATCTCTCACATGGACACTGTCCTCGTCTGATTTACGTTTGGTATTTTTTTTCCTTAAATAAATGGTGTTTCTTGAATTTGAAGATTGCATTGTGCATTTTTTTAGTAACATTTCTGAGTAGTTAGTATTTTGTCCATCTAAGTTTGAATAACGATCATGTTCATGTTCAATATGTTCTTCTTGGAACTTGGAGTAGTAAGAGTCATCTTTGTTTTTTTCTGTTGAATTAATACGTGACATGTTTGTTATTCTGCATTTAGTTTTCTTTTGTGAAGCACGGTTCTCCAGCAAATTAAAGTCATTTTCTGTCGAAGAGTAGCACGTTCTTGAAGAAACTGATAACTTTTTAATGATTCGATCTTTGTAAACATCATCGTTTATTTTTACGCTATCACTGGAAGATAATTCCACATTGCAGTGAGTTGATTTTAGATGATTGTCTTTATCATCATGTGAGCTAATAACATTATGAATATCTGCATCATAGATTCTATCTAAAGGATCTGTGTTACACGATTTCTTGCTATCTAAATCCCTTTCACCTTTAGAAAGTTGACCAGTCCATTCATCAACACCAGCTGCCTGTTTGGAATCATGAATATCAATAACATTGTCATTTGCTTCTTCATTTACAGAAATGATTCGTTGATTTTGTGCAAAGTCATTTCTATCTTGCCCTTGTACACCATGACAATGATCTAGTTGAGTTGTCTCACATTCTTCTGCCAGCGACAGCCTACGAAGATCAACGGGCAAACTGTTTTGAGAGATCCGTTGGCTGGCTGAAGAACACCTTGATACATCCAGACTTTGGACGTTTTCACAAACTTGCAAACCATCGAAGGAGTTTTTGAAGCGATCTAGAAGTGAATAGCACAAAAAACCCAAGCCAAACAACATAATAAAACTTTGCGACATTTCATTTTTAGAAATATCTGCTCATCTCAATATAGAGATGCTAATAAAAAATTGCTTAGCTCTCCAAAAAAGCCCTCGTTAAGATTTTTCAACAAAAGCGTAATCCTCAATTTGGGAATTTACCATTTTGGATGCCTAGACATTTGGCAACGCTAGGCTCAGAAAGAAATCTTGCCGGGAAAAAGAGAGTCTTCAACGGTCCATTTTTTCTCAAACTTTTTTGTCGAGATACGGGACGATCTTGTGGTGGTTTATCCGGGAGAAGACTACGAACATATTCTATTGCTAGTCTTGTTTTCAACTTGCAAAGGCTGTTGGGGTCGGTCGTCTGAAGAAAGGAAAACAGAAATGTTATTATTGTAATTAGCAATCGGGTTTGTCGTTTGTTCTCAACTTTTCTTTGAATACTACACTTAAATGTGTAATCTATCATCGATCATCAGTTATCAATAACCAATCATTGATCATCGTTTTCTGAGTCAAACCGTGATCGACCTGTCGTTCTTAATACTGAAGAGTATCGCAGTGTAAATGAAAATACATGCTCACTTTTTTTATCATATGTTTGTTTGGTCGTACATTGTGTCGTGAATGCTTTAGTTTAACATTAAATGGAAGATCATGTGGACCAGTTTTTGTCACCAATTGTGTTTTTGATGGCTCAGCTATGACCCTCTCTTTTCTTGCGTCAATGCAAAGGTATTTACTGGGTTGCTGGAAAGAAGTAGAAAATTATTCTTCGATATATGTTTTCTTAAAACTCCACGAGAACATAGTCAAATCTATTTTATAACATTAGAACAAAGTAAATACTTTACAATGCCAGACTGCGAGTTTCAGTTTGGTGGAAAAGCAGCTGATAAAATTAAGTGACATACACTTTGTCGTAAAGGAGAAGTTAAAAAGATTTCATACAGCAATAGAATCAAGTTGTCAGCAATACCTGATAATGAAATGAACTTTGCAAATAATGTTTGTATTTATCGTTCATTTCATACTTTGATACTTCCATAATCATTTGTTACAATAAGTTGGTATGAAAATAAATGCTTCAAAATTCTTTATTCTTTACGGAAATTCACTTTCCATTGTTGCTTCCTTTTCATAAACACAAACATGCTAGTAATAAAATAACACAGAGGTTTTAGTTTCGTTGGTACAGTCAACTAAGTTGATATTTTGGTTTCCATGGATACGAAAGAGCTTCTCGATCCTACCACAGCCTGCTTCGAATGTATTTGGAATACAAACCATCTTTCAAATTGACTTGCCTTCCAACGAGGCAAAGGCAAAAGTTAAACCGGTCCCTCCCAAACCTCCAAAGGAATCAGAATGATATGCGTTCAAGCGTGTCATTGAGCAGTTACAAACCCTTAGTATTTACTTCTCTTCAAAAATATGATAATTGTTACCAAGTGACAATGGAACGAACCAAATAATTTTAAAAAATTTCTGAGAGTAAGGGTAAGGTCAATAGATAAAGGACGGTATGTAGCCTTGCACATCTAAGATGAGACACATATTTTGAAAGAATGAGCATTTTGTGAAAGGACTTGTTAGTGACCAGCATGTCAAGAAGAACAATGATAATTGGGTTACTTTATTAGCAAATATAAATAAATAATAGCTCTGAACAATAGTGTATTGTTCTTTATTGTACTTTGAACCAATCATAAACTCTGATGATGTTGGTAGATATCGATAAAATATTTTCAGTGAATGACGCGACTGTTATTATCTGATTGATATTTGTCAAGTGAGGATCTCACGCTGTAATTGAGGCAAATTTTTCGCTGTGTTGAGGAAATTTGGAAAAACCAGTTCTCAGTTGTGACGTTATGGCGAATGATTTCAAAAGTATCGGCTAGAAGAAATCATTCCATGGCGTTTGATTTGATTGAAGAAAAAAGAATTTCCGAGTCAAATCCCTAAAGAAGGTGGAGATAAGGAATATTGGATCTTTCGAAAGATATTGGTGCGAAATCGTGGTTACTTGGCGGTAATATCTCAGTTATCAAAGATGTCGTTGCTAGATTATGTTGAAGTTAGCAAATCGTTTTGATAAAAGCAGGTGTTTGTAGAATAATTGATTGTGGTGCATAATGATTTTAATAACTTCTGCTTATGTCAATGCTAATGTTCCACACTTTGCCTATTGCCTTTGTTAAACTTTTATCGGTTCTTTTGCTGGTACTTACTTCACCTCTGTGGTAATACCACGAGGGGGCTGCAAGACAAAGGACAACATACACAATCTCCTTTTGTGACGTTGGCATTTGAAGCTGCTCAACTGATATGAAAATCATCTTTTTAATCGCAACCATGAACCATCGGCTGAGTAATTCAGTTTTCAAATCACTATTTCTAAAAGTGGATGATAATATGATGAAAGGTTTGTAATCAGGGATGATAAAGATGGCCGTAAAGATGACAGTGAAGTGAATGATTTCACAAATGTGATAAATTTTAAAATCTGAATGGATAATTCGAGATGTCATACAGTTCGTTTCAATTCATTCCCCAGGGATCAACATGTCATTGGAGGAAGCTGCCATATTGGTGTTCCAAGCAAAAGAATTTCATTAGAATTCTTTTCAATTAGTACACCAACATGGCAGCCATGACGTTGGATGAAAACGATCTTTCTACAGATCATTTATTTAACATGTTTGTTAGCATGTTAATATGGAGATGCGTTTTTTGAAGGTTCAAAAATTTTCGGATTTTGTATCATGCATTTAATATCAAAATAAAATCGAATTTATCATTGATCAAATACAGTTACAAAAAGAAGTTGCATTACGCTGGCAGAGTATTGCAAAATCTTCACAAATTCAAGGTCTATTTGAAGGGATTACCGTATAAGTCAAACAAGCTGTCGAGCGTCGACGTGAAATAAATCGTCACTTTTCGTACGTATACTTGGATTTAAATGCTATGAATGACACTTATAACATTGAGGGATGTTATAACAGTGTCTTCATAGCATTTAAATCAAGTTATTAAATTTCAGTAAATGTTGCAATATACTGTAATCGGTCATGTAACCCGCAAGATAACCATGTGACATGATGGCTTAACTATTACTGTAACATAAATCAAATTAATGTTTTCAGAGGGGAAAATGTTTCAACATCTTCAAATCAGACTTAAATGCTTGTCGTTCAGTGCTTATACGTTGAATTAAGATGATTTTAACTTGGCTAGTTCGCTTGCTTTATTGACGTTAAAGGCTGTTGTTAGCAATTTTTATCAACTTGTAAACTGCAAGTGCAAAGATTGTGTGATAATTCTGATTTCACGTAGCTTAGAAATAAGCCTTCCCTGCGAATATTTGCAAATCATCGTACAACACGACTCAATTTTAACTGATCTTCTGCAAACACTGGTTTTACGGAGCTCAACAGTTTGTCATAATCGTATTTTAATAATTGCTCTTACAGTTATGCCCACGGCAACGGATGCGGATTAAAACTGCGGTATGTCACTGCTTGTTTGTAGGCTGTTAGTTTGTTTTATCATACCACTAACTTATTGTTCAGTATTTTTCAGGTGCGGAGGACGAGAGGAGATCACGAAGAACATATGGGTACATGTTTGTTTGTTTCCAACCTGTCCCTAACTTGTTCTTTAGACTTTTCTTTCAGATGCAGAAAACCAGATGGTCGAGTAGATGAAGACAGAGCTGTAAGTGTGTCTCTTTTGATCGTTCATTAAATCTATCAATTTTGTTATTTGTGTGTTTTTTAGAACGACATGGCATGGCATGGTCAATAATCGTTTCATACGGTATGTTTAAGCATTTTTTGAAAACACCAAATCGTTGACTTTAATTCTTCAGTGTTTGCAGATGATCAACAAAATATTTTGATTATAAAAAGTGATACTGTCATAAGAAAAAACTGCATCTAATCACTCTTGCACAAAAGAAAGCATTATCGAGAAGGCTGACTAAATTATAGAGTTCCCTCGCTCTCTAATTTAGGAAAGAAATTCTGGACAAGGTCGATATTTCAAAATAGACTTCTGCCACCTATTTTGGAATAGCTTTGCACAAAATTTCAGACGGCCTACACTCGATAATCTTTGTAAGTTCATCGTCACCAAGACTAGATCGTGGATATACAAGTAAAAGTATGCTTAAGTCAGGACGAAATGATAACCCAGTATTCGAAACACTCATCAAGTGTCTGAAATCCTTAAATTTTTTTGTTATTATTAGTTCATTATTGTGGGGGATTTGGTGGTCGTCGAGGATATTAAATTCTATGAAAGCGGTTGTTTGTTACTGTAGTTGTCGTTTGTTATAACTTATAGTCGGTTATTTTTGTTGTGAACTTATGATAGGAGTTGTCAGTTTGTTTACCATATGTTAAGAAGCATCATTTATGAAATCCAAGCCAAAATAACCATGTAGGTGTTGATAATGTTCAAGAGATAAAAATCTTGCCAATGGAGTCTTGCAGATTAAGGTTATATTTTGCTATAAATTGTCAAAGAATACCTAAATCTACGCTACAGTATTACGAAGAGCTTGACTGATAATTGTTAAGATTAAAAATATAAGCATCGCTATGAAATATGTGATAGTCAACAAATTAACAAAATCAAGGGGAAGCGCTTTCCGTCTTATTAGCAAAATTGCTGGTCTAATGCTTTTTCTGGTGAGAGTGAGAAAGGAAGTCAATGTTAAATTAAGGTTGGAATAGCAACCTTTATTTTTATTCTTTACTTTGCAACATGGTAGTAAATTCTGCGGAGGTTTTGGGAGTGGTCTCAACACCTCTCCCCAAAAAAAAATAGATAGAACCTGAATTCTGCGTTTGCTTGCACCGGTGTCGGTAGGTGTATGTTTTATCACATGACGTCATATGTTCGGGACATCCAGCGGATGGAATCTAGTTTAAACTAACCATTGGAATTGCAGACAAAAATGGCAGACTGTTACGAGTCATCCCAGAAATATGAGAAAAATGATTTTGAATCGCCTGCATTTTATTCTTATGTCTCTAAAACGAAGACGAAATGGAAGCCTGTTAGTTTTACCTTTGTTCAGTATCCAGAAGGTATAAGAAAATGTCATGTTTTAATGCTTAAAAGTTGAATTATCTGTTCGAGACATTTCACTTTTTTTACTGGAATTGGAAATCATTGTCTGCATAGTTTAATGAATTTAATCTGTATTATTTTTAACTAAATACATAAATAGGAGATATTTATGGCAAATTTTTGGCGTGGCTAAGTCTGGCGCCAGTCTTTATAATTGTCGGCTTCGTTGCAGTGATAATATTTCGAAGAGAACTTCATACAGTAAGAGAACATTAGTTCTTCAACGGCTGCATTCAATGTTTATACAACTCATTGATTGTTTTCATACGTTCAGATGGCCTATTTCTTTGGATGTCTCTTAAATTATGTTTTGAGCGTAATATTGAAGAATATTGTTAAAGAACCGCGTCCGTGTGATGGTCCAATTTCGTATCACACGGAGTTTGGTATGCCTTCAAGTCACTCGTCTTTTGTAGCCTTTTTTTCTTGTTATGCTCTTCTGTTTATTTATTTTGGGTAAGTTTGGATTATATCACTATTCAATGAATACTGAATGTTTTTCTTAACGAGTGGGACTGCTCATTTAGTCTTTAATGCCCGCACAACTTTTGCTGACATTGTTAAAGAGCTGTTTCTTTCCTTAACAGGCTCCCAGTGTTATCAATTCATATTGTAGACAATCTTTGGCGTCATCTAACGTCTTTAGGTCTAATTTTTCTAACTGTTTTGTGTCATATGGCAGGTAGGGTTATTACATGATGCTCAGTTCAAATAAAATATCTCTTTAGCTGTAATTCTGTTTATTTTTTGTCACCTTAGGATATATCTGCATTACCATACTACTTCACAAGTTCTTTGTGGAATCGTACTAGGATTAAGTTGTGGTATAGTGTGGTTTCTAGTGGTTCATCATGTACTAACTGAATGGTTTCCTGTTATTACATCATGGTATGTATTGGGATAGTCATCTGAGATCAAAGGAGGAAGCTTGCAAAGTTGTGGGCAATTTATCATATACAAATACATGATTTATAAACATAGAAAGCAAATGGATTTCAAAGTGACGATAGTTCATGCTTTAATGAATATTTCCCCACTAGTCAAATATTAATCTTTTTTCATCCCTGCCATAAAACACAAGTCTAAAAGCAAGAGAACGTTTTTACAAAGTCCAAGTTAATGTTATGATTTAGATAAAGAAAACTGTATTTTCCTCCTTCTTTTAGGAAAATTTCCGAATTTTTTCTTATCCGTGATTCAACAAGAATACCTAGTATTTTATGGTTTGAATACACAAGGGCTCGAGAAGAAGTAAGGTATATAATTTTGCTCACAAAAATAAAATTGACCATGGGATGAAGAAAAGCATGTTGATTTATCATAACATTTTTTAACATGTAGGAAACGACAAAGAAGAAAATCGCCTTGAATTAAGTGGATGATATTTACTGGTAGAAGATGGAACTATTATAATATATCAAAAAATTACAATGAAGTGTTTACTGTGTGCTTAATATTAAAGTGTTTTTTGATGAATGACAATTATATACGTATATTGAAAGTTGTGCAAAAGATTGTTGTATACTCATTACTTGTTTGCTTTTGTATTTTTGTGTACATACTGCTGTGATGTGAACCTCATGAAATTGGCATGGTAACAATCTGAAAACGTCAGTTTAGTCAATGATACTGGTATAAGTGACTAAGTGTGGCTTTCAAAGTTAAAAATCTCCTTTTGGTAATTCACTCTTAATGTTTTAGGTCTTTTGGTAATTCTTCAAACACCTTACTCCATCCCAACACCCCCCGTCGTCAATATGGTGATGAATTTTATTGTCCGTAAATTTATTATTTTCATTAATTATCAATTCTCACAGTTCAACGCAATAGATCAGCTTGTTGCAACCAGAATTGGTGAATGTTTATTCAAAGTCGAAGGAAATATTGTTGACTTAACAACATGCCATAAATTTACCGAAAAACAATCAAAGCAAATTCCACAATTTCTCTAATTTATCGCAGACGTCAACGATGAAACATATCTTATTTCTTGTTGTTTCCGGGGGGAGAGAGATTGTTGTACAAACCTACTCAATTTTCAGTGCCCTCACATCGATTCGCATATACACTTCGTGAATGGCGATTTCCGTGTTTGTTTTGTCATGTATAACGACAGCGAATGATCTATATTGATGTTGTGAGATGACCTTTGTCAATATAGTTGGCGAATGGAATTTATAACAACCATGTTCGCATTTCTTCAATAACACCATGAGCATGTTCTGGCGAAACAACGCAATGAGCAAGTTACTTTGGCTAGGTTTTGTCCTCGGTTTATTTCTGATTTTAGAGCTACAGATTCAACGTTTACAATTTCATGTGGAGAAGCTTCGTGCAGGTATCTGTAGTGATGCGATCTCGCTTAACCCTAAAGTTAGTTAAACGGACTTGCTGATTTTGTGCCACGGCGAGATTTGAGTAGCTTCGACAACCTTCCACGTCCTTTATCTTTCTTATCAATTTTTATATGCCTATGCGCTGCCTTTGGCTTGATTTTAACTTGATTTCACCTTCTTTCAATGCTTATTGTTAGTGGTTTTGGTGTATGAATGGTTTTGGGGCTATGACATATGTTAAAAAAAGAAAATGATTTTGCAATCATATTTTATGGAACGCATGCGGAGTTCACTTTCATGCAGAGAATGTGTGAATAACTTTTGAAGTGTGTTTCCTGCTTTTAATTTCATCCCACGGTTCAATTATGCATTGTAAATATAAAATTTTAACGAGTGTCATTCCATTGATTTGACGAGGAAAAGAAAAGCAATTTTCTTGTTCAGTTTTTTCTGAAATTCCTGAAATTTCACGGTATTCATCAATTATAGAAAAATGTTAGAATATCATAGTCCATTTTACTGTACCACTACAGTCATATATTTTTATAGTTTTTATTCAAAGCAAATACTTATGTTTAAAAGCCCCATTCTCCATTCCATTCTGAGGAAATTTCTGGATGACATTTTTCAGTGGAATCCAGTATTGGGAAAGAAGATTTGGATTTTGTAAATGAAAATGATCAGGTCTGCTTTTTCTAACACTTTCCTCATTGACTGAGTTATTTTAATGCATTAATAGTCAAACTATCGAGTTTTTATCTACTGTTTTCAAAACATTTTAGAGAAATGAAGGAAGCGAGGAACTTTTCAGAGAAGCAAATGATGTATGGGGAACAGATGATGATCAAAGGTACAACTTTGGTTACCAATTCCTTCATTTTGTCATTAAATCACATCCATAGCTCACAGCAAACTTCGTTTATTCAAAGGAAGAGGAAATAGATGAAGAAAAATTTTCCATACTTTCCAATGCATTTGAAATGACATTCGATAAAAATATGGTTCGTTGTGATGTATTTGATAAGGACAATATCTTCATAACAATTTCTTAACAATTTGAATTTTTTTTGTTGTAGATAGCACCAAAAGGTGAACGTACCATCATATTTTATAATCGTGTACCGAAGACAGGCAGCACAAGTTTCATGGGTGTTATTTATGCGCTATGCAGTAAGATCAATTATCATGTTATTCATTTAAATGTGAGCAAAAACAGACATGTTATGAGTGTAGCTGACCAAATAAGGTTTGCAAGGAATATAACCACCTGGAAAGAGAAGATGCCTGCTTTTTATCATGGCCACCAATCGTTTATTGACTTCAACAAACTTGGTTTTGAACATAAACCGTTGTACATAAACATTGTTCGAAAGCCTCTAGAAAGATTAGTTTCCTATTACTATTTTTTGCGCCATGGAGATGATTTCAGGCCTAGAAAAAAACGAGCTAGACAAGGCAACCAGGAAGTAAGTAGTCACTTTTTTGTCTTGGTATCTTTAATGAAATACAAAAATCGCTGCATTCAGTTTTTTTTAGAGCTTTGATAAATGTGTTTTGAAAGGCCATCGAGATTGTCAACTTGACCACCTTTGGTTGCAAATTCCATTCTTTTGTGGTCAACATCCAGAATGCTGGTAACTCTAACTGTGATTTTTAAGCATGCTTTGTACGTGAAGGAAATAATTGAAACCCAGACACGCGTGTTTCGTGTTTCGAGATTCTCTCGCAGAGTGAAAAGTGATTAGTACACACGCGTGTCTGGGGTGAAATCACGCGTGTCTGAGGTTAAATCATGCGTGTCTGGCGTAAATCTCGCGTGTCTGAGTGTGAATTCTCGCGTGTCTGAGGTTAAATCATGCGTGTCTGGGGTAAAATCTCGCGTGTCTGGCGTAAAATCACGCGTGTCTGAGGTTAAATCATGCGTGTCTGGGGTAAAATCTCGCGTGTCTGGTGTGAAATCTCGCGTGTCTAGCGTAAAATCTCGCGTGTCTGGCGTAAAATCACCGCGTGCCTGGGGTAAAATCACGGCTTCAAAAGTTATTAGTGTTTTGTATTACAGGCATTTTAGTTAATGATCCGTACGTAGCTCAACCTTTCATGGTATTTTTCTCTTCAGGGAGCCTGGAAATAAGTGGGCATTAAAGAATGCAAAAAAAAACCTAGTGAAGAATTATCTAGTAGTTGGAGTGACAGAAAGATTGCCTGAATTTATAGCAGTAATGGAAGTTGTACTGCCCAGATTTTTTCAGGGTGCTACAAAGAGATTTTTAGAAGGTGATTTTCTGTTTCATTGTAAGAGTCAGAAACATACAAAAAGAAGTTTGATGTATAATACTAGTTTCCTTCAGGTGGTCGCTCTCATCTTCGTAAAACTAATGCCAAGAAGGAGCTGCGCCCAGAGACTTTAGATTATTTTCATCAGAATAAAGTGTGGCAGATGGAGCAAGAATTTTACCTGTTTGCGAACAAGACGTTTACAGACGTACTAAAGAGGATTTTTGTGAAGAATCATGGAAAAGTAATGCCGGCCAAAAGAAATTCTTTGAAAAAATTCGTCCAAAGGCAAGGGAATCGCTTTGATTGGAATATGTTCATCGCCCCTGAAGTTGCGCTCACCAAGGCCGTAAGGCAAATTCTTTCAAAACGTGCCAAGGGTCACAGTGTTAAGAGGTATGTATCATCGACATGCCTGTAGCCAGTGGTAATATATGTGGACGGGACAAAATTAATTAAGATTTAATTTATTTTTGAAATCAATGAAATTCAGTATACAAATAAATGCCATCTAATTCTCTCATATTTAATTCTTTGTATATGTCTCTACCACTTTTTCAAAGCATCTTCCAGTTCTCTCAACGTGCTGTCTTTCTGTAAAGAAGAGTGAAAATTTTCATCAGATTAGTCACTTTCTTCTTTAATTTCTCGTTCCTTAAAATTAACAAATTCACACATCAACTACACTTACTTTGATGAAACAAAATCGTACAAATTTCTCTGCTATCTTCCTATTCTTGGAATAGAACGCACTTGGAGGAATTGCGGCGATGCCCTGATTAACGTTAAAGATTTCGCGTCCCATTTGCCCTTCACAAATTACTAAAGATTTTCTTTCTACAGTCAATTACCTTTTCCTTGATCATCCATTTACACAGTTGCATATCGTAAGTTTCATCGCTCTTTTCGGAAAAAGTTATTCCTTTATTGAAATGAGAAATTTCAGTTAGTATTCGCTGAAAATGTTACATACATGTTGAGCGCCACTTCAACTATTAACGAACTGTAACTGCGTAAAAGCACTATTGATATTGCGCATTTAATAAATACGACAAGTTTTTTCCAAAATAAATAATACTGAAGATGGCATCATGAGATGTTGAAACATGTTTATTTTAAAAAAAACTTGTCGTTTTCATTAGATGCGCAACATTAACGAAACTCGTACCTAACTTTGTAGAATCTGCCATTATGAAGTAGCCACCGTCCGGTACTACTGGATCAAATCCAGCCTCGCGAAGTATCTTCACTTGAAAATCACGTTTCTCTAACAGAGAGGTTGTCATCTCGTGAAAATATGATTCCTTCGTGTTTAGTAATTTCTCTTCCCTTTCCAATCCAATTGCAACCACTTCCTACAAAAAGACATTGCATTCCTTCTTTCGTGTACACAATCAACTTCTTCAATTTAAGGTCATGCATATCGATTAAATATTCTTTGGTAAATAATTCAAAAAAAATGAAACTACCTGTGAAAATGTTGGCAACGCAGACAAAGAATTTGTGTGAACAGTCGCCATACAACTGATTAATGCCTCAGGTCCAACACTCCAACCTAACTATGAGAAAAAGTTTTTATCTTCTGGTGTGTTTTGTGATTTGACACTGCCATGTAACAATTGATTGGTGCATGTAAAACTTTGTAAAAAATACTTATGAAACACCATACCTTCCATCCTGTGGCAGAAAAGTCTTTCCAGCACTACTTATGGTAATTGTGCGATCCCACATTCCAGGCAAGGTAGCTACAGAGAACATCAACATAACTCAGTTTATATATAATGGGTATTTATCACTCCTCTTGTCTCATTATCCTCACCTATCCTGATGTGTATATTCACTATACTCACCTATCCTGATATGTTCATTTATTATCCACCTATCCTGATTTGTCCATTCATTATTCTTACCTCTTCAAATATGTTCATTATCCCGACATACCCTGTTGTGTTCATTCTTTTTCCTCACCTATCCTTACATGTTCATTCATTATCCTCACATACCCTGATGTGTTCATTCATTATCCTCACCTATCCTTACATGTTCATACATATCCTCACATACCCTGATGTGTTCATTCATTATCCTCACCTATCCTGATGTGTTCATTCCCAGGATAGACCAGCCATTCATAAACTTCATCACTTATGCAAATTACGTTGTATTTCTTGATAATGTTGGCAAGCATTTCTATCTCATCTTTTTTATAAACCTTATTACAAATAAATAAATTGAGAATTCATTATTTAACAAGATAGAGTGCCAACTATCATTTCTGGCACAGTTTGATGACAGAGTAGCAGTTTTAACCTTCTACCTTTCCCAGAGGATTATTTGGTGTATTTAATATTATTGCTTTTGTTTTTTCACTAAATGCAGCCTCCAGTTCAGCTGGATCAATCTTCCATCCTTTTGCTGAAGACCAATTCTCTTTTGACTATAATGCATGGGTTTTAAAAATGAGGTTGGCCTTCACTGAAGAAATTGAAAGTTGCTTATGTGCAAAAACTGCAAAACTTACTGGTCTTGATGGTACAAAAACACAAGTTCCACCAACATAATTGACCATTTTTTCATAGCAATCAAAGAAAGGTTCAATGATTATCACCTCAATGGTTGCAAAAAAAATTATTAGTTTCTCCAGTCTCCGTTAGATTGCTTTCAACATGTTCAAAGATTTACTGGTTTAAGCAAAACTTTAAATACAACCAGACTTTTACCTCGTCACCTTCGTTAACAAAAGATGAAATGGCAGATAACAGAGATCCATAAGCACCATTCGTTATGAGAACCTGGAAGACAAAACATGTTTATCATAAATGCGCAAGGGAATGCATAAATTCACAAATAATTTTACATCTGTCATAGCATTTATATTCGACCATGTAGCTTGGAGAACAAAGATGCGATACTGTTCACCAACCTTGGATGACCCTGGAATGATTTGGTAACTGTCAAGGCTCAAGAAATATTGTGTCAATTGTAAAAAAAGAGCATAGAAACCTGACTCCTTGTATATTGATGTAACATATCATGTGAGGTTGCTGTTTCAGCTAGTATCTTTGGTAAATAATCTGGAGGACCATAATCTGGAAAGCCCTTTTGAAAGACACTCACACATATAGCTAACAATACCAAAGACATGTCCTCTTGTATCCCCGAGTTCCTCTATTGTTAATATTTATGTACCTACTGACCTGACCAACATTCACAGTCTTATACTGTGCATTGAGTTTTCCAAATTCCACCCTAAATCATATATTTTGTTGAACAAACAGATACTATGGCCTGTGTTAAATATATATCACTATTCAATTATTAATTGCAATCTGATGATGGCGAATTATCTCATTAACCATCGGCAATCAGTTAAATTACAAACGATGAACTTTATTTTGTAATTTAGTACATTTTGGGAGATTCATCTTACCATACATTTTTCCCTAGTGATTTTACTCTGTTTGCTGGAGAAAAACTTTGTCGGTTGATGACATGTCAGAACTCTACACAAATAATCCATTATCACTCAATTGTTACGCTAATTAGGGGTTGGGCAAGGCGATCCATATCCACGCCGCTAGCTCCATAATTCATGTAAATAAATTTGCTGACGACGCGATTCACTGTACATTTTGCCTTATTTATACCTTTAAGTACTTTAAATGTACATAACTATAGGTTCACACACATACTTATAGTGATTTAATATAAAAATAAATCATATTCCATGGCTGCACGAACAAAAGGTCTATGAAAATACTGAAATAACAAAAACGTGTACCGCTCTATATTGCTCTTGAAAATAACAGGGATTATGCGATAGCAAGGAGGAAATCTCAGTGATACTCCATGCAGTGGATACGTTAAATCTGCGAAATACAAAGACATCATTTTCTTCTATGATCGAACTCTCCAGACTGCTGTGTAGATGTAATGGTAATGTACAATAAGCTTGCCCGACATGTAGGTTGTGAAGCCCTAATAGAAGCAAGCCTGCGCCTGAGTGGATTATCGTGCAAGTTTTGCAATACTGCTATTTCAATTTTGAAACGAAACATTCTCCATTCATTTAAATGCTTTGTTATTTGATTTTCCCAAATCGAAATTTTCCTAAATAATCGTATTCATTGACAATCTATCTACTTTTTCTGTTAATAATGTTGGAAAAAATACTTTATATTGCCTTTGCTTTGTGAAAATAAAACGGATACAATATTACCTTACCTGATCTTAGAAGAGTAAACATGCTGGAGTGAATTCGACATGGCGGCTGGCGGCCAGCCTGCCTCTTTAGGCCGTCACTTGAAATGTAGAACTCTTCACGAGTATTTACAAAGCTTGCCTGTTAGTATTTTGGATAAGCTCTACGGACATCCAGCAACATGTTTTGCCGTTTTTAGGTAAGTGCAGCTATTGACATAGATAAACTGACCGTCGATAAGTCAATGACAGTCATAGAATCAGTTTTTTTCGAAATTCACTGTTCACTTATTATTAATCCTTTGTAGAGCTCATTGTGGTCTTTAAAATTTATATAATATTATTATATTATTAAATAATTATTCCCAAATGTACCCATACAGGCTTTCGATGTCATTAATTTCAGGCTAGTGATTGCCTTCATTTTTGAGAGATCACTTGGGTAATGGAGGGTTTAGTTTGATTAATGCATGGTATGCTTTGGTGGTTTGAAACATGTGCTTTATATAATCCAGGAATTGCCAGAGTTAGCAAAGCATTTTGTAATGAGATCACTGTTTCAACAGCCATTGCCTGAAGCACTTATCTATGCTTGGGTGAAGAAAGAGCAACAAAGTAAGACAGAATACAATCTAGTTGCATGATTCATTCGCTTCTCAAAATATTTTATGCCTAATCTGTGATTCAGTTTTGTATAGGTGCTTTGAACAGATTGAAACAGCTTAGAATATGGTGCGTAGTAACTGGATGGTGCAAGCAAGATATGAACTCAATCCAACATTTCAAGTGAACTTAAAGGTCGCCTTTGTGGTGGGTGAGTTGCAGTTATAATTATTATAATTTCTGCTTACTTTATAACACTGTGAATACTTTGAAAGGTATGTATTTCAGTATTTAGGGAACATATGGGAACGCTAGTATGTTGGGGTATTTTAATGGTGATTTTTTCTTTCTCTAGGGTCAACCATGGTGTGGACAGGCCGAGGATCTTGGAGAAGATAAACATTCTAAAGATAAAGATTTTCTGGAGAAATATGCTTTAGAGAGATGGGAGGTATAGTCTTATTTGTCTTGTGTTTAGACTTTGCAACAATAGTTTAGCAGTTGTCCTTAAAGTCACAGTCTTGTTCAGTCATAAACTGAAAATCTTATTATGTTATTTTGGTGTTAACATTTTTAGTCGGTTCTTCATTTTTTGACTGGTTCATCGCCACCTGAAGGAATAGTTGGTATCAGCCCGGACATAGTTCAAGTTCTTCTTCTGGCTGGATTAATGAAAAGGTTTTGGATTGAACTTGATAGTTTTTACTACGTGTCTTTCAACAAGGTTTTAGTTCAACGTTATATGATTCCTGCCACTTTTAAGTGATAATGAAGAAAAAACACCAAGGAGCTGCGCCCAGAGACATTGGATTATTTTCATCAGACTAAAGTATGGCAGATGGAGCAGGAATTTTACCTGTTTGCGAACAAGACGTTTACAGACGTACTAAAGAGGATTTTGTGAAGAATCATGGAAAAGTAATGCGGCAAAAAGAAATTCTTCTTTGAAAAATTCGTCCAAAGGCAAGGGAATCGCTTTGATTGAATATGTTCATCGCCCCTAAAGTTGTGCCAAGGCCTACCAACGGTCCGCCATCGACATGCCTGTAGCCAGTGGTATTATTATGTGGACGGGACAAAATTAATTAAGATTTAATTTATTTTGAAATCAATGAAATTCGAGTATACGAATAAATGCCATCTAATTCTCATATTTAATTCTCTTTATATGTCTCTACCACTTTTTCAAAGCATCTTCCAGTTCTCTCAACGTGCTGTCTTTCTGTAAAGAAGAGTGAAAATTTTCATCAGATTAGTCACTTTCTTCTTTGATTTCTCGTTCCTTAAAATTAACAAATTCACACATCAACTACACTTACTTTGATGAAACAAAATCGTACAAATTTCTCTGCTATCTTCCTATTCTTGGAATAGAACGCACTTGGAGGAATTGCGGCGATGCCCTGATTAACGTTAAAGATCGCGTCCCATTTGCCCTTCACAAATTACTAAAGATTTTCTTTCTACAGTCAATTACCTTTTCCTTGATCATCCATTTACACAGTTGCATATCGTTTCATCGCTCTTTTCGGAAAAAGTTATTCCTTTATTGAAATGAGAATTTCAGTTAGTATTCGCTGAAAATGTTACATACATGTTGAGCGCCATATAACTATTAACGAACTGTAACTGCAGCACTATTGATGTTGCGCATTTAATAAAACGACAAGTTTTTCCAAAATAAATAATACTGAAGATGGCATCATGAGATGTTGAAACATGTTTATTTTAAAAACTTGTCGTTTTATTAAATGCGCAATATTAACGAACTCTCTACCTAACTTTGTAGAATCTGCCATTATAAAGTAGCCACCGTCCGGTACTACTGGATCAAATCCAGCTTCATGAAGTATCTTCACTTGAAATCACGTTTCTCTAACAGAGGAGTTGTCATCTCGTGAAAATATGATTCCTTCGTGTTAGTAATTTCTCTTCCCTTTCCAATCCAATTGCAACCACTTCCTACAAAAGACATTGCATTCTTCTTTCGTGTACACTATCAACTTCTTCAATTTAATCATGCATATTGATTAAATATTCTTTGGTGTAAATAATTCAAAAAAATGAAACTACCTGTGAAAATGTTGGCAACACATACATAGAATTTGCGTGAACAGTTGCCATACAAGTGATTAATGCCTCAGGTCCAACACTCCAACCTAACTATGAGAAAAAGTTTTTATCTTCTGGTGTGTTTTGTGATTTGACACAGCCATGTAGCAATTGATTGGTATGCAAAACTTTGTAAAAATACTTATGAAACACCATACCTTCCATCCTGTAGCAGAAAAAGTCTTTCCAGCACTACTTATGGTAATTGTGTGATCCCACATTCCAGTCCAAGGTAGCTACAGAGAACATCAACATAACTCAGTTTATATATAATGGGTATTTATCATTCCTCTTATCTCAATATCCTCACTTATCCTGATGTGCATATTCACGATCCTCACCAATGTTGATATGTTCATTTATTATCCTTACCTATCCCGATTTGTCCATTCATTATCCTTACCTATTCAAATATGTTCATCATCCTCACATACCCTGATGTGTTCATTCATTCACCTATCTCCATGTGTTCATTCATTATCCTCACTCCTGATGTGTTCATTCATTATCCTCACCTACCCTGATGTGTTCTCATTATCCTCACTACCATGATGTGTTCATTCATTATCCTCACCTAATGTGTTCATCTCTCCACCTACCCTTATGTGTTCATTCATTATCCTCACCTACCCTGATGTGTTCATTTATTAACCTCACCTACTCTGATGTGTTCATTCGCTATCCTCACCTATCCTGATGTTCATTCCCAGGATAGACCAGCCATTCATAAACTTCATCACTGATGCAAATTACATTGTATTTTGATAATGTTGGCAAGCATTTCTATCTCATCTTTTCATAAACCTTAAACATATAATACAAATAAATAAATTGAGAATTCATTATTTAACAAGATAGAGTGCCAACTATCATTTCTGGCACAGTTTGATGACAGTGTAGCAGTTTTAACCTTCTACCTTTCCCAGAGGATTATTTGGTGTATTTAATATTATTGCTTTTGTTTTTTCACTAAATGCAGCCTCCAGTTCAGCAGGATCAATCTTCCATCCTTTTGCTGAAGACCAATTCTCTTTTGACTATAATGCATGGATTTTAAAAATGAGGTTGGCCTGCATAGAAATTGAAAGTTGTTTATGTGTATAAACTGCAAAACTTACTGGTCTTAATGGTACAAAAACACAAGTTCCACCAACATAATTGACCATTTTTTCATAGCAATCAAAGAAAGGTTCAATGATTATCACCTAAAACAATTGTAAAAAATTATTAGTTTCTCCAGTCTCCGTTAGATTGCTTTCAACATGTTCAAAGATTTACTGGATTAAGAAAAACTTTAAATACAACCAGAGTTTACCTCATCACCTTCAGTTAACAAAAGATGAAACGGCAGAAAACAGAGATTCATAAGCACCATTCGTTATGAGAACCTGGAAGACAAAACATGCTTATCATAAATGCACAAGTGAATGCATAAATTCATAATTAATTTTACATCTGTCATAGCATTTATATCTCACCATGTAGTTTGGAGAACAAGGATGCGATACTGTTCACCAACCTTGGATGACCCTGGAATGATTCGGTGACTGTCAAAGCTCAAGAAATATTGTGTCAATTGAAAAACAAGAGCATAGAAACCTGACTCCTTGTATATTGATGTAACATATCATGTGAGGTTGCTGTTTCAGCTAGTATCTTTGGTAAATAATCTGGAGGACCATAATCTGGAAAGCCCTTTTGAAAAGACACTCACACATATATAGCTAACAATACCGAAGACATGTCCTCTTATATCCCCCGAGTTCCCTCACTTATCAATATTTATGTACCTACTGACCTGACCAACATTCACAGTCTTATACTGTGCATTGAGTTTTCCAAATTCCACCCTAAATCATATATTTTGTTAAACAAACAGATACTATGGCCTGCGTTAAATATATATCACTGTTCAATTATTAATTGCAATCTGATGATGGCGAATTATCTCATTAACCATCGCCAATCAGTTAAATTACAAACGATGAACTTTATTTTGTAATTTAGTAAATGTTTTGGGAGATTCATCTTACCATATATTTTTCCCTAGGGATTTCACTCTGTTTGCTGGAGAAAAAACTTTGTCGGTTGATGCCATGTCAGAACTCTACACAAATAATTCCATTATCACTCAATTATTACGCTAATTAGGGGGTTGGGCAAAGGCGATCCACATCCACGCCGCTAGCTCCATAATTCATGTAAATAAATTTGCTGACGACGCGATTAACTGTACATTTTGCCTTATTTATACCTTTAAGTACTTTAAATGTACATAACTATAGGTTCACACGCATACTTATGGTGATTTAATATAAAAATAAATCATATTCCATGGCTGCACGAACAAAAGGTCTATGAAAATACTGAAATAACAAAAACATGTACCGCTCTATATTGCTCTTGAAAATAACAGAGATTACGCGATAGCAAGGAGGAAATCTCAGTGATACTCCATGCAGTGGATACGTTAAATCTGCGAAATACAAAAGACATCAATTTCTTCTATGATCGAACTCTCCAGACTGCTGTGTAGATGTAATGGTAATGTACAATAAGCTTGCCCGACATGTAGGTTGAGAAGCCCTAAAATAGAAGCAAGCCTGCGCCTGAGTGGATTATTGCAAGTTTTGCAATACTGCTATTTCAATTTTGAAACGAAACATTCTCCATTCATGTAAATGCTTTGTTATTTGATTTTCCCAAATCGAAATTTTCCAAAATAATCGTATTCGTTGACAATCTATCGACTTTTTGTTGATAATGCTGGAAAAATTCTTCATATTGCCTTTGCTTTGTGAAAAATAAAACGGATACAATATTACCTTACCTGATCTTAGAAGAGTAAACATGCTGGAGTGATAATTCGACATGGCGGCTGGCGGCCAGCCTGCCTCTTTAGGCCGTCACTTGAAATGTAGAACTCTTCACGAGTATCTCAAAGCTTGCCTGTTAGTGTTTTGGATAAGCTCTACGGACATCCAGCAACATGTTTTGCCGTTTTTAGGTAAGTGCAGCTATTGACATAGACAAAATGACCGTCGATAAGTCAATGACAGTCATAGAATCAGTTTTTTTCGAAATTCATTGTGCACTTATTATTAATCCTTTGTAGAGCTCATTGTGGTCTTTAAGAATTTATATAATATTATTATATTATTAAATAATTATTCCCAAATGTACCCATACAGGCTTTCAATGTCATCAACTTCAGGCTGGTGATTGTTTATTTTGAGGGATCACTAGGGTAATGGAGGGCTTAGTTTGATTAATGCATGGTATGCTTTGGGGTTTGAAACATGTGCTTTTATATAATCCAGGGAATTGCCAGAGTTAAAGCATTTTATAATGAGATCACTGTTCAGCTCAACAGCCATTGCCTGAAGCACTTATCCATGCTTGGGTGAAGAAAAGAACAACAAAAGTAAGACAGAATACAATCTAGTTGCACGATTCTTTCATTTCTCAAAATATTTTATGCATATTCTGTGATTCAGTTTTTGTATAGGTGCTTTGAACAGATTGAAACAGCTTAGAATATGGTGCTAGTAACTGGATGGTCGCAGCAAGATATGAACTCAATCCAACATTCCAAGTGAACTTGAAAGTTGCCCTTTGTGGTGGGTGAGTTGCAGTTATAATTTTTATAATTTCTGCTTACTTTATAACACTGTGAATACTTTGAAAGGTATATATTTCAGTATTTAGGGGAACATATAGGAATGTTGCTAGTGTGTTGGAGGTATTTTAATGGTGATTTTTTCTTTCTCTAGGGGTCAACCATGGTGTGGACAGGCCGAGGATCTTGGAGAAGATAAACATTCTAAAGATAAAGATTTTCTGGAGAAATATGCTTTAGAGAGATGGGAGGTATAGTCTTATTTGTCTTGTGTTTAAACTTTGCAACAATAGTTTAGCAGTTGTCCTTAAAAGTTGCAGTCATGTTCAGTCATAAACTGAAAATCTTATTATGTTATTTTGGTGTTAACATTTTTAGTCGGTTCTTCATTTTTTGACTGGTTCATCGCCACCTGAAGGAATAGTTGGTATCAGCACGGACATAGTTCAAGTTCTTCTTCTGGCTGGATTAATGAAAAGGTTTTGGATTGAACTTCATAGTTTTCATTACTTGTCTTTCAACAAGGCTTTAGATCAACGTTATATGATTACTGCCACATTTTAAGAGATAATGAAGAAAAGACACCAATGATCACACCTTCAGGATTTCAATTCTTACTCATGGATACCTCATCTCAAATTTGGTACTTCATGCTCAAGTGCTTGGATATGGCAAAGGTTTGATATATTCTGCAACAAAAACCTGCCTTTGTAGTAGAGTTTAACTTACTAGGTTTGGTTTTTAAAGGCCACAAATCTAAGTATTTTTTGTATGAAATTAAATGTAGTGTTGTTTTCAACCATTTATTTTGTTTATAGACCGTGGTATGGATCTTGTTGAATGCTTGACACTCTTCTTTCAACTGACATTCTCCTCCTGCAGTAAGGTAGTCATTTATCCTATGTTGACATACAGTGTCTCTCATCTATCCTATGTTGACATACAGTGTGTCTCATCTATCCTATGTTGACATACAGTGCTCTCATCTATCCTATGTTGACATGCATGCAGTGCTTCATCTATCCTATGTTGACATACATGCAGTGCTTCATCTATCCTATGTTGACATACATGCAGTGCTTCATCTATCCTATGTTGACATACATGCAACTTCATCTATCCTATGTTGACATATGCAGTGCTTCATCTATCCTATGTTGACATACAGTGCCTCTCATCTATCCTATGTTGACATACAGTGTGTCTCATCTATCCTATGTTGACATACAGTGCTCTCATCTATCCTATGTTGACATGCATGCAGTGCTTCATCTATCCTATGTTGACATACATGCAGTGCTTCATCTATCCTATGTTGACATACATGCAGTGCTTCATCTATCCTATGTTGACATGCAGTGCTTCATCTATCCTATGTTGACATACATGCAGTGCTTCATCTATCCTATGTTGACATACATGCAGTGCTTCATCTATCCTATGTTGACATACATGCAGTGCTTCATCTATCCTATGTTGACATACATGCAGTGCTTCATCTATCCTATGTTGACATACAGTGCTCTCATCTATCCTATGTTGACATACAGTGTCTCTATCTACTCCTATGTTGACATACAGGTCATCTATCCTATGTTGACATACAGTGCCTCTCATTTATCCTATGTTGACATACAGGCCTCTCATCTATCCTATGTTGACATACAGTGCCTCTCATCTATCCTATGTTGACATACAGTGCTCTCATCTATCCTATATTGACATACAGGGCCTCTCATCTATCCTATGTTGACATACAGGCCTCTCATCTATCCTATGTTGACATACAGTGCTCTCATCTATCCTATGTTGACATACAGTGCCTCTCATCTATCCTATGTTGACATACAGTGCTTCTCATCTATCCTATGTTGACATACATGCAGTGCTCCATCTATCCTATGTTGACATACAGTGCCTCTCATCTATCCTATGTTGACATACAGTGCTCTCATCTATCCTATGTTGACATACAGGGCCTCTCATCTATCCTATGTTGACATACAGTGCTTCTCATCTATCCTATGTTGACATACAGTGCCTCTCATCTATCCTATGTTGACATACAGTGCTTCTCATCTATCCTATGTTGACATACAGTGCTCTCATCTATCCTATGTTGACATACAGTGCCCCTCATTTATCCTATGTTGACATACAGTGCCTCTCATCTATCCTATGTTGACATACAGTGCCTCTCATTCATCCAAATTTGACATATCGTACTTTATACATTTCATAAGTCATATACGGGTTTAAGAGGCTGTTAGTAACCCTATTCCTAATTTCTTTTTTCTTTGTTTATTTAGGATTATCCCACAGACAACATGACAGAATCTCAACTTCACTTCTTGCAGCATCTTAGAGAAATTGGATTGGTTTTCCAACGAAAGGTGATGATTTGAGATGCTGCTCAGAGAAATTAAATGTCATTTTCAAAAATGAACTATCGGAAATTTTTTAATCTTTTGCAGCGAAAATCCAGACGCTACTATCCAACTCATCTTGTCATTAATCTGGCTTCAGCAAGTACAGGTACATTGGTGGAAATGACGTTCAGAAATATTCTGTTTGTCTAACCCATACACATTTGCAAGAATGAAGAAATGTTTATTTGCAATTGCTAAATACCTTCAGGTAACGTTGTTTTCTTACCGACTTTCAGGCGTATCAACAACATCAAATGATGGAACAGCTGAGGGTTACATTATGGTTGAAACAAACTATAGAGTTTATGTTTACACTGGTAATTTTCAAAGTATTTTTAAACTTTCTTGAAATGAAGCTTAGGTGCGTGATGTTATAAAACTTGCGGTGATTTTTCAGATTTTTGAACCCGTTTATTGCACATAGTTCATTTGATGTTTTTTTGTGCTATATGAATAAAATTAACACATTGTAATGGTAATTACGCTAAGTTAAGCTAAGGTAGTGTAAGTATGGTTAAGTATGGTTAAGATTGCGTAGGAAGGTATTACGTGTGTTCCTTTATAACAACATATTGATACACTTCGGGAAAGGTCACATAAAATAACCACCATTATAACAAGGAATTGTTGTACGATACATTTTAATCATGAGTATTTTCTCAGTGTTTCTAAATCCTAATGCTCGTATGATTGAAAAAACGAACTTTTTCTTACAGATTCACCACTTCAAGTTGCTCTTGTTGGTTTATTCTGTGAAATAATATGTCGGTATGTCGTGGTGAATTTTTTTGTATTCTACAGAAATAGTAAACGATAGTTTTTTTCTCGTTGTTTGAAAAGATTCCCAAAGTTCAGTGTGGCGGTGTTGACAAGAGAGAGTGTCAGCCAGGTCTATTACTCTTTTATTCATAAAAACTAAAGACTTGTGGATATTGATTTGTTTATTGATGAGGAAGTATTTTTGACGAGTATATTTGTTTTTTAGGCTCTTCTTAGTGGTATTAATGCTAACCAGGTATTTTTTAAAGCGATTTCTAATCGTGTGTTCCTAGCCTGTTCATGCATGTTGTTTTCTTTCTCATTGAAAAACTTTTCTTTCATCCAGATTCTCCACTTCCTACGTACCCGAGCTCATCCTGAAATGTTAAAAAAGGTGTGTACGCAACGTCACACAACGTCACAACACAACGCCACACTACAACGTCACAACACAACGTCACAACACAACGTCACAACACAACGCCACAACACAACGTCACAACACAACGTCACAAACACAACGTCACAACACAACGTCACAACACAACGCCACAACACAACCACAACACAACGTCACAACACAACGTCACAACACAACGTCACAACACAACGTCACAACACAACGCCACAACACAACGCCACAACACAACGCCACAACAATCACAACACAACACACGTCACAACACAACGTCACAACACAACGCCACAACACAACGCCACAACACAACGTCACAACACAACGTCACAACACAACGCCACAACACAACGCCACAACACAACGTCACAACACAACGTCACAACACAACGTCACAACACAACGCCACAACACAACGTCACAACACAACGCCACAACACAACGCCACAACACAACGTCACAACACAACGTCACGCTAACGTCACAACACAACGTCACAACACAACGTCACAACACAACGTCACAACACAACGTCACAACACAACGTCACAACACAACGTCACAACACAACGTCACAACACAACGCCACAACACAACGTCACAACACAACGTCACAACACAACGTCACAACACAACGTCACAATACAACGTCACAACACCACGTCACAACACAACGTCACAACACAACGTCACAACACAACGTCACAACACAACGCCACACTACAACGTCACAACACAACGTCACAACACAACGTCACAACACAACGTCACAACACAACGCCACACTACAACGTCACAACACAACGTCACAACACAACGTCACAACACAACGTCACAACACAACGTCACAACACAACGTCACAACACAACGCCACAACACAACGTCACAACACAACGTCACAACACAAAGTCACAACACAACGCCACAAAACAACGTCACACAACGTGATTGTGGAACATAACATTAAATACAAATGCTTTCTCAAAACGTACATGTTTCAACTGCAAGCTACATTTATGAAATCATTAAACATACAAATGCTTTCTCAAAACGTACATGTTTCAACTGCAAGCCACATTTATGAAATCATTAGAGACAATAGAAAACACACAAGATTTATGGTAGTATGTGCAACATGTTAGTTTATAAAGATGTGAAAATAATGAGCAACCGAGGGATGAATTTAAATGAGCGTGCGAGAAGTGTACACCCCTAATTTGACTATAGTTTCATTAACGAGACGGCATTAACTAAAGACAGTGGATCGTAAACCTGGAGAAACTTAATTTGTACTTTGCTACTATTCATGGTTTGCCAATGTGGGTTTAGACGCCTGTCATTCCACCAAATATTGCCGATCAAATTCGTCTTTGGGAATTGGAAAAATGCCGAATGCAACTAACCGAAGGTATATATATGCATCTGGTTAAGATTATATAGAGACTGACTTCAGTTTAGTGTAATTAACCAATGGAGATATGGTTTTGTTGATTTTATAGGAGTTCTTTATAGTCAGTTTCTATCTCTGTCCGACTTTGAAATTTTGCGAAAATATGCCGAGGTATGAAATCATTAATATTTTTGCTCAATTCAAGAAAAAAAATATGTTTTCCATATTGTCATAAATTAGAAAAAGTACTTCGTACAGAGGTACATGTAAAACGTCGTATATTAGAAATAATACTGCTCTGCATCTTCTAATAACATTGGCTGTACGTATTTATTAAAATATCACGCTCAAATTTTTATTGCTATTGTAACTTTCTTATTTCCTAAGGATCTAGGTGTTTTAATATGGGCAAACTCTTCGAAGCGTGTGATGATCGTGAATAAGTCGGGACACGACGATGTTAAGAAATTCTGGAAGCGACAAAAACCGAAGGAATAAATTGTGGAATGTGAAGCGGGAGAGAAACGTCAAACGGTAGTATCACCAAAAAAGCCTAAAAAATTGGTCGTTTTTATAACACGTGATCCAAATACGTCAGTCATGTTCAGACTTTTGATTTTTGCGCACATATTTTGCGACACATGAACTAATTTGAAGCTATCCTAAATGCTTTTACGTATGATGCTGGTTATCAGATTGGGACACTTATGAACTCATCTCAAGCTATTCGTAGTTTCATACGCCTTAATGCGTGGTACTGCATATCAAAATTAGAAACGTACGTGTGAGCTCAGATAGCTTATTCCATATGCCTTTGAACGTGGGACTAGTTCTATACGCCTTTATGCGTGGTACTAGATATGAGAATGACATTTACATGAACTGATAACTAGCTGTTCATTAGCCTTAATGTGTGGTATTTAGTATCAAAAAGGGACACATATGAACTAAGATCAAGCTATTCATACTGAACGACGGCTAGAATATTTTGCAATTGTTTTCATTTAAGATAATTTCGACATACTTATCCTTGTGGTCGCTTCCATTGCGGATTAAGAGCGAAAAGCTTCCCATATTATGACGAGAAAAACAATTTCTCATTCCAACGCTCTCAAATAAGATTCTTATTTACAGTGTTTTTCTAATATCATCAGATCATCGACTTATTTCTTCGTTTTGAAGTACTTATAAACAAAACGTGATGAGTACCCACGTCATCTCTAAGATTCCCGACCGCTTAAAAAATTATTTTATATTGCGTTGAGGTATTGCTGTTCATTAAAATTTGTAAACCTTAGATAAACATACGGCTTAAGCCACATATTTGTTAACATTCTTATGAATATACTGCTTACATTGTTAAACAATTTCACTGCATGTCTAACTCATGTTTTCAATGGAGTTATTTGAAACTAGAAAGGTCGGCAAGCATTTGTTCATATTCGTCAAAGAAATAGGGGAGAATGGTAGTGCCAAGGAGCAAACGTTCATAAAGACATGTTCCTCCACAGGCGATTGTAATAAACTCCCGTCAATGTTCATGGAGTATTTGAGAAGATTTTTTGATATGCTCGACAAAAACAACACTGGCTTTATTAAATTAAGTGATGTTGAAGCTCATTGGGGAAAAATCAACGGTGGTGATAGTGTACATTCTTGCGATCCATTGAAACATGTACGTAGAGTGACTTCAGATAATGGTTTGTTAAATTTTGAATTGTTTTGCGAGGGCATTGGAGAAGCAATGAATCGCGAAGAAGCGGTTTCGATGCCAAATCATTCCAGAAGTAGTTCGGTAAAAAATGGTCAAAATTTTGTATCAAAAGATGGACATTTATCTCAGCGTTTTGAAAACCATAAACATTCAACTTGTGAAGATTCGATACTAAGCGAATCGGGTGTTCGTAAGAGGAAAAAGAATCATGGTGATCAGTTTAGTACATGCAAGAATGAAAGGACAAAATCATCTTTATTGTCCACAGAATATAATGGTAAACTAACCGATTTTATTTCAAAAAAAAACTTTTCGGAGTCTGATATCTGCAATGGATATTCTCGTCACAGCATGGATGAACGTGATCCGGAAGTTAACAATAAAGTTTCGCGAAATTCAACCAAATCTCGTCCGAAGTCTGTGACTTTTCAAGACGATGTTATGACATCCAAGTTTGATGAACTTGCGCGTTATGAAAAGAAAAGAGGTGATATGTGCATGGAAATCACCGACGAAGGTTTTGTTACTGAACAATTTAAACATAATGGAATTGTGGAGAGAACGAAACAGTTTAATACATCTGAAGTTATGTTGACGTGTAAAGGAGTTGAATGTTCAGATAACGAAGCTTGTAGTCGCAGGAGTAAACACGTTTTGCCTACTGTTCGTTATTCTGGCAATCATTTGAATGATGGTATGACTGTGTTTAGGATTTATTGACAATTCGTAGCGCTCCTAGTGTAATTACCCGTATTTGTTATTATTTGAGTCATTTTTAAAACAAAAACATTGTCATTATTGTGTAATCTATTTTTCTAACCGGGCCGAAATTTATTTTAGATTTATTTACGTTGAGGCTGTTTGTCTTTTCGATAATTTGTCTGCATGAAAACGTACCTTAATCGCTTTAATCTGTTATCGTTGTTAATGTTACTCATACGTCACGAATCCACACTCCTATATTTCAATGCATGATGATGGTTAAGTAGAGTCGAGACTTGAAACAAAAATTGAAAGCATTTCCATCATCAAACAATGATTTGTGTTCTCTCTAACGTAAACATAGCACAGAATGTGATTCATTTGGTTTAATTCATAAATCTTGTATTTTTTACAGAAGATGAAATGAATGATTCGAAAAGGGTTGGTGAGCGCTGCAGGCTTACAAAGTCTACACCACCAACTAAAGTGTTTTACAAAGGCCACATGAAAACATCTCGAAAGCTTCAACTTGATGCCAGAGCTCATTTTCAGACGACACCTAAAAGGGAACAAGAAGAAGCCACTAAGGTAAAACCACCTGAAACTTAGCTTTCATTAACTGCGTAGTTCCATATCAAAAACACTTTCACATATGCATTCTCTGCTTCTTAATAAGAATTTTTGCGCCGATACATAAATACGACTTATCGGGTCTGTTTTTCTTTTTGTAATCATGTGTGATCAACAGCTGCTGCTTTCTAATGTTATTACAATTCGCTTTGAAAAACGTTACTGACATGATTGATCATTTTATAGATTACTACTGCAAATGAGGAACTAGTTTTGAGAAACGGCCTGCGAGCAATTGACGAAATCAAACACCGGTTATTACGGAGAATATCTCAAATTGAGGAGAAAAAGCTTTACGAAAAACTACAAATCAACTCTGATATAGGTGGAAAAACTTTGGAAGCGTGGAATAATTTCACCCTCGAAGCGCTGTCGTCACATTTCCACGGACTATTGGGGATAATGAAGGAGGCGAAACGACCTTTATGTAAACAGTAAGGTACATAATGCAGCAGTTTCACAATAAAAATTATATACACTATACTATATGTATAAGTAGAACGAGGAGCGATGTATTTCATACAAATGAGTCGATCTTTATTGATCTATTAAGAAATCACTTTAAGCGGCACCTTTTCGTTTACATGTATGGCAGATGGCTATTTTCATTAAAAAAATATCGGCACAAAAACTTCTATATATTTGCCTGCGTATTCAATATGTATAGAATTACCCATTGAATAGTCTGCAATTTTCCACAGTCAACTTTTTATTGTCATTATTTGTTTTTCGTTGTCAAAATACATATGACGAAGCAATCGGAAATGGCAGAAATCTGCTTTTTTCATAATATATATGGCTATATTATTGTTTTCCCTCTGTGAACACCTGTCAATGGAGATGAACTCATATGAAAGTGCGTATACATATATCATCATCATCATGATACGGCTCGTCATTTGTTGTTATTTCAGTTTGTAAAAATATTAGACCAGCACCTAACATTATCCTGACAAAGTTTTTTCTAACCAAGAGCTTCGACGATCGAAAACAACCGCATGAGACGTTTTTCTTATGACTTGTAACACGGTATATGTTTCTGAATGATTGAGTTAGATTTTGTTTTTGTCGTTCGATAACTGGCGAAATGGCAAAGTGTATGAACTGCGGGAAAATGCATAAAGTATAAAGAAGTTAACCTTGTGCTTAACTGTTTGTCTTCATTTCAACCTGAAGGGCGTGCTTTGAAATTTGATGGTGTTTATGAAAATATTACATTATTTTCTTTGTTGTATTACAAACTTTCGCTTATATCTCAATTCCTTTTTTAGAGACCTGCAACAATGTACTACGAACAATATACATTGATCACGTGGCTCGTGGTTCCATGTTACATATTGGTCATTGTGATGGGGACATTTGGGAATATTGTAGTACTGAAAGCATACTTGACAAGTGAAAGAGTCTGGAATCGGTCCTACAACTTAATCCTGTGTAATGGAGTTATCGCAGATCTGATAATCTGTTCCTTTTTTACCCCTCTATTGTTGATATATCGCGCAAACGTATCTGCGCGTCTTATTGAAATATCACCAATTTGTGAAATGTCGCTGTTTTCCTCGACGCTGGCCATCTCGCTACAGTATGTTGTATTTCCTCTTTTTGCTATGAACAGAAGAGATGTTGCGTTGAATATCGCTTCGCCTTTCCTTACTCTACCGAAGTGTCGAAAATTGCTTGCAGCTGGTTGGTTCATTTGCATTGCTGTTTCCGCCATTATAGTCGTTCTCCTCCGTAGTGATGTCGGTAACGATGTTGTGCCGATGCTACACCGATGTATTCTGGTGAACACGAGGCTGGACACATTCACGATGTTTTTTCTGTTTTTTTCCGCACCCCTCTACGCTGCGTCTGTTTTTGTGGCGTTTAAATGTTATCGGGACATACGTAGTGTGGGCTCACAAAACTCGGTCCTTTCCCTCGACGACGAGCGACGTACGAAAATGTGCAAGATTGTTGCTGTAGTTTACACTGTATTTTGGTCTCCGTTTCTCTTTGTTCAAATTTTCGGTATCTTTGGTCCTTATTCAGAGCTAATATTCAATTTGCATGCAGCGTCCTCCGCTATTGGTGTATTTGCATCGGCAGTGAATCCGTACTTGTATTCGTACATGGATCATTACTATCGCAAAAAATTCATAAACATTTTCAAATTCACGATGACTGAGGATTGATGAACTGAGTACATTATTAAAACAACCATTATATTTGACGCCTTGATGTCTATGTTTCTTGATTAAACTTTTGTTCATAAAAATGTTAGAATGATATATAATTATGAAGTAATGTGAATTTGACTCAGTGACGTAAGCAGAAGGGGGGTCAGCCCCACCCCTGGCGAAATTTTATACTCATTACATTGTTTAAACGACAGTAATGGCCTCCCTTTCCCTTTAACTGCACCCTGCACTTGAGAGAAAATCCTGGCTAACGAATTTTAATTCAAGACGACGAGTGATTTCTGAGGTTTTGCTAGTACTCCTTGCCACTGTTAACCATAAGAAATTCCTGTAGATATTTTATTTTTGCTTCGAGGGATTTTTCAGAAACTATTTTAGTTTGTTTTTTTTCTTGAATCAGGCTTTTGTACATGTAAGATGTCCACACGTTAGCGACTCATTGCCACTTCTCTATTCTCATTTTTCTCTGCCTCTATGTGCTTGTTTTTTTCAAAGAAAAACAGTGTCAAACCCATGAGAAAATGAACGGTGAAATGTCTTCATTATACATCGACATAGCAAGATGACGTAATGCTATCATCACAAATGGCTGCAACCTTCACCAATACACAATACAAATATAATATATGTACATAAAATTCTTGAGAATGATAGTTTCATTATTTTTTGAGCAGTAAGCTTGGGAGAAGTTAATAGGCAATGTTCAAACATTACTCGTTTCTCATCATTTCAGTTTTTATGTCCGTAGTGATGTTGTTTTATTATTACTACAGCGAGAGTGTTTTAGCTGAGAGTTATATTGATGAGAATATGTTTGGAGTTTTAGAATTTGATGGCAGTCATGGTGGAAGGGTGGAAATTCTTTCTGAAAACAACGGGAAAGATGAGTTGAAGTCAAAGAAATGTGGTGATTTAAACAAAATTGCATCTGACATGCTTTATGATAGCGAAATTATCGCTTTGCCTTACGAAACTAATCATACCAGATGGAGGTTTCACAAGAGATCAAATCTCAACTATCTGAAATCTTTGTACGACAAATGGAGTGGCAAAAGTATTTTTAATGGTGATAGCACTGCGTGGATAAAATATGTCAATTCTACACGAGCCAAAGATATAAAAGCAAAGAAGTATTTCATCACATTTGGTTGTAATTGTTGTGCTAAAGCCACTGTCAATGCAACAAAGGCAGCTAAATTTCCAGGTGGTTTTGATTTTACATTGATTCATGATTTAAACTCCTTAAGCCAAACATTTAGAGATGCATTCTCTGGTATTTTATGGCAAAAACAGGGTTGTGGTTATTGGCTTTGGAAGCCTTACATTATATTAAAGACATTTGTTGAAAACATGTCAGACAATGATATTGTAATGTACCAAGATGCAGGAGCATATCTGATTAAGAATGCTGGACCTTTGCTAAAGCTTGCTCAAGAATCCAAATCTGGTATCATCATCTTCCATACTGATTCCCAAGAAAAATTTTTGACCAAACGAGATGCTTTTATCCTCATGGAAATGGATGACAAGAGAGTTTATAACTCATATCAAAGACTTGCATCATTTATTGTTTTACGAAAAACCTGCCATTCTTTACAGTTTGTTATGGAGTGGTTGGCCTACGCATCGGATCCTCGTATTCTTACTAACATTGAAAACAAACTGGGAAAGAACTTGCCAGAATTTAGAGACAATAGACATGATCAGACAGTGCTATCATTACTTTCTAAGAGATGGCAACTTGATGAATATCGTGATCCAAGTCAACATGGCAATACAAATGAAAAATCTATGTATGCTTATGGGCCATATTCACAGTTGATATCTCACACAAGAGATAAAAATTGAAAACACTTCCACAAGTTTAACCCTTATTCATGATATTGCTCAGTGTATATGAATGTACTTTCACCAGAACAAACACACAGTTTTTCACTACTCCTTTTTCTTTCGGTTTTTCCTTTATCCACTCAAATTTCTCTTCTGCTCCTCCACTTTGTCCCAGTTCACTCTCCTCCACTTTGTCCCAGTTTCCACTCCACTGTCCAGTTCTCTTCCAGTTTCTCCTCCACTTTATCCCAGTTCACTCTCCTCCACTTTATCCAGTTCCACTTTATCTCCACTTTCCCATCCATTTCTTCCATGATATCCCAGTTCCTTTTCTCCACTTTATCCTTCTCCTGATCCACGATCCCATTTTTCCATTTTGATCCCATTCTTCTTCGATCCATTTCACTCCTTCCATTATCCCATTCTTCTTCCATTTTCCATTCGATCCTCCTTCATTGATCCAATTCCTTCCATTTTATCCATCCATTGATCCATTCCTGATTCCTCCATTTTGATCCATTTTGATTCCCTCCGATTCTTTCTTTTCCTTCTCAATTCCATTCTCATTTTGATCTCTCCATCCATTCCCTTCCATCCCATTCCTGATCCATCCATTCCATTTTATTCCGATCTCCATTTCGATCTCTTTTCCATGATCTCCATTCCATTCCATCTCCTCCATTATCCGATTCCATTCTTCATTCTCCATTTTTCCTCTCTTTTCCTTTCACTTTCACTTTCCACTTTATCCCAGTCCACTTTCCTCAACTTTATCCCAGTCCACTCTTCTCAACTTTATCCCAGTCCACTCTTCTCCATTCGCTCTACATTTTTTCTCATATTCTTTCCCTGTCACTTTATCTACGCATTCTCCTTTTTCAAACCATACAACGACCTTTGTAGGTTCGCCTTTAACACCCACAAAGATTTCACTAGATCTCTTATGTTAATGACAAAACAAACATGTCAAATAAAAAAGTCATTGTATTATTCATACCTAATATGCCTAATCGCTAGCAAAACAATTTGCTCAAACATACAACGATTTGGAGCTTTTTTCTCGTGGGAACGTAGACAAAACTAACTAAACCAAGGAACGCTTTTACCATTTTTAGTAAACTACATGCAGGATCTGTGAACATGTAAAGACATATTTGTTGCGTTTTTTCCTTCACGCTTTTCCGGTGAGGAAGTCCGCCCATCATTATCAAACTTTGAGCGGTTTCGTCTTGTATTACACATGTTTGATTATCACAAGGCATAGCATCATGAATGGAAAAGACCATCAAGGTAATTTTTCTAAAGCTTATCAATTTATCCATCAATGTCTTTCATTGTATGCTTTTTGTCTCACAAAATTTTATCAAAAGTATCGATATAAGAGCGTTATTTGGTTGTTTGAATACGCAAATTGCTGGCGTGCATTTTGCATGCTGTGCTGGGAATAATGACCTGTGTTAAGTTGAAACAAACGCACAATCATTGCTTTATTCTATTATTTAAGGAGGCAAAGCTTTCGGAGTTCTTAAACAAGAGCAGGAAAAAAAATTAGATGAAATTAATCAGGTTTGCTAAGTCTGTTTATGTTAACATAGACAATGATGTATAAGCCATTTAAATAATGGAATGAAATATTTTCATGTTGTGTAGTAACCTGCTGAAGTGCACATTATGACATTTATCGCTACTATTTATCAGACTATTACAACTATTTACAATTTGATATGTTTAACGGGGTTAATGGATCATTTTTGTTGCTGTATTTTACGAAAAATGCACGCTTCGTTTGTTCGAAATGAATATGAAAGTAGTAGGACCTTGCGTTTTGTCTTTGCCTCGTGTCGTTTTTTCACAATGATTTTTTAATAATTTTTCTCAGTCGTTTATAAACACCGGCGACTATGATGACGAAGAAGAATGGCCGGATTTGGAAGGCAGTTTAAATGGGTATAAAAGTACGTCAAATGCTGGAGAAAATATTATGCAAAGCATTTCGATATTTTCCTGTCTGGATTTTCTTCTCTGTTTGTAGAGCAATTTATGGAGTTCGATGAGGACAATTCTGGCGATATTGGTGATTGTTTATGATATAATAAATGTTTTTATATATTATTTTACTATTCCTTGTTATAGTCTTTAGCTTATCTTGTGTTCGTTCTGGTGTATGAATTAAAACGCAGTTTTATGATGATCATAAATTTTAATGAATGTAGACTATGCATGCCTTCAAGTACTTGCGTGAGAGATTAGGCGAAAGTATCATAACTTGGTACAATTTTTATATAAAGCAATGTTTGCGTTTTAAGATATCATGGAATTAAAAAGAATGATGGAAAAATTGGGGCAGGCAAAAACACATCTTGAGTTGAAAAAAATGATCGCAGAAGTTGATACGACAAATTCAGGTTTTTCGTTAATCATTAAACTTCTTTGAATAATGCGATACTTTCAGAGGCTTTTAACATTCTTCGTTTGCTGCAGGAACCATAACGTATGAAGAGTTTTTGCTTATGATGCTGGGAAAGAAGTCTTCAATTTTGAAGAAGTACGAAACTCTATTATTGTTTTTTTTTTAATGCAACATTCTTATTCATTCTTTCTATTCGGTAAATAACAATTAATGCATTAAAAAAGAATGAATGTGATGGTTTTGCAAATTTATGTTTGTTGATTTGCATGGACATATGACGAAACTGCTTTGTTTGTTTTGTTTTTTAATAGAATTTTGATGTTTGAAGCATTGGCAAAGGAAAAAGAACGTCCTACAGGAATTCCACCAAAACGTGACCTCGCTAGCTTGCCCTGACATTTTGTATTGTATAAAAGATAAATATCCATTCTTCAAATTTTTTCATAGTCTATAAAAGTTTCTTTGAGTTTTCTGATTATATTTCATTTTTTGGAATGTTAGTTAGCTGAACTTTGACTCCGTTGATTTGGACGAACAAACAGAAAGCTCATGAATTAATCATTAATTTCCAGTCCACCAGACCAGTTTAACTTTTCCTGTTAAATTTTCGTACTCTTCTTCGTGTGCTAGCATATTTAATTTGAATTTCTGCTCCTTACAAACTTTAACACCAGTTGATGATTAGCTAGACGTCCTTATAAAGGCTTTGCTTATTGAGGTAAATACTATATTCTTAAATAACATAGATTTCTATTGTGAAATTGGAGAAAGCTCGATTCTAATATTCTAGACTTCACATATTATGGGTGACTGGCCACCGCAACAAATGTAGCAGTTTATAGCAGTCGTATATTGGGTATATTTTATCTGCTGGATGTACTGGGTATGAAAGACTTTATATATACCAAGTAATTTTAGCTCCTTAGCATTTTTCTAAAGTACAAACCGTTGTCGTTTAACTTCCTCTTCGCTACAAGGCGAGAAAGATTTAGCGTGCCGTTCTTGTTGTTCTGGAACTGAATTACCGTTTAAAGTTTGGCTTTGTACTTTGTAGGCACCTGCCTTTCTACAAATTGATAGATTGCGATTGATGTTTTCTTATAAAGTTAAACTTCATAAAGATGAATTTATGAAATACTTGCAGATATTTCGGATGAAGCACAGTTCAAAAGCAAAAGCACAAAATATCAACGGTTTTATTTCGAACTTTTTCTTTCAGTTGTGAATTATTAAGGTCGTTTTGCTCGTAAAATGTTTTGAAGCGTATATTTTTGACGAAACGAAAAAGTTATTGACCGTGGAATTTTTTATTGGAAAGGAATTATGCCATTAACACAAGCGTGAGCAGTTTGAAGAACTCCGAATATCTGGAGACGAACAGACAACATGGATGGCATTGACGCCTCGTTAAATGAATGTATAGGATCCACGCAAGGTAGCCAGAATTATTTCCAGGAATTTAAATTTGGTCTCGATGCTTACTTGTCAAGCGACCACGACAAAGCTTCGAAACATTTCAAAAAGTGCATTGAACTAGCTTCAGATTTTGAAGGGCAACGCTTTCTTGAGTTTTTTGCATATTATGGTTTAGGATACTCGCATACATTATCCAGTCAGTTTAGCAAAGCATCTGAATGCTTTAATAAATGCTTAGTGCTCTCACAAAACTTATCAGTGATAGATGATGGCGGTAGTAAGAAGTGCTTCAAGGCATTTTCATGCATAGCAAAGGGTGATCTTTACGTGCATATTGGTGACACAGGATCGGCATTGAAATCTTATCTAGAGGGGCTTGAAATTTCGCGTGATGCTAAGGACAAGGAGCGAGAACTTGTGGCTTATTTTAAGCTTGCAGAGTTGAAAAAAATTGAATTATCCCATTCGTCAGCGTTTGAATACTATCAGAAGTGTGTAGAAACAAGGATTCCTGACTTTATTAATAGAGAGCACGTTTTACTCATGTATTTAAATGCAGAAAAAGGAATGGGAGACCTGTATAAAGTCTGTGGAAACTATTCAGAAGCAAAAATTCAATATACAAAGTGCTTAGACATCACAGGAAAGTTAAAAGAAAACTTTCTTCAAAAATTACGTATTTCTGTTGCATTAGCTGAGGTATATACGCACATGGGCGATTTGGATGAAGCTATGAAACTTTATGATACATGCCTGAACCATGACGATAAGTATCTTCAATTTAGTGTTGATGTAGGTATCGGTCGCGTTCTTTTGATGAAGAGGAAATTTTACGAAGCTAAAAAGTATTTTAAAAAGTCATTTAAGTATGCATCAAGCTTACATGATAAAAAGCTTGAGGCCACCTCTTCCTTAGAACTGGGAAATTTTTATTTGGTTACTGGCAAACATAAAAAGGCGATTCAGAATTACAATCACTCTTTGGAGATTGCTAAGCTTGTTAAAGAATTTGATTTGTATGTCGTGAAAATAAAAGCATATTTAGGGCTTGGAAACGCTTACATAATGCGCCTCAACGTTGACTGTCGTGAAAAGGAGGGATATCTTAAAGAGTGCTTGGAACTCTCAAAGAAAGCTGAAAATAGATATTGTCAGTGTCAAGCGTTTCTTGGGATGGGCGACGTTGATTCTATTGAAGGAAGGCTTGATGAGGCCATGGAAAAATATGAACATGCGTTAGAGATAGCTAAAAAGATCCAAGAACGTCACTGCGAATGTCGAGCCAGAAGAAGTATTGGCAATTTATTGGCTCAGAAAAAAAACAATGCTTCTGAAGAATGTTTCAATGAAGCATTGCACATCGCTGTTCAAATCGGGAATGCCATAGAGATATGTCTTTGCCATCTTGGTTTAGCAACACTGTATAAATATTTAAACGAGTATGAGAAATCTTTACGGCACTACAAGAAGGATACTTAATGGCTTATGATGCAAGTGAGAGGGACACTGAGAAGCGTTCACAAATAATGCAACAACATCAACAACAACAAATTAATGATATTAAAGCTGATGAAAATTTTTCAAAGGATTACTTGAAAGGGATACCATTTGTGACTATTCCAGGTGATAAGTACGGAACATTAAGTGGTTATTGGGAACTAGCAGACTTATTTGATAAATTAGGACAAATTGATGATGCTACAAATCTTTTTGAAAAGTACCTTAATATTGCTAAAAAAACGGAGGACGATGAAAAGCAAAAGAACGCTCTAGACCGTTTGGTGCCAATCTACAAGAGGCAGGGACATAATTTTTGGGTGAAAACGTGCCAAGAAAAATTACAAGATCTTGCCAGGAAAAGTCAGGATAAAGGTAAGGGGCTATTCATGTAGTTCGGGGATTCATTTTTGACACGGGTTTTGTAAACTACCGGTCTCACTTTTTTCTCCCAAATTATATTAGAAAGTGAAAGTAGGGCAGTCTTAGACAAAAACGGCATATATTTGAGCTATTTCTAGTAAAAATGACCAATTCAAACAACAAGTTGGCAATTTGAAGTTTTAATAATCAGACAATTTTGTTGGCTCGTTCGCCTATGGTAAATGAAACTGTCTAATTTTAAGAATTGCTGTCACAACCATGGAAATGCAACGATAGGTCAATAATGCATCAGGAAATGTTTAAAATGATGGAAGAATATGGACGGGAGCATCCAGGAGATGTTAAAGTAGTGAATAATGTACGTGTAATTTGCTCGGAAAAGTTTTTAATCGGTAAGGGAAGTGATGGAACCCGTGTTTATCTTGGACTTGGAAAAGATGGTTATGGAAAAGCAGTGAAACGATTGTTTCGAGATAACTGTACGGAGTTGGCCAAACGAGAAAAAGATATTTTGAATGAGTTTAATGCCAAGCGTTCAAATTATGTTGTGAATTATTGGTATCTTGAAGAAGAACCAGGCACAGAGTATTTGTATTTGATATTAGATTTATGTGAAGAATCGTTGGAGAAATTTGTAGAATCTTCTAAGTTAGAGGATCTTCAAAAAGTTCTTCCTAAGGTTATTATGCAGATCTTAAAAGGTTTAGCTGATCTTCACAGCGGCCCGCGTCCTATTCTTCATCGGGATTTGAGACCTTCAAACGTTCTTCGAGATGTACGAGAAAAATTTTTCATAGCTGATTTTGGTATAAGTCAAATATTATGCAATGGAGCTTCGACACATTGGAGCGCACGGAGAGGAGCTAAAAATTGGATAGCTCCAGAGTCACATGATTCATCAGGTACATCCATTAATCAAGCTCGGTACAAGAAAGAATCTGATGTTATGGTAGGTGATCGTTGCAAAACTTAAATAATGGTAGCTTTTGGTTTTGACTAATAAATCTTGACATTTGACTGTCCACAATTGATGTTGCTGTTGTTATGTCTTTTTATTGACAATAGAGTGCGGGAATGGTGGCTTATTATGTTGCAACCAAAGGTGAACATCCTTTTGGACCTGAACGGTTTTTACTAGACAACTTGTTGAAAGGAAACCCTGTTAGCTTGGACAAAATCAAGGATGCCACCCTCAAAGATCTTCTTTCGTGGATGTTAGAGCGACTACCAGAAGATAGACCATCAGCCAACGAAGCGTTAAAACATCCTTATCTTCTGTCGGAGGACGAGAAGTTTGAAATGTTATGTAAAGTTGGAAATCAACATCCAATTAAGACAAGTGATGCTAATTCTAACGTTGTTAAACAATTGAATAGTGAACCCTCCGATTGGCAAAGACGAATGAATAGTGATGTTTACGACTATTTTTGCACGGATGAGGTGAATAGAAGAATTGTTAAGTATGGATCGTCATGGACAAAATGCTTAAGACTCATTCGAAATGTTGGTCAGCATTGGTACGATCGACCACGACCTAGAAAACAACTATTTTATAAGATTGGTGATCCAAAGGAGTATTTTCTTCGAACTTTCCCCGAACTCCCCATTCGGGTGCACGCTGCTGTCAGAACAAATGACGAATGGAAAAATAATCCTGAACTCAAGAACTGTTTTATTTATAATTTAAGCAACACTGAACTATTTGATTTTTAATACAAGCAAAGCACATTATCATTCATCACGTCGTTTGCATTTGGCAGAAAGATCGATAACAATCAAACATGTTGTATTTGGTTTAAGTGGTCTTGAAACAAAAGCCTAACACAAAGACTGGCTGCCGATTTCTACATATAGATAGAATTAACAAAAATACGAACTTCTTAAAGTACGAAATTTTAAAAATAATGGTAAAACTGGAATGGTTTTGCTTAAAAATTCACTATACCAAAATTTTCAATTATTATCATTATGTTATCACGCATAAAGGTACATTTTCAATGTAATGTTTGTTGGAAATAACTTGTGACAGAGAATCATTTGAAGATGGTATTCATATAAGATAAAAAGAAACATAGAAGATGTGTTATTTTCCGTTAGTTGAAAGCTCGTAGACCTTATTGACCATATCAACCGTTACTCACAGTTTTCGTGTTTGCCATGAAGTTGAGATCATGACAAAAATTGCTCTTTTTTCATCAGCGGCCCACATGTTTTTTTTTATTTACCATTTCCTAGCCTTGAGTATGAAAACGAAGAATTCAGAGAAAATGGTGTAAAGTGGGAAGTAATTTTTGATCAACAGATCGTATTACACAATTTTGTTAAATTCAACATCCGTTGCAGCAAACAAAAATTTGATCTTTACATCGCGAGCCCTTGAATTCATGATGTTTTCGATCAATTTATTCCTTTTGCTTTCGGTGTCGTACCTTGCCCAGATATATGTCAAAGGTAGGTCTTCATTAAAATTTTAGTATCTCTACGACCCGACGCAAGACAACTGTGAGTAGACAACTTTCCTTGCTTTTGTCCTTGCGTTTATTTGTTGCTTTTTGTCTCGAATTCATGTTACTAAAAGTCATGTACTAAAACATCCGTTTGATGGGGAAGATTTCCCTCAAATTCAGTGCTGTAAATTCTCCTCCATAGGTCAAGAGTGTCCTAGAACAAACAGCAATCCATCAAAAAATTGTGTGTCTAAATGTTTACCTCGATTTGGTTGTGCATCGAAGAGACGGACATGTATTTGTGACGGAGATTGTGGCTTCAGTTGTGTGAAGAAAGGTTCACTTTTAAATATGTTTGTAGTTTATTGACATTTAGTTAAACAATACTGTTTTTCTAGCGCTGCGTGTTTACTTTCGGTTAAGCAAAAGACCAAGGGCAAACTACATAGATAGCGTAAATTTTTTGCCCGTTTGTGAATGTAATCTAAAGTTGCGAACTTCAATTTTCGTACCAGTTCAACTCAACTCTTCATTCATCGGTTTTGCGTTCTTTGAAATCACGACGACTATTCCGGATTGATGTTAATTTTTTATAACGATAAAACACAGTTATCTGATATACAATGTTGATGAATGAAATCATGTTTTACATAGCTCTCAAGTGCCCAACTCCAAAACGTCCGGCAAATGGTCAAAGAAACGTTAGTGGAAGACACTTTAACGATACTGTGACATTCTCGTGTAATCTTGGATTTACACTCACAGGATCATCTCTACGACGATGTCGAGGTTCTGGGAACTGGGACGGAGTACATCCAATTTGTGGTAGCATTTGCACAATGCGTTAAAAGTCCCTTTAGTAGATATGAAGAGATAGCAATATTTTAAATTTCAGGTAAACCTTGCGATGATCCAGGTCAAGGAGAAAATACTTTAAGGAAGGAGCCATTGAGCAGTGATCAATTTCAAACTGATGTAGCTTTACATTATTCCTGTATTAATGGTTATCACATGACCAGGAAGTCTGGCGTCATAACATGTCAAAGTAATGGATCATGGGATACAATTCCACCACAATGCAAGCGTAAGTTGGTGCCGCAGTTCATTGTAAGGCATTCGTGGTTATAAAGAATTGAGTAGAGAATTATAATTATACGATAGGAGAAAAACATGTCAACAGAAAAATTTCTTTGCCCCATTCAGTTTTCATTTGATTTCTTTTCTGTAGGTACTGTATGTCCTCCACCGAAACTTCCCCAATATTCTTATGTAAGATCACCGTCATGGTTTAATACTTCTGGAGGGGCAGGAAATGGACGACGGTTATACTTAGCATGCAGTCCAGGATATAAAAAGGTCGATGGAAGTTCCTTGATATGCTCAGGTGATCGATGGCAGCCCCCGACGCCAATAAAATGTGTTCGTAAGTATGCAAACGATCAACTGTTCTTGCCTTTAGTGATCTATATGGAATGTTACATCGATATTTTATTTCAGCGGTTAGTTGTGGGGATCCAGGTTCACCAGTCAATGGTCGAAAGAGTACTTTAAACTACAACTTCAACAGCAGGGTTTATTACTTTTGTAACGAATGTTATAAACTTGACGGGGATCAATATCGCACATGTAACGCTGACGGCACTTGGTCAGATGAACTGCCTGTTTGTAAAGGTCAGTGAAACCTGGAGGTCGAACATCAAGAATACACTTGATGAGTGAATCGTGATATTTGGGCTTATTGAATGTAAACTCTCTCATTTCAGAAGTGAACTCTCGATGCAAGGAAATTTCTAATTTTACAAATGGTAAAGTTCAGATCACATCAACACGTTGCGGTGGTAAAGCAACGTTCTCTTGTAATGATGGGTATAAAATTATTGGAAGATCTTCGATGCGTTGTAACGAGTCAGGAATGTGGTCGGAAACTTTTCCTCAGTGCAGATGTAAATATTCCCATTTGTTGCTTTGTTTTTGAATTCAAATTAGGTGTAGTTAATTCACAACTCAAACACACAACCTCTATAACCTAAACACACAACCTCTACAACCCAAACACACAACCTCTATAACCCAAGCACACACCTGTATAACCCAAACACACAACCTCTACAACCCGAACACACAACCTCTATAACCCAAGCACACACCTCTATAGCCCAAACACACAACCTGTATAACCCAAACACACAACCTTTATAACCTAAACACACAACCTCTACAACCCAAGCACACAACCTCTATAACCTAAACACACAACCTCTATAACTCAAGCACACAACCTCTATAAGCCAAACACACAACCTCCATAATCCAAGCACGCAAAGTCTACAATGTAGCTATACATTCGTTTCCCTTATCTCTATAAAAAAATACCACAAAATTATTCCCTGAAAAAGAGATCATTTAATTTTTAAAATACTGTTCATTGTAATTGATTCCATAATATTTTGGGTTTATTTCAGTAATCTTGTGTCCATCTCTCAATACGACGGACAGTGTTGTGGTTAATGCCAGCGTTTATCACCCCGGTTCAAGCATAAAATTTGCGTGTATTTCACCAAATCATACTCTGCGCGGCAAAGAAGTGATTTCTTGCAACTCTAATGGCGCATGGTCGCATGAAGTACCCAAGTGTCTGGGTTTGTATACTAATTATATTAGTTGTAACAGTTTAACAACTTACATCGACCCTTAAACTTTCGGAACTTAATGGTAGCGCAGACACATTAAATGTTTTGGTATTTTAAATTTAGAATGCATAAAACTTGTGTTGTGGTTCTTTCTAGCTCCTTGTCGCATCAAACCATCTGAAGCTATGATATCTCAGGAATTTTACAAACACGGAACGAAAGCAACGCTATCATGTCAAGATGGCTACCGACTTTCTGGCGTATTGGAGAGTGAAATGCCATTTTGCAATAATGGTACATGGCAACTCAACACACGAAATTTTCCGTATTGTAAAGATGAGAAAGTTGTGGAAAAGAAGAAATCGTCGTTTTGGGAGAAGATAATGTCATTATTTTCCAAATCAAATTAAAAATATGATTAAAAATAATTTTTATGTAATTTGAAATCCGTGAAAATTTTTTAGACTAACATATGTCCAGACCAGAATAATTGTAGTCCGACAGACTATAGTCGATAGTGAATAAAGTTAGTAATAGTGCCTTTTCCTACCATTTTCTACGTTTCTACGCAGTTTTGTAAATGAGTATATAATCACTCCTCAATAATTATACAACATGAAGTATTCATTTTTAAAGTGTCAAATGTTTATCTTGTGAGTGGCTTTCGACTATGGAGTTGCATTTTCTTGGCGTTTTTACTTTTTTTTGACATTTTTGAGAGACTTAGAAAGGGAAAAATATGAATGCTGTCATAGCATTGTGTCATTTTTGTGAAACTCATGGTCCTAGCGTGTTATTTTGTACTCAGGTAAGATAGTATCGATTTAATTGATTTCAATAATATGACACCTTTTGAATTTTAAAATTTGTCCATTATAATGTTAAGATTGTAATTATTATGTTATCTATTTTAAAGGCTTTTCATGGTGAAGATGAAGATCCAATTGCGTGCGGTACACCTAAAGAAGGCAACGCTCATAACAGAAAGTAAGTTAAACTAATCGCAGCCTAGAGACGAGATTATCAGAAGTCATAAATACTGTAAAGTATGAATTGTCTTATGGTGTGTGTAGCATTGAAATGGTCAACTTTGTTTAGAATTCTCAGTCCAGTGGATCAGAATGTAGTGTAGCGTCATCTCAGAAATCCAGTTCATCTAGATCCATTCAATGTGAGGTAGGTTACAAAATTAATTCAAGGCTACATGAAGTGTATTCAATGTTTCTATCCCCATTCTTCTTTCGTGGTTTCAGGCTTGTCGATCAATACCATCTGATCATCCAGGATTTCGAAGTATTGATGAACATTCTGAAATATTATACATGAGCTGTTGTAATCCTGCACATCAAGATATTTATAGCATTGTCCGACAAGCATGTGTTAGAAGGTTTGTTGATTGTATTTGAACAATCTGTTAAATTGCTGTGAGAGGACTGTACCTAGGAGAAAAATAGTTAAACAATGGTTTGTGTAGAATCATTAGTATGTATTTTGTTGAAACATTTTAGACATCTTTAGTTATTGAAAACATAATTTTATTTTGGTGTTAATGTTTTGTGTTCTAAGATCATACTTCAACATTGCTTGTGTCAAATTGCCATTATGGTATGATAAATTCTCTTGTTAAGAGATAGTCCTTCGGTAAGTAAAATGTAATAATATTAACTTTCCCTTTAGTCTCAGTTGTGAAATATGTCCAGGCCGAGAGGGTCCGATATTTTTTGGTGAAGATGCTAATGGCTCTGTTTTAAGTCATACATTTTTTCTCAAAGATTCGCGAGCTAGAGGTTTACAGCGTTGGTATGTCTTGGATTTAAAAGAAACAAAAAATTTATCTTTGCCAATGTTTAGTTGAGCATTTCCTTTTTTAGGTATAGTATAATTATTGTAATGATGGATAGGATATATCTTATCAATTCTTGGTCATTTCTTGTCAAGTATGAAAACTGTGTGCATTTAAAGAATTATGCTGTAAAACACAAAGCTACATTAGACATCTTTAATTTAAAAGTACCATGATATTGTTCTAGAAACGGAGGACGGTGAAAAGCAAAAGAACGCTCTAGACCGTTTGGTGCCAATCTACCATTGGCAGGGACGCAATTTTTGGGTAAAAACCAAGAAAAATTACAAGGTCTTGCCAGAAAAAGTCAGGATAAAGGTAAGGGGTTTTTTATGTAGTTCGGGGATTCATTTTTGACACGGGTCTTGTAAATGACCAGTCTCACTTTTTTCTCCCAAATTATATTAGAAAGTGAAAGTAGGGCAGTCTTAGACAAAAACGGCATATATTTAAGCTATTTCAAGTAAAAATGACCAATTCCAACAACAAGTTGGCAATTTGAAGTTTTAATAATCAGACAATTTTGTTGGCTCGTTCGCCTATGGTAAATAAAACTATCTAATTTTAAGAATTGCTGTCACAACCATGGAAATGCAACGATAGGTCAATAATGCACCAGGAAATGTTTAAAATGATGGAAGAATATGGACGGGAGCATCCAGGAGATGTTAAAGTAGTGAATAATGTACGTGTAATTTGCTCGGAAAAGTTTTTAATTGGTAAGGGAAGTGATGGAACCCGTGTTTATCTTGGACTTGGAAAAGATGGTTATGGAAAAGCAGTGAAACGATTGTTTCGAGATAACTGTACGGAGTTGGCCAAACGAGAAAAAAATATTTTGAATGAGTTTAATGCCAAGCGTTCAAATTATGTTGTGAATTATTGGTATCTTGAAGAAGAACCAGGCACAGAGTATTTGTATTTGATATTAGATTTATGTGAAGAATCGTTGGAGAAATTTGTAGAATCTTCTAAGTTGGAGGATCTTCAAAAAGTTCTTCCTAAGGTTATTATGCAGATCTTAAAAGGTTTAGCTGATCTTCACAGCGGCCCGCGTCCTATTCTTCATCGGGATTTAAGACCTTCAAACGTTCTTCGAGATGTACGAGAAAATTTTTTCATAGCTGATTTTGGTATAAGTCGAATATTATGCAATGGAGCTTCGACACATTGGAGCGCACAGAGAGGAGCTAAATATTGGATAGCTCCAGAGTCACATGATTTATCAGGTACATCCATTGATCAAGCTCGGTACAAGAAAGAATCTGATGTTATGGTAGGTGATCGCTGCAAAACTTAAATAATGTTAGCTTTTTGCTCTTGACTGATAAATCTTGACATTTGACTGTCCACAATTGATGTTGCTGTTGTTATGTCTTTTTTTTGACAATAGAGTGCGGGAATGGTGGCTTATTATGTTGCAACCAAAGGTGAACATCCTTTTGGACCTGAACGGTTTTTACTAGACAACTTGTTGAAAGGAAACCCTGTTGGCTTGGACAAAATCAAGGATGCCACCCTCAAAGATCTTCTTTCGTGGATGTTAGAGCGACTACCAGAAGATAGACCATCAGCCAACGAAGCGTTAAAACATCCTTATCTTCTGTCGGAGGACGAGAAGTTTGAAATGTTATGTAAAGTTGGAAATCAACATCCAATTAAGACAAGTGATGCTAATTCTAACGTTGTTCAACAATTGAATAGTGAACCCTCCGATTGGCAAAGACGAATGAATAGTGATGTTTACGACTATTTTGCACGGATGAGGTGAATAGAAGAATTGTTAAGTATGGATCGTCATGGACAGAATGCTTAAGACTAATGCGAAATGTTGGTCAGCATTGGTACGATCGACCACGACCTAGAAAACAACTATTTTATAAGATTGGTGATCCAAAGGAGTATTTTCTTCGAACTTTCCCCGAACTCCCCATTCGGGTGCACGCTGCTGTCAGAACAAATGACGAATGGAAAAATAATCCTGAACTCAAGAACTATTTTATTTATAATTTAAGCAACACTGAACTATTTGATTTTTAATACAAGCAAAGCACATTATCATTCATCACGTCGTTTGCATTTGGCAGAAACATCGATAACAATCAAACATGTTGTATCTGGTTTAAGTGGTCTTGAAACAAAAGCTGAACACAAAGACTGGTTGCCGACTGCTACATATAGATAGAACTATAAGATAGAACAACTTTTGCTTAAAAATTCACTACACCAAAATAGTGTCAATTGTCAATTATTATCATTATTTTACCACGTACAAAGGTACGTTTTCAATGTAATATTTGTTGGAAATAACTTGTGACAGAGAATCATTTGAAGATGGTATTCATATATGATAAAAGAAACATAGAAGATGTGTTACTTTCCGTTAGTTAAAAGCTCGCAGATATTATTGATCATATCAAACGTTATTCAGTTTTCGTGTTTGCCACGAAGGTGAGATCATGACAAAAATTGCTCTTTTTTCATCAGCGGCTCACATGGTTTTTTTTTATTTACCATTTCCTAGCCTTGACTATGAAAACGAAGAATTCAGAGAAAATGGTGTTAAGTGAGAAGTAATTTTTGATCAACAGATCGTATTACACAATTTTGTTAAATTCAACATCCGTTGCAGCAAACAAAATTTGATCTTTACATCGCGAACCCTTGAATTCATGATGTTTTCGATCAATTTATTCCTTTTGTTTTCGGTGTCGTACCTTGCCCAGATATATGTCAAAGGTAGGTCTTCATTAAAATTTTAGTATTTCTACGACCCGACGCAAGACAACTGTGAGTAGACAACTTTCTTTGCTTTTGTCCTTGCGTTTATTTGTTGCTTTTTGTCTCGAATTCATCTGACTAAAAGTCATGTACTAAAACATCCGTTTAGTGGGAAGATTTCCCTCAAATTCAGTGCTCTAAATTCTCCTCCACAGGTCAAGAGTGTCCTAGAACAAACAGCAATCCATCAAAAAATTGTGTGTCTAAATGTTTACCTCGATTTGGTTGTGCATCGAAGAGACGGACATGTATTTGTGACGGAGATTGTGGCTTCAGTTGTGTGAAGAAAGGTTCACTTTTAAATATGTTTGTAGTTTATTGACATTTAGTTAAACAATACTGTTTTTCTAGCGCTGCGTGTTTACTTTTGGGTAAGCAAAAGACCAAGTGCAAACTACATAGATAGCGTAAATTTTTTGCCTGTTCGCGAATGTAATCTGAAGTTGCGAACTTCAATTTTTGTACTAGTTCAACTCAACTCTTCATTCATTGGTTTTGCGTTCTTTGAAATCGTGACGACTATTCCGGATTGATGTTATTTTATTATAACGATAAAACTCAGTTATCTGATATGCAATGTTGATGAATGAAATCATGTTTAACAAAGGTACTAATAACAATATTACACCAACAGAAAGAACTCCATACCTGGCCACTTTTGTGTAACTTTATGTACACAAGGACAGGAAGTTACACAAAAGTGGCCAGGTATGGAGTTCTCTTTGTCTCTGTTGGTGTTAGCGAGTACCATTTTTATTATTGTAAATTTAATAAATGTAAATACTTTGTAAAATTTTATTGTATTTTAGATATTAGATATTATTTGTTATGATAACTTTACTAACTTAGATATTCGTAATTCAGCCGCAAGGCTGCAATTAATATTTTAATAAACTACTTACTTACTTACCTTAACATAGGTCTCAAGTGCCAAACTCCAAAACGTCCGGCAAATGGTCAAAGAAATGTTAGTGGAAGACACTTTAACGATACTGTGACATTCTCGTGTAATCTTGGATTTACACTCACAGGATCATCTCTGCGACGATGTCGAGGTTCAGGGAACTGGGACGGAGTACATCCAATTTGTGGTAGCGTTTGCACAATGCGTTAAAAGTCCCTTTAGTAGATATGAAGAGATAGCAATATTTTAAATTTCAGGTGAACCTTGCGATGATCCAGGTCAAGGAGAAAATACTTTAAGGAAGGAGCCATTGAGCAGTGATCAATTTCAAACTGGTGTAGCTTTACATTATTCCTGTATTAATGGTTATCACATGACCAGGAAGTCTGGCGTCATAACATGTCAAAGTAATGGAAAATGGGATACAAGTCCACCACAATGCAAGCGTAAGTTGGTACCGCAGTTCATTGTAAGGCATTCGTGGTTATAAAGAATTGAGTAGAGAATTATAATTATACGATAGGAGAAAAACATGTCAACAGAAAAATTTCTTTGCCCCGTTAAGCTTTCATTTGATTTCTTTTCTATAGGTACTGTATGTCCTCCACCGAAACTTCCTCAATATTCTTATGTGAGATCACCGTCATGGTTTAATACTTCTGGAGGGGCAGGGAATGGACGACGGTTATACTTAGCATGCAGTCCAGGATATAATAAGGTCGGTGGAAGTTACTTGATATGCTCAGGTGATCGATGGCAGCTCCCAACCTCAATAAAATGTCTTCGTAAGTATGCAAACGATCAACTGTTCTTGCCTTTAGTGATTTATATCGGATGTCACATCGATATTTTGTTTCAGCGGTTAGTTGTGGGGATCCAGGTTCACCAGTCAATGGTCGAAAGAGTACTTTAAACTACAACTTCAACAGCAGGGTTTATTACTTTTGTAACGAATGTTATAAACTTGATGGGGATCAATATCGCACATGTAACGCTGACGGCACTTGGTCAGATGAACTGCCTGTTTGTAAAGGTCAGTGAAAGCTGGAGGTCGAACATCAAGAATACACTTGATGAGTGAATCGTGATATTTGGGCTTATTGAATGTAAACTTTCTCTCATTTCAGAGGTGGACTCTCAATGCAAGGAAATTTCTAATTTTACAAATGGTAAAGTTCAGATCACATCTACACGTTGCGGTGGTAAAGCAACGTTCTCTTGTAATGATGGGTATAAAATTATTGGAAGATCTTCGATGCGTTGTAACGAGTCAGGAATGTGGTCGGAAACTTTTCCTCAGTGCAGATGTAAATATTCCCATTTGTTGCTTTGTTTTTGAATTCAAATTAGGTGTAGTTAATTCACAACTCAAACACACAACCTCTATAACCTAAACACACAACCTCTACAACCCAAACACACAACCTCTATAACCCAAGCACACACCTGTATAACCCAAACACACAACCTCTACAACCCGAACACACAACCTCTATAACCCAAGCACACACCTCTATAGCCCAAACACACAACCTGTATAACCCAAACACACAACCTTTATAACCTAAACACACAACCTCTACAACCCAAACACACAACCTCTATAACCTAAACACACAACCTCTATAACTCAAGCACACAACCTCTATAAGCCAAACACACAACCTCTATAACTCAAGCACACAACCTCTATAAGCCAAACACACAACCTCCATAATCCAAGCACGCAAAGTCTACAATGTAGCTATACATTCGTTTCCCATATCTCTATAAAAAAATACCACAAAATTATTCCCTGAAAAAGAGATCATTTCATTTTTAAAATACTGTTCATTGTAATTGATTCCATAATATTTTGGGTTTATTTCAGTAATCTTGTGTCCATCTCTCAATACGACGGACAGTGTTGTGGCTAATGCCAGCGTTTATCACCCCGGTTCAAGCATAAAATTTGCGTGTATTTCACCAAATCATACTCTGCGTGGTAAAGAAGTGATTTCTTGCAACTCTGATGGCGTATGGTCGCATGAAGTACCCAAGTGTCTGGGTTTGTATACTAATTACATTAGTTGTAATAGTTTAACAACTTACATCGACCCTTAAACTTTCGGAACTTAATGGTAGCCCAGACACATTAAATGTTTTGGTATTTTAAATTTAGAATGCATAAAACTTGTGTTGTGGTTCTTTCTAGCTCCTTGTCGCATCAAACCATCTGAAGCTATGATATCTCAGGAATTTTACAAACACGGAACGAAAGCAACGCTATCATGTCAAGATGGCTACCGACTTTCTGGCGTATTGGAGAGTGAAATGCCATTTTGCAATAATGGTAAATGGCAACTCAACACACGAAATTTTCCGTATTGTAAAGATGAGAAAGTTGTGGAAAAGAAGAAATCGTCGTTTTGGGAGAAGATAATGTCATTATTTTCCAAATCAAATTAAAAATATGATTAAAAATAATTTTTATGTAATTTGAAATCCGTGAAAATTTTTTAGACTGACATATGTCCAGACTAGAATAATTGTAGTCCGACAGACTAAAGTCGATTGTGAAAAAAGTTAGTAATAGTGCCTTTTCCTACCATTTTCTACGTTTCTACGCAGTTTTGTTAATGAGTACATAATCACTCCTCAATAATTATACAACATGAAGTATTCATTTTTAAAGTGTCAAATGTTTATCTTGTGAGTGGCTTTCGACTATGGAGTTGCATTTTCTTGGCGTTTTTACTTTTTTTTGACATGTTTGAGAGACTTAGAAAGGGAAAAATATGAATGCTGTCATAGCATTGTGTCATTTTTGTGAAACTCATGGTCCTAGCGTGTTATTTTGTACTCAGGTAAGATAGTATCGATTGAAATGATTTCAATAATATGACACCTTTTGAGTTTTAAAATTTGTCCATTATAATGTTAAGATTGTAATTATTGTGGTATCTATTTTAAAGGCTTTTCATGGTGAAGATGAAGATCCAATTGCGTGCGGTACACCTAAAGAAGGCAACGCTCATAACAGAAAGTAAGTTAAACTAATCGCAGCCTAGAGACGAGATTATCAGAAGTCATAAATACTGTAAAGTATGAATTGTCTTATGGTGTGTGTAGCATTGAAATGGTCAACTTTTCTTAGAATTTCTCAGTCCAGTGGATCAGAATGTAGTGTAGCGTCATCTCAGAAATCCAGTTCATCTAGATCCATTCAATGTGAGGTAGGTTACAAAATTGATTCAAGGCTACATGAAGTGTATTCAATGTTTCTATCCCCATTCTTCTTTCGTGGTTTCAGGCTTGTCGATCAATACCATCTGATCATCCAGGATTTCGAAGTATTGATGAACATTCTGAAATATTATACATGAGCTGTCGTAATCCTGCACATCAAGATATTTATAGCGTTGTCCGACAAGCATGTGTTAGAAGGTTTGTTGATTGTATTTGAACAATCTGTTAAATTGACTGTGAGAGGACTGTACCTAAGAGAAAAATAGATCAACAATTGTTGGTGTAGAATTGTTAGTATGTATTTTGTTGAAACATTTTAGACATCTTTAGTTATTGAAAACATAATTTTATTTTGGTGTTAATGTTTTGTGTTCTAAGATCATACTACAACATGGCTTGTGTGAAATTGCCATTATGGTATGATAAATTCTCTTGTTAAGAGATAGTCCTTCCATAAGTAAAATGTAATAATAGTAACTTTCCCTTTAGTCTCAGTTGTGAAATATGTCCAGGCCGAGAGGGTCCGATATTTTTTGGTGAAGATGCTAATGGCTATGTTTTAAGTCATACATTTTTTCTCAAAGATTCGCAAGCTAGAGGTTTACAGCGTTGGTATGTCTTGGATTTAAAAGAAACAAAAAATTTATCTTTGCCAATGTTTACTTGAGTATTTCCTTTCTTAGGTATAGTATAATTATTGTAATGATGGATAGGGTTTATCTTATCAATTCTTGGTCATTTCTTGTCAAGTATGAAAACTGTGTGCATTTAAAGAATTATGCTGTAAAACACAAAGCCACATTAGACATCTTTAATGTGTTTCTCTAGACATTTCAAACAAATCATAGACAAGCTTCAAGCGAAGGTTTGCTCATCTGTAATATATCTTGTTTTGTATTTGGCGTCTTTCGAAAGTTAATCTTTCACATTTTTAGGCTTGGGAGGTTTTCAATTCAGAGACCGACGCTCGCTTTGAAAGGTCAAGACGCTCCATCGGTAGAAGACACATCACTTTGGGTTCAGGTTTGAGAAAATATAAAGTATTAGATAATTCCATTGTATAAAAGAAAATTTCTTTCGTCTGTCAAGCATAACAAGCGTAAATATCAGCATACAACTGCTACGTAGCTTTGATGAAATATTGTTTTTTTAATGGCTATTCGTGCAAAACTTAGTGTCCAGTGCATAAATTTCTCAACAGATGTTCTTCGGCGACAACATAGAGCTTCTTTTCGTGCCATCGAAAATCTAACTTGTCACAAGGTATAGTTTTACTTAACGCTAAAGTATTCGTTAATTCACTCTGTCTGTCTGCGTTGATAATTTTCCTCATTCTTTCCTCTTTCTTTTATTCGTTTTATAGCATCTTTTTCATTATCTGCATTTGTATTTTTCATGGATTCTCAAAGCTGGCGCAAACAGGGTCACCGAGCGTGTGTTGGAAGGTGCTCCTAGGGTAAGTTAAGGATGATTTATTGTGTTGAAAGGTGCTCCTAGGGTAAGTTAAGGATGATTTATTGTGTTGAAAGGTGCTCCTAGGGTAAGTTAAGGATGATTTATTGTGTTGAAAGGTGCTCTTAGGGTAAGTTAAGGATGATTTATTGTGTTGGAAGGTGCCCTAGGGTAAGTTAAGGGTGATTTATTGTGTTGGAAGGTGCTCCTAGGGTAAGTTAAGGATGATTTATTGTGTTGGAAGGTGCTCCTAGGTAAGTTAAGGATGATTTATTGTGTTGGAATGTGCTCCTAGGGTAAGTTAAGGGTGATTTATTGTGTTGGAAGGTGCTCCTAGGGTAAGTTAAGGATGATTTATTGTGTTGAAAGGTGCTCCTAGGGTAAGTTAAGGATGATTTATTGTGTTGGAAGGTGCTCCTATGGTGAGATAGTAAAGGATGATTTATAAAGTTTGTTTGTAGAGGAACACGATAATCAAAGAAAGAAACTTTACTTTCATGTTGTCCTTATGTTAATAAATGTAGTTTTTATTTCTCAATTGAAAAAAATTGTCCACTTTTGTCTTAATTTGACGTGATTTTGTGTTGAAGGAAGAGCTTCTCACGGATTTTGAAGCACAAGATATGGAAGAAACTTTGATTCCTGCGAATGTGCACATGTCAAATCAGGAAGGTCTACATTCAACATTACTCACAATCGCTTACTCTTCAAAATTAATTGTTTCTAAAGATATTTCTTCTTTTTCTGCGCAGAAATACCTGAGAAGATCACAGATTCACCTCAATTTTCATCGTTAAGGCAAATGCTTCAAGTAAAGTCATTCCGGCGTGATTTTGATATGGAAATAAAAAAATTGATCAATTTTACAATTGATTGTTTAGAGTTTAGATTGTTTAGAGTTTTGTGACGATTGGCTTGCGCTAGTTGCAGTTCTTACCTTCATCAACTGTTTCATTGTTGTACAGGTTCTTAGTCAGGCGAAGTTTCGTCTTTTGGCGTTTAATGTCGTTCAAGGAAACCAGCTTATTGTCCGTGGAAAACCAGAGAGTCTTGTTCTTTCCATTTTTGAAACATTGAAGGTATTTCAAGTCGTGAGAAAGTATGGATTTGATAAATTTTTTATCCTCTGTTATCCCAGTATGCCACCCTTAATCTGATATCCCGGTTCTATTTAGTACAGTAGGTCTTTGCTCAAGAAAAAATCACTTGATATTTTTTTATATATTATTTATTATATATTTATTGATATTTTTTGTAGATTCTCATTCCAAACAGGTGTTTCAAATGTGTTCCATACTCTGATATATATCAGGTCAATTCTTCATTATTATTACTATCTAAGAATTTCATACAATTTTGTGAATGTATTTCAATGTTACTTACTCACAGGAATCTTGGACATGTAACTTCCTTGGGCTGAGGCCTGGCACTAGCATTCCGGAACATATATTAGAGTCTCACTTATATACACTTATGGATATCAAGGTATATATGGAGTGTTTGCAAAGGTATAATTGTACTTTGATAAATGAAACTCTTTCTTTATTTAGGAAAACGATAATGTTTTAAAAGGTGAACGGTGAGTTGAAATTAGAGAAATTTATGGAAGTTCCATTGCTCTGCTATTGTTCCATAATTTCACGTTGTATTTCAGAAGCAATCCTTTAGGAGCTTATACTTTTGAAATACATGGTACAGACCTTGTTCATGGTATGTTCTAGAAACATTTTACAATGTATTTTCATAAGCAGACATGTTACTTTTCGCTAAATATATTATTATATCTTACTTATATATTATATAATTATATTATATATTTCTTATATATTACATTTCGGTTTATTTCATAATTCTGATGCCGTCATAGTTTTGTATGATGACGCAATGTAAATGTCGTCACATTTTCCCAGATTCTAACCTACGTCTTAAACCGATACTTGTTGTATGCATACCTATATACGGTCTGTGACGTAGGCCACCCAGAATCCTATTTTGGAGTTATTTTATTAGGTCCTCAAATTTTAAAGAAAATCGAAGAAGCTTTGCTCAACAAAAATTTCACGGAAAGCGTTCTTTCCCAATATTTATGCGCGTTAAAAGAAGAGTGGATGGAGTAAGCTTCTGTATTTTTTTCTTATTTATTTTGGGTCGCGATATTTTATCAGCTCATGTGATGAAACATTTTGTTGCTTTTTCATGTCAGCAAAGTGAAGGTGATATTTAAGTTTTCAAGATCAGGACCACGAAGTTCCGAAGAAAAAGAAAGGTCAAATTCAATTGCCTCGTTAAAGCTTATCGACTTTCTTTTACACTAGCTGCTTATTAAAAAACAGTCCTTTTTATTTACAGGCTATTTAAAATTTTACACGCGAAACCAGAAGATGAGATTATTTTGAAGTTCTGGATGACTGGTTTCAATAAAGAATATCGATCACATTTGTTGACTTGTTCGCAAATGACAAGTACCAATTAATTATTGATCGCATTCACATAAATACGAAAGATATTCGGCAATTCAGTTTTTGTTAAAGTTTGCCTTGATTGTGCGACGACGCACAAAGTGATCCAATTATACATATCTTGTGTATATCCTGCGAAAACAATGTAATCATGTGGTTTGGATTCACAGCGGAGGATTAATCATGTGGTTTGGATTTACAGCGCAGGATTAATCATTTGGTTTGGATTTACAGCGGAGGATTAATCATTTGGTTTGGATTTACAGGGGAGGATTAATCAGTTGAATCATCTCGATGAAAAGATTTTCTTACAAACATGAAAAGATTTTCGATATAAAAATGTAACAAACTTTTATCAATACAAGCAACAGCCGACCCACGTTTTCTGTATAAATAGTTTCAATAACACTGAAACAAGATGAGGTTATGTTATGGATCCAGTATGTGATGATGCAGGGCTTTATGAACCATTGCTCCAACTTTGTGTAACTGCATGACGAAGGTTAATTGACAGAAAGCCTACCAGGAACAGTGACTTTATCTAAATTGGGCTTAACCATGATCATACAGCATCATACCGTCATTATGTGATAGTCATTTGTTTCCATACATTGGTCAGAAAACGAAGATATTTTCAATGAGTGGTTTGTGTTGGCAGGAAGAATGCTAGCTAAGTGGGAAACTGGCTTTAGAGTAAGCACAAGTTTTCTTCCTGGGTGCAACAGGGAAGTTGACAAAAACTTATTATAGGAGAATATTTTAATTAGAAGATAAATTATATTTGATCTGCTTCATGTGGTACAATGTTTTTGTCCAAATGAGAATATTTTAATAACATTTATTATAATATAATTACAGATCGTAAATTCTTAATAAAATCTTGTGATAGGGATCTATTTAAAGTATAGATATTGTTATGATTACATTTGAATATCCAAAGTCATGCCTTGCATAAGAATTTCCACTTTTATCAAAGTGTATTATCTTTATCCCAGTTGGCAAATGTAGCCAATGTTTTGTGTGTAAGCCAATATTGAAGAATTAAACAATATTGCAGATAACCAATTATGACACCACCACAAACATCCGTGATGTGGTGTCTTCCCAATATAACTCTAGACATGGCAACTAGTCCAGCCCACATAAAGCCTAGTCTTATATACCACCTTTCAGACCAATAATGGGTAAAAAGTAAGGCTACCATGGTAACACGAGTACTGTGACCCGATGGAAAGGAATGTTTATCAATGGAAACAGTCGCAAACATGTCATCTACATTGTACTTTGGCCTTGGACGTCTTACAATGACTTTTAAAAGTCCAACAACAACAAGATCAATGATCAGTGCCATTAATAAGTTGCAAAAAAAGATCCATGATTTTTTCTTTGAACTTTGACAAATCATATAAACAGTGAAAATGAGCCAAGGTATTCCGTGACCAGAATACTCCAGCAACTTCAACATGCCTCGTACAAAACGTTTGCCAACACTGTCGTCATGAGGCTTTATAGAACACAGTTTAGATAAATAAAGATCCAATTTTTGTATTGAAGAGTCGTTTGACGACATTTCTACTTCTTGATTTTCTTCTCTTGTGAAAGTAAAGACGAGCCCTTATATCATTTAAGCGTTTTCTTAAGTCCGCGGTCTTTAAACTTTAAATATTTACAATCCAAATAAATTAATTTTTATACAAGAATTTAAATGAAGTAATGCAAGGCACGTGGTTTGTTCTCGGTCACATTTTTTTTATTCATTTATACATGTGAAGATTTTTATCATATTTCACTCAATTTATCAATTTTAAGTAAATATCGAAGTTTTCATTTATAAGTTTAATCAATGCTCGATTATTTTGGCTGTTTCTCACTACAAACTCATGACTTTTACACATTTAAATGAAAATGTCATTTTGAAAGATGGCAATGTCTTTACTGGTGTCAACATTCATGCGACCCAAAGTTTTCAGTAGTTAACAACTTTTTTCTTTTTTAAGTAATAAAATGGCTAGAATTTTGCTACATTAAAGCTGAAATCACTAAAAAATATGTCAGTCTGTCCGTAATGAACAAATTTTTCGAAAGAAATTAATCGACTTTCAACTAGTACACTCGAGTGAACAGATTTAGCATGAAAGGAAACGACAACAATGTCTACACCAAGGGTAGACTTTCTGAAAGGGTAAGTGGAAAGAATCTAGGAAATATTTTACCTATTTTGAATTTGAAATGTGCAGACTGTTTATTTTAGAACTGTGCTAATGTTTTTCCTGCAGGCATTTTTGCTCGTTTCGGACAGTGAAGAAGAGGATGAAATGTAAATATCTATCTTTCTGTGTGATTAAAGTTGGTTTGTGTAATATTCGGCAATTGTATTTCACACAAAACACACTTGCTTAGCCATAAAATATTTCACACAAAGCATTCTATAGGTCATGTCATATCCATAGTGGAAGTCACGTAAATGTTTGTGTTTTCAATCTTTGGACAATTAAATAGACTAATGGCTTTAACATTTCCACCATTTTAGAAACTTGCCCAGATCAAAGGCAAGTAGCAAATCTCATATAGGTACCGATGATCAGCTGTCCAAGGTTAAGCAAGACATGGATATAGTGGCAAAGACAATGAAAAATAACATGAATAAGGTTTTGGATCGAGGCTCAAAATTAGAGGATTTACAGGATAAGACAGGTGAGTAACTGGAAATATTTGCTGTAGACCCAGAAAGTAGATGAATTGTGTGATTTTAAAAATGTCTTCCTTTTGCAGATGATCTTGACATGAGTGCATTTAAATTTGTTCGTGGTTCACGGAAATTACAGAGAAAAATGTGGTGGCAGAATATGAAGGTGGCTATGCTAACATGAATTCTGCATGATCCTTTATATTTTCACTTTACTTATTCTTCAACTAGAATTGTCTCTCTTATGTACAAACTGTTTTTATAAACTGTACTTCCTGTTCTCAACATTTACACTCCACTCATGAAGGCACATTGTTATCACAATTGTATGTACAAACTGTTTTTATAAACTGTACTTCCTGTTCTCAACATTTACACTCCACTCATGAAGGCACATTGTTATCACAATTGTATGTACAAACTGTTTTTATAAACTGTACTTCCTGTTCTCAACATTTACACTCCACTCATGAAGGCACATTGTTATCACAATTGTATGTTGGTAAAATTTCTTTTTAATTATAGCTTAAAGTCTTATTTGGCTTCATATTGGTTTCCTTGCTTTTGGTGTTGATCGGTAAGAGATTTTTCCCTTCAAATTTTATCAAAAATAAACACAAATTGTGGATGTTTTCATGAATGTAAAAATCTTGCCTCTTTTGTTTTTGTTATTCAGTATCTTTGGTTGTGACACGTAAGAAAAAATGAATAAAAATCAGTGAAACCACCAGGTATTCAAAAGGTATTAATTTCCATGGGAAATGAACAATCTAAATATTAAGTGTTAAATTTTTACATATTTTGTATAATTTTACCGCGTGTAATAATTAGTTTTATTGTTACACTCCAACCAAAAGTGAACAATGTTTTATCAAATTGATAACTACCTGTAATTTATTTACCTATATCATTCAGCCGTATTCACGACATTTCTGCAAACTCTCATACTCCCTTGCTCTTACCTTGCGTCCAAGTCAAACTTGGTAAAAGTAGTTTTAATAATATCTTGTTTGTCTTTAGGGATAAGTTACTATAGAAACGGCTTTAAAACTTAAAAAATATATTAAACTATCTCAGTTTGACACTAATCCAGTTCAATTATTTTGAAATGAAGCTTTATGAAGATGTCTTACCGTTTGACTGCATGCCAACAGTTCGTATCGCTCTCTCGGACGATAAAATTAAACCATTACCATCTTATGTGCTTAAATTTTTTTTCAGAAACAATTGCATAATTATTTCGAGAAAACACTATTTGCTTGTGATATATTTAGAACTATTGAACTACAGAGATTTCGTTCTGGGAAATTTATGAATCATTGTAATGTGTACGTTGCAAGTTTGATTACACTCTTTCTCCTGCTTTGTAAATTTCAGAGCGTTGTCAATGTTCAATTCTTTTGAAATTTATAAGGTTTAAAGTGAGTGAACGCAGATATGTTTAAACAACAGATCTGAATAAATAGACTACCCGTTCTACCGTTTTGGGTTCGTGTTATTTACTGCTGTGGAAGTTTAAACTTTGAAGTGAGTTTACTCTCGTGTTTAATGTTTATATCAAAGATTTACGTATGGCGGTTCTCGCGATAAATTAACGTTACAAAGATCATAAAGTCTCAACGCGTTATTTACTTAACATCCCGTAGTTTTATGACAATTGATCCGTTTATGTTTGGAATTTGAGTTTAATATATGACTGTGCTACACATTTGAGATATTTTTATTCATCTTAAGTATCTTTCAACGGTTACATTTTACGAGCAACTTTTTTTCAAAGACTTCTAATTGATTTAATCCATGACGCAGTACTGGCAAAGCAATTTCCTTATTCACACGAATCGCCGCATTGTCTCTATTAAATGATTTAACTCATGTCAGAGTTCAAGACACAATTCCGTATTTCGAATTTGACAAACACTCATCTAAAAGAGACGTTTGGTTTCCAAACAAGACCTTCAAAACGATCAAGGAATTTGGACATTATAGTTTCTGTGTTGTCGTCTTTGGCGATTCGTTTTCTTAAAGCACAACAATGTTCATGCGTTCTGGACGAAAGTTAGACAAAATCTCACTAGTTTATTTAAGTTTGACGAAAATACTGCTGGAGTTATATCTCGCCTTGTTGCTGAATTGCAAGAAAACAAGGAGTTATGTAGTTATCAGTTTCTCAATCATTCTGGTTCTGATGATATGCTTGCTGGGATTATAAAGCTTATAAATTCGGACGATATAAGGTAAAGTGTACGATACGATTATTCACGTTTTAAAGTGGCATGACTGTACCATATCTTTCTTGAATACATTTTATGAAAAAACATGTTGCCATTATAAAGTTAGAGTTTTTAATATGCTTGTTTTGATGTTTATTACTTCATGGATACGGAGCTTTTGAGTAAGTTGACACCGAAAATTACTTTGTGTACAATTATAAACTTTGTTTTCGTTTGTCTGATCAGAGTAGAAGAGTAAAAATGCACCGACTAAAGGACTGGAAAACAGCCTCCTTGAAAATCGAAAATCCATTCAAACTGTTAAACAACTTTTTCTTCTTACCCTTAAATTAGGCTTGCTGGTAATGCGTCTTATATTGTTGGTACTATAGCAGAGACGCCGCTTGGCTGTGATAGAATCGTACGGTTGTGTACGGCATCTTCCGATGAAGACAGTTGTCAACTTCTGAACAGCATCAATTCATTGATGGATGTTTCCATTAGGGATTTAGAAATCGTTCTCAATGCCGCGGGAGCCCTCTCTACTTTGGTAAGGGACTAGAAGACAGAGATGACTGCAGTGCATGATGGTCATAGATATTTCAACATTTCATTTTTAGGCTGAAAGTGATGACGGTCGAATGTGGTTACTACGTCAGGATGCGTTGAATGAAACAATCGATAGACTTTCAACATTATTGTCCAACGAAGACCGCTGGATAGCAAGCAACGCAGCACTTGTTCTGGCTAGGTGTGAAGGAGTTCAGTGTCCATGTTTGAACACCACATCAGCGTACCAAGTTCTTAGCTCAGTTGCCAAACAACGTAAAGTCGTTTGAATGTTTTGTAGATTGACGATTGCCGAAGAAGGATGTGCAAGAATATTGAATCATCCTCATTCAAATTCGACCTTGAAGCAACTTATAAGATCACTTAATGTGGATGGTGATGGTAATGAGATAAACAGATTGATCTTATCTGCATGTCAATTATAATGTGTCAATGAGTCCTGTTTGTCTATTCTTATGTAGGCGTTGAAAGGAATACGGCTTTTGCTATTGGACGTCTTTGTGACTTACAAACTGGGCGAGTTCGCTTGCTCAGTCATTCAGATTCTAATTTAATGGTAAGGAAAGATCATTCTTATAACGCGTTCAGACAGAGTAAGATATCCTGGTAGGGGCAAAAATCTGCAGGCAGTTCACACTACGTAGTACCCACTAGCTTCGTCTATTATAATTTCATGCTTTTCTTTGTAAACAAGTTTTAAAACCATGTGCTGAATACGTGCCTTTCTGTACAAGTATCGCACTACCTCTTTTTGTGGTGCCCAGACCCGGGCACCTTGACTAGGGCACCATCAAAATGTTGTGTTCACAATGGTGCCCGTGTCTGAACAGCGTGCCGGGGCACTCAGTCTGAACCCGCTATTAGTGTTTTTCTGTATTGTGATGAGTTGAAATACCTTCTCTAAACTATTCAAAGCTTACATTCTGGAATGATACTTGTCTTTCTTCTTTATCGTTTTTTTAGCTGGAAAGTTTACTAAAAATGCTTCACAGTAAGGATTTGGCTTGTCAGAAGAACGCAAGTTTTGCTGTTAGTTGCATATCGATGAACATCCTTGGCCTTTCGAGGATTTTAAAATCTGATAGCAACATGTATCTGTTCTCGGCTATGATCTTTATGTTGTCCACCACTGACGAAGAAGCAATTTGGTTTGCTGCCATGTAAGCCTTTAAGAGATGCAGTGGATTCTCTGAGTACTTTGTGGTACTCCAGGATGGTACTCCATGGTGGTACACTAGGGTCATATTCCATGGTGATACTCGAGGGTGCTATTTCTAGGTGATACTCCAGGATGGTACTCCAGAGTGGTACTACAGGGTGGTGCACCAGGGTCATATTCCATGGTGATACTCGAGGGTACTATTCCTAGGTGATACTCCAGGGTGATACTCCATGGTGGTACACCAGGGTGGTACTACAGGGTGGTGCACCAGGGTCATATTCTATGGTGATACTCAAAGGTGCTATTCCTAGGTGATACTCCAGAGTGGTACTACATGGTGATACTCCATGGTGGTACTCCAGAGTGGTACTACAGGGTGATACTCCAGGGTGGTACTCCAGGGTGATACTTCAGTGTGGTACTCCAGGGTGGTACTACAGGGTGGTACTCCAGGGTGCTTTATATGTTCTTCAGCTTTTTGCTTCTATTTATTTTTTAGGACAATTCGCGTCATTGCCTGTCAGAAACAAGGAGTTCTTGCTCTTCGTAAATATTCTAGAGTTCTTTCTTCCTTGCAGGTCAGTAAAAATGTGGGGGTTATAAAATAAAAGAAAGATAGCAGAGAAATCTTTTCGATTTAGGAAATATATAAACGAGGCGATACACGCGAAGATACTCTTATTGAGATCCGAACGGCTTTGGAATTGCTGGAAAAATTACCCAAAGCAGACAAACCACATGTTGAAGGTATGATGTGCTTTCATAAAAAATCACTGCTGAGTGTTGAAGACATTGGGATGTTTTTTTTTTGTGTACTGTATCGAGATTTCCGCACAATCTAGTTCAAAGTGCGTATGTCATATCTGTGAAATGGGAGAAAATCTTTCCTAAAAGTGGTCTTGAAGTTTCTTACCAACTTCACAGAGGTAGTCATAGTTATAGAATTTTTCATCAACATCATCTTTCATGACACACGTATTGTTATGTTCAGACGGTGAAATCATCTACTTTGGAGATGAGAATAGTTTCGTTATGACGAATGCCTCTCCGATGTCTAATTACACTTTTCAACTTCGTTATACCACGGAAGGTGACGAGAGCGCCTTGAGCGACTGTGTAACCGTCAAAACACCTGAATCAGGTATTGTTAGGAATGTGATCGCGAAGAACCTTCATTATTTTTGGTTAGCGTTTATTACAGTAAGAAAGTGGATTTCGACGTTACAACTTTTGCGATTAAAAATCATTAAATCTCTAACGCAGTTGAACCAGCATCTTTTATCGTCATTTACAGTTCCCAGTTCTCCTCAGTGTTTAGTTTGTCTGAATCGTACCACATCTCAACTAAAAGTTGCTTGGCAGCCGCCCGAGTTGACCAATGGAATCTTACTATGCTATCACGTGACTGTGAACGGGCCAAAAGGTTGATACATGTAGAAATGCGAAACGATATTGACTGGTGGTACTATGTAATTTCTATTTTAATCTTCTCTAATTTATTTTGTGATTTCTTTCAAGTTTCGCTAGCTCCGTATCAGGAAACGAAGGAAACTTCTTTCATTTTATCTGGTCTGTTGCCCGGTAATGAATATAAGTTTGAGGTAATCTGAAATCGAGACTAAAATTGTAACTATTTACCTGTGAAAGTATTGAAATATTTTTACGTTTGTTTCAAGGTTCATGCAGTAACTGCGCAAGGTCGAGGAGAGCCCGCAATCTTACTGTTGCAAACGGTTGATCTTGGTAAGAAATTTATTTGTTATTTGATCCAGCAGATAAAATTTTCAATTTTTTCTTTCATTAAACCTCACATGCCCTTGTAATCCTTCAGTATCTCTTTCACTGAAGCTCATCATGCCCCTTGTAATCCTTCACTATCTCTTTCTGAAGCTCATCATGCCCCTTGTAATCCTTAACTATCTCTTTCACTGAAGCTCATCATGCCCCTTGTAAACCTACTCTATCGGTTTTGGGAAGACGTGAAATTTTAGTGGAATGGGAAATACCAAATGAACCTTTGAACAGAATAACCAGTTATGAAGTGAAAGTTAACGGTGAAGTATGTTGATTGGTGGCTTCAAGTTATTGAAATTTTATTTTAACTATGTTACACTTCGATCTTTTGTTCTGATTTTTTTTTGTTTGTTTTTTTTTCTAGTCTGTTTATGTTGGTGTTGAAAAATGCTTCGTTCTGCGACGTCTTCAACCGGATACAGAATATAGTGTTACGGTAAGAATAGAGATTTTCAACCCATGTTTATATATTGTTCTACACATTTCTGTTGAAATTTGTATAGTAAGAAAAATAATACAATCATTCAGCATACAGATCTGTATAAGAAAAGTAAAAAGTTCCTCTAGGTTAGTGCTTGGACGAATGAAGGTCGATGTGAAAGTCTTCCAAGTAAACGACGAACAAACAAAGAAATTACGAGTGAGATGACTATATGATGTTAATGTTGTTGATTTCGTTTTGGTTTATGACGTATTTGCTGTTTGATTTGTCTAGTTACCAGTCGTCCTCCCCTTTATCCTTTTCAAAAAAAGACGAACGATAAATCAAAATGACTCATTCTATATGGGAAAGCTTATGTCCAAGTTCATTAATGCAAATGAAAATTTTTATTCAAGAAATCAACATCTGATTTTTCTCTCTTTATTTCAATTCTTCACACATACAAAGTTCAAGTGAAAGCTTGTTTAATGTGTGTGAATTTTTGTTGAAATAATTCCTCTGATGCGCCAAAGATAACAGGTGTAGATAGGAAAAGATCTCGACAAATGTAGAACTGATTTCTCCACTGTTTCATCAAGCGACTCTGAAACTGTTAAAAATTATCCTTGGTTATCTGACATTAAAATTTGAAAACTTAAAAACGACCTACTTACGCGATTCTAATATTTTTGTCTCTTTCGTTTCACATAAGATTTTTTCCATACACCATAAAACATGATAAGCATTTTGATATTCATCAATATAATCTAGCATCAGCATGGGATCTGGAAATGATTAGGATTTAGTAAGCTTAACATTTTCTAAGAAATCGATGACAATTTTTGCGAAATATTGCAAACCTTGTGAAACTGAACGAAGATTAATGGACAATTTGCGTATCTTCTCGGCCAATTCAAAAAGAATATCTGTAGTCATTTTTTCATGTGTAGCCAGCCGAACAACAAGTTTTGGATATTTATCTATTATTGCTTTCTGAAACATAATGACGAACCAGTAAGATATTAATCATTTTATATTGCCACATCATAGTCACCGTACATGATTACATTTTTCGTGACTTATAATTCCTGATATCAATTCCCTTGCAAAGCCAAGGACGCCTTCCTTTATCTTTTGTGAATCATCTTCTATCTTCATATTAAGCAATCCTATTATCATTAAAAAAACTTCTCTAGATTTCTCGTTGATATTTTTCCTGAAAACAGTGTCATTTACACTCTTACCTTTGAAACCGTCTACACACAAGTCGGCTATTGATGTTTCAATCCACGACATTTCGTGAACATTTTCTTTAAGCACTAAAAATGTTAATACTTACAGAAACTCTTCCAAAATGTCTTAACTCCATTCTCAACCTACCTAAGAGCGCTTGCAAAATGGTAGATATGAGATGACGTTGTATGATGACGTCATTGAACAAAACCGTCGTATCTGGAGTATTCAATACCTCTATCACTATCAACAGAAAGACGCTGTTAAACATTGTAAAGAAGTCTAGTTATATATTGCTCTCTGAATCTTGTATCATTGCTCCTGGCTTGTGGCTATTGTCTTTTCAATTACTCCTTGATTTTTTAATGCGTATAAACAAAAACTGAACGATAACGCAACATGTTAACCGTGTTTATACAAACTTACTGCATCTTAAAAATTTGACATGATCATTTTTCTCTTCTAATTCTTTGACTTCGTTTGATATCGATTCACTAGAACATGGTGGCGTACAATAATCCACCGTCTTCACATTTTCTGTTATAGTCTCGTTTCCTAGGGTTTGGTAAAAAACTAGGTGAAATTAAAAGTAGTTTAAGTACAAATACGCCCTATTCATTTACATACCTGGATTTGTAATTGACTGATTGTCTTCATTCTCAACACTCAACGACAACTTTGCTTTGATCAACTCTTCTTTTACTAATAACAACTCTTTTTCTAATGCCACAGCCTGTAGGAGAGCGAAAAAAAAACAGTCATATCATCATTAGCAATAGCCATTTTGCCCTCTGTGGTCAAAGTGGTCGTTTTTATCAAGGTTGTTGGTCAAAGTTTTGGAAATTGTGGTCTGGATATTTTTTCTGTTTGTCAAGCATCCTATAGGTTTACAGCTTTGCTTTATTTTGCACCTTGCTTTTCCAGTGTTTTTCATTTTTCTGTATTTTTTTCTGTAAGACTTGAGTGTAAAGTTTACCACTCATATATGATGGCTTCATTCTGATAACAGCGAACGCCTGAAAATGATAAAATTTAATGTAAAGATAAGCTCAACATCGTACAATGGCAGATGTTTTATTACCAAAGCTGTTTTTACGATGTTTTCGTAATACTCTTCAATTGTTTCTCCGAGGATTGAATTGGGTCTTATGTTGTCATCCATAACAGCATATATGATACATAAATTCAATGTTTACTTATGACTTTTAGTCATGGCTGATATGAGGGAGAATTGCATAAAAAACGTTTATAGTTTTCTTCGTTTACTCTTCTAAATATCATTTCACTTCTCTCTCATGACATTATGAATAAGTTGTTTTTATTTTTTTAAGTTATATTTTGATGAAAAAAACGGTATTGAACTTAGTAAAAATCGACAAAAACATTAATCTCCATCATGAAATCAGCATGTGAGTGCGTGGACGTTACGTGACCTCCACGCATCAAGCGGATGTAGACAATCACAATCATAATAAAGACAAAATGGTTTGGTTTTACGACATTTATACTCTCTTGCTCTTTGCCTTGTTTACTTAAAACTTGGGTAGATTATGGGGGGAAGTTCAAGTAAACTATCTGCAGACGAGATAAAAGAGCTACAGAAAGTTACTTATTGTAAGTAATACTGTTAATTTTCTGGTTTGTGTATACTTTTTAATTTTTGTGCTGTCCACGTTGATTTGTGATCATTGTACCTTTGTGTCATGTTCTTTCTTCTAAAAACACATTAGTATTGCAAAATATATGTATCGATTGTAAGTTGCATTGCTGTATTGTCTCAGTGACACTTTCTTTCTCCGTTTCGTTGTAGTCGATAAAAGGAATTACAAAATGGTAAGTCAGACAAAGGTTAATCATTAGTGCTTTTATAGAACCGTGGACATTGAATTTTTAGGACTGTAGCTGACTGGATTAAGATAGTTTGACTTTGGTTTATTTAGGTATCGTGATTTTATGAAAGATTGTCCATCGGGGGAATTAAAACAGGAGGTATATTGAATTGTAGAAATGGATGTTATTCAGGAAATTTGATGACATAGTTCTAGCTATGTCATCAAAAATAGACTAGAAATTCTATGTTTAGCGATGGAGTTAGTGATTAGAGTGTTTCATTGGAAGTTCTTTGTCCATTTTAAAAGAAATCTGCTTTGATTTAATGGTCATCTTGTCTAAGAAAGAAACATGTTTCTAGTTATAATATGAACTTGTTGTATTGTTCAAAAGCACAGTGGGAGTCAAAATTATGTTTGTTGACTACTCAGTCATTTTCAGAAGGACTTATCGGAAACCAGCTAGCAATAATATCAACCTTTGAATATTGTTAGCTAAACAAAGTATTACTTTTTTTGTGTGGCCAAGACAGTAGTTTTGAAATGGATATTGTTACTTTTATGCAAAAAGTTTGTCGTTATGAGATAATACATCACTTGATTACACACTTCATTTTATTGAAAAGTCATCAAATGAAAATTCCTTCATTACACCATGGTTTTTTTGAACACTGGGACATTATCACTAGTCTTTATCATGATAGAAAGCATTCAAATTGCAAAAACGTTTCATTTCTTGTCAACATGGTCAGCAATAGTCATGCCTTGGGGGCAAAATACTTCGGATTTGTGCAATGCTAATGTGCGATGTTGGAAATTTTATATTGTGTTATTCACGTGGTAAAGTGAGAAATTTTTAGTGCAATCTCAGTGTGAACTTTAAAGCTTTTGCATTGCATTAAATATTCATTAAAGAACGAAGCGCGGTTTTTGTGAGTTTGGCAACTTTTTTGCAAGAGTTCTTTGTCACTGAGATTGCTTTCTCATACATTCAGTCTGAATAGGATTTATGGGAATCTTTGTTGCTTTGTTGCTTTTAAAATACTTACATGATTGTTGTTTTCTGTTCAATCGATATGGCAGGTGCAATTGAAGTGCTAATGGCAGTGCTAATAGCGGACGAGGAAATCAGATTTCGTTTATCATCGCGGATTTTTTTCATAATTACCGTTAAATGTATCGAAAACAAAAGCAACGACATGTAGGAAATCTGTTTTCATTTTAGTAATTCTTTTCAAATTATATTTTATTAACGACTGTCTTTATCCGCGGGTATTTACAGTTTTTTTTTACTCCCGATAAAAATCTAAGTTGATTATAATCTTTGGTTTTCCTAGTTTTCTGATTGCCGAAGATGACAAAATGAAAAGAGATAAGCTCTTATCGTTTCTCAAACGTGATTTTTGTGTGAATTAGACCGATGTATCATTTACCCTCTTGATTGTCAATGCGTTATGCTTTTGTTGTAAAACATTATTGTATGCGCTAGTGAAACTATCAAATCACTTTATGAAGATATCGTTGTTATTTTGTTATGCTCAACTTGTATTTTATTCTCGTTCATTGACAATCGCTAGATTGTGCTTCTAAACGGCTGATGACGTATTTCTCACTAGACTATCTCATGCTCGCATGAGCGTACCTATTTTTCGTCATTGTGTTTCAAACACATCCTTTGGCATTATACATATTTCGTTTTTTATTTTCAACCACCGTGCTTAACGTAAAAACGATATTCTTCTAAACTTGGCGATTTCGCGATAGCAGCGTACATTTTTTTTATTTAACAGGAGTTCCAAAAGATCTATCAACAGTTTTTTCCTTTTGGTAATCCGACGCTCTTTTTCCAATTTTGTCTTCAAGGTCTTTGATAAAAATTCGGTATGTATTAACTTTTATTATTATCCACTATGTAAGCAATCTCGGCTGTGATTGGTCAACTACCTACCAATATGACGTCATATCTACAGATAATTGTTTCTACAAATGTGGCCGCCATTAAAAGCCGGTTTTGAAAACAAATCAAACAACAGCAATGTTTGAGGCGGTTTTTAAATACAATGTCAAAGCTTTTAGACGAAAAGGCTGCGGAAAACACTAAAAAGGCGGCGAAGCTGGCTTTGAACACATTTAAACATATTTAAACGAAACGAACTTGAATAAATTGTCGGGCAAAAACAAATTAGGGAGGGTTTGAAAATTGTTTTAGATTGATATGTTTTTATAATACTTCAGTGAATAATAAAACAATTATTGAATTCGTTTTAAGCATGATATCAAGAATTATTCAGACCTCGGTCAATGTTAGCATTGACATCGGTTTGAATAATTCTTGATGTCATGCTCAACCTCATCCAATAATTGTTTATAAACGTAAGTTGTGTTTCTGCAGTAGCTAAAAAAGTTGCTCTTTAATTTCAAAATGTGCCTCACGAGCTTTGTACGTCTTACTTCAATTTTCTAGCCAAAACTATGCATTACTTTTTGGTACCGAGGCTATTTATACTAGACGTCGTTTTCACTTCTCTCCGATTGCTTTCTTCTACAGGATGGGTCAATTAGCTTTGGTGAGTTTATTACCGCGCTGTCTATCACGTCTAGAGGAAGTTTAGATGAAAAGTTGGAATGTAAGGAACAGATTTATTGATGTGAAAAAAGTCAAATGTAGAATCTCGAAACGCGTTATCTCTTTTCTCCTTACAGGGGCATTTTCGCTTTATGATTTGGATAGGGATGGCTACATTACCCGTGCGGAGATGTTGAAGATTGTCGAAGCTATTTATCTTATGGTCGTAAGTAGCACTTTTCGTAAAGTATACTCGTAGATAATTTCAATGGTGTATTCTGTGACTTTTCCAATTTGGGGTTCAGATCAAGTATTACAGACCAAAAATATCCCATTTTTTCATCGACAGGGGAATTTAGCAAATCTACCTCAGGATGAAGACACTCCTGAGAAACGAGTTGACAAAATTTTCAAGCAAATGGACAAAGTAAGCTACAGAGATCTTATTGATTACAGAATCGATTGTCTATGTAACTACTTATTGCTGTCTCGATATACCACGGTGTTTACGAATAAATATCCTTCAATGTTTTTCGTTGTTTAGAACAAAGACGGTCGGTTAACGATGGAGGAATTTTGCGAAGGATCAAAATGCGATCCGTGGATTGTTCAGGCTTTAGCTATTGATTTACCTCAAGATGTGGATCAAGCTGAAACAGATAGTTAATCTTACATATAGGTAAATTTATATACGAGAGATCTTGATTTTCAACCGAAAGGTAGAAAATATTTGTGCTATCTTTCGCTACTGATGTTTTGACATCAGTAATGTGTAATTTTGTATAAATCATCCCCCGAAATTCCGACATCTTTAATGTTGTGTAATATCTTACATACTTTAAGACAATCCCTTGAATTTAATGTCTGCCATCTTTTCGCTTAAGTTATGTCATGCATAATATACTAGTGTTTTTATTTGAATGTTTCTCCTTTTGGAAGGTCCCGTCTATTTATTGAAATGAAGACTATTTATATATTAACATGCCACGTCAGTATGTATGTATCTTTTTAAATTATTCACTGATACAGTGAATATTCTAGATCTCCTTCAAGGCGATATTTGTGACAGAATGTCAGTTATTGTAAATACTGAAGAAGTAGTTCACTTAACGTGTCATCAACGCGATCCATTCTCTGAGTAATTGACATTGTGTTCGGGGGGGGGAGAACAAGGAGTAACATTTCTTCCTTGCATTTTAAAAGAAGGCAAACGAAGGACACAGCTTTATGGAAAAATGATAACAGTGAAAAACCATTTTGTTTCAAAGATCACTTTGTTTCGCCCATTCTCCCTTCCCGTACACAATTAGTTTCTGAGAATTGTGATTGTTTTAACCATCACGTCTGTCTTGAAGCTACCGTGCAAATATAATACTATAAATTCTACTAGTTCAAATGTATTGTAAAAACGATGTATATTTTATGTAAAATAACACTATAGCGTGAAGTCGTCGTACAGTCATTTACATTTACAATATATTAGTGCATAAAGAAAGAATGAGTTACAGCATCAACTAAAGTTTTCGTTCGTCCAAGCCCTATTCACACGACATAAACTGACCCGGGTTTAACCCAGGTTTATTTTTTTGCCTGTAAACACTACTAACCCAGGTTCAACTTTGGTTAACCCCCCACCCCCATCTCAAAAGGTAGGTTGAGTTTAACCCAGATTAAACCTGAGTTAGTATTGTTTACACGCAATAAAATAAACCTGGATTGAGCACGGGTTGGTTTATGTCTTGTGAAGAGGGCTCTAGTTTTCCAGACTACATTCCAAAGTTTCATTGTGTTTGCGAGGGGCACTTTAAGCATGCGCCATATAAAATGCTTTTGCATACACGTGGTCACGTGATTCTCCAAGCACAACACAAGGCGAGACACAAGGCAGGTGGATTTTGTTTATAATATAATACCTCACGTTGATATGTAAAAAAGGAGAAAGCATTTTGATATTCTTGCTACGAAATAACACATTAGCAAGAACTTCACGAATAAATCCTCCCTAATATCACCGTAATGTTTCTTGACTGCAAATTGCCGTAATATAAATTCGGAAGACTTCACCCAAACAAACATTTATAATTCGTCTACCGTGGAGAAAGAACATTCCGTTTGGATGCAATGAATAATTTATTTGACACGATGTATAGTAACTAAAAGAGGAGAATGACAATGTGTTTACTTAAGATGAAATAAAAGGTTTTTGCGAGAGAGCCGATTTCTCTTTTGTGGCTTTATAATGCTTTATGAGGAACTGCTGAATTGTGGAAAAGACGATGGGCAAGAAGGAAAGTAAACTGAAAGCAGAAGTAATTGAAGAACTCGTTACTAAGACATACTGTATGTATAAATGTAGTTGAAAATTTGTGTGTATTTTGTTTATAATCACCCCAAAACAGACTGGAAAATGCATTTTATTAAAAACATTAAATTTCTATTTTTTATATAGTTAACGAGAAAGAATTGCGACGTTGGTATGTTTTTAGATTTTATAACGTCTAGTTTGTAAATATGACATATCTATAATTTGTGGCCGACAGGATAGGGAAGTTTCTTAGGGAGTCGATTACACGGTGTTCTTTGAAAATGACATCAAATATATATTTTTTTTAAATTTAGAAGAACATTTTTTTTTCCTTTGCATATCTATTATTCCCAAAAAGAATGTTCAAATTTTCTGTTCACCGTCTATTCCTCGTTAGTAATGTATTTTATCGTATTGGCAGGTACAAAGGTTTTTTGAAGGAATGCCCTGATGGGAATTTGAAAAAAGAGGTTAATAACTGGCGATTATTTCTTATTATATTTTTAACGGACTGTAGACTGAAAATTATACATTTTTGACAAGCAACGACTCATTATACCATAAGAGCTCAGATGCTGAAGGAGAAACTGGACTTTGACAGGAAGGGTGCTTGTGTTTGACACATAAAGCATAGAAATCTTTTGTGTCTTTGAATAGGAATTTGCTGAAATCTATAAGAAGTACTTCCCTTCTGGCGAGTCATCAGAATTTGCAGCTTTCGTCTTCAAGGTTTTTGACAAAAATATGGTATGCAGTTATTAGAACTTGTAGCTACAAGAGCACGTTAAATTTACAAGTAAATTCTAACATGCCAGAAATAACAAGGTACAAACGTGCTGTTCGTTGATATTTTTGTCAAAAAACTAAGATTCGTCAACTTTCTATTTTGAATGTGATAACGACCTGTTACTATGTCTTGCTGTATTGTTGAAAGTATTTAAGCATACGCTGCTAAGTGCACTTGTATAGCTCGTTCATAAGTGCAATAACCACCTGTTCTAAGGTTTTTTACAGCAGTTTATCGGCTTTTCAGATTTTGCAAGGATATTAGTACAACTTTGTATGTCATCAAAGATTTGTATGCATTTTAACAGAAATCTTAAGCACTACATGCCTATTTGAATGAAAAATCGCTGGAAGTCAACGTGTAATGTAGATAGGAAATTTTACGTTTGCATTCATGCAATTCTTTGCCCTTGCTCTTGATGCAATACAGCATAATTTTAAGTCGATGAAAGTATTGAATGGATTGCTGTCAAAATTTCATTTTCATCTTAATAATATTAAAATCACGGAACAAATGATTCACGATCATTCACTAATCTATCTATTACGGGACAATGTAATATTTTAAAATAAGAAGAGAACAATCTGATGAAATCCGTTTCGAATACACATGTCCAAACAAAATCATGGCTGCATTATTTTCATCAAGGGATAGTTATTCTTCATCTATTGTTGTAGAATGGAAAGATTGAATTTGAAGAGTTTATGATTGCCTTGTCTGTAACCTCGAGAGGACGTTTGGACGAAAAATTACGATGTATGTCAGTTATACTCATGTTCAACGAATTGTTAAATACACTACGACAGCAAGGATCTTCTTCAACTTTCTAGGGGTTTTCACACTCTGCGACCTTGATAATGATGGATATATCACGAGGGCAGAGATGTTGAATATTTTGGAGTCTATACATAAAATGACGGTAAGCACGACTTTAAATATACATCGAAAGTCGTTTGCTGTTGTTTAATGCTTCGTCCACACGCGTGTAAGATAAGCATGAACGACAAGAGTTTTGTCTCGTTTGCTATGGATGTTTACAAAGACAAAGACATTGGGATTTTTATTGAAATCTTTTTTCTAACCTGTATTTAACTCTTTCCTTACGCATGTCAATGGTTATCTTACATTTTTCGTATGTTCATTTTGTTTAATCTATTTTCCTCGTCCTCGTGCTTATTTCACTTATATGGATCATTCCTAATGTATGTATGATAATGGTGATATATGAACTGATGATTTTATTGCGCTTGTTTAGTCTGACACGGGAATACTAAAAATGGACACAGCGGAAAAACGTGTCAATAAAATATTTGATTCAATGGACAAGGTAGGGTTTGATTTAATAATTTATTTCACTTTTTTGTTTGAAGAACGCATCACATTTACTGTGAACTTCAAACAATTAAAATAAGATACAAATTAAGTTTTGATAAAGGAGCTTATAAAATTGATTCATTTGAGGTTCTGGAAATTGTATATTCATACATTACTTAGATTAATTCTGTTCTAGAATAGCTAGACCATGTTTTCCAATCCCAATTTTCGTATTCATAGAATAAAGACGACAGGTTGTCGCTCGAAGAATTTCTCGAGGGATCGAAATCTGATCCGACAACTGTTCAAGCTTTGTCGCTGTATGACGGACTAGTTTAGTATGCAGCTAAATTATTTACGTAGAAGATAAGTAATCCATTCAAGTGTATTCTTTACACTCGTCGATTCAACTAAACTAAACTATCGTCATTCAAATCATGTCTACTTTTAATTAAGGTTCCACTTTTCTTTGTCAGCGCATTAATTAATTGCTTTGTCGTCTTCATGAAAATACGGAGTGTGTTTTCCTATCTATACGGTTAGACACTGTCCAACCGAGGTTGTCTTGACAAATATCGTCTTGTAGACGTAATGTTCATAAATACAAAACCATGAATGTTTTAATCATTTGTACTAAACTCCAATTACCATCAAATCAAAGCTAGCACAACTAACGTTTTGTTTGTAAACCGGTAGATGACATTTGGCCGGTAAAAAATAAATAACAATAGATTTAAGTAACATTCTTTCGAAAAACCTATTATACATTAATTCGTCCATACTGGTAAAGGATGAGCCTCGGTGTTAAACACATAACGATCCAAAGGTACTATTTCACTGTCGCTAAACAACAAGAACAAGTATTTCAACGTTTCTCCGAGAAAGAAACTCTCCATTTTATCACGATAATTGGGATTATCAGCATCCTGTACATTATTTATTGAAGAATAACCGCCTTCCGCGATTTTAGTGTATTTTTCGAATGCTTGAAAGATTTTCCAACCGTACTCTTGGTATTTTTTATCGCCAGTTATACGATGTAACAAAAACAACGATTCAACCGTTTCCGGACGAAGAAGATTGTGCGCATCCAATGGCTGAAAATGAAATTATGGAAGATATTTACCACTAGGCGAATGCAAAGAAAGTGACTGAACACTTTGTTCACTGCAATTGATCCCTCACCTTAACTATGATGTCATCTTGATTGACATCCTCAGTGTTAAAGTACGCGATTTCCGGACTTAAGCCAGTAGCCATACGTACGTACATCTGATAACATGTTTCCAATAATTCCTTACCCAATCTAAGATGACTTTTATCCAAACCATTGTGAGCGCCTAGTGCCAAATTGCCGGCCATAAAGCACACAAGATGATCCTAAATACAAACAAGTTAAATCACAACAAACAGATATTGTGTCCAGCGCTGTTGTATCTTACTATATGAACAAACCAACTCTCACCATTTTAGGGCTATACTGAGAACCTTGAAGTAGTTCCCCAATGTAAGTGATTTGGTTGGGAACGGATTTTCTCACAAGTTTTTGCATCACACCTTTTATCGACTCGTTGTAATCATCAAGTAATCTAAGTAAGCAAATAAATGTGTTGTATATAAATGGTTTAAACAGAAGATCATCTGCTTTTGCTAGCAATGAAGCATTGAATGCAAGTGAAGATACAATGTTACTGAATGAACAGTACGCTTCGTGATCGTCTACACAACTTATAATCCAAAAAAATGATGACTTACGATTTTTCCTTTTTACCTCCCTGCAACCATTGCTTTAGTAAATATTCATAGTAGCTATCGCCACGTGCTCCCAGCGTGATGGTGGCACCAGACTGGAACATACCATTACTGGGATTTATGTAAATAGGCACGAGACCACCTGGTTTGTCAAGATTGTGGAAATGTTCGCTTACTCGATCCACAGCTTCCTAGAAATAATGGTAATGTCGTTGTCTACAAATACTCAAAATATATCTCTAATCCACAAAATATATCTCTAATCCAACCGCTTAGCGCCGTGAGATTAGGGTCTATACTACATAGAGTTACGATCAATGTAAGTGGATTTATTTCTATTGAAATGAGCGGTTGAGATGAAAAAAAAACCAGCATTACCACAACCTTTGTGAGAAGAATTATCTCATAGCTGATTTCAGTTGAACAAGAAGTTTGTAGACTAAGAGTATTTGATTGTTCACATTTGTGAAGAACTGATTTGGAACATTTATGGCATTTGTCGTGACTGATGTTTCAACTTCTGTGTGGTGATCATTGTCAAAGTCAAAGTAAGGTACAGTAAGGTTGATGTTAGTATACAGAAAAATGCAAGACTGTGTCATGTTCTCTTACATATGTCAACTTTTTTCAGCTTACTTTGTATTTAGGATCGCGGGATACTCTGGAAAGTTCTCTGAACTCAAGCTGTATGGTTGTCACCTCTGATGTTGTGCTGTATGAAGACCAGTTTGGGCCTTTAGCCTGTCCAGTCCCTAAATTAACATCTGCATAAGGCACTCCAGATGAAGTCTTGAAGGCTGGCATTAGTTTGTTCCCAAGCTCTATCTAAACACACACCATTGTGAAATGATAAGATTGATGAGAGAGAAGGATGTAAGGGATGCAAGTGGTGGTAAAGGGATACAATTAAGTTGTCAATAGGGGATAATATGGAGAAAATAGTATCACAGAAATGTGATGATCAATCAGAAGATAATGATGAGAAAAATATGAAAACTTACTGCTTTGTTTAAAAATTCTTTATCACCAGTCAAATGATATGTGCTTAAAAGGCTACCCAAAACACGTATTGTTACTTCAAACAAATTCACAAATTTATCTTTGTCAAGTCTTAATGAGTTTTTGACCCATTTACCAGCCTCGTTAAATTCCTCCTTGAGATCCATCAACAACATGGTATCCAAGGAATCTACTATTGTCAGTCCAAGATCAAACCATGTATTGTAACCTTTTGAAATTGGATTAAGTTCATCATGACCCCAGGCCCAGGTTTTGTATCCCAACCAAGCATGTTTAAATGCATTAACTACAGCTTTTTGTTTGAAGTTATGTTGAGAAGACGAAAGAATCTTGATGTTATGCTCATTAAACAATCGAGGTGCCTTTAACATCTTCTTTGTTGGTTTCTTCAGCTTTTTTGAATTTCCATTGACGTCCTTATCAATTATTTTTTTCATTTTATTTGGTACTGCAGATTTGATACCTGGCTTTTTTTTCAAAATGTTGTCATTTTTTTCATGATCTCGTATAATTTTATTAATTTTTTCAATCTCAACTGATTTTGTTGTTTCTCTAGGTTTCACAGCTTTATCAACCATATTCTGATGTTGCTCATAGCCAAAACCAAGTTTTGTTAGATGTCTTGTATCCTTAGTGGATTTTCCTTCCTGTGAATGTTTGAAATGAATTTGCTCTTCATCTTTATTGATTGCCGGCTGAATTGGCAAAATACGAATTTGGTTTTCTTTCTCGGAGTATGTCCGCTTACTGCCGTAGGTGAAGCGAAAATCATCATGAAATTTGTAAACTCCAACAGTCAAAAGAAGGGCAAGGCCCACTATAATAGTCTTTTCAAAGGATGTCAGTCTCTTCCATCTCTAAATAAGAAACGTTCGCTGACCATTGTATTTCTTTTAAAGAGATTTGGTAAGTTAACAAAGTTTATATTGATTAAACGGCGAAATGATCAAGAATAACCATAAAACAGCTTTGTAATATTCAATGTTAGAACTTAAAAGGAATGAAAAAAACACACATTCTTCTGGCGTTTCACGTATACATCACAACCACATTGTCAATGTATGGCAATGCCATCAAGTATCAACTTACTTACCCTCCATAATGATGTTGTTGTACCACGTCTATTTTTATCATTATCATAGTTTCCCGGTATTTCTACGGTTATAAACTCCCGCTCTTGTGTTTTTCCTCTCGTATTCATGATTCATAACATTGTTAGATTATTTATAGGTAGTTTGAAAAGCCCTTCATTACCGTTGTCGTGGCAGCCGCCATATTGGATGTAAATCTTGTTGGAAACTGGAAACTAGCCGGGCGTCTTCATTGTCTGAAACCTTCCTGACAAAACGGGATTTATTCATTCTGTAAAATGAAGCCGCAGGTGGAAAAGACTCTATCTCAGTCGTGTTTTCATTCAAATATTTATTAATTCTGTAAAAATCGAAGAATTCTTCTCCCAAGCCTCCTTTTTGTCTTCAAACTGTGTTGCTATAGCAACAGCAACTGTCTTATGTTGTCATGACGTCATGAGCTAAAGGTAAATGAGCAAATAATGGCTTACCTTCGAAGCTCTTTGGCTTAAAAATGCAAAGGATTATCACGATTTAAAGTATATACAAGAGACTAAGAAAAAAACCAATGCTTTACGCGGAAAATAATTATGGATCTTGTGAAGATGTACTTTGTCAACATCCCGAATGTTGGAGGACGAGAGTTGAAAATGCACGTCAAGCTGTACGACGAAGACATTGCGTCCAAGCGAAAGAGACGGATGAAAAAACATTTGTGGCGAGTAGAGTGTTTAAAGAAAGGCTTGACAAAACTTCAGAAAGTAAAATTATTTTCATTTTCAATGCTACTACAAGCATGTCCTAGATTAACGCCACTTTCCCTCCTGCATATATGTGTTTTTTAGTTTTGTCATTACCGAGTCTAAAGATAATCAATATTAATACTGAAGATGTCAACACATCATCGAATTGGGAAACACAATCGTTGGATGAACTTATCACGAAAAACAAAGAATTTTCTAGCCCTTTGTTAAGGTAAAAACATGAGTATGATTAATATTAACTTAAGATACACAAGCTTAAGAGGAATTTCGCCTTCTTCCTCCCTTAACGGATGTCTATAACCTATAGTTTAGGATGCAATTTTCACAACTTTACCATTACTTCAAAATGGTATTGAAAATACTTTATTATTTTCGTTTCATCAAGACCTTGCACTAGAACCCATGTTCCTCACACGACCCCAACATCCTGGATGGTCAATGCTGCAAGTACAACTACTGAAGAAAATCATCGTTGCAACGAGAAGTTGACAACCATCAAATTTCATGAAATCTTTGATTACAATGAAATTTGTCAAGATTGGCAGGATATATTTTTATCAACGGCCTATCTTATTTGGTGTCCTTCGAAAAAGGTTCAAGAGATATTTTTAATATAAACTGCTCACCTTTAACTGTTCCATGTTGTTTTGATGATTGTAGATCAGATAAGTTTTGTTTTTTTCTTAGAAAAAGCATAGAAAAAGGTCAAACATTAGGTATGATCAAAATTTGAGTTATAAGTTAAAGTTGCGTTAAATTTCACTAATTTATATTGGCATAAAGTTGTCATTCGAACGTCAAAAAATTATTCTATAACTGACAGTATTTAATCCATTTCATAGCTCTGCTGTATCTGAGAACTCCAAAAAACGAGAGATAAAAAAACCTTTTGTAGACATGCTATCTTTGCCCTTTGAAAATAACGAAAAGGTATGGTTTACCACCCATGGTCTACCTAAACATTAATGAGAACAAATATGTATAGCTACTGCGTCTTGGATTTTTGAATGCATAACGCAAAAGATTGTAATAACTTTTTTTCTTTGATGGTTATAAAGAGAACGTTGACTTCATCAATAGTGCCTACTGGTGATCAACCGCGTTCATCGTGCAAATCACCTTGGAATAATAAAAGTGTTGCTAAAACACCTGAATATCTTGGAGAAAGGTAATGTTTTCATCGCGTCATCTAAATTGGTATTTCTTTTGCTAACATAACAGCTTTGTATATGATGATGTATATTAACGAAGAGTCACATCCAGTGGCGTAGCCAGCCCGCTAATTTGGTCGTTCTATGTAAATTTAAGACCATTATCATTATTCATTTCTTTAGAAATTTAGTGTTTTTACAGTGAGTGAACACAGAAAAATTTACATAGCACGACCGAACTTGCGGGCTGGCTACGCTCCTGGTCACATCGGTCCACAAAATTACGTGTTCTAACACAACTTATGGTAGAAAATGTTCATTTACTTTTGTTTGTTCAGTATACATAATAATCATTTCGATGCATGCGTCTCGATTTATTTATTTACTTTGGTTCACTATTACAAGATTACAGACACCTGTTTTTTCAACGGGGAAAGTAAATTTTTCCTCGTTTTCTAACAGAGAACTCGTAATGACTTTGACAAAAGAAGAGATGCCAAAACTGTTGACTGCCAGAAAAGTTATTGAACATAAGAAACCTCGTCCATCGAGAGGCCGTGAAGAACAGTCCGAAGTTGATGATAAATTGGATAATTGCAAAGTTCTTCAAGATATTTTAAAAACGTTGGAGACACCTTCTAAAAGCGCTAGTGTTAATGTCGAGTCAAAGGTAAAAATTATTTTATATGATGAAATAAGGAATAAATTGTATCGCAAGCAGATAAGTCATGATTAGGGAGAATTTTCTTCAACCTTGTTCCATCCAGGATATCAAGCGAAATCATTTGTCTAATGTATTGTTCTTTTACAAAACGCAAATCCCCTTTGGTTAAATCATCGCAGGGTAGTATCCCTGATGACAATTCCCCTGCCGACAATCATAGATATAAAACGTTATCGAAGTTCGTCTTTGAAAATCATTTTTATTGAACATTATGGCGAGTTGTTTGGAGGTAAAAGACATGGATTTGGAATGGCAGACATCAAAGAGCACTGTGCTCGAACGAAATAAACAAATGTTAAACAATCCATATTTAAGTGATGTTTTAATCACGTGTGAAGGCTTTGATGAGGAGTTTTATGCTCATAAGTACGTTTTGTGTACAAGTTCATCTGTACTCGATGGCATGTTGAACGGCGATGGATTCGCAGATATGTTTATCAACTCAATTCATATTAGTGACTCTGATCCCATAAGCATTTTGTCGTTTCTTACATTTTTATATACAGATGATTGTTCTTTGCTTTCTTCAAATATTATCTCTGTTATGTCGTTGGCAAAAAAATACAATGTCCCTTCGCTTCTTCACAAATGTATTCAAGACATCTCGAGTATTTTAAATCCAAATAAAACGCTGGGAATATTACAGAAAGCGATTGAAAAAGAACACAATGAGTTGTTGAGTGAATGTTGGAAATTTGTCGAGAGTTTCACAGATGAAGTGGTGAACTCCGAAGAGTTTAATTGTATGTCTTATGATATGTTAGTGAGCTTATTGAAACGCAAGAATTTACAAATTGCCGAAGTGGATTTGTTTCAAGCAGTTCTACGTTGGTCTGATTATCATTGTGTCATGAATAGTTTTGAATTGACTCCCGAGAATAGACGTTTCATGATGGGCGATGCTATTTACGAAATCCGTTTCCTAGCAATGACGCAGGAGGAGTTTGCGCAGTACGTCTCACCTACTCGTTTGTTGTCGTTCGGCGAAATGGTTCCTATATATGAGAAGTTTAATGGGGTGTATTCCCCGGAGTTAGAATGGAAAGAGGCCACTAGAGAACGCAATCCCATTACAATAAAATGTCCCAAATTTTCTCCAACTAAAATTTTACCAAAATCCCTTTCTGACAACACTTATTTCCTGGTCAGCTTCTCCGCCAACAAAGATCTTTTTCTTCGTGGAGTTTGTCTGAACGTTAAACCCAACGAAAAAGTGACAGTTTATCTTAAAAGAGCTCAACCAAACGGTGGTTATAGTTGTGAAACACCTTACATAAATATTTCATCCGGTAACATGATGTTTACTAAACCTATTGAAGTATCTTGTGGAAGTGTTGTGACGTTGCTGGCAGTAATGATGGGCAGTTCATTTGGCTATTATGAATTCGCCGAACATATAGTGACGCAAGTTGATGACGTAGTAGTGACGTTTATCGAAACGTATTTGCCACATTCGTGTGAGTCAGGTTGCGTTATTCCCGAGGGTTGTTTTGAAGAGCTACTATTCTCTGTATGAACAAAGCATTGTCTCTCTGTTTTTGTAGAATGCGTTTCATTTTAAATTCGTTTATTTCTTTGTGGATTTGTCGGTTCGTGTTCTTGTTGCGTTGTTAAAACATCGAGTGTGCGTCTTTAATGGATTAAACTGTTGTAAATAATTATGCTATATATTGAATAAATGTTTGATTCATTTTGGATATTTCATAGCTCGTTAATCTTCGATATAAGTTTTGAATGTCTGACCAATGATGTTATGTAATTTTTTCCAGGACAACAATGTAACAATCACAAAGCCGTTATCTAAAGACGAAAACCTGCGAGTAAAGTGTTGCCAAAATAGATACATCGAAAGCAAAACTTCGAGAGATTTTACCCTTACCGTCCATTGGAATCCCTTGGAGTATTGTCCCGGATAATTGCAATCGTGGACATTGTAGAAACTCCATACCTCGTGACGTTAGTCTTGACGTCATTATGGAGCCCGTGTCATACCTTCCGAAAAAGGTTGGGAAAGATGCCGCTGACCAAAAGAATTGCAGTGAAAGTAAAGAAAGAAAGGTTGAAGAACGAGAACACATCGCGTCAGCGTACAGGTATCCCTTTTTGAAAATATTCCTCCCTCAGGACATTATGATCTCTTTCTAAAGCAGTGAAATACAAACTGATTGTTAGGTAAAATGTCCAGTGACACCATTCTTCGCTTGTGTGCTATGATTTCTATAGTTCTATTGAAGTTCAAAGAAATGGTAAAAAATCATATAGAAAGGAGATATAGAAACGTCTTTGTTTTGATGCTCTTTCAACAATATTGGTTGATTTTATAAAGGTTTCCTCTAAAGTGCCCACGCCTGCCGCTACACCTGCCTTGCAACAATATTTGTTATTTTTAAGGTTTTTCCAAAGTGCCGCGCCTGCCACTACACCCGCCTTGCAACAATATTTGTTATTTTTAAGGTTTTCCAAAGTGCCCACGCCTGCCACTACACCTGCCTTGCAACAATATTTGTTATTTTTAAGGTTTTCCAAGAAAGTGCCCACGCCTGCCACTACACCTGCCTTGCAACAATATTTGTTATTTTTAAGGTTTTCCAAAGTGCCCACGCCTGCCACTACACCTGCAACAGCTAACGTTCATGATACGCAACAAGGTTATCATGGCTTGCAACGATCACGCACTAAAGACTCGCTTGTGACAAAACAAATCATTCAAAGCAATAGATCAAGATTGCCACCTTTAAAGAACAAAGATACGTTTAAAGTTGATGAAAAGGGTAGAGAAACGACTAAAGCCGGTGACTTAAGGATGAAGAATCGAATAAGTACCGATAAAGATGACGATCAAAGAATATGCGAGGATACGTTAACGGGATACGCAAACGGTCGTGGAATTGAATCTGCTCCTTCAGATCGTGCTATTAGTCCAAGTAGCAGGACAAATATACCCTCCGATCTTTGGGCTGAATTACACACGGGTGGAGATTATGACCATCGGAGATTAGTTCCCCGCAGTACCTTGGATCTCACTGTCAACAAAACGGGAAAAGCTAAAAGTATTCTATTGGGTTATCAAAGTCCAATGGGTCTTTCAATATACTCGTACAATGGACTGTTCAATAAAAAACCTTCGCCACCAAGATTACCGAAGTCTTTCACATACTTAGGAGTATATAGACCGATAATACTACCCCAAATGCCAGCTGCACTTACAGTTGTGCCTGTTCCCAGTATTGTTCGGCCTAATGTACTGAATAAATTACAAGAAGCTGAAGTTGAATTGAGTAAAGTACCAAGTATAAGTATTCCACCAGTGCCTGTAGGCTCACCTGTACATCCTGTAGAAATTCCTACTGCAACTTGTCCTAGCGTGAGTGAGGATAGCGAGCTTGATGATGAAACGAAGGAAATTCGTAACGAAGAAAGTGACGAGAAGTTGGCTAATGATACACATATTAAAGAAGAAAAGAATTCTGTCATAGATAAGGTATTTTCTCGAAAAAATGCCTGGTACAAGGTCGATGTAATGACAACATAAACTTTGAGAGGAAGACTTAAGGAGATACATGGGTTGATTAAAGGGATGTAAGGGGGATAAACGTTGATTTCAAGGGGATAGCTGGTGTTGTCTCCTTTGGTTTCTCTGTTTTTTCTCCATTTAACATTTGTAACACTAGAAGCTTTTCTTATGTTTTATATTATGTGATATAACTTTTTTCAGAATTGGTCGGAAAAACATCAGGAAATTGTGCAGGAAAATGAAAAGAAGATCCACAATGTGACGTCATCATGTCAAGAGGGGGAAATATCGTCACGTGATCAATATGTCGCACAAGATGATGTAGAGGGTTGTGCGTCGTTGAAAGATTCACAGCATGTTTGGATGGCTGAGCTAGACGAGTGCAAAAACGCTGTGATTGATGACACGTGCACGACCACAGATATCACGTGCGCGACAACAAATATCACGTGCACGACCATAGATATCACGTGTGCAGAAGCTCGCGTCACTAAACCTGTTTCAGATAATGAGTGTATGGAAGGTGAAGAAGAAGTCGCGAAATGGGAGATTGGTGAAAATAGCTTTGTCCATTTACAAAATATTGACGACAAGTGTTCAGGAGAAAATGAAAGTGAGATAAATAAATTAGAGAATCTTGCACTTGCTTGTGATGAAGATTACATCAAGTGTTTAGACGAAGAAAGTCTTGCTGAAACGAGCTCCGATGAGTGTTTGTTAACAAAAAAATGTGAGCCAAGAGACGATGAAGAAATGATCAATAAATTAACATATTCAGTTGAAGATAATAACTTATGTGACATAAATGAAGGATTGGTAGAGAATGACACGACCATCCTTGATGTGATCATTAATGAAAATGACAGTGAGATTGGTAATGTCTCTGTTTTAAAAAGTCTCGATCTAGAAACAATGGTGGAAGATAAAGAGTTGCTGTCTTCTGGAAAGTTGATTTCAACCCCATCACTAGATCGTTTGATTGTGGAGGAATCTACACATAGAACTGAAGAAGACTTGACTGGATCCCTCGGGAGTACACCCACGAGTGGATCTGTCACAAATACTCCAATGACAAGAAAAGGTGAAACATCAACATCAAATTCCCCTGTTTTCATACCTAAAATTCCCAGTGATTTTGAACTTGAACCATATGCTGTTGAATCAGATTTGTTGAAACCAATCAAAATTGACTCGAATTTATTATTAATTGATGAAGATGGCCTAGAAAGCATCTCGATGGACAAGAGTGACAAAATGACTTAAAATGTGGTCATGACTGATTTACCTAACAAATTATACCTAAAACAATTGCATAGTTTTCGTTTTTTTTTTATTGGATGTCCTAATGTTATTGAAGGCTGTGTTTTTTATGTAGAATTTCCACCAATTTTTAAATACATGGTTAAACCCATTAATGGCTCAACCAGTTCGCAAAATTATATGTACACCACTATCACTATATACTGGCCCACTCATCTCACCAACCGAGAGTGCGTATCTGAAAAATATTAAATAAATGAGCTCAATGTTGTGTTAAGTCCAATACTATTTTGATTAACACTTATAACTTACGTAGCATCTTCAAATGGTTCTAAAATAATGTGGAAAATTGCAATGTGTGAATAGTTAACA